TATTTATTGCAAAATTTATTCAAAAATAATATTTATTATCGTATTTAGATTAAGAATTGTCATCATCTGTTTTCTAATACCAAACACATTAATAAAGCTATTCATAGATATTAAATGAAAACCCAAAAGTTTGGAAAATTATAATTTAGAATAGATCTAAGATTTATGTGCAGAAAGATATTTTTATATATCTTAATTAAATTTAAAGAAATAATTACAATTTTAGATTGATCAATAATAACATTAAATGAGAATTTTAGAATATAAATTATATTGTAAAATTCAATACACTATAAACCAAGAAAATTTGAAGCAATTTTTTATCAAAAATAATGTTCAAAAATCTCTTTTTTTTTGTTTGTCTCTCCATCAGATAATATTTTCAAGATTCCATGTGCTTTTCACTGAGTGCCATCTCTTAATTTATACTTTCTCGAAGATTAACACCTAAGTACCAAAATTATCTTTTTTCAATCATCACAACTTTTTGTTCAAAAATGCCATATTTATGAATGCTTTATAACTTTCTTAAAAATTACTACATTAATTTCAAAGTCTTGGATTTATCAAATTTCAAATTCATAAAAATATTATGCAACCGTAAAAGACCTGCCCTTTAATTAATACAATTATTAAATATGAATATTATTTTAAAAAAAGATCAGCTGTTCATTGGATTGGCCATCTTATTCAAATTATTGTTATTGTTATTGAAAGGGTCAACATTATTTGATTTTATTATCAAAGGTTAAAATGATTGGGGTTGCCAATTATCAGGCTGTTGCGCGATTGGTTCTAAATAATCTTATGGAAGGACTGCCAACACAGTTATGGGTACTAATACAATCGGTTTTGTACTACAACATGTGCAGCCTTACAAAATTTCAAATTTTTACCTTCGTAATTTGGAGATATTTTCACATAGTATGATGAATTCACAAAATTTCCTGTTGTTGAAGGTGTGAGAACAATTTCTGGATGTTGAGCATTAACCAATTGTAAGGAGCATCCAATTTAAGCAGATGGTTATATTTTCATTCCTTTTTATATTCCATTATGAGATAAAGCGCTTAATTTGAATTCCATATGACATGAAGAACCTGAATTAGATTTGATATTTAGTCTATTCACAATAATCACATCAACATTTTCTATATTAAGCTTACAATCTGTATTATCAATATCATATGTTATTTATACAAATTCGGCTGGAAAATATAAATTTTTTGCTACTTTTGCAGATATTGACGAAGACTATATTAAATATAATTGTTACTCCTTGTTCTTTGCAGCACCATGTTCTCAGATAAGCAGTCTCTTATTTTGAAGAAACCTATAAAACTTCTTTAATTGGTTCTCGGATAATAATTTCTTATTTATTCTTGATATCATTAATTGAATTAGAGGTTGATATTACTCTAGCCTTGACTTTGTAATTAAGACTTGCTAATATGTGTTGATGATAATGAAAAGATCCAGGTAGATTTGGTGGAAGATGTAATTCAAAAGGGAAAACAAATTGTCCAACCATTAAGTTTTCATTTAAAAAAGTATTAATAACAACAGTATCTCGATGGAAGACATTTTTCCCATAATGTGTCGTTCTGTGTTTACCAGAACCAGTTGTCCATCGAGTTTTCTCTTTTCCTACTATTGAAAATTGAACGACATTTCCATGATAACCAGGTTTTATGATATGAAGGTATATATTTCCTAAAATTATGATTGAATTTTACCTTTGACAACATCTCCAGCAAAATATAAAGATTTTTCAGTTCTAATCATAATTCCTCCAAATTCTGATCCGGATTTATTTCCCATTAAATGTTGTTTAATTAATAAATTACAGTTTCAGAATTAATAACAAAATTAATTTTAAAGGTTGAGTTTACAATTATCTCGTAATATTATTGATTACTTCGAAATCTTTAAGTGAGGATAGATTTTCAAACAAACCATGAGTATGTATATAATTTATTGAAGACTTTTTTAGGGTTATTTTCAGTTAACACACTTTTAAGAAACAATTAATATAACTAACTTAGCAATTCTTCTAATTATAAAGATATTTTAATCATTTCGGTTGAAATCATAAATATTTACTTAAGAATATTTTATTAAAATAAATTATATTAATTTCAATGGCGAATAGACAAAAAAAGATTTCTGCAGCCAAAAGAAGATCAAGTAGTGTACATTCTAATCATGAACAATAATAAGTGCACTAAGAATCTGGAGTAGAGGTAATATTGTAATTAAGTTAGAGTAAATCATTGAAATATGTAAGAAGCCGGTTTTATTTAGAAAACCTCATGAAACTAGATTATTAATAAATTCCTTTAGAAATATCAAATTTTTCAAGGAATAATTTAATGAGCATTATGAAGGTATGCTAGAAGATGTAGCAGAAAATGCAAAATTGCATATTTATAGCAAAAATGAGACAATTATAAAGTAAGATACTTATGGGGATACTTTTTACATAATAATAAAAGGATAAGTAAAAGTTGTAAAAAGAGTAGTAACTAATATTGGATCATATATTACAAAAAAAGGAAAAAAAAGAGATAAATATCATGAATAAATAAAAGAAATTATGACATTAAATGATGGGGACTATTTTGGTGAATTAGCCTTATTAGTATATATAAATATCTAATAATAGGAAAGGAAACCAAGAGGAGCAGATGTTATTTCAGTCACAGATTCATTTATATTAGGATTAGACAAGGATTCATTTGACAGAATAATGGCTACAAAAACGAAGAGATAATTTTTGCATCTGCTTGATACTTTGAGTTGCAATTCAATTCTAAAAGAAATATCAAAAAACACTGTCAAAGCATTATTTATGATTATGGAGAGAAAAGTGTATAATTATGGTGATATAATATATAAATATGGTGAAAAAGGAAGCAGTTTATATTTTATAATAGAGGGTGAGTTTAAAATGCTTTCTAATATATATAAAAAAGAAGAAAAGGACGACAGCAACGAGATTAATTGTATTGAGCGAGAATCAGAAATTTGTATTTTAGGAAAAAACGAAACTATTGGGCTTGAAGAATTTTTAGATGAAGAAAAGAGATAATGGAAAGCCATATGTGCAAGTTAAATTGGAATAGTATATAAGTTGAATAGAATTGATTACAAAAGAATAGAATAACGATATCCAGATATTGTTGATGCCATACAAAAGATTCGAGATGAAAAGAAAAGATATTATAATGCTTGGAAAGAGAAACATGCTAATCCTTTAGAAGCTGGATAGTAGAAGCATTTATAGAATGAGGATAACGAAAAATTTGATTACTAAAAATATGTTGAAAGATCAAAATAATTGAAATAGATTATAATGAATGACAAAGAGATGCAGTTCATATCTAGAGATTAAGTCACAATTAATGATGACATGGATATAATGTTGAGATATTGTCCATATTTTTAATTAGGGGTATTGTTTTCTTAATTTTTAGGACAAAAAAGCTACTCCATTTTTAGTGAATACAATCGAAACAATTTAATAAAGAAGAGTTAAAAGTGCTAATTATAGGCCATTATCTTCAGTTAATTAAGGAGCCATATAATAGCATTATAGACCAAGCACAGGCAAATTATTAACTCAAAGAAAGGAAGAAACAGAAATAAATAAGGCCAATGTTGCTGAATCCTAACCAACCATTACTAATAATTAATATTTAACTACATAGCCAGAAGAAAATAAATAAAAGTCAGTTCATAATTCGAAAGCATTTATGGTTACTTCAACCCCAACTTAAGAATAGGAGTCAAAAAAAATTACAATTAAAAAAAAAGCAAGAACATATAATGATGTTATACAAAATAAGATAATTTTCTTTATGAAATTAACTCCTTAAAAAATAGAATAAATGGCGATTTAGTAAAGGATAGATAAGGAAGAATTTAAAGATAAAAAATTATACATTACAAATTACCCTTCTAGAACTCCCAATTAAATGTTAACAAGAATTAAATCAGCAGTAAAGCTATAACCTTAGAATAACTCAAGTTATCGTTCTTAACAAGGGTAAATTAGGAGAGGAATAGCAAGTAGTGTAAACTTATTGAGTTCGGTTGAATCAATTCCAGTAGGAGAATGCTCAAGAATACATTCAACTAAAAATTCAACAGGACTTAATCTTGATAGCTCTGCTCTTCCTTTGAAATACTAAGCTGATATGATAGGAAGATAGTTTATGTAAAGAAATAAACAAGCAACACCAACATCGGCATTTAAAGGATTTGGCCGGTAAAAATATAAGTAATTATCAACAGAATATTGAGAATCTATCTTAAATTAAAAATAATCTCATTAATATTGTTTCAATTCTGGCATTTACTCAATAAATAATTTTAATGCATGCATTCCATCAGGTGTCCATTTATCATTGGATACAAGTATATCTTTGATTTCTTTCAAATCAATGTATTCTACTTCTTCAATTTATGGGGTTAATTAATTTGCTTCTCCATCAAAATATAGAAAAAATATTTTTCCCCATATTTTACTAATCTAATCTTCATAATAAAATTCATTCTTTGGAATTATATTCACATTTTACAATCCAATTTCTTCATGAATTTCTTTTGTTGCATTTGATTCATATGTTTCATTAATTGCAACTACTCCTCCAAAGCAGGCATCAAAATATCCAGGGCAATATCTTTTTTCTTAAGACCTTTTATGTATAAATAATTTATTTGTTTTTGTTTGAAGTACAAAAATATAAGTGGCTCTGTGAATTAATTTTTGTTATCTCATCTCTTTTCTTTTTGATTAACCAATAATATCATTTTTTTCATTTACTATGATAATAATTTCTTTGTCTTCAGCATTTTATTCTTTTTCAGGTTAAGAAATCATAAATATTTAGTTTTGAATATTTTTGATAATATTTAATAATGAGCTAGGATGAGGATGAATTGTTTAGTGCAAAAAGTGAAATATTGTTTAATGTAAAATAATGTGAAGAATTATTCTAAAAAGATAAATCAGAAAAGTAATGAATGTGTATTTTCAGATTAAAATAAGACATTGAGACTTTTAAGAAAAATATCAAGACAGCCAAAGAAAAAGAGGAAGAATTCTACAAAACATTATTATTAGAAGAAAAAGAATAAGAAAGCATTTTTGGATTTCCTGGTTATTAAAAGAAGGAAGAACCAAAAGTGATTGTTTGGGATCCACTTGAGGGAAACTTGATAATTACTGAGCATGAATTCAAAAAAAAATATGACTAACCTAGACAAAAAAATTCGAATAGACAAAGTCAAATACCATTACAACCTGAGATTTATATAAACGAATGAATATTCTGATAACATATAATACACATCAACTTTATTTAAGTTTATTTAATCTTCTCTCTCTTCTCCATATAGAGAATACTGTGATAAAAAATAATGTAAATATTCCTATCCATATCATTATTATGTATGTTGGAAATTTCTCAACAAAAATTCCTTAATAATTTCTAAAGAAAAGGACCCACTCTCCTAAAACTATAGCATGCATCAACCAAGCATTCGGACCTAATCTTGTAACATTCCTGGAATTATTAATATTAATTACTCATCTGAAATATATACATAATAATCCCTAGCAGCAACTATAGAGAAGAAACCCAAAGGAAACACTCTAAATTTCATTACATTATGAGCTGTGTTGATTTAAAGAACAAATTTATTAAAAAAGAAACTTAAGTCGCAAAGGTTCATAAAAACTAAAAACCAAATTACTAATAAAAATCTTTTAACAGAAGAAAAGACCTTCCATTCAATTTTATCTAACTAAGGACTTATACATAATCTTTTAAAATTCTTAAACCAAGAATCTTTTCTATTTTCTTTTCTTAATGACCATTTGTATTCCTTCATTCCAAATAATTTCATAGTGTACCAACCTATAACAATTCCTCCAGTGTTGCAAACAATAATGTCTAAAATGACATGATCCCACCAACATTCCCAAAAATTTGGTAACCAATGTCTAAATGTAATTTCCATAAATTCAAAAGCTATCTATTAAAACATAGCTAGTTTAAAGTCTCTTAAAATCCACATTTTAACTGTCCATCCAAAAATGTGAGCTGGAACAAAAACATCAAATGAACTTGTCAGATTATAAAATTTTGAATGTTCATTCTCTGGAGTATAAAATCTACAATCTTCTGCATAACTTTTTTAGGGGAGTGGTTTTCCTAATTTTGGATCCACAAATTATTAGAGAAATTGTTATAGTTATTCAGGAGTCTATTAAATAAGAACAAAATTATACAAAATAAATAAGGAAAACAATACTCATCATATAAACACAAGCCCAACTTTATAATAACCTCCAAAATAATGGGTGTGGTCTTTGTATAAGTGTATTTGGAAAATAGCTACCTCCGTAAGCACAAAATGCCAGAAAACTGAAGATATATCCTATATATGCACTATCTTAGAGAGTTTCTCTTTAAAACCAATAACTGGTGATATATAAAGTAGTAAGCATAAAAATTAACAAAGATATGGTCCTAGATCTATAGAATATACTCCATCCCTCAGATTCATGGAAAAACGTTGATTAAATGTTTGGAGGAATGTATTCTCTTTACAGCACTTCGCATTGTATTCCTAAATTCAATATTCCAAAAGAAATACCTATGTCAATTTTCTTAGGTTATATTTCCATAAATAAAAATAATTTAATATAGATGTTAAATCAAAGTGATATTAATAACGTAGAGAATGTAATTTAATAGGTTATTGATTCTCTTTCGATTTGTAGGCAAAGGATAGAAGAATTACACATTGAAAAAGAGTCACATGATAAAATGAAGGAAAATATGGACTTAATTAAATCTAGCTAACAAGATTTTCATCATATAATTAACGAATATTTTAAGGTAGTTGGAGAGAATTTTAGAACTTTGTAAAGTAGATACCCAAATTCTGAAGTTAAAAGTATTTAAAATACTAATGTTAGAGGATGTAATTTCACGATTAGATGAATATACATAAATTTTAGATAATTAAGCCATAAAATTAGCTGAAAATTAATACACATAAAAGGATTATGAATACTTTACATCATAAAATTATCCAAAATTAATGTATTTTATTCTAATATATGTTTTAGAGATGATTCATCGAAAGAAATTGATGAATTAGCAACTTATTCATAAAAAACAAGTAGATAAGATCAAGATTTATTACCTTAAGTTAAAGTTAATCATAGAGTTGTAGAAGGCTTATATTTAACACTGAATGATTATGCTTCAGTATAATGGAGTGGTGATATACCTGTTGAAAATTGTCATAAACCAATAATTGAATCTAAAGGAGGAATTGCATTGAATCATTTAATTATTTTAGATGAACGTCATCTTTAATATGGACTTTATGATATTGCCACTAATTAGTATTAAGTTCATTAATATAATTCAAAAGTGAATATTAATTATTCACCAACTGTTGTATAAGGAGAATCCGGCTAAACTTATCTAATAGGAGGAGTTACTTAATAAGGATTAATAAGTGCTTCATTTAATTAATTGGATGTTAATTCTGGTTAAATTACTAGTTTACCAGATATGAATGTTAAAAGAGTTGGTTGTAGTAGTATTCTCATTAGAGAAGGAGATTGTTAATATCTTTATGTGATTGGTGGAAAATCATGTAGCAAAGTGAAAACTAAATTATGTGAAAGATTCAATTTTACAACCTAAAAATGGGAATTTATTACAAAAATGAATCATGCAAGGTCTAATTCAGCAATTGCAAAACATGATGATTATATTTATGTTTTCTTTGGAATAGATTCTGAAAATTAGAATTCAAACGTTATAGAAAGATATAATTATGGTAACACAAAAACTTGGGAAATAATTGGAATTTAAAATTCATTACCAGGATTTGACAGTTCAAATTGCTCAGCAATCTCTATCAACTAAAGTTAGATTTTGTTATTGGGAGGAATCAGATATAGTATCATATTCAATGATTAAATGTACTTTAATCGAAAATTACTTACATTAAACACAACGAACAGTACATTTTCGGTATTGGATAATTAATTGCCAATTGATTTTATACCTTACTCTCATATGGTTATTTATAACAATGAGATATATGCTATTGGATATACAATGAAGTAAGTTGAAGTTAAACCAACCCTTTTTTTAGATGGAGGCTTTGTATTAAAAATTAGTAAAGATTATGTAAAAATTCTGAAATATATACCAGCATATTAAGATAAATAAAATTGAAATAAAATCATAAAATTTATTAGAATTAAATACCTTTTTATTTATTGTTAATTTCACATCTAAATTTCCAAATTTTTCAATAAAAAAGCATAAACAAAAGTATTTTTAGATAATTAATTGAATTATTTTAATTTAATAATTTTTATATCAATGTTTTCGTTAAGCAAAATAAATTCAATGCTTCGTTTATCAATTTCAATTTGATTTACTGTATTACTGAAACTCTATGTCTAAAAGTAAAAGTTTTTTGTAAAAATAGTTCAATTAATTTCAGCTTTTCATCAACATAAAATCAAAATTAAGTAGAGAGATTTAATAATCAAACATGATGTAAGAATGACTACTGGAAAATAAAAACATCAAAAATATCATTTTCAGGCAAGATTACTTTGCAAATTAATCAATGTAATCATTATGAATTTTTTTTTTAGAATTTTAGATAAAAGCTGAGAGATTTTAATGTATTTTTAATTTATAATCATCCAAAATTAACAAGCAAATAATTTTTTTATAGAATAAGAGTAGTAGTTGATCTTTGAAATAAATAAAACTCTTATCATTAATTATAAATACCTTTCATTATTGTTTAGATAAGTTATAAATTATGGAGTTTATAAATAACGATATTTTAATTAATTTTTTTAGATATGAATAATTTCGCTGCATTGGGAGAGCAAATTTAAAACAAATAATCAATTATTCGTTTTATTTTTATTTTATTTAAAATATAATTATAACCTTCACTGTTTTAAGATTATCAATTAATATAGAATTTTGCCAATTTAAAAAGAAAATAAAATTGTGTTGATAAAAATAAATGTTTATTCATGTGTAGACCTTAAATATCTTTGAATGTATAATTTATTATAAAAAAAATTGAATGTTTATTATTTTTGTACAATTTGATTATAAAGTGATAAACCAAAATGATTAAAAGATATATTTATTTTATGATTTAAAGATTGAGTTATGCAGATATTAGATCTCCCCAGATAAATTAAAACAATTTTAAATTGGCAGTTAAACCTTTAAGACCTTCTAAATTTTTAAATGACTTTGAAAGTGCCCCAAAAAATTTTATAAAGGAAAAGGAAGTTTATGAAATTGTTGACTATGCATTTCCTCGAACATCAAGAAGAAGGGCTGCTTTAGGAAATGATAAAGTTTAATAAAAATTCGAAATAGCACTACCAAGTGTTTAAAATTTATCAATCCATAGTGTAAATCAACTTTCTCATAGAGAAGTTACTGCTGATTTGAAAAAGTCTGAAGTTTTACATTTTGATAAAAAAATAGAAAACGAATTAGAAAGCATTAATAGAAAAATAAAAAAGATAATCAATAGCAACAAAAGATAAGTAACATTTTAATCATCTTTAATTGTGATTGATGAATAAAATAAGATTTCTCAAGTAAGAGACCCATACATCTCAAATGACAATTAAATTAGAAGAAAAACAATAGTAAGACATAAAACATTAGAGGTTTGATACTTTATTTAGGAAATTTCTTCATATAATGTTGATTAATACAACATATATAATTAAAAATTTAAACAACCGAAGAAAAATAATTTCATAATATCATTTTTGAGAACTTAAATCTTCGATTTATTTCTTAGCAAAGATAAGTCCATTCTTCTCTAAAAATCTCTAAATTTACTTAAGATGATTCAGAAATTATGGTTCTTTACCATTTTCTGCTTGTTCAATCTAAAATTGATTAGAAAATAATCTTACAAATTATAAAATAGGTTTTATGATTATTTCAGGTCCTTCTCTATCTAATTAAAGTAATTTTGCTTTAATAAATGCTTTCAATAATAAGTGATCCTAAAAATATGCATCATCTATTCTATTTCTAAGCTTTTCAAAATTTTCATAAATAACTTTCAATAAACTCTATTAATCTTTGATATCAACTGGTAATTCAATTATAATTTAAGCTGTTAAATGTAGCAGCTATTCCAAATTGATTTTTTCTGAACTATTTTCAATAAGAATTAAGGCTTAATGTAAATGTTCAGACAATGCTTTACTATATCCTTGTTTAAATGTATATTCTAGAGATAAGTACAACACTTCAGATATAATAAATGGATCAGTGACTCTGAAATTTTTCATTGATTCAAAAAGCTTTTCATATTCTGCCTCATCTACTTATTTTTAAGACTAAATGACAAATTTGTACATTTAGACCAATAATAAGAATTCGGATTCTCCATATTATGAAATTTCATCATATAATTCTTAGATTAATTAAAATGACTTTTCATAATTTTCTCTAAGATATGATCTTGCAATTCTACATTAACATAAAATTGATTTAGGTGTTATTCCACTTGCAAAAGTTTCATAAATCTAAAATAAATTAAAATTAATACTTCAAGGGCTTTTTCTAAAAATGATCTTGATTCTTCTTCTTATCCTGAAATTAATAAGAATTCAGCTAAAATTTCAAAATTTCTAGCAATTTTACTCATTGCTTATTGTTTGCCAACTTAATATTTGATCTATTCTACATTCTCTTTATGTTTAATTATGTCATTCACAATTTTAACTGCTTGATCTAAACATTTAGTTGATTCCTCTAAAAATTGAACATAACCTTCTGGATTTAATGTTTTCTAATAAAAAGCCTTCATGTCAAAATATTATGATTGTCTTAAAAGATTATTAAATTCAGCTTCTCCTAAATCACTTATTTTTGATTCAAAGTTATAGATATTTTCTAAAATACCTTTGATACGCCTAAATTATATGGTTCAATTTACTCTAAAACTTATTCTAATTGTATTATTTCTCTTCTGTTTAATCTATATTGGTATTCCAATAATGACAATTCCATTGAGATATTTAATATTAGTTAAATCTTTTATGGATATTGCTTTGGTATATATAATCTTTCTATAAAGTTTTTATCAAACATTTCTTCAAAAAATTCCCAATTCTTATCTTACAATTCACTGCCAATCAAATTTTCAGCAAGATTTATTTTTTATAATACTTTCTAGATAGAAACTGAGTTTTATTTAGGTTAAGACACCTTGTTATCCCAATATTCAACCAATTTGTCAAATTCCTAATTTTTTAGGATTAATTAATATGATCTATTTTAAGTGTAAACATTACTCTTTTTCTTATTTATTAGATTTTGAAAAGGAAAAATAATAGAATGGTTAGACTAGCTTTTGGATTTAAGTTAAAGGTCGAAACAAATTTCTTATCATTAATATTATTTCTAAATATTCTAGAAATATGCTTTTATATTTTAATTAAGGCATTTATTTATTTCTGTTACAATCTAATTCTGTTAGAGCTTTCTAGAAAGTTCATAAATATCAACAATTATAATATTATAGAGAGAGAAATAAACTTATTAAATATTAAATTACTCTTTAAATTATCAAAAGACTTATCATTCTATTACATATTTATATCGAACGAATAAACTTATTTTTGAGACTAATTGAACATCTGTAGATTAATTAAAATTCCTGAACTTTAATATATTTATGATAAGTACTTTACTAATCAGCGTTCGATGATATAAATAGATTATTAAATAAACTTTCAAAATTATATCAAAAGATAAGGTATCTGTGATTTAATCATAGTCATTCTAACAACTATTTGAAATCACAAAAAAAAAAGAAGACCTAGATAAAAATCAAAACTTTGAAAAATTTTAATAGCCTTTAAATCTCAAAAAAACTAGCCTGATATATACTTCTACTGTAGATAATGATTTGCATATTTCATGAAATAATATATTATAGATACAAAAAAGGTTATATTTTAATTTTATTTATTATTTTGATTCAATAACAATTCTATTACATTGATAATCGAAATTTATTTTTAATAATGTTGTAAATTTCCATAAAATTATTATTTCTAGCTTAATAAAATCATTTTCTTTCTCTTAGAATTTACTTTCTGTTATTTTTTCATAAATTAATGAAATTTAATGTATAATGTATTTCAATTTAACTACATTTGAAGTTTACAAAAAGAAAATAATTTTCCATTTGCCAAACTTGCTTTTCTAAATAATTAAAACAGTTGTACATGCTGTTGAAGTGGAAAATATCTAAAATACTAGTTATTTATCCCCTATATGAAATTAAAAATAAATAAAATGATTTCGAAGTGAAAGGATAAATTATTTTTTTTAATTAGATGGCCGTATCATTATTTCGAAATAAAAATCTCCATCGTATTTCGCAAGTTTATAATATATCTCACAAAGATTATTAATTAATGACTTACTTTCTAAGTTTTTATAAACATAAAATAACTGATTATTCTTAATCTTCTTATTAAAATTATTACATAATAATAATCCTTGTAAATATAAGCAATATGATATTGTTTTGACTTTTTTTTATTACTTTCATTCATGATTAATTACTATATTAAACAAAAATATTAAAATTCATAATCAGGTTTGGACAGTATATTTTAAATTTCAATCAAATCATATTTTACATTAAATTAGTTAAAATAAACATGTAAGTATTTTTTAAGTGAAAATAAAATTAAAGAAATCTTGTAAATTTGGAAAAATAGTTTATAAACAGCAAAATGATTTCTGGAAATATACTAAAAATACAATTTCTGGAAAGAGTCTAACAATAGTAAATTTTTCAATTAGAAAATAATATAGTGATGTTCAAAAGAACAATTAAAAAAATAAAGGTATAAAGTATTGAGTTAATTATCTAATTTTAATTATTCATCAGAAGCAACCTTATATATTTTAGTTATTACTTTAAAATTTTTATTTGATATTAGTTTATCATAATTCTAATGAACAGGGAAAAATATATTTAAATACACTAAGAAGTTTTATTATTAATTATTAAATAATTTAATTAAATCCTTAAACCAAACATATTTAGATATTTATAAAACTTTAAATGTGTTATTGTTATTCTAATTCTATTATTAATATATTATTCTGTTCAAATTAATGTGCTCTATATTACGTAGCATTAATGCATCAAAATAATTTATGTTGAAAATAGGATTTTAAGGAATAAAAAATTAATCAAATCTTATATAATATTTATAGCAAAATGGGTAATAAACATAGCACTGAATATGGTGGAATTTTCGTTTAAACTTCAAAGGCCTATTATTTCCCAGGAGAAATCATTCAAGGTATATTCATTAACAATTCTAAATTAGGAACCATTAGTTTAAATATTACAAAACCTGGTTATCCTGGAAGAAGACTTTACATAAGTCTTACTGGGAAAGAAATATTACATGGCGCCTTTGATATAAATGAAAATAGTGATGATGAAGGCATACTATCAACGAATACAACTTAGAAAATACTAAAGAGTGAAATGGTGCTTTATGAATTCTAATAACCAACTATTCCAATGGGTTAATTCACAACTTCATTTACCTTCTAACTGCCTTCCAATATTCCTGGGACCTATAATAAAATACATTTAAGTGGTGCATTTGAGAGAATCATATATAAAGTAAAAGGGTATGTTGTGGCAACTAAGGGATATAAAACAATGAGCCATATTTAATAGATTTAGATTAGAGAACCTATTTATTATCCTGAATAATAGATAATTGGAGATGGGAAAGTTGGTGACAATGGATATTGGTGTAGATAAAAAGGAGTAATAATTTTGTTATTATGATTAGAGTGCTTAAATTACTGCTGTAACAGATAGGAATGTTTATAGGATTGGAGAAGCCATAAGAATATTAATAGAGGTTATCGATGATGAGAGATTTTAAAAACCAGAAAAAATAATTATACAACTGGAAAACATTACATAATATAAATATAAAAATAACATAGAAACAAAGACAAAAATCATTACTGAAGAACAAATCTAAACAACAACAAAGAAATTAGGATCCTATAAAGTATTAAATTAGCAAGAAGTGGTACTGTTTGCACAATTAAAAAATCATAATAATAATGATTAATATAATATGATTTAACCAACAACAAATGGAGATATAATCAAAACAAATTATCAAATTGTGATAAGAGCTAGTTTTGGAAGTAAAATTTTAATTATATATTTAATTTCAGTAAGCTGTTGCAATCAAAGTGAATGTCTTGAATTGCCTATATAAATATTATCATCCACTGTTTTACAATAGTAGTCAATTTAACCTCCATTAGGATGGAATCCAATTCAGCTGAATGATGAGAATCTTCAACTCTTAGCTGCTGCAAAGTAAAGTGGAACTAGTTTACAGTCATACTCTACATATTAAAAAACATTGTAAGGTAGAAACAGCTATCATGAATAATAAGAATCTTTAAGATCAATTAGAGTTGGAAATTCAGTTAGATCAATCTAATCTTTAAATTATTAAATGAACTGAATGATTACATATTATTATTAATCATTATGATTTCAAAATAGATATTATCTTAAAATAGCTAATATAGAAATATAATTTATTTACTATACAATAGAATCTTCTATATCTAGTTAAACATTGATTTTAATTATCAAATTTTAGGTTAATATTGTAATAAATTAGTATTCACTGAGTGTAATTTAAATGATGTCAAAGTTTATAACTTACAATATTTCTCTCTTTTTATTAATATTAATGTTAACCTTACATCAGAAAAGTCTCACAGAATCCAAAATCAAAAATGACAATGCTTCTTTCTAAACAAACTTAAATCTTCGCTCATTTAATCCTTCAAAATTTCTAAACAACCTTGATTAACTTCATGATATCCAAACTCCTTAATATAATGAAAATACTCAACAAATACAACCACTAACAGAAAAGGCAGAACGTAGTTATTGTCGATTTCCTAAACTTCAATCCAACTCATTATAAAACATTTCTAAACCTTTTGATTAAATGCCATAATCTAAGCATAATTAACTAAAATCTCAACTATCAAATATATTTTCTTAGTAAAATCCAATTACCGAAAATCATATTATCTTGCCTGGGTTAAGAAAACAAAGAAAAGAATCTTAAATGTTTATCTAAATGATTGAACAGCAGATCAGTTTTCCAAATCAAGATACCTAAACTTCAAGATCTAAAAGATTTTAAAGAAAGAGAGAACAATAAACATAAAGTTAAACAAATCTAGATAGTCTAAATTACTTATTACCTGATAATTCTTAATTAGATGACTCAAACAATTATAATAAAAAAGTTGACTTTCATAAAAGAGTAAGAGTCATAAATTTAGAAAATGGAAGAATTGCAACTGAAATAATAAAAGAAGAAGATGAATCTAAATCTCCAAAAAAGTCTAAACGAAAATTTGTATCTTAGAAGACCAAGTTTTTTTAGGAAGATGCCAATTCATGAACATCAACATATAATTGATAATCTTAAATAATATATACAATCTAACAACAATATTTGCAAAGTTAATTCAACTATTACCATCTATATTCTATATATATATATTTATATTTCTACATACTATCTAGATTACATTTTTAATAATAATTAAATCTTTATATTTCTCAATCTAAATTCTCCTTATTTCCAGAGAATAACATATATTCAAGAATTTCTTAATGTTTATTTAATAATTGAATATAACAAATACTGAATTGTTTCACAAGTATTATTTTTATTATGATAGTATGAATTTTGCAATTATCTCTCTCATTTATTCATTATAAATGTAAATTAATAGTTTAAAAATTGAGAGAATTGATATAAAGTCTATTCAAACATATGAAGATAGCAATTAAAATCATTTATCAAGATTCAAATGGTAATCATAATCTATATCATCATTTAATAATTTGATTTTCATATTAAAGCTAAATTTAGTAAATCATAATATTTATACGATTAATTATTATAAATGTTTGAATATTATGCAGTAGGAGAAGAATCAAATAAAATTCATGATATTCATAAGTATCTTTTAGCTATTTGCAATAAAAAAATGGTTGATAAGTTAATAAATATCTAAAATAAACAGTAAAAAATTAGCACTTCTATTGAATAAAAAACAAGACCTTCTTTTAATTATCGCCCAAAAGAAAAATGTAAGATGATATTATATTTTAGATCCAACCTTAATAGGAGCATAATATAAATATTTTAAAGCACAACCAAAAAGAAAATAAATTTATTTAAGTACTCTTCAAAATGATTAATCTGAATCAACTCCAAGATTAAAAGCAAATTCAATAGTTTAGGAATAAAAAATAGAAAATTAAATGAACTCAGCAAGGGTCATAAGTACTGCATAATATCCAATTGACAGAAATATCTCTATTAAAAAAGCAGAAAAATCATCAAAAAACTACCATTTACCTAAATGTGATAGTAATTGGATATTTAATCTCAAAAACATTAGATAAAGATAAGAATAATTATGAAAATAAATATATATATATATATATAAATATACTATAAACATTTCACCCTATCTTTTTTGACATTCCTTTTAAATCTATTTTTATGTTTATTGGTTGTGGTTATGGGTTTTTTTATTTGAAAGTATTTAAATTACATTCTGATTCAGAACCAGTAGTATGACTCAAAATGCTCGCTTATTTAGGATCTCTAGGAGATTTCAATATTTATTAAGAAGAGAAAGGAGCTTATGGTTATCTTGTGTTAGGTGTTTTTTGTTTTTAAGAATTTGAAGGCAATTTTGTATTTGAGTTGATTTTTACTGAAATATATTTAATTTGTTGGTCTGGTGGTTTTTAATATTCTTTATCCTTAGATATTTGTTAATTAAATTAGTTTTATTTAGGATGTTCAATTTTATAATTCAAAATAGTAGAGCTATTAGATTAATATTTATCCCCACAATGTTATTATAATTGTTATGAATTGCCTTAAGTTGAAATGGCCTAAAATGAATTTTCATAACAAATACTTTTTAATTGCGCTACTTTTCAATTAATTTTTAATAATTAGTTGTATATTCTTCAGAAACATCTAAATTTTTATATGAAGGACCAATATTCTTTTCTATTTTATTTTTTAGATTTCTAAGTTCAGAATTTATTTAATAAACTAATTCTTATTCCTATTAATCTTCTTCCATTTTAATGCGATTTGTTATAGATAAAGGTGATTCTTAATAATTTGATTACTTTTATGTATAATATGGTTTATGAATTTCTTATCCACTATCACTATCAGAAGGGAAATGTATTTTTTATATTTAAGTTTACTGATTCTCATGAATTCTAGAAGGAATTGGACTATATGAATCACTTTTATCTTCAAAGTCTGTAAAATCCTCTTCATCTGATGATTATTAGAATAATTTTTTTGTCTAATTAGATTATCTTCCTCTAATAGAAGGTTGAATTGTAGTATTAGCAGTACCAAAACTATCTAAAATTAACATATTGTCTTATTATTATATGTTTAACTATTTATATAGTTCAATAAGATTGACTTCCTCTATTATTGTGTTTGTTGTATTAGATTTTTATTTAAATCGAAAGTCATTGCTTACTCTTTCAAACTCATGTTGAAAAGTTAAAATTTTATTTTCTTTTTGTAATATAATTCTTGAGTAATTATGATTTAAAGATGAATTGAATGTGAGTTTGCAATTTGAAAAGAAATATCCATTTATAATCAAAGATTAATGAATCATAAAATGCCAATGACTAAAATTGATGGCATTGTTTAAGAATACTTGATTAATGTCTTCACTTAATGAACACTGCTTATCTTAATAAAAGCGAATTATTGAAAATGATTTGTCTGAATTATATGGGCCTAATTATGATTAGCCCATTTAATTTATAATTATAATAATTGGAATATTGAACTTTATAATTTGCATAAGTAAATAAATAATATAACATTAATATATGATCATGTGTATGATTATTTAATAAATTTAACTTAAAAAATGAGTAGATATTAATTAAATAATACAATTATTAAAGAGTTGATTAAAATGTGTAATTCTTCGGTTAGTAAAAAATAGTATGTCACAAACTGAAACATATATATTAAGTAAAGAAATAAATTACAACCTTAAATTGAAGATTTATTATATAAAAAATAAAATGTATCGAGAAAGTGAGTAAGAACAAATCAAAAGTTAATGGGTAAGATAAATACTTATGTCGAATGATTCTAAAATTGTAGCAATAAAATATTAAGAACAATGGCTTCTCTATAATTTAATAGAAAAAAAGTCAAAAATATTAATTTTCTAAAGATGTGGGCCTGGAATGTTTTCTCCTGATTCATTATATTTTATTGCTGTAGGAGTAAACTTTTCAGAATAATAAGAAACAGTATTATTAATTAAGTTAATGCCTCATTTTGAGAATCCCTTATAACTAATGTCTCTAGAAAATTAAGTGAAATGTCTTGATATAAATGAGCAATCAAATAAATTGTTATTAAATCTAATGAATGGTTCTTTTGTAATTTGGGATATTCATACTAAATAATCAGTTCTGCAATTAAATTAGAATACACGATTTGATTTTACATAATTTTGCAATAATCGTATTATAGGAACCCAACCTCATTGTATTACTTATTTTGATTAAGTCAGAATGAAATAAATTAAAAGAATTTTTGTTTCTGGAAGACTATCTGAATATTAGAAATACTCTCATTACTGTGATGTTAAACAAATAACCTCTTGTTTAATTCTTTTTCGATAGAGTAGAGGAATGGAAAAATTTTGTTATAGAATCATAAATAATTAGAGTGGAAAAATGATTAGGATATTTAGAGATTGTTAGAGATTTGAGAATTTAAATATAAATGTATCTCCAGATCATAAAAGATTTGCAAGATTATCAAAAATATAAAATACATAAATTGAGCTTTTAGAAATAGATTCAGGCAAATCATATAATTTTATAAATTGTTTGGATACTAAATAACCAATTTGTTTTAGTTGTGATTGGACTATCATAATTTAATCCACTAAACATGGTTATGCAAAAGTTTATAGAAAGATTGAATGAATGAATGTTTAATTTTATTTATATATTTTAATAAGATTATTAAAATATTCCTATATATTTTAAGATAACAATATATATTTGAAAATCTATATCTGAAAAAATATAACATATTCAAATACTGATAAGAAAAGTTATAGAAAATATAAATTATTATGATTGATAAATTTAAGATTAGGATAATAAAACAAATATAAATTAATCTAAACTTAATATTCCAATTTAATGTGATTCTCAATTGGGATAGTTTTAATTTTAAAGAATTTTATATTTTTTGATCATATAATATTTTAAAATATTTGCAAGGATATTGATGAATTCATATATAATCTTAACATGCAAATAACTATTATATGATATTATTTAATTGATAAATGAACAATCTATATGATTATTAAAATATGACTTATTATCAGTTGATCATTTTAACAATAAATTTGAATATAAATAAATGAAAGTTTAATTCTAAACTGATTATGACTCTCGTGTAACTCATAACCCATCAAAAAAAAGGGAATTTCAATATAACACTAAATAACCAGAAATTATTACACTTCAAAATTATGAATCAAATTGTAACAGAATTGAATCTATGCCTGGACATATGAGATCAAAATCTTATGAACATGATTGCTTAACAAAAGCATCAAATACTTTTGGACTTAATGTTGATTAACCTTAAGTTTAACCACTTAAAACCAAGCGTTAACATAGTATTTCATAAAAAGAAAATGATCCAGGATTTATTTCTCCAAAATTTAGATTTGAAAGTTGTGATACACTTGTAACTAGAAAATCATAAAAGTAACTTATTCAAATATAGATTTTAGTAGTTTTATTAATGAACTTTAAGAATGTGTTGATCTTTCAAAAGTGACCGAACTATCAATGCAATCTTAAATTTCTCCTTAAAAAGCATATAGTGATTTATATTAAAAAATTGAGGCTAAAGATTACTTAATTGATGAATTGTAAAAATAATTAACAACTTCAATAAAAAATATGACATTATAAGTAGATCTAATTAGAAATGAAAAAAATCAAGTGATATAATAATAAATTAGACAAATAGAAATTTATGAATAATAATTAATTGAGAGTAGATAAGAAGTATAATAAAAGAATACAGAATTATTAAATCTAAAGAAGAATAATAGAGAATTAAAGAAATTATTGGATACAAAATAAGAAGTATTCATGTTAAATTGTAACAATACCTTTATAATAATATAGCAATACCATCTAATTTTTAAACAAAAAAAGATTGTATGTGCCCTTAATTAGAAAGAGAAAATAAAGCTTTACTTGCAAAAGTTGAATAATTTAGACATTAATTATAAGAGTTAAAACAACATCTTGAGTTTAATAACTTATCAATTAATAATTAAATATCTGTTATTGAAAAGTGTGATTTTACATAATTTGAAAAAACATTTAAATAATTAGCAGATGAATTAAATTTAACAATTGATAGCAAAAATATTAATTCTAGTTTTAGTTTATTGAATCAAGAAGTTATTGAAGGTGTAAAGACACTTAAATAATAATATAAAGAAAATGAAAAATTCTTAAGATGTCTCAAAGATTTAGTAATCTAATGTGCTCCATAAGATTATTTTTTCTAAACTGATCCAAGTTTAAAAGAAGTATGGAAATTTATAAAATAAATTCTCTAATCTTATTTAGAAAATAAAAAATTAGCATCTTAAAATGAAGTTATTATTAATAATTATAAAATAGGATATTGTCATTAATTTGTGCAAATATTTTAGATGTAATAAATCTGAATTAAATCATAAGGGGGCTTGTTTAATAGTGGATTAAGAGGTCTATTAAAGAATAATTGAAAAAATAAAAAGAATATTTAAATTAACTGCATTAACAAATATAAGAGAACTTGATCGACGGCTAGATTATTATTTATAATGACTAAATTGGGAATAAATAATTTTGAAGCTTATTGCTTTTATCTTATAATTATATTTACATTTTAATATTTCATCATCATCAAATACTATTAGTTTAAAATATAAAAATCAGAAATTATTAGTAATATGATAATATATATTCAGTTTTAATGACTTTTAGAAATAATATGATTAAAGAAATTAAAATAACACTTTTAGGTAATTCTGGAGTTGGAAAGAGTAGTATAGTAAATCGTTTTTGTTTTTAAAGCTTTAATGAAAACAATCAATCAAATCTAGGGGCAGGTTACTTTTCAAAAGAAATAGAATTACAAAACAATAAATTTAAATTTTAAATATGGGATACTGCAGGATAGGAGAAATTCAGATCTTTGGTTCCTCTTTTTTTAAGAAGTATTTCTTTAGGAAAATTTAGATTCTTAAGTTGCAATCATTGTTTATGATATTACATAAAAATCATCATTTACTTCATTAAAAGAATGGGTTTCTAATTTAGAATAAATATGCACAAAAAATTAATGTAATTTTCCATATTATTTTTTAGTATTTGTTCTAGTAGGAAATAAATGTGATTTAATTGAATAAGAGGAAGTAACTTATGATGAAGCTATGTAATATTCATATGTAAAATATTGATTTATTTAGAATCTTAAAGCAATATTCTAATATACAAGTTGTAAAACAAATGATGGAATTGAAGAACTATTTAATAAAATTGCAGTTGAATATTTAAAATTTGAAGAAGAATAATAAAACAAAGTATAAATCTAATAATACTATTTTAGTAAATGCATACAAATGAGAAATAAAATAGTAAATTGAAATTTTAAAACAAATACTATTTCACCTGTTGTTGATTATAAATTATATATTGTATTAAATTACTTATCCCCTTAATCAGTGCTATTAAGATGTACTAAATTAATCTAATTCTTTTTATAATTATTATTTTTCTACACATAATTATGAAACTTGGTTTGTTAACTCTGTAACAATATTTTACATTAAAGAATAATGATCTTCTAATTCAGTTGCTCTTTTTTTCATTTCTTCTAAATGATAGTCTTCCAATTATTGTATAGATTATTTTAAAATGATATTTTCATTTTGAAATTATTAGACTCTGGTATTAGCTAACTTTAAATGCTTATTTGTTGAAACTACTATTTCTTATAATTTTTTATTTTCAGAAAGTAATACACTAAATATTAAACAAAGTATTTACTGTAATTTATTTATGGATTTCTAATTAGATTGATATATTTCTTTTTATTATTTTTCTCTTTCAATTGAAATTTATTTTAATTAGTGATTTTATGATTTTAATTAGTTAAAGTCTTTTTCTAATTTTTCATTAAACGTTATAACAGCTTATAATTAATCAGTGAGATATTTAAGTTAATCTTATTTTTAATTTCCTACTTGAACAGATCTAACACTGCCATTATCACTTGGTTCATAATATAATGATGATCTAAATTAATACATTTTTAAACAATTAATTCTTGATCAATAAAATAATAAAAATTATAAAACTAATTTTAATTAATACATAATTTATTCATATTGAAGTGTTCCTCGTTTTTGTTTCTAGAAATTAATGAATTATTGATTTAATAGATTCATTTATTTCTATCAAAGAGAAACTTAAAATAGGATAAGAGTTTTCGAATTCTTAATCGTCTTAAAGAGAGTCTAATAAGTTGATTAGCTTTTTGATTTGTTGTAATACTCTCTATGAAAATTCTTAATCTTTATATAATATTTTTTCATCATCCAAATTCACTTACTTAGTAATGTTTCGCTATTTAAATTGTTTCTTGATTTCGTGTTGAATAATTATTGAAATATTGGAACGTATTATAATTAAGTAATTAATACGTTCTCTTGTTTTGTGATTTAAGCTATCTGTATTTCCAATAAGTTCTATTAATTAGCTAAGTCTATGGTATTGCTCTAGTATTAATTAATTTTCAGTTTTTTTTTCTATTTCCTCTTTAGGCTTTTCATTGAGACGAATATCACAATTCTCAGTTTTCGGTTTTTTAGTATAGCATGAGCCCATTATTACAAATGTAATTGTAAAACTAAAACAATAATGATTATTTAAAAATTATTATATTCAGAACTCTTGAGAAAAAGATTTATTTCAAACCATACGTAATTAATTTCTTAATAAAATTACAAACCAATCCAATTTATTAAGGATTTAAATTTATTCTATGGTTTTAATCAACTGTTATTTACCTATTGTGCAAAATAGGTAAATTTTAGTTTTTAAAGATATTAAACATATGTACAAATTTATGATTATTGTTTTACAAATTAAGGTTTCATTTTATTTTTTCTTGAAATTCAGTGAAGTATCAAAATAAATAAGCACATTATTTCATGTTATAATAATTTTCTGTTAAACAATTCCGAATTAAACTACTCTATAATTTATATATTTATAATTAATATTATGAAAAATATTTATATTAAAAAAATGTATAATTATAATTAATTACAATAAATAAATTTAACTATTAGTCATTTAATTTTAGTTTAGTTTACACACATAAATTATGGTGTTATCAAAATCTATTAAAACTTTAAAAATACTCATATAATATTGGCAGTATATATCAATTAAATTTATTCAATAATGTAATTTAATTAATATAACTTGGTATAAAACAAATAATATAATTATTAATATAGCAACAATTATTCCTAAATAATTGTTGCTATTATTAGCATTAAAAAGTATTTTATAATTATTAATTATTTCATGTGAATAAAAAGGTTATTAAGAAATTACTTAAATATTTATTATGATTATTTAAAATTAGATGAAACCTTTTATTTTATTCAAAAGTTTAATAATTCTTTTAATAATAAATTTATTCATTATTCATCTAGATCTTCTTCCAATAAAACATCATATTTCCATTCTCCAGTCACCTCCATTCCATTTTAAATTGTTCTACCATATCCATGCTTTAGACCATCTTTGAATTAACCTTCATGTTTTCCTCCTGATTCAGTTTATAAAATTCCTTATCCATGCATTTTTCCATTTAGAAAATCCCCTTAATCAATTGAATTAAAATTTATACCTCTATAAAACTTATTATTAGGATATCTCATTTCTCCTCTACCAGTAATTTAACCATCTTTGAAATTACCGTCATAAATTACTTTGTTACTGAAATAGTATTTTCCATTTCCATCCATTCTATCATTTTTAAATTAACCATCATAATAGTCCTTCTTATCCTTATATTTTAATTATCCTTTTCCATTTTTAAGCCCATTTTTAAATTATCCTTCATATATATATTCTTTATTTTCCAATTTACCTTTTCCATGAGGTATTCCATCTTGACACTCTCCAATATAATATTCATCTTGTTTTCTGATTTCAAGTTTCTCTATTATTTAATCATCCCTCCAAATACCTTACTTTATTATAATTGTTAATAAAATACTTTAAGAATATCTTTTTATAATTCTCTACCCCAACCAGTCCTAATATTTTTTTCAAAATGACCTTCAAAAATACAATATTCCTATAAAAATATTCCATAACCATGTCTATAATCCCCTTATATTTATCCTTTATAATAACTTCCATCTTCATATTTTAGAATGGCTTCTTAAGTGTTTTCGTAATTAATTTCTTCTGGACATTAATAAAAACCATATACTTAAATCATTTTATTTGCCCATTCTGGAAAATGTTATTAAATTTAGAAATCTGGATCATTTACTTTTGTTGGATTATTTTTTTTAAATATTCTAGATTAATTGTTTGATAAAATATTCTATTAGTTTTATTAATCATTTATTTTAATTTAGGATACATTAATTGTACCACTTGGCATTTATACCTATTGATGTTCAACAAATTCTTATGATTTTTCTGATTTTAAATCTTCAATAAGTGATTTCTTATTTTAATTGCTTGGATAAATTTAGCTAGTTGTATATTCACCCTTTATAAATATTTTTAATTATTACTAATTTTATTTAGCTTTTGTTTTTTTACACTTTAATTTATTCCTTTTTCTAAGTTAAAGTAAATTAATCTATTATAATATCTGGTTCAATATTTTCAGCTTCCTTTTTGATAATCTCAGATATATTAACTAGGTGATCATTTTAATCATCTTTAGAGATCTATCCACCCATTTACTATATAAACTATGTATATATAAATAAAATAATTTTTCAAAATCAAATAATTTTATAAACATAAAATTTTATAAGAACATGTAAGAATTGACAAGTATCAGATAAAGTACTGATGATGATTTGAATTCAACTTGTTAGTCTATCTAAATGCCAGTGTTTAAAAGACATTTTGGAAACAATCTGACATTTTTTTATATTAGGGGTGAACCATTAATAACAATAGGACCCCATTGTAAACAATTTATAAATAATTAGTTTAGGGCCTTTAACATTATGCATGATAGTTTCCTTTGGGGGAGCTAGTTACCTATTAATTTTTGAGATAGCATTAAGAAAAGGGCTTTACGTGTATTATTTCTCAATTTTTGTTGCTGCACTTTAAATGATTAGTTACTTGATTACTGCCCTTAAAAATCCAGGTATTGTGACTAGTTCTAGAGAATATAAGGGTATATTATAATGTATAGTAAGAAAAAGTCATAATTAAATTTTATTAGGTTTGTAACAATTCAAGAGAATTAGGTTCATTATATCATTGTGAAGATTGTGATGTATGCATATAAGGATTTGATCATCATTGTCCTTGGACAGGTAAATGTATAGGGAGAGGAAATATTAATGCCTTTTATGTATTCGTAACTATGATTCCAATATATATTGTATATTTCATCATAGTTTCCTTGTTATGATTAATGAAATAATATAATCAATCAATTTTTTATTTAAGTATTCTATTCTATATCATTAAAACAAAATTTTATAACAAATAGAAGTTAAATCCACATTTCCTTTTAGAATATATTTTAATTTTGAACATAATTCTTCTGTATAAAATAAATAAAACATTAATGTTATTTGAACATTAAAAAATAATAAAATGCTGGAATAGCTTGTTGACAATTCTTCAGTATAAAATACAATATTTAATTTTTGTAAAAATAAAAGTCAATTTTATATTTGACCATATATAAATATATTTGGTGATTTGTGTTTTATAGAATTCAATTTATAGCTAATATTATACTATCTTAAACATAAAAAATACTATATAGAATGATATTAATTATATAAATGTGAAAGATAATTCATAATTTTATTTATAATTTAATAATAAATATAATAATGATAAATCTTATTAAAAATAATGATATAATTATAATTTAATACTCTTATTATTTTCATTTCATTGTAGGCATGGCTGTGCTTAATGTATAGCTATCTGATGGTTCTTTCCATCTAGAAGTGATTGTTTTCATTTAAGTGAAAAATCTAATACCAGCTTTACCATAGAAATTAGCATCACCATTAAAGGATCTCTTATTTCCAGTGAATGAAAACATAGGCAAAGGAACTGGAATTGGTAAATTGATTCCAATTTATCCTGCATTGACTTCATTTTAGAATTTTCTTGCAATTGATCCATTTTATGTAAATATAGCTGTTCCATTACCCCAAGGATTACTAATAATATAAAATCATATTACTTATTAATAATCTCAATAGCTTAATCAAGAGTGTCTGCATATAAAATATTAAGAACTGGTCCAAATATTTCTTCTTTATAAGATGTCATATTTGTGTTCATCTTAAAAAAAATAAAAATAATAGTATACATTATCAATTATAGTAGGACCAACAAAATAACCCTTTGGATATTTTTAATGTTTAAATGATCTTCCATCTAAAATCAATTTAGCTCCTTCTTTTTCAGCTGTACCCACTAAATAATGAATTCTCTCATATAATTCTTTATAAGAAACAGGAGCAATATCAATATTTTCATGTCCAGCTCCAATTTTGAAAGATTTAGCTTTAGCAATTAATTCAGGAATCCATTCTCTACTCTTTCCTACAAAAATAGCTACACTCAAGGCCATGCATCTTTAACCAGTTGAGCCAAAAGCTGCAGATGCCAATGCATTCAAACAATCCTCTTTATCAGCATCAGGCATAATAACACCATGATTCTTAGCCCCCATGTTGATTTGACATCTCTTAAATGTTTTTGAGGCATTTTCATATATATAATCACCAGCTTTATTTCCACCTACAAAAGATACAGCCTTAATATCAGGATGTTCACAGATATGTTTCGTTGTTTCAAAACCTCCTTATACAACATTAACAACTCCTTTAGGAACTCCAGATTCCTCTAGTAATTTAGTCAAATAAGTGACTGCTCCTGGTACTCTCTCACTTGGTTTCATCACATATGTATTTCCTGTTACAATTGCAATAGGAAACATCCATAACTAAAATAATAATCTTTAAAAATACTGGAATCATTGCAGGGAAATTGAAAGGACAGACTCCTGCACATACTCCCAAAGGCACTCTATAACTATAGGTATCAACACCTTTAGCTAAATTCTCCACTGTTTCTCCTTACATTACATGTGTAATTCCACAAGCAGCTTCTACAACTTCCAATCCTCTAATTACATCACCTTTAGCATCTGCCAAAGTTTTTCCATGTTCTTCTACTATTATATTAGCAATATCATCTATTTTAGATCTGATTTTAGCTTGATACTCAAACATATATCTAATGTTATATAAATAGATTTACCTTTATCTAGTTGGTAATGGTACTTAAGACCATGTTTTAAATGCTGTTTTTGCTGCATCAACTGCCTCATTGAATTCAGCTTAAGTTGTTTATTTTGTTATTCCAACAACTTCATCAGTTAAAGGAGATCTCCTTTCCAATGCTATGCCTCCATTTGAAGTTTTCCAAACTCCATTAATGTAATTCTAAGCAATGTTGCTGAATCTATAAGATTACTTTCGTAGATGAATGTGGAACATTAATAAAATATTTGCGTATTATTTTAAATCTTTTTATTCAATAATAACTATTAAACATATTCAAAACTTTGATATTATTATACATCTTTCTAATCTATATTTATACTATTCTTTTAAGCAATTCATTTTCCAAATTACATATAATTGAAATACTTGTTTCTTGAAATAATATTTGATATCTATAAACATAGATTTAAGATTTTCATCTATTTTTATTAATTATTATTTTCTTTAGTTTATAATTAAAAAAAGTAAAAATATAAAATGATTTCTCATTTGACTACATCATAAAATAGAGAAATTATTAAATGAAGTTACTCATCTTTATTATTTAATACTTCAACATAATATTGATTTAAAGCTTGTAAATCATTTTAATGTTTCTCTTTAATATCTTGCATTTAATCTGCAGTGTGATTATTCATAATTATGGCATTTAATTTTTGTATTTATTCATTTTATTTTATTATTTATTTGCATAAATCAATAAAATTTTTATTCTATTATGCTCTAATATCATTTATTTCCTAATCTTTTTCTGATGATTATTGCATATAAAATCTTAAATTCTTAAATAATAGATATAAATATACTTCTATAATTGAAGATTAATCAAAAAGTCTTTCTTATTAAGATTAATTATATTTTGTCATTGAATTCCTTCTTGAATGAGAACTTTATTAGAATAAATTTAATTATCTTTCTAATTATATAATCTTATTTGATTTTTCAGTTAATTATAACTATAATTTTGTTACATTAGTTTCATCTGTATATTTTAATGATTAATTATTATGAGAAATAGCATGATCTATTTCAGATTTATTTTAAGATTAAAAAAAATCAAGACATGTTGATTTTGGTGATTGTCCAAATCTTTAATCAATTTCAACTATATAGCTATTATTTGATGAATATACTCCTTGATGTCTTAAACTTTCAAATGGAATTTTCTTTTCATATTAATTCATATTTTAATATTCTTCTAATTCTAATTTAAACTTCTACATTTTCTTTTTAAAAGATGCTGCTTCTTATTCTGCTTCATAAAGATTTCTCCTTAATTTTGTTAATTCTGACTCATACTATATTTGTTTTAATCCTAAAATTCTTTAATGATCTTCTTTTAATCCTTAAATTTAAGCGTTTAATTTTTCTATAGTTCTCTATTCTTATGGATCTTTAATTATTATTTATTATTATTCTGGCTCAATAGATCTTGCTGTTGGTGGACAAGATAATAATTATGATTTAAGGGTTTAGTTCTTTTATTAAACTTTAGCTATCTCCTTTTATTGATTTTATATTAGATCATTCATATCTTCAATTATTTGTTTGCTGTTTTCTATTTCTTTTATATATTCTTCAAATTTATTAAATACTTCTTCAAAATCACAACAATTAAGTTTTGATAAAAAGAATGCTTCTGATTCATATAATTATTCATTTCTTTCACGTAATTCAGTAATTTTAATTTGTTAATCAGAATATTTATTTTAAAATTCAATTTTCATTAATTCAATTTATTTATTTTGTTGTGCAATGATACTATCTTTTGTATTAAGATTTTCTTCTAAAGTAATTATTGTATTTGTTGTCTAATGCTCAAATTATCCACAATCTTGAAATATTCCAATATCTACAATTTGATTTTACAAAAATCCCATAATTTCTTATTATTATTGTGGTAGCAATTATTACATCATTTCCACTAACTATTAAGAATTTACTCTTAACAGTGTATCTATAAAGTACTTTATAAATTTTGCCAAATCTAAATTGCAATCAGAAAGTATTATGTCATCATCAAACTCTATAATTTCTAGTTTATATTTTTTTCTTGCTAATTGTACATTATTAATAATTTAGTTCCATATTACTCTTCTAACATCCATATCTAGACTACAAATGTTGAAGAATATATTTACTAATCTTCTAATAATTAAGCAAACACAATGCCATCTTAAATTTCAGAAAAGTTATGTATTTACCTTTTTGAATAATTCCATTTATTTAGCTATATCAATAGTTATTATTCTTACAAGTGTAATAGCACTTTTCATTAATAAAATAATTTTTTGATAAAAATATTGAAAAAAAAAACAATAAATTCTTAATGATTATTCTCCATTTGAATTTCATATCTCTTTAACCTTAACTAATTTTAAATTAATAAAGTTTAAATCCATAACTATTATTATTATATTATTAACATTTTCAAAGATGAAGAATCCTAAATTTAAGACAAATCGAATTTCTTTTCAAACATTAACTTGAATACGTAATTATTTATTTTTACTTTAAAAATTAAAGTATTAATATTTCAATATAAAATATAAATCCGTTTATAAACTTTTCTTGATATCAAGCTTAATTTCAAATTAGTTTAGAGAATTTATATAATCAGATCATTTATCTTTCATACTTAAGAAATAATAGATTTTTTAAATATTATGTCCTTGATAATTAAGTATTTTTAATATATATAAATTAATGACTTTAATCAGTGCTTTTAAGGTGCTAATTTAATTTTTGATATCTCTATAATTTCTTTATTGGTTTTGATTAATTTCTGTTAATTATGCTGACTTTGAAATGAATTTGTTTATATTTAGAAAGTCTTTTTGTATAGCTAATTTAAACGATTTTCAGAGTATGATAAGTAAGATCCCTCTTGACTTATGAGATTCTACATTTAATCATATTTTTATATGTCTTATTCTTTATCACCAAGATCTTGAAGTTAAGGTTAAGAATATGGCTTATATTATCTTCGAGATAAAGTGGATTGTTACTTTTATAACAATTTTAAGACATTCTCATTATCCTTAAGTAAGTTGAATTTCATACTTTAGTATTTTGATTAAGGTTTATTCTTGTTTTAAGAATAACACTTTATTTTATTTTACTTTGTAATGATTTAATTTCTTTATCATCTACACTCCATAGATACAATTCCTTTTCTTAATATTAGTCATCGACATCAATAGAGCTTAAAAATCGTTGAGTTCTATTTGAAAATCGACAACCTTCCTTTGTATTGTTTCTCTAATTGTTATACTTTCTATCTGAATGAAAATTAGAGATCTTGGAAGTTCGATTCATTTTAAATTGTACAGCATCTCTACGCTATTCTGATATCTCTTTAATTTTTAGTTATTATGGATCAATCTTTCTTTATTCTAGATTTTTGTATAAATGTCTTGGTGAAGATTATTTTCCTTTAGGAGCAAACATACTCATGACCATCTACATTTATAATCTTTGATTAGCAGCTTAGTCTTCTTTTTTATTTCGATATCTTTAGATCATCTTTCTAAAAATATGAGCATATTTAGTAATTTTAGACAAATCATTTGCTTATCTGATCTATTGTCTTCTATCAATAATTGAGTCAATTAACTTAAGTCTATCATGATAATTATCAAGAGATTCGACAGCATTTTTTATTTAAGCTCGTGAAAAAACATCAGATATTTGGTTATATGTATTAGCTAATTTTTTATTCATTATATTATTGAGTAGATATATTAAAATCAAGTAGTAATTTCTCAAAATAACTATTCTTAGATTAATAATTGAATTCAAACTATAATCAGTTATCAAATTTATTTAAGCTCATCTAGAAAGTTATTTTTTAATTATAAATTAACTAATACTTTATCAAATAAGAATGATTATCAAATATGTTATATATAAAATAATCTAATTACATGATAAAATTTACAAACTATACTACTATCAATATATTAACAATTTATTGAACATTATAATTATATTATTATGTTCAATATACTTAAAACTAAATCTATACTAGTTTAATAAAAGTCTGAAGGTTATGATGCATTCAAAAGACCTCCAGATTTTTTGTTTGCTGAACGACATGGAGTATAATAATAGACTTTGAATTTAGCAAGCAAGTAGATTTGCAGTAGCTGATAATGAAAAAGTATAATTATGTACTTGTTGTGGAATGCCAATACAAAATGATTAGTTACCATTATGCTGTGATAAATAGGATATTAATTTTAATGGAGCTGGTATTCCATTATATTTTGAGTTCATATAATTTGCTTCAGTTTTACTCGTAACCTTGGGGTATTTAGGTTTTATTTGAAATAGATTGATATCTGGCATATACAACATTATTACAAATGTCTAAGGTAGCTCTTGTGAATAGTATTCCAATACTTGTTCTTTGAATTATTACAATAAATATGCCTTATCTAATAAGGCAGAGTAAAATATTTAAATCTATAATAGATAATATGATATTGGTCTTAATGTTTTAGATTTAATTTCGACTATTATTATTATTGGTTTTACAATTTATTATAGAAGATGGATGAATTTAACTGCATTAGAAGTTGATAATGCAGTTATTACTATTTCTGATTTTTCTATTTAAGTAAGCAATTTGCCTTTAGATGCAACAGAATAAGAAATTAAAGAATTTTTTAGTAAAATTGAAAAGAAAGGAGTTGAAAAATAATTACATATTTAAAGTATTTGTTTAGGATGGAACATATAATAATATACTAATATAGTCAATTAAAAGTTAGCAAAAGAAATTTAGATTAGTAATTTAATAGCATTGTATTATTTACATTAATGTTCTATAGAGAATAAACAGGAAAGTTGAAGAACAAATAATAAAAAATTATACTTGAATAAGAAATAATGGCACTTAATAAAGAAATTCAAGGATTTCTTGAGGCATTTGATTAAAAGTTCTTATTAAGTGGAGTTGCATTTATTACTTTTAATACAAGCGTATATATTAAATATATATAATTAGTAAGAAGCTTAAGAATGTAGAAAGTTTCATAATTAAACAAAAATTTAGTTATTATTTCATTAATTATATTATTGTTTTAGAAGAAAACGATAATTAACAAAATTCAAAGGGAAAACTCCATATGTAGTAAGAGCACCTGAACCAGGTGATATTATGTGGGAAAATCTTGGAGAAAAACCATGGAAATAGATTTCTAATTAAACTTGGACAAATTTAGCAACATTATTGATATTAGGAATATGTTTTGGTGCTATATTGGGAATTTCAATTGGTTAAAATTCTTTATCTAAAAGTGAATCAAAAAATACATATAAATCAGTAGCATTTATAATTACATTTTTGGGTTTAGTAGCTTCTTTTGTTATTTCACTTCTTAATTCAATTATGGCATTTACAATAAAGAAATTAGTATTTTATGAGAAACCTTACACTTAAACAGATTTTAATATTAGTTATGCAAATAAATTAGGAATGGTAAATTATATTAATTAAATTTAGTCTTAATTTATTAATACAGCAATTATACCATTATTAGTTAATTTAACATTATAGGATGAATAATTATTAATAAGTTTATGGAAGAGTGGAGGACTAAATTCTGATGTGAGTCTTATTTTAATAATGAATGCTATATTTCCTTGGGTGATTAATCTTTTTGATCCATTCTATTTTTGGAAATTAATCAAAAGATAGAGAATTAAAAATTAAGGAGTCTAATGTACATTAACTCAAAGAGAAGCTAATATATTATTTGAAGGAACAAAAAGTGATTTATCTCAAAAATATGCTACAATAGTTAAAGCATTAATGTTGACTTTCTTTTATGCTTAATTATTACCTATAGGAATACCTATTGCATTGGCATTTTTATTAATAAATTATTGGGTCGAAAAATATTTATTATTAAGAAGATAATCAAGAAATGCACCTTTAGGTAAATAATTGGCAGAGGAAATGATAGATTTATATATAGAATTAACTTTATTACTTTTTGCAGCAGGAAATTGTATTTGGTAAAAAGTTGTAGTAGGGGAAATTAATGCTATTGTTTGGACATAATTAGCAGTAGCAGGATTTTAATTTCTACTACCTATTGATTGGATATTTGAGTGGTTTTTTAATTTTGAAGAAGCCTAAACTACTGAAACATATGAATAATAAAAAAATTAATTATGGGATGTATGATAATATAATATTATAGGATTATTTAAAACGAAATCCAGTAACTTAATAAAAAAGTATTGAACAATGGATTAAAGAATAAGGAGGTGACTAAAATAAAAAAGTTTAAGGATTTTTGTAAAAATTAGAAATAAAATATTAATAAGATATTACAGAAGCTTAACATAAACTTATTAAAAAATTTGTACCAAAAGATCTAATTAATGTATATAATTCTGTTAATATCAAGTCTCATTATGAGATCAGAAAAAATCAAGTATTACCAAATAATCTAGAAGAATCTTTATTAATTAAATAATAAGGAATTAATGTATAGAAACCAGAGATAAGGTAAGCAGAATCAATATATTTTGCTAAAAGAGAAACAGAATTTGTACCAAATAGACCATAAATTAAATAAGCTGATTCTTTCACTTATGATTGAATAATTCTATATAAAATCCCATATTATCATTTTTAACCTTATGAAAATGAAGGGGACACATACTTTTTTGATTTTTTTGGTTAATCCATCTAATTTGATTATAATACATATTCTTAGTGTATTTATGGTGAAGTCTAATTTGATTTCTATAAAGTCTTATTTAGTTGTTATTATGATTCAGGTTGTGACTAATCAAATATTTTATATTTTCTAGTCTAACTAGTACCAATCTTATCAATAGTTTAATCTAATCTTGTTATAGGTTATAAATATTATTATAATAAATCCTCTTCAGGATCATAAGGTACTTCAGCCAAATGCATAGTTTTCACTTATTATACATTATGATGTTGAACAGAATATTCTTATTTATTATTATCAATTTAGATTTAGTTAGAATTTAAGTTAGTTTTAGAGAATTCTTATTTTTTAGAAGCAGAAGGTCTTAAATACTTATCTAATTATGTTTCTTAGTAGTTTACATTTGATTAAGGAGAATTATACTTTTAACCTTATAAAATAGTTTAATAGGGACTTAAATAATTTTATGATTGACCTGAGTTAAGTTTTTAATCTTGGTCAATTAATTATTCAGATATTTTAGGATTAGGAGAATTAAATATATTTTAATCAACTTTTTAACCACCTACTTAAGGTCTTCTTCCTATAAAGAATTCATAATTTGAGATACCTCCTTGAACTAATGGTTCAATAGGAGGACTCTATTCATTAGTAAAATTTTCATTTTCTTTTAATTAATTATGATCAATATAGACTTAAGGTATTTATGGAACAAAGAGATCATCTTATTTAAATATTTCTGGTATCATTTATATTTTAGTTTCTATTAATTTATATTCAGGTTGTCTATTAATGAGTACTGAAAAAGGAATAAATGGACAATATTTTATAAATTATTGAGAAGAGATGATAACATCATTACATTTAATTCTTTTTTTCAAAAATTATATATCTTGATTAGTAAAAATATATTCTTATTTTTTCATAAAGTTTATTAAGCTTAAATTATATAATATTTATAATTACTTAAAATTAGGTAATTAGTGACTATAATCTTAGACAAGTGTACAAAATTATTTACCAGTTTCTTTATATTTTTCAAACAAAATCATTCTTATAGGTTCAGCTTATCTAAAATATGCAATTTCAATTTTTAATAATCGTTAAAATAATAAAAGTAGATCTGATAAAATTTATTGATTAACATTATTGTGTATTTAAGTATCTAGATTAGTATCTTATGGACAAATTAATTGATAAAAGTCATCCCAACTTATTTAATAGTTATCACTTGAGTACAATTAAAAAATGTACTCTAATTCTTTATCATTTATGCTCATCATAAAATTACTGAATAAAATATAAGAATTACCTAAATAAATTCTATATATCATCTTTATTTATTCCTTGAGGATTTGATGCTAATTTATTGTAAATAGTCCTTGCTTGAAAATGTGGTGTAATACTCATATTAATCCTTTATTCTTCTAACTGATATGATTATCTTCTCATACTTTCTATTCATAATAACAAGTCATCTTAATTAAAGTAGCTATATCAGAAAGATGTTCTGGTGATAACATTTTATTTTAATTATATTTATATGTTTAAGTATAATTTATTTTCTATTTATGAAAAGTAATCATTATAATTAATAATTACAATAATGATTTTTGTGTTTTCTCAATAAATTATTAACCAAAATATCTTCTTTTATTAATAATACATTAAAATATTATTAAGTTTGAATTAATTAATAATTATGAGATTCATAATATATCTATTCAAATTTTTTTGAGACTAATTATATATTTTATATGTAATTTAATAATATTTAGAAAATATTATGAATCGTTAATTTTCTTCTTATTATGGATCACAAACAACAAGAAGTCGTTTAAGATCTAATAGTCCAACACAATTAAAAAATTTAGAATTTATAATTAAATCAACATAGTAAAAATAAAAGTCTTAATAATCAACACCTTTAAGAAGTTAAAATATAGTTGAACCTATAAAAACATAAAATCTTGATATGTTTAGTACTGCATCTGAAATCAGAAAATTAAGAGTATAAAGTCTTAGAAGTTAATCATAAATTGATAATAAAATAATTTGGAATTAAGTTTAAGATTAATTGGAAAAGAAAACTGGAGTTTGTGTTGAGTTTGAAAAGTTAAGAAATAATTCAATTTATAGAAAATTGAGAGAAATGAAATTATAAGAAAATGAAGAAAAGAAATTATAGCATGAAAGAAGATTACAAAAAGAATTATAAGCAAAGAACTAGAATTAAAATAAAATAGTTAATAATACATAATAAAGATAGATTGAAACTAAACGATAATATAAATTTTAATTATCTACTATAGTAAATGCATTAACATTGATATAAATACATTCAAAAACCTATTCTATGAAGTTAGCAAAATTAATAGCAAAACATTATTTAAATATATTAGATTATAATAATTATATGGAATAGAGAAGATAAAATGATAATTAATCTAATTAAAATACACCTAAGACTCCAAATTTAGGAAAAGAGTAAATTTTAGAAATTTAAGATTTAGTTAATGGAGGAATACATTAAATAATAATTGAAAATAAAATAAAAAAACATCGTGAATAATTAAAAGCTAGTGAAATATTCTCTGAAGATGTTTTAAGAAGAGTGAGACTTTTGTAGAGTTGTTTTCATTTAAAAGTCTTTAGTAAAAAGAGTAAATCATACAAATATAGAAGATAATAAATTATTGGAGTTCCAAGTACAAGAGTTAAAGCATAAACTAGAAGATTAGGTGATATTAAATTTATGAATTAATATTCTCCTAAATCAAATAAACCTGGATCAAATGCTAATAATGAATTAAAATAAAATAAAAAATCTTTAAGACTTTTTAGAAGTCTTACTAAAGGTTCATTAACTACATAAAAAAGTTTATTTTTTAATAGACAAAATACTAATGAATTTTTATTAAAAGGAGTTTAGATGCTCCATTATCCAATCATCAAATATATATCAATTTTTTATAAAAATATGGTTGTTTGGTCAATATCTTATAAAGATATTACATTAGATAAATCTTGTATTGTATTATTTTTTAAAGGAGAAGGAAAATATAAATATAGATATCGTTTAGATGTACCAATAGGATAAAATCCAATGATAAATTACAATGAAAATTGTTTAACTGTTTGGCCAACTGTTAGAGATTATTTAATTAGTTATCTACATATGAAAGGATAATTGGCTTTACTTGATTAAAAATAATTACCTACTGCTTAAGTTTATAAATTAAATTTTATAAAAGGTTTAACAGATAGATCAAGAATGAAAATTACTAGTTTAGATATTCATGGCATTACTGAAACAAAGAAAATACTTGATTATTTATAAAAATCTTAAATAGTAAAAATAAGAAAAGTATTTGGTACTGTTTATGAATTACTTCCTTAATTTATTGAAGTGAATAAATATGGATAAAAGAAATAATATATAGTAAACTTACCTTTAGTTCATAATATTGTATTATAACTTAGAATGTTTGAAGAATAATTATTATTATAAAAAAGAAGTTTAGGAGAAGTTGAGGAAAATTTAATAGATAGATATTCATCATTTTTAGATGGTAATACAGATTATATAAATTAAATTTTAATGTTTAGATTTATTCATAATAACCCTGATTTTTTTAAAGATTAAATGTTAAAAGATATACATTTACTTTAGGAGAAATCTATTTATATATAATCTGCTACATTAAAATTAAATGATATACTCTAAGTAGAAAGTAATACAGATCATATTTCTTATGGTAGTTATTGTTTATTAAGTATATTTTTAACAATAAATTGCAATATGAATTTAAAATTATTATTATTAGATGTATCTGATAAATCAATGTATACTAATCTATCTGATACTATCAATTTATTTGAATATGTATGCAAGAAAAAAAATTAATTACAATTAAATTTTAATTAAGAATATTTTCAATTTTAAATTAAAATAACATTTCATGAAAGAGATGAAGCAGGTTATAATAGAGATATATATTCAAAAAATTTATTTGCTGATAAAAAAGATAGATAAGTCAAATAATTAGTATTGAATGTAAATGAATGGTTAAAATTATGTAAAGCAATTAAAAATAGTGTTTTAATAGATGATGCTGAATAATTTTTTGATTTTAATAAATTAGTTAAATGTATTCTATCAGAATAACCTTTTTATTCAAGAATTGCTGAAGAAACTTTAAAATCTGTATTCTGTATTAGCTTAAAGAATGAATAAGTTATTTTAAAAGCATCATACAAACATATTTTATCAGTTTCATATAATTTTATTGAATAATTAGATCATTATAATTTTTCAAAAAATCTTGGATATGTTCATAAATATAGTATATATCCAACAGAATATCATGATATTAAATAGAATATTTAAGAATAAAAAAAATAAACACTCACTTCAAAAGATGCTAAATAATTTAATAAATAATTTAAATAAATTAATACTGCTGATATCAAATTAACAAATACTAATACTAAAATTTCACTTGTTGTTGATTATTAATATGAATATCATATATCATAAAGTATGCCTATAGATTGTAATTAGTTATAATTAATAAGTTACTGTTAATTTAAAAGAAATCATTTCATATATTAAATAGTCAATAATAGAGATAGTATGAAAATTATAATACAAAAATTATTCAAATCTCCTATTATTATTAAGATTGAAGATTCAGATATAATATTTTAGATATTAAATTGTTAACATCTATCTAAATTTTTACTTTCATAAGAATTAATTGGATGTATGCATTAAATCTAAAAGAAAAATAGTTTTTTAACAAATAATTTATAATTTTTTATTTAAAAACATAAATATCCATTACCTAGTTATAAATAAATCAAATTTATGTTAATTAATGATTCTAATAAATTATTGAATTATTTAGATAGATTAAGTTTTATGTTTTTATTTAAATAAACATTTAGTGGTTCTCAGATATTAGTAAATGCTAAAATATATTTTATATGTAAAGATTGTCATACTAGATATGATGAAAAAATCTATTATTTTCATTCTGAAGATTTATTTCTTGGATTAGAAATTCAAGAATTTAAATCTAAACTAAAAAAATATATTATTATACTAAATAAATTTGACTTAGAAAAGTTATTTGATATAAAAGGTTATTTAGATATATCAATAGTTCATTATTGGTGCAAAACAATTATTAATAATTTATCATTTGATAAGTAAAATATTTATAGATTACCTTACTTATAAAATCTAAATCATTATATAATACCTAAACTTGATGATGAAGAAGAAAATCATAGACTTAAAGCATAGAGAAGTATGACTAATGATTATAAACATGATGAGTAAAATGCTGTTTGTAAATAGTTTCTTTAACCTTAAATAAAATTATTTAGAGTGATAGGTCATTATATTATGAAATATTATTTATTAAAGAATTCAAAAAAAGTAAAATTAACAAGTCGATTACCTTAATAATTTCATAATGAATTTGATTCTATTAGTATTGAATATATTATCATTACTATATAAGCTCACAATATTTTTGATATGTTTAGAATAATGTATTATTTTCCTAAAAGTAGAAGACGATTAATGACTCACATATCTATATTACAATTTTAAGAAATGGATTTTAGAGATAATTTAATCTTTGATTTACTTGATTTTAATGAATATAAAACTTATTAAGATATTGAAATATATGTTAAATCTTAAAAAAGTGGTATTCATTTTAAACATTCAATTTAATTGGATAAGTAAGTTTTAACAAGAATTAAATTTATGAAATAATCAGTTGATATTTAAAATCCATTTTAATTTGCATTCAAAAAAAGTTAAAATAATTTTCTAAAAGTTAGTGATGATTTAATTACTAAAAATAGATATTTATTATCATAAATAAAACAAAATTAATAACTTTCAGATAAAGTTATTAAATTTATGTAATTTACTAGAAAATTGAATAAAGATCTATAATTTGAATTATAAAATAAATTAATAGAAATTAAGATATGGGAACTTTTGCTTAATTAAGTATTTGAATTAAAATTCAATAATTCTAAATCTATTAATAATTATATTCATCTAATTGATAGAATAATTTAGACTTTTGATTAAAAGAAAAGAAATTAAGTCAAAATTATTGGTAAAGAGTATTTACTCAAGAAATAATCAAGTGGTGCTCTAAAAAATAATTATACTGTTTAATCAAATGTAACTTAATTATATACTAGATTAATATTAACTAATAATATTAAAGTAACGGAAAAATTGAATTTCCCTGATACTGATATTAATTTAAACATTGGTTTTTTATAATATCCCTTATTAGAATTTATTTGTAGTCAGGAAATTAAATTAGAAAGATTAGGAAATGCATATTTGGAATGTTTTATTGAATAAATTAAGAAGACATAATAAAATTAATAAGTATTTTATCCTTAATAATTAATATCATATTCATAATCTTCTGATTTTAATATTTATTTGAGATATTATTGTTTATAAAATTTAAAATATAAAGATATTAGATTAAATATGAGAGAATTATTGAATTTATTTATTGCTGATGGATTTTTCAAAAGTAAAACTAATTATATGAATAGTAGATTAAGTTAATCAGATATATAGAATATGTGTTATTATTTAGTATAAAAAATTAGAGATCAAAATTATCTAAATTTATCTTCCCTTGTTTTGTTAAAAAAAGAGAAGAAATTTTCATTAGCATCTTAAATTTTATTAGAAACTTAAGATTCATTAATACCTAATTAAAATAATTCAACCTTACTTTTTGATGAAGGTTATCTTTATACATAATCCATAAAAGGAGATAAATGTTTTTAGATTCTTCAATTATAAATTTTTCCATCCACTAAAAAAATTATTGTTAACTTAAGTGATAGCAAAGCCGTATTATTTTAATAAAAGATATATACCTTTAAAGAAGCAGATGAATTAGCAATCAATTTTCTTATTCTTTTCAAATCCAAAAATGTATAATAGGCCTTAAAACGTCTAGCATAAGCTTTAGAATACAATATAATTCAATTGCAGAAAATATGATTATATTATTACTCTTTAATTATTAATCATTTCTATATTTTTTAGATGTTATATTAATTTTGATAATTATTAATAATATCATTTTTTAATAAATTAAGTTGATGAATAAATTATTATAATAAATAAATTTTGATTTAAAATATATGATTTAAATAAAAATATAATTTATTTGCCTAATAAATTTATGGGAAATCAGCAAGTTTTCATAAACTATGATTCTGACCTTGTTTTTGTACAAGACTTAAATGATTAATTATTGGATAAAGGAACTTGGAAACATCCTTCTCTGGGATCTATTAAATTATGGTAAATTAAAAAAAACCCATAACAATTGTTATTTTCTATAGTAATGTATGTTTATTATCAAAGATTATCTAAACATCAAATTTGGATTCTTAATTATTATAAATCCATTAATCTAGATGTATAATGAAACATTCAAATTTATTAAAATATTATGCCTGTTCAAAGTCAATAGAAATAGGAGGTGTAGAGAAATAATAATATTTTTTTGAATATCATTCAAAAACCTTGAAATAAATCATAATGGAGGCTCCATTAAAAGAAGAATAAATTTGGGCTGTATTTAATTTTATAATATTAAGTTTGTTGAATAAATAATAGATGTAATGGAATATATATAGAAATTGAATAAATATCATGGAAACTTAACATCAGAAGCAATATTTATCGATGAGAATAACAAAGCTAAACTATTTGATAATTTAGGCTAAAACCGTTACAATAAAGATTGGATCTCTGAAGATATATTTTAATTAGGATTAATATGTCTAGAAATGATGACTTAAAGGAGTATTATTTATTAATTATGAACTATTAGCAAGTCAGTTGAATTTTAGTAATGCTTTAAAACAATTAATTGGTAAATACAGTTTATAATTACTATAACTAACACGTAAATTATTATAAAATGATACTGAAATGAGATTGGATTTTATTGAATTAAAGAATATTATAAAAAATAGATTTTCAATCCCAATTACTATTAAATAATCTAAAATTATTAAGACTGAATAAGGGTATTAATCTTGTTCTACTGTACAAATTTTTGATGAAGAAGAAATAGCAAAAATTAAACAAATACAACCTTAAAATTAAAAATAGATCATAAATACCATATATACTATAAATAATATCAATAATAATCAAAATCAATAAATTAAGGGAAATTATTTATAACAATTAAAATAATTAAATGTTTACCCATAAAAATAATAAACTGAATCAGATTTCAGGAAAAAGAATTCAATTCAATAGGTTTCCATAAATATTTATAAACATTAACCACAATCTAATAATAATATATAATTACATAGAAATCATCAACCTTTTATTAAACACTAATAAAGATATTCACTATAATAATAAAACTCATATGTTACCAGTAGAAATCCTTCACCAAAAGATAAGATTTTATTTTCATAAGTAAAATAATCATAATAACCATAAAACAATAATCTTCGAATGAAATAAGCACTAGAATTATTGGATAAAATATACAAGAATTAAAATAATGACTAATCAAAATAATCACAAAAATTTGATATGCGTTCCTCTATTGATTCTAGTCATAGCACATAATTTTATTTTTCACAAAATAAAAGATAATAGACATACTAGACTAATACAAATTCTGCAATCTAAACACCTAGTCATAGATTCTAACATGTATATAATATTTTTATTGAATAATTAGATGCAAACATGTTCATTCCAAAGTATTCATAAAAAGAATGAAATTTGATTTATAACATTTTAAAATAAATGCAAGCATTATCTAAATAACCTCTACATCTTTTATTTGGATTTCATAGGCCATAACATAAAAATGTTATTTCGATTATTGATTTGGTTATTAAAGAGTTACAACAATCAAAAACAGAGTATCTGACAATCTATTATCAATTTGGAATTTTGTATTAATGAAAAAACAAAGTTGGAAATTTAATGATTAAATATGAAAAATCAAGAAATGTTTAATGATAAATTGTATGATTTCTATTAATCTTAATAATAATTGCAAGATTACTTTTTTCTAAAATTGTAGTATCTTAAACAATATTACATACCTTAAGCAATACTATTTCCTAATAAATGTGTATTAGTTGGATTACCTTTTAAATATTTGAAAGCAGGAGAAAATCATTTTTGTAATATTAACTAATTTGATTCACTCTAATTATATAAGTAACTTTTATTTTTTAATGAGAAGAATTTATATAAAAATATTCATAAATAGAATAAAGAGAAGGAAAATGATTATATATATCTTAAAAGAATACTAATTAAGATTTACATTCATTAAGTATAATTTAAACATTCAAATTAATTCATTTATTGTGTTCTTTATTATTATCACCCTTTTTAATTTGATCCAACACTTCTATTTCTTAATTATTGTGAAACACTTGGACATGGACGAGCAAAAGTTCCATTTGAATTTGGTCTCCAAGGTTTCTCATATGTTTATGTTGCACTTAATTATTAAAAAGTATTTTATTTTGTCTTAGGATCTGGTGCACCTTCTTCCATATATTAAAGCACTTCAAATGTTCCTTAAAATCCTTTTTTATTTTGATTAGCAGGTCTAAATGGAGCACCTTTGTAAAAAGGTCTTTTCTTTTCTTTTTTATATAAGAATAAAGTATTTACAAGATAAATATCCAGTTCCATCAAGTAATATACCATCAGCAGTAAAAGGTCGATTACCATGACTAGTTGTAATAAATCTAGTTGCTCCAGGTAAAAACTTGTTCTTATGTTTAATTCTTTCTAATCTCTCTAATTCCTCTTATCTATCATAAGGATCTGGTATATATTCGATTTATTCAAATAAATTATTAGATGTGGTTCTGCCTAAACCTTTCTTGGCAGGATTAGTTAAAAAGTTCCTAGCTTAGGTTCTAACATTTCCAGTAGGAGTTCTTGTATTATATATTTTATCATTAAATTCTTTCATGTGTTCAAATTCAGAATGCTTACTTTGATTATTAATAAATACATTTACATTGATTTAATTTGATCATTTGGTTTGAAACAATTTGGGTTTTTAATTGCTAATTCTCTTTCTTTATCATAAATTTATTTTGCTTTGAATTAATCTTTATATGGATCATTTAATGTTGTATAACCTGGTTCTTAAAATAAAGAAGGTTCATGTTTTTTTTATAATTTCTTATTAACCAATATGCCTTTTTCTTTGCCTTTGCCTAGATTGAAATAAATTAATTCCTTACTTTTGATTGCATCATTATATTAATCTCCTAATAACAATGGAGGAGGTTGATTAAATAATCCATGACGCTCTCTTTTCATTATGATTTCAAAGTTACCTTTGAGAAATGTTTTCTAAATCTCGAATATAATTATCGTTAGATGGTATTCTATACTAAGTTGACATATAATATATTTTTATTATTATTATAAAATAATAATTGATATTTAGAGATTCTATTTAATTTTATTTAATTCATGTAATTATAAAAAAAGAATGATTATACTATTTATTAGATTTGGGATATTGTTATAATGTACCAAATATATATGAAATCATGCCTTCTTCTTTAATTTTGCAGCTTATTTGGTGGCAATATCGATCTTCTTTAAAGCATTAGCTCTTCTTTATTTAGCATTTAATCTCTTTGCTCTGAATTTAGTATGGTCTCTCTTTGGATTTTATTTAACACCTCTCTTTACTCTGTCACTACTCTTTCTAATTTCATCATGAATCTTTTTGAACAATTCTTAAACTGATTTGACACCAGCCTATTAAAATTAAATAAATATATACAGTCTTCAAAGTTTATTCCCAATTATGGAATTAAACATCAAATTTAGATCTTCCATCTTTATTTGTCTTCTTTTCCTTTTATAAAAGAGCCATATATTTATCAACATGAACACCAAAGATTCTATCTTTGTGAGCGTTGGCATCATATTTCTCTTTCTTATCATTATCAACAGAGAATCCTGGGAATCTTCTGTTATTATGTGGGATGTGAATACCACCATCAGCTGCTCCCTTTAATGCAGCAAATACTCTATTTCCAAGAGTAGATCTGACCAATCCAATATCAAGTACTGCAAAGAATGGTCTTCTTTCTGGGTTTTCCTTATCAGCAACATCATATAAGTTTCCATCTATGGTTTTGTTGCCTTCATAGAATTTATCCATCTTCAATGTCTTAAGTGTTCTTCTGGCTAATAATAATCCTGTGGCATAGGCAGCAGCATAATTGGTCAAACCACTTGTTAAACCAAATCTCTTTAATTCAGTAGATTCGGCAGCAGCCACAACCTTGTCTCCCTTTAAAGTGGCATAGATCACTTAGCAAATGATCTTTGTGTTTGTGTGTCTAACTACAAATCTGTATTTTGGTGAATTATATTTATCCTTGTCTTATACGATCATTCTGCTTCTTGCATAATAATCAGTCTTTCCTTCTCTTCGTCTTCTGAATTGAGTTTAGAATCTTTTGAAGTATGGTTTTCCTTTAACAAGCTTAACAAATGCCATTAATTATTAAAAAGATTTGAATTTTCACAAATTATACATAAATACTTATATATATATATATAAATTATCATATATTTTCTTCGAGCTATTATTATTCAGAATTAAATGCTATATTCTTAATTTTACAAGATCGTTATATAAATGTTTAATTATTAAATAACTACAATATTATCACCATAAAGAATTCAAAATAAATAAATCTCTCTTAAAATATTTCCTAACCTCATGAAGTTTTAGAGGTTTCTAATTATTTAGACAAGAAATTTCAATTTATATATAGCTTATTACTTGTTTTAATGTAAAAATTAATGAGTCTTTTACATTTTATTGTTATTTGAACTGGTTTGAAAAAGCAAGACTTCATTAAGATTAATTAATTAATAAAAATTCTAAATCTAAATGATCAATCAATACTTTAAACAAGCTAAATAACCTGAAATCTCATTAAAACCTCTTAGAAATGTTAGACCTTCTGGATTTCTTAATTCTTTTGATCTTCTACCTTAAAACTATTATACTCCACTTAAAATTTCAGGAAATAAATTTACTAAATAAAATTACAACCTTTAACAAAAGCCTGCTTCTTTAGATCCTATCTATGAATAGGGCTTACCTAAAATTGAAGAGAAACATAACCCATTTTAAAACAATCAAAATAGAACCTCATAACAATCTTCAGTGTATACTTAAGTACTAGTAATGAATTCTGATTTAAACAGAAGAATTAAAACTGAAATAGATGAATAAAATGAAAAGATTAATAAGTTACTCAAATATAGAGATAAAAGAGTTTAAATAGTCCCAGTTTTAGATCTCATTAATTAAGGGAATAAAATGGAACATATAACTTTAGAGTAAAATGAACAGATGCCCAAAAGAAAAATTAAGAGATAATTAACAAATGGAAGGCTTTTAAAATTGGATCCCTGAAAATATTTTTATATCAGTTTGTGATTTTATATTAATTAGAAAATATCTAATAACACTTTAATTATCATAAAATTCATAAACATTTAAAATTAAACTTCAATTTATTTTAGATGACTATAAATATCTTTTTATTAAAGACATTGATATTTATTTTCAATTTATTCTTAGTATAAGAACTAAGTAACTAATTATAGTAATATTATATAATTTTTGATACTTATTTTATAAATGAGTTAAATTATGATCATGAAATTTTACTTTATTTAATTGATGATTTTACCAAAATTAATTTTTGATAAAATCATCCTTTTTTANGTTTAATTATTAAATAACTACAATATTATCACCATAAAGAATTCAAAATAAATAAATCTCTCTTAAAATATTTCCTAACCTCATGAAGTTTTAGAGGTTTCTAATTATTTAGACAAGAAATTTCAATTTATATATAGCTTATTACTTGTTTTAATGTAAAAATTAATGAGTCTTTTACATTTTATTGTTATTTGAACTGGTTTGAAAAAGCAAGACTTCATTAAGATTAATTAATTAATAAAAATTCTAAATCTAAATGATCAATCAATACTTTAAACAAGCTAAATAACCTGAAATCTCATTAAAACCTCTTAGAAATGTTAGACCTTCTGGATTTCTTAATTCTTTTGATCTTCTACCTTAAAACTATTATACTCCACTTAAAATTTCAGGAAATAAATTTACTAAATAAAATTACAACCTTTAACAAAAGCCTGCTTCTTTAGATCCTATCTATGAATAGGGCTTACCTAAAATTGAAGAGAAACATAACCCATTTTAAAACAATCAAAATAGAACCTCATAACAATCTTCAGTGTATACTTAAGTACTAGTAATGAATTCTGATTTAAACAGAAGAATTAAAACTGAAATAGATGAATAAAATGAAAAGATTAATAAGTTACTCAAATATAGAGATAAAAGAGTTTAAATAGTCCCAGTTTTAGATCTCATTAATTAAGGGAATAAAATGGAACATATAACTTTAGAGTAAAATGAACAGATGCCCAAAAGAAAAATTAAGAGATAATTAACAAATGGAAGGCTTTTAAAATTGGATCCCTGAAAATATTTTTATATCAGTTTGTGATTTTATATTAATTAGAAAATATCTAATAACACTTTAATTATCATAAAATTCATAAACATTTAAAATTAAACTTCAATTTATTTTAGATGACTATAAATATCTTTTTATTAAAGACATTGATATTTATTTTCAATTTATTCTTAGTATAAGAACTAAGTAACTAATTATAGTAATATTATATAATTTTTGATACTTATTTTATAAATGAGTTAAATTATGATCATGAAATTTTACTTTATTTAATTGATGATTTTACCAAAATTAATTTTTGATAAAATCATCCTTTTTTATAGGGAAAATGTTATTTATTGTTATCAGGAAATTTCTACTGTAGTAAAATAATAATTTCTATCTATTTTAGTATTCCTCTTATACATCGTAAATAAATGTCTTAAATCTCATTCTTAATTTGATATTTCATTGTAAAATAGAATATCTATTTCATTATGTTATAATCAACAAATACTAAAATTAATTTAAAACGGGTTTAATATATAAATCTGTTTAATTAATCATTTACTAAATTTATGGTCAATATGCAATAAACCTAATTTATTGAACATAAGTTCTAAATTGTCTTAATGATTTGATTTATTTTTTGTTTTCTCATTTTTCTTATTATTAATTCAAATTAATTTTTTTTCAGTTAATAAGTGTTCATGATTAGAGTGGATAACGATGTGACTCCAAATTTTTAACCTTAAAAAAGCATTTTGAAATAGATGGAGGAGACTATGATGGTATTATAAAGGCCAAAACCTCTTCATGCTCCTATCATTTAACAAGAAGAGTTTTCATAATAATCAATGTTACTTAAAGAAATTGATTTTTTTTGTCAAAAACTCACTACTGTAAAAAAAACAAAACCTAAAGTTGAAGATGTGTCAACAAAATAATTTACATGTTCAACACCAGAAATTTAATAGTTAAAAATGTTAGTTGAACCAGATGAAATGGATGAGCAATAACATTAAGTTAAGTTTGCAGATTATGAATAATAAGAATTAGAAAAGGTACGTACAATTCCAAATGAAACAACATTTTAAAAACGAACAGGTATTGTAAAGCAAAAAATATAACCAAAATTAACAATAAAAAAATTAGAATTTGAATTAGAAAATCCACTTTCTTGGATTCCAGTCAAAATTGAAAAAAAATTAGAGTAAGAATTAAAATTGAATCTAAATCTATGTATTTATTGGCCAGAAGAAGAATTAGCTAATTTACAAACAGAAAATATAAATATTTTATCCTTAATTGAAAGTATGAAGTATATCAATTATTTCAATCATTCAATCAAATAAAAGAATAATAATAATTTCCAAGATTTCACTATTCTTAATATCTAATTCTTATAGAAATTAAAAATATACAGTATAATATTATGTTTAAATTACATATATCCTATTAGAGAACTCTGCATAAGAGCTAATGATATAAAAAAAGAATTATTAAGTGATTCACTTTATGAAAGAAAGAAAAATATGTTATTATTGGAATAAAAACGAATTCTTAAAAAAATCTTTTTAAGATATATGCTCTTGAGAGTTAAATATAAAGGTGCAATAAATAAAATGCTTAATGATGTAATTTAGATAAGACAAAAAATTAAATAAAAACAATTCTTTTAAAAACTATATTAATACTCTTAAAGGAACAAATAAAAAAATGAATTCTATGAGTTAGTTCATGATCATATGAGGGTAAGATCTTTGAATACTATTTTTTAAAATTGGAGAATGTTTCATTAATGTTTAGTTAGATAAAAATAAATGACAGAATGCATTAAAAAAATAATTATAAAATAATCTTTATAATAATGGAAAGAAATTACTAAAAGTATTATTTAATAAGAACAAATACAAAAATAAATATAAATGGAATAAAGATAAAAAGAATAGGCTATAGAATATATAAATGAAGAGAGTGATGAGGATGATAATAAAGTACTTTCTTAATTTTTAACTGATGAAAAACCAAGAAATATGTATGAAGGACCTAATTGTTTAAATGACTTATATACATTTTATGAAAGAGAAGTTTAAGCAAAAAAAATCAAAGTCATAATATTTGAACTCAAAGAGGATTTAAAATTATGTCCCAATTTAATGTAAAAAGTGTTCATAAAATGGAAAATAGCATTTTTGTAAAGACATAGACATAAAGAATTTATCGAAATAATGAAATTAAAAAAAATATAGAAAATATTTTAGTTTTGGAAAAATGATAAAGAATATCACTCATTTTATAAAAGTTTATTGAAAAGGAAAGGTTTAGAAGGATTCAGATATAATTAATTAACTATTAAATAATAGAAATTATAAGATTAATTAAAGATAATTACTTTAAAATAGTAAAGATAATAAATAGAAGAAATGGCAAAAGAAGTTTACAATAATAATATTAAAAAAAAAGCATTTTTAGCATGGAAATATATAAAAAAAAATGATAATATATAAGCATTATGGTAATCACTTTCAGATTAAAAATTAAAGCAAGATTTTTAGATAGTTTAACTCAAATATGATATAATTTAAAAGAAAAGAAAAATTAAGTATTTTAAAAAATGGGTTGTAAATTTTATTAAAAGTCGAAGATCGATAAAAAATCTATAATAATGTGAGGTGACTGCAAAAGAGAAAGCAATTGAAAGTTTAATAAGAATTGCATTTGATACATCTATGAAAACTTAGTTTAAATGGTTAGAATACTATAAAGATAATTGATTTATAATTTTATTTTTTAACAAAATTTTGTAGATAAAAGATAACTTTAAATAATATGATTTATATATAACAAATAATATTTGAATTTTCATTAATTTAGTTGATACTATTCTAAACCTGCTAATATTTGTAAACGTTCTTTATCATTAAGTTCATCTGCAATTCTTTTTTTAAATCTCATTATAGATTTTTCAACTGAATATTCCATCATTTTTTCTTTCAATAGATTTTTTGATGAATGTCCATCCTTCTTTTAAGTTTTTATTTAAATCTCTTCATTAATTGATTACTATAAATATAAATAATAAATATTTACATTTCTTGAAAATGATACTTCTTCAATATCTTTAATAATTTTTTATTCTTCATCATTATCCTTTTAATTAAGTTCAATAACTCTCATAGCTATCTCTTAAGTTTATTTTCTTTTCTCTGGATTGTAGAGATCTCTTTCATCTCTTGTACTTAAATCTTATGCTTAAAATTCTTTAGATATGACTTTTCTTCTCAATTCTAAATTTTTGTCATCTTTCATATGTAAATAAATGAGTTTGCATCTATCAACATATAAAGGTTCTAATTTATTTTTATATTAGGTATTAAATTTTATATGAATATAAACTTCTATATCTAATGCCAAATTCTTTATATATTGAAATAAGGCTGTTTCAGAATTATTGATAATCTCTTTTTCTAATTATGTAATAGATTTTGAATCTCTTTAATACATATCTTTTAATTCTTCAATACCATAAAAAATAACTGAAAAGAATTTTTCTCTAACTTCTTATCTTTTCTTTTCAAAACTTGTAGCATTAGATTCCATTTATCTATATCTCTCAACCCAACTTTTCATTTTTTCAACTGCTTAAGTTGATATATTTTTAAATGGTTGAGATTATTGTTTTTATTATTCAGGAGGATTGGGTTATGCAATAGTAATTTCATGTGATTTATTTTTATTTCTAGAATTTCCATTATTATTTGAATCTTATTTTACAATTTATACTTTAGATTGTATTGGGCCATCTTTAGTTTTTATCTTTTTAACAATTTTCTCTAAATCAATTCTTCTTTCATTTCTATCTAATTATTCTTCTTCTTCTTCCTCTTCAATTTAAATTGCTCTTTATTAATCATGATTTTTTTATTAATTTGATTAAATAACAACTGTAAATGGTCTTGTCTATAATGCATCTTTAATACGATCTGTTATTTATAGATTAGATAGAACTTCTCTACATGAATCACAATTAGCATTTCCTTAATCAAATTGTTTCATTAAACATTCAGCATGATATGGTTTTTCACATGAAGGACAAAGCACAAGAATCTAATCTGGATTTACATATTGACCACAAAAACACTATTTCAATAAAGGCATCAAATCTTTGGATATAAATTATTGTCTCATCACATATCCTTTCTTTTCTGTCATTTGAACATACTCAGGGAGCTTACTTAATTGTACTTTCTCAATAATATCAGTCATTTTCCCTTTCTTTAATTAATCTGTCTTAAAAACTTCATACAATCCATGATGTGGTTGCTTACCTAATAAAATTAATCAAAAAGAAAAATACAATAATAAGGATTATTGGAAAATGGGTGTTGTATAATATTTATATACATAAAATATACAATAAATAAACCAACCTGTTGGTAATTCTTCACTTAATATATATTCGAAATATTCGAACCAATCCTCTTCGCGACTGAAATTCTCTATCTTCCCTATACCAAAGGTAGTACCTTTTCTGAATTTAACAAAATCAGAAAAATTATAGTGTTCACTCATTAAATTATTATTATTAATGACTTCATAATTAGAATGTGTTTGATTTGAAAACAAATAATTGTGTGATAATTTATAAATCCTCATAATTAATATAATCATTTTCCAGCTTATTTTATGGCTTCCTAATAACTAAGATTGTTAACTCTCTCTCCTTTATATCGACTATAGAATATTTACTCAAGAATACCTCTGGCTTTGATTATCTTGAGTACTTAAGTATTTGTTAAATTTGATAATGTATAAGAAAGAGCTTTTTGAAATAGACTTAAATATAAATTACAAATACTAATTTATCTTTAGTACTTTAATAATATTAATCACAATAAGTTTCCTTTATTTCACTTGTATATCTTAGATCTGCAGGTAAATTAAATCTAGATTCATTGATCACTCAACTTGTAATATGATAAAAGAGTAATTTTTCCAAAGGTTTTCCAAAATGATTTTCAGACTATATACTTGGTATAAAGCCAGCATAATCTACAAATAGTTATTAAATGTAAAAATTGGAATGTTATTTCTATTGCCTTAAATTTATAATAAATCTGCATTAAAATTCTATGTAGGCATAAAGATAAATTATAGAAGTCTCATACCCTGTATATCTTGGAATGGCATTAGCTCTTTTTTCTACTTAAAACATTTTTAAGAAAATATTTTATAATAAAATTATCGTTTAAATTAAAATGATTGGTACTATTAAGAATGACAGAATACAATTATAAATAATTTCAATACTTATTAAAAAAAGAAAAAGAATAAGTATTTATATGATAAAGTAATTTATGTAATTGATTAATTAAGAGATCTTTAAACATGAGTTAAATCAAAGATATAATTGTTTTTTTCTTTTTTTTAAAAACTAAATGTTAGTGTTATATGATGAAGGATGCTAAGAATTTATCATACCATCTTAAGATGTTACAAATTCTTCCTAATTTTAATTTTGTTCTACTTATATAAATGCTGTCATAGCCTTTTTTGGAAATCTAAATGCATTTTATTCTTATTAATTATTTTAAGGTTATTTGTCATCTTCTGAACTTAATTATAATGCTTATTAAACTATTTCCATTGGTAAAAATGTATTTTTCTTATCTATTTTTCTTGATTAATATTCACTATTGAGAGTATTACGTTTAAGAATTTTTGGAGATATTTTTGTAGGACTATTTTCATCAAATTTATTTATTATTCCTTTTTAAAGTAAAACAGTCTTTAATTTGGTCATTTTCCTCTTTAATTCACTAGATGCCAATTACTCTGTTTCTTTAATTGCTTTATCCAAGAAACCTTTTTTGGTTTAAGCTTAAAATATTAAATTTAATTTAAATTTTTCTAAACCTAATTTTTATTTTGGTTAATTATTAGCTTCAATAATTTATTATTCAGCTTTTTATTCTAATCCTTATAAATATGCCTTAGTTTTTGTATATTTATCTTCATAATCTCTCTTTTTTCTACGAGCATCTTCATGTAATTCTTCACCTATTTCTCTAAATTCCGAAAAAAATATTTTAAAGAAATGTGATTTTGATAATGCTAATAATTCCGATTACTTTTATGTAATAGCAGTATATTTCCTTTATGTTTCTTTAATTAATTCAATTTCTCCAAAATATTATCCTGCTTCTATAGTAACGAAAGGGTGATAATCACATTCTTTAATACACAAAGAAACACTTCCTTCTCTAATAAAATAAATCTCACTTGCATAATCTCCCTCATTGTATATTACATCTCCTTCAGGTATTCTTAGAATGGTTAATAATGGTCCAATATAAGCTGTAAATCTTAATGGTTTCTATTTAAAAAGATCAATTCCTAGAAATACATTCTTATACATTGCTTAAGATAATTCAGTTCTTAAATTTTATGGAAGTAAATGTAAAAATTCTACAACTTCATTTTAATTATTTTTATAACCTTATTTTAAGACTTTGCAAATTTTAGCATAAAGTGCATTATCAATTTTATGATTTTTTGTTATTTCATTAAGAGTATCAATTTTTTCTTTATATTTTAAGTTTTAAGTATCCAATTAAGTCAGTAAAGAACTCACAGAACCAATAGTGACAGAGAAAAATACAACACCTATTATCATTATAAATATTGCAATCATTTACTCTGTACTATTTGTTGCTGATATGTCACCATAACCAGTTGTAGCCATAGTTTAAAATACCCAATAGAGACTCATAATATATCTTTCAACATTTGTTTAATCTCCTATATAATGTGTTATCCAAGTTTCTGATTCTGATGAAATAGTTCCTATAAAATACCAAAAACAAGAAAATAGATGACTTACAAGGATTACTGAAAATAATGAAATTATCATCACTCTTATATTTTACTATATTATATAATAATTATTACTGTAATATTAGAAAATGATGTTATCAACTCTCCAAATTTTTTCTTTTACACACAAAATTTTAACATTCTAGACATCTTTACTAATTTAATCATTTTATAAGCCTTTGGAAGCTTAGCAAATTTCTAATATCCTGAAGTATCATTATTATCAAGTATATAATCTAAAGGTATAACACAAATTATATCTAAAAGAAACCAGCTTTTTAAATAATGTTTAATAATGGTTGTTCTATCAACAACCAGTTCATCTTAATCATCCACATATGCACTCATAAAATTGACGATTATATCTATCCCATAAAGAAGATCTATTGCTAACCCTAAACCAAATTATATTGTTGTTTCTTCTTGGTTATCATCCTTAAATGAGATATCATAAGGAACCATTATGCAAACATATAATAATGCCATTACTACTAAAATATCCCAACACAATTTTGTTGGATCATCTGGAAATATGATATATTTAAGATGAGCATATCTATATTTCAAATAATATTGACTACCTTTTATCAAATCTATATCTAGTTTCATCTCCTAATTCGTTCAGTTCAGTTTCTTCAAAAAATGAATCATCAGATAAGGAATCATTCTAATTTGAACCAATATTATCTCTTATTTCTTCTGGATATATACGATTTTTTTTAATTGATTATGGTAAACTATGTAAGCTACCAAATTCAAATATAAATACATACCTTTATAATCTACTAGGTCTTAAACCTCTGCTTCTAGGCTATGAGGAATGACTTATAAATGTGCCTTATTTTAGAATACTTCTAACTTAAGGGATGATTTCCTCTTAGAAATCTTATGGAGTTTTACTGGAACGTCCATTACCACTAACTAAAGCTTGACTTCCACTTTTATTTGTTATATTTTTCACTGTTTTTTAATCTGATGGACTAGAACTACCAGGTCTCTACTTTATCCACTAATTCCCAACACTCTCCCTATCTCTATCCCTATCAGAATCTAAACTTAATCGTAAACGTTGTTTTTGAGGTTGTTATTATTCTTCTTCAATTTCTTAAATTAGTTATAATTGTTCTGGGTTCTTCAATTTATTTATTAATATTCTACCATGATATGCAATGATTAATTACTTGACAACTAAGGGTTTGGTTCGTGATTGTAAGGAGTCTGACTCTAAGTGTGTTAACTAACATGATCTTAGTTCATTAATTTAATTAAAATAAATGGCTGAAGACCTTAATCATTTTGCTAAATATCAAACCTTTTCTTCTTATTCAACAATATTTAACGAGTTTGATACTCCTTCTAAAACTTAGACTTTAAGAAGAAACCCATTAGAATATTATACAAAGAGAGGTTTGGATCCACCAAAAACAAGTTATGGTGATCCAGCAAAGATCCTTGATCATTAAGATCCTTAAAAATAGGATTAAACAAAAGAAACAACTTCTGTTGGATCAGTTCATCATTTTGCAAATGAAATTAATCGCTTATGTTTAGAAGTTGGCAAAATAATATTGAAACCTTAAGCAATCAAAGATTAACTAAATCATAAAAAGAAAAAATCCTAAGAATAATTCTAAAATCTTCCATCTAGTGATGTCTAAATTTAGTCACTTAGATAAATTAATTCATTTAATGATTTCAATTAATAAGTTCAATAACAGAACACCTAATAACCGATTCAACATTAATAATAAGATTTACCAGGTAGTGATTAATCAGTTAAAACTAATGGTTTAAAGCAAGACCTCAAATTAGTGTTAACACCATAAAATGAATAAATAGATTCGTTATAGTAATAAGTGTAAATTTCTTAATAAAGAGATGAACACTCATTTCATACTTAAAAGAAAACAGTTCAACAATTATATTAAAGAAATAATAAATCAGGTAATTTAATTTTACATAATTTCTATAGTATTGTCTGTTGAAGAATAATCAAAGAAAATGAAATTCAATTAAAAACCTTATGTAAGTTCTCTTACTGACTTAGCACAACATCAGGATGAGGAAATACAGAAGGCAATTAAAATTTTGTAAGGAGGATTTAAAAAACCTTGAAAATGAACATGTAATTATGTAACTTTTTTTAAAAATAAAATAAAAATTATAAAAAATAGATTAGATTTATAGAATTCATTACTTATATGCAAATTAAACTAATTCTTAAAATTTATCTTCTCTCAATTCTTAAAAAATTTATTATACATTCTCATAATTTTTGGCTAACAATAATTTAGATTTATATTTATTTAAAAATCCAACACACAAAATAACTAAAATTTCTAGACTATCATGTCCAATTATTTGATCATAAATAGTTAAAATATGAGGTGGATCCATATCTCCTACAAAACAATAAACCAATTAATGTATGATTAATTTTAATGTATCACAACCAATAACCTTTAAATGATGGAATAATTTAGGAGAATGTGTACTTATAATTTCTTCTATCTACATACACAGAGATAAAATTGAGTTATTTTCTGAAGAAATGGCATGCAAAAAGCAAAAATATCTACAAAAAAATTCTTTAAATAATGCATAGATTATATGTATTTTTGTTGAGAGATAACATAATGGTGCTACATATTTGGAAATATTTTTGAATGGAAAGAAACCTGTAATTGGTAATTAAAATTCTGTTTGTTCTTTCTTAATCCCATTTTATAATTGAATCTAAGGATTAATAAAAATTAAAATACTCTTATATTTTCTTTAATTGTTTTATCTCTAATAAAACATTTTAAACAAGTTAGAATTTATTCTTAAAATACAAAATAGAAAGTATCTTCTGAGATTTCATGTCCATCAATTTCTAATAATTCATCATAAAATAATTAATTTAAACATTCTTTTTAAAGTTTTGTAAAGTTTTATTATAAGATAGTTTCTTAATGATCAAATTCAAAATATTTTAAATATAATAGACATCTCTCTCCATTAGGTACAAATGTTTATGCTATTTTTTCTAATTCTATATCTAGATGTTCATTTTCTATTTACTTTCTAATTTTATTAATTTTTTCATCTTGTAATTCTTCTTATAATAATAAGTATTAATATTTGTCTAATATTTATTATGATGACTTTAATGGTATATTAATATTCAAAAGTTTATTTGATTAAAATTGTACATTTTAATAAAGAGCACTATGTTATTATTACTTAAAAGTTTATAAAAATGCTAATAAATTCTTTTCATCATAAATGTATAACTTTGAATCAGTATTAGTATCATCTTCTTCCTAATTTTTTGTTTTTTAATGAACTATGTCTAAATTTTTAAATAATAATTCTGTCCATTTTATTTTAGAGGTGTTCAGAAATTCAATTTAATCTTCCTTAAGAGTTTCTCTTTTCTTTGATTTTTTAAGTATATGAGATATCAATTTAATTAATTAATCCTCTATTTCACAACTTTAAGCAAATTTTTGAATATCATTTACTCCAATTTTCTGTTAATCATTAAACCCTTGTTTAATCTACATAGAGTATTAAATACTTTCTTTTTAATATCCCAGAATTATTTTGAAGACTTAAGTTTCATCAATATTTCTTAATTGTCTAACTATTACATTGAACAATTAATTTATAATACAAATTATTTTTAACTTGTAAACTTTTATAATTATTTACTTAATTCAATTCAAATGAATTTAAATTAATGATTTCATTAATGTAAAATTTGTATAAATCATAAATATCAAATTTCTTCTCCAGCTGATTATCTCATAGCTAATTATTCTCTCAAGGTTCTCAATTCCTTATTGACTAATCCAATAGTTTATGAAACAACATCTCTATCTGATGATCTGGCAGATCTAGCATCTTAGTAGTCTTAAACAGCCTCTTCACATGAGGTGAATCTATCATGTCTATCAGCTGAAACATTTTCAATTCTTTATTCAGTTGTATCGAGTGAAGCTTCAACTTAAGCAATGATATCATTCAAAGAAGCTAAATCAGAAATAGCGTTAGCAAGGGCTGAACCAGCAACATTCAAAGCAATGACGATGAAGTTTCTTGATTTCTTATAAGATTCAACTCTCTTATCTTCAGCAAATCTCAATAAAGATAATGAATCAGAAATTTTAGCCAATAATTCATCAGCTAAATCAATAATCTTTTAGACGGCACCAGCATCAGCTAATTATTCAACTTTTGAGGCAATTGTTGCGAAGGCTTTGAATAATTTGCTATATCCCTTTCTGTGTTAGAATTTAGCAGTCTTCTTGGCAGATGTAGTAAAATGCTTTTAGATCATGTTAGCAACATCCTTGGTGAATTTGTGTGGTTATTTTGTAGCTTTTCCTTTTTAAACGAAGGATTCATGTTCGATGTTATCAGCAAAAAGTCTTCTGGCTTCAGCAATGATTGCTGTTGCTTCTTAATGTTCTAAAACTTTCTCTTCAAAATCTTCATGTTCTTCAGCTCTTTAAGCATCAAGTTCACTCACGTCCTTTTAATATCCTTTTACTTCAGCTGACTTTTAAGCTACTAATCCTTCTAAGATTGATCTTTATGGATATAATTATCCTTCTAATCTTGCTTCAAGTTCAATCTTCTTTCTGTTAGATTCAGCCAAATCTTTATCGAAAGCAGAGATATCCTAAAATATAAACTAATGATCATACAACTGTGCAAGCACCTTAGTACTCTTAGTTTTTAGCATCATCTTCTTTTTATTCAGCTACGTATCTATCTTCTAAGTCTGTTAATGTTGAAACTAATCTATCTAATGGGTCTCCTGTTTAGAGTTCTAACCAGATGGTATCGAACAATGTTCTTCCGAATGGTGATTAGTCGATCTTTTTAATTGTATCAATAACATCAGCCTATGTTGATGAAACTAAGACAATAAGTGCTAAAGCTAAAATGATGGTCTTCATTAATAATAATATTAAAATATATCATCCAATATCTACATTTTGAATCAAAAATTTAGCAAATATATTCGTTTTTAAGAAAATGCTTCAATTTTTATGGCAATACTCAAATTTATTAAATTTGTATGAATTTCTAATATCACACATTAAATAATTAAAAACGATATTAAAAAAGTGAATTAACGAAAGGAAATTTATTCAGCAACTGACGCATTGTTTCAATTTAATTAATTATTTCAGAAAAATAATAAAAATAAAAATAAGAAAATCTCCATAAATTAAATATCAGGAAAATTATACACTCTCATTTACCACAAATTTATCTTAAATCAGATTTTTTGACTAAATTTCATCGATCTTATTTAATTATTTTAATTCATACTTCTTACATCTTATTCAAAGTATAAGTTAAATACTTTTCTATAGAATTCATATATTCAATAATATTTTTATTAAATATTCCTTGTTTTGATAATGAATTTGTTCTATTCAATAAATTTTGAAAGTCATAAAATTAATAAGTAAATATATAAGTAATAAAAATTGTGTTTAATTGACAGAAAATCATTTTGTTATGAATTTTTAATCTATTACTTAAATATAATATAGGAAAATATTTTTGAAAATTCTAATATACACATCATTAATATTATTAATCTAGAATTTTCTAATGTAATACTTACTTACACTTCTTTGTTTCCCTTTAATCCTAGGATAATAAGTGCCAGAAGAGAATGGAGTTTTAATATTAACTGATTAAAACTTTGAATATGTTTTGAAAAAATATGAATTTGTATTAGTGGATTTCTATGCTAATTGGTGTGGACATTGGTATTAATTATAAATAATATTTAGTCATGAATTAGCTCCAGTATTTGCTTCATGTGCAAGATAAGTCAGGAATCAAAATGTTTAATTTGCTAAAGTAATAAAGTCAATAATTTTAAGATCAATTGTCCTTTATATGAACATTTGTGTAGAAGATATTAAGTAACTGGATTCCCAACCTTAAAATTATTTGGTGATGGATAATTATTGATGGATTATCAAGGTGAAAGAAAAGAAAAAGCTATTGTTGATTGGATGAGAAAGAAAACAAGTAATCATAATATATATAAATATTTGTTTAGATAAAGGATCTGTTGAAGCTAAATCATTAGATTAATTAAAGAAGATCTCAGAATCTCCAAATTTAGTTATGGTATTCTATGGTGAATAGAAAGAATCTTATGAATTTATGTAATACTTGTAATTCTCACAGTAATCTTAATGTTTAATGTTTTTAGAAAGAATAAACATATTTAAGCTATGCACACTTTTAATTAAAACTATGCTAATGAAATGAGAGTTTAAGTACCAAGCATTGTAGTTTATAAACCATATGATGAAAGAAAGGCTGCAATTATTGATAATTTTGAGATTTCTTACATTGAATAATTCATTAAAAAACATTCCTATCCAGTTTTAATGAATTTTGATATTTAAGTAAGGATAAAAATGTTAAATTATTATTAGACAGCAAAAAGAATATTTAAAGGAGATTAACCAACACTTTTTTTACTATAAAATTCTTTAACAAATCAAGCAGAAAAGTAATTAAGATTAGCTTTATCTAAAATAAAAGATTAGGTTCTTATTTGCATAGCTAATACAAATAATAAATATGGATTAAGACTGATGTAATATTTTGGAATTTAGAATGGTATAAATGTATGTTTAATGTTTAGATTATCTACCTTAGATTGTGGCATTTAATCCAATTTCTGAGACTTTTAATTTATTGAGTGAAATTACAAAAGATGGAATCATTAATTTTACATAATAATTCCTAGGTCTCCAATAGAATTCATAAAAATAAGACTTATGATATATATAATTTATTATGTTTTTAATATGTGTTAATATAAAACGTTATCTTTATGATTAATTCTAAATATTTCTGAATTCAATTAAAATTATCCTCATTTTAAATAATATATATATATTTTGGATTCAATACTATATATAGATATGAAATCTATAAGTCCATTAGAATCATTTATTTGACAATATTTATTTCATTTACTTAATTTGAATTAGTAAATTAGGTATAAAAAGATTTAACTTACTTGTTTAGATTTAATAAATAAAATTCATTAATCATGGGTGCTTGCTAAGTCAAATCTAAACTAAAATCTGAATAAAAACAGAGACTAGAAAAAAGAAAGAAACTACTCTATAGCAAATCTATACTTAATGGCACAGTCAAGAACTATACTTTTGAGAGTTAACAGACAATAAAAACAGAACAAACATAATAGAAAGAATAAGTTAGCAGTATCTTAATCTCTACTCAAAACTTTAATAAAGTCTATACTATGTTAAATTAATATAAACCCATTTTAGGTATTTATTTTTTTAAAAAGTTATATAGTAGGAGAAGACAAAATCCTAACGATCTAACATAATATCAATGCTTAAGTGAGACATGCTAGATTTATAGAAAGATCACCAGAGAATGATTCTTGGATAGAAACTTTTTTAAAATAAAATTTAGTACCATTAATTTAATAAATATAGAATCATCCGAATATAATTAGAGTTTACGAATATTTTTCATCAGAAAAAGATTTCCATATTCTAATTCAAGAATAGATTTTAGGTATTTCTTTATGTGAATACATAAAACCAAGTGAATAAATTAAAGAATGTTTGGCTGCTTAGTTAATTGTATAAATATTATAGGCTATCTAATATTTACACTAAAATAACATAATACATGGAAGAATATCTTAAAATTCATTCTTTTTTGCTCAAGAAAACAACTTTACTAAATTAAAATTAGTCGATTATAAAGATATTTATTTAAGACCAGAACTTAATCTTAATTCAATAATATTTATTCCTCCTGAATTAATAACTTTTATTTAAGAGGAAAAGTTTTCAAAAGAAGGTGATATATGGGCTTGTGGAATCTTAGCTTATATTATTTTAAATAGTGCATCTCCTTATTCTAAATGTAAAACTATATAGAGTATGTAAAATCAAATAATGAGAGGAACTTTATTCTTTGAATCAACAAGCTTTGATAAAATATCAAGTGCAGGAAAAAACTTTATTAAAAAAATGTTAGCTAGATTATTAACACAACGTCCTACAATCTAATAAGCACTTAATGATCCATGGATTACTTAAAATGCAATACCAAAAAAAATTAATACCAAAGACACTATAAATAAACTTTCTTAATTTAAATAAGCTAATAAATTATAGTTTCATTTAATGATTCACATGATTAATGTATTTTTTAGTTAGACTTTCTCATAATTAATTAATACATTTAATGAATTTGATGTGAATAAGGATGGAAGAGTTAATATGGAAGAAATGATGGTAGCATACAAAGTTTTAGGGACTGGAGATGAAGCAAAAGATGAAGTCAAATAAATTTTTGAAAAACTAGACACTGATGGAAGTGGAGATATAGATTTTTATGAATTTGTCATAGCTGTGACTGATCGTTAAGCTCTATTCACAATTTAAAACTTATAATTGACTTTTTAAACTCTCAACATAAGTAGAAATGGAAGACTTACCGATTAGGAATTATCTTATGCTCTTTAAATTCCTATAGAAACAATCTAAGAATACCTTCCTAAAACACATATATCAAAAAATGGGAAAGTAAATAATTTAAAAATCTTTAGGTTACCTTAGATTTAAAATCATTTAAGGAGTTTATGTTGGAATTATTATGATATTAACCTTTTTTTATAAATTCAAATCTTTATAATTATACATCATATTTCTTATTAATCTCAAATTAAAATATCATCATTTATATAACCTAAATTTATAAATCAAATAATCTTTAAAATATAGATAGAATTCAAATAAAAATTAAACAGCATGATTGATAGAAAAGTAAAAAACAAAGAAAAATAATGTAAATACTATCAAAAAAAGATTTAATTTGCAGATAACAGGAATCTTAAAATATAATAATTATACAGTAATTTGGATTTCAAAATTAATGTATATATTTTACAAAGAATTTATTCAAGATTCAAAAGATAATAAAGTAAGAAATTTGATAACCTTAGATTCACTTGTAAATAAGCTAATTAGTAATCTTATAGAATCTATTAAATAATGAAGGTAATTAAGTTCACCAGCCTTTAAAATTCAGTTATTGTGGGTTATGTATAATTTGTAAAAAAATACTGTTAATCTCTAATAATTATGCATGCTAGAAATATTATTATTGATTGAAAATTGCAACAGTGGAAACATAATTTCTATTAATGGTTTATTATAGGTAGATACATTAATGTTTTCTAATGAATCAAAGAATGAAATATTGAAATTTATTGAGTCTTTTTACTTTAAAAATATCTTTCATAAAGAAGTGAAATTATTCTATTATTATATCTTGTAATTCTGTAAAAGAAAATAAGAGTTAAAATAATGAAATATTTTTGCAATATGTATCAAATTAATTTATCACAATATTTTATAGAGTCATTCTCAATTTTGATTTAATCAAGTTATTAAGATACTTATTCAAACCTATAATTTATTTGATTCTATTGATTTCGATAGACATAGTAATGGTTTTAAGAAAACTGCTTACTTATGATTATATATAAACAATGATCATACCATTTGGTACTAGTAATTTCAAAGAAAAATAGAGAAATAGTTGATTTTTCTAAGTGTTCGATTAGATAAGAGAAGTTAAAATTATTAATAATCTTTAAGATTATAATGGTGTATTATTTCAACTCTCAAAAATAATAATTTTTGCCATAGTTTATATTACCTTTCACACCAACTGAGACTAAAATATTTTATTTAATTAGTTCTAAGAATCTAATAGAACACTCTAGCCTGGACAAAATTATGGAGAGCTTATTGAAATGTTTAAAAAAGGTTGATTTTGATAAAAATGAATTTTTAAACTTTGTGAATTCATTATTGTGATTGTAATTGATTATTCAGTATTAGATTATTCAATATTTATATATAAGTGTAAAATACCTAGATAGATGATTTTTTTATTCATTAAATTACAATAGTTTAAAATTTAACTTTATTTCAATATCGAAATTCTAAATATAATATTGTAAGTATTTCTCTAAATGATATCTAATTGGTATTCATAGATTCTCTTTTCTGATATTAATTTATATAAAATAAATTCATATTTTTACTATTTGATATAACAAAGTCATTTTTAATAAAATTAATAAAATGAACCAAGATAAGATGACAGAAGAAAAAGAGAAAAAAAAAACTAAAAGATTTGATAAACGTAATCAACCTATTCTTAAAGGAGTGTCAGCAAAAGCTGTCACATTTAGAGATTAGATTGAAGGCATTCCAATATAAGATGTTTATATAGTTGAACGAATATAATACTAAGAATAGAAGAAAAAATGTTCTTGTTCCTGTGCTATTCAATGATGTAAATATTGATTATACTGAATAAATATTTTATTTTATTTATGATTTCATGAATAATATTTATTTTCTATTGGAACTTAAACTTTATGTTCTATATGATAATCTTCTCTATTCTGTTATTTTGACAATGCTTTTGGATCTAAAAGTATTATCTCATATTAATACCTAATTAGGAGACTTCATCACCCAAAGTATTTTATATCAATCTGATAGATTCCACTGGGAAACTATTATCAAGGACATGCCAATAATTTGGATCTCCTCTGAAAAATGTTAAATGACCCTCTTATTTTGTTTTTTCCTATATGAAAAAAGGTATAAAAATAAAATAAATACGCCAATATTTTTAACTACAGTGTGTAGATCAACTATTAATTATCTAAAGAGTGGATCATTTTCTTAAAGATTAAATCCAACTTTTTCATTTAAATTTGGATGATAATCATCATCTAAATTAGTATTATTCAAATCTTCTAGTGCATTTTCATTCACTTCTTCCCATTATTGTCTAACAAAGCTGGCCATAACTTCTCTAATGTTTTCTCCTTAGAAAAAGTCTTAGAGTGCATCTCCACCTCCAACTTAATTTGAATAGACTAATTTAATATAATGATATCTAACCTTTTTAAGATAAAGGTAATCCATATTTTTATTCATAGAGTTAAGTTGCAGTTTATACAGCTTCTGAATTGTTGACTTAATCTTTAGTTAATAATTTTAATCTGACTAATCTAATAGATTCTTAATTTATTATCAATTACTTTTCTGTTGGAGTTTCATTAAGAGGGTCAGTAAATGTTACTTTTGCTACTCTCTCAATTACAGGTTCATCATGTCTGACATAATATTTTGAATCACGATAAGGAGTTTTGAAATCATGTTCAACATGATTAATTTACTCAGATGCTGGTGCAGGATATCTGAAAATATTGTAACCCTAATATATTAATAAAATTTATTTACTGGAGTAAGTATTCTAAACCATTATACAGATGGATGGAATAGAGTATTATATGCTCTATTTAACATGTCTTAATATATAGATTTCATTCTTTTTATATTAAATAAAAATATTAATTAATTTTATGAATTAAGAACCTTTAGAAAACATCATTGATAGATTGTAATTACTAAAATAGATAACTTAATAGTTAAAGAGATAGACAGACAATTATAGACAGAATGAATCAAAGAAATTAATTATTTGAAAAAGCTAATTAAAATTATAAATCAAATCTATAAAGAGAATTAGAAACAATTAAATAAACAAAGTAAATTTATTCAAAAATATATTTTTAGTAAATAGGCAGAACAAAGAGATTAAGAGTTTAGACAATACATTATATAATTGTTCAAATCCTACGATGAAGGAAACTAACAAATGAAATTAACTATTCAATAAACTATACAAGAAAAAATTAATTATAACGATTATTTAATTAGAAATTATCCACTTGATAATTTGAAAGAAAAAAAGGAATTATAAGAGGAAAACATATTGCTCAGAAATCAAATGGAGGTTTATATTTATTATGTAGTTTAAGTCATTCATATAATAAGCAAATACTCTGGCAGCTTAATCCATTCCTTTAATTGAAGTTTAACATAAAGAATAGGATGATAATTTAATATTAGATAAGTACTTAGGATAATATTAAGAAACTAATATTTAATAGATATAATAAAATCAAATTTATAGTCCTTAAACTAATTAATAAATCATCACAAAATCAACAGTATAAGGATAAAATCAAATTAATTAAGTTAAAATATAAAACTAAACTACAAAAAAAATAGAAAAAGATTTTCTCTAAGAATTTATGGTACCTTTTGGAGGAAAGTAAGGATGAAAACGTTTTTTGATTATTTATTTTTTAAATTTGTTGATAACAATAAAAGAATTAAAAATAAAGTAGGTCTTAATCTATAGGGAATCGTAACATAAATTTAATTCAATTTGATAATTATTCAAGTGATTAATTTATTTTGATAATTATTAAAAAATGGATGAAGATGAATAGATAGACTAAACGATGGTAACTTTTGGTTCTATAATTGCCATATCTGATTTTGTTGATCAAACAGCATTCTTATTCTCAGATGGATTTTTGAAACCTTAAGTATTTTTAAAAAACTTTGTTCATAAAGAATAAAAAAAGTATTTAAGAATGATATAAAAGAAAAACATTTGATGGTTTAGATAATAACTCTTTTTACAAATGTTTATTTTAGGTTTTGCCTAGAGTTTCTGATACAGTTAAAACACGTGTTTTATAAGATTATAATGTAACCGATATTAAGAAAGAAGATAAGGATAGACAAGATGTATATCAAAAAAATTAAAAATATAGGATAAGATAAAAATGACTAATTAAAGAATGAATGAAGAACTTAGTTAATTAATGAATGAGTATAAACAAAATATAGATGCGATAGATAAATCCAGATGTTAAAAATTAACATACCATTAACCATTTTAATTATTACACATTGCAAGTGGTAAGTTTTTATCATGTCATGATAATGAAGCATAATTAGAAAATCAAAACTATCTAATTAAATTAGATGACTACTCAAGTGATTACACTGTATTTAAGATAGTACCTGCATATATGTATTAAAGTCATGGAGAATAAGATGTAAATGCAGGTGAAATGTGTGCTATTACTAGAGCTATGCCTATATCAAATAGATTTGCATATATTAATTGCTCATAAATGGAAATTTCAGAAATTAAAGGTAATGCTTCATTAAAATCTGAACATATTTAGAAGAAAGAAATAAATGCTAGTGTTGAATAGTCTCATTCTTGGAAAATAGTTTTATTTTAATAATATATATCGGAAAATTCCAGAAATCTAAGAGTTGGAGATTGTATTTGGTTGTATCATAGTGAAGCAGAGGCTACACTTTCTGTGAAAAAATATCAAGAAGCAGTTGATAAGACTAATTTCTCATTTTATCATCTATCTGAATGGCTTTCTATATAAAATTTATATGTGGCAATTACAATGTCTTAAACAGAGAGTGCTTAAGGATATTAAGGAAGTACAAATGGATTATGGTAAATTGAAGGGGAGGAGTTTCTTTAAGGAGGATTTGTCAAATATGAAGCTGGGTATAGACTTAAGAATGTTACAACTGGATATTATTTAAGTGTTACAGAAATTACAGGTGATAAGAATAGTAAATAGAATAACAAACAATAATATAAATATCGTTTAACTTAAGAATTGGATAAATCAACAATTTTTATTTTTGTTGATCTTAAAACTCAACCAAATTAAAAATATTTAAAGGGAGGAAGTTACACATATTTATAAAATAGATAAAGTAAAAATTGGATGGATTTTTAAAATGATAAGTAAAATCATGAATATATTCCAATTTTAAAACCATATTAAGAAAAAACTGAACATGCAGTATTTAAAATTCATATGGCTACTAGAAATGAAGTTTGGGAAATTTAATTTTTATAATCCTGTTTTAGAAGATTAGCTAAATTTGTTATTTAAATTCAAGATCCAAAATATCCAGGAATTAATAATTTTCCTTCTAAAAGAAAATGGTTTGGAGTATTTTAATAATTAAAAAGTTGTATTGCAGAATTAGAAAATTTTGTAAATAATAAATCTTATACTACATCTGCAGAATAATAATTTGGATCGATAAATTAATATAGATAGAAATTAATGAGAGAATAATTTTATATTGATATTCTTATTAAAATATTAGAAAGAATAATTACTAAAGGAGAATTAGAATTTTATTAGAAATTTGAAATTGATTAAGATTAAAGTGAAAAACAATCTAAAAATAATTTTGAAATTGTAAGTAATATTATTTTTGATGATAAATCTTTTATGATGAATGAATAAAAGACTGAAAATACATTAAAAACTGAATATTATAATTATGTTAAATCTAAAATTGAATTAATTGATTAAATCTACTAATTCTTAGGATCTGTATGTAAATTAAATAAAGAAAATCAAATATATACTTATGATTTGATACCATACTTTTAATTGCATACTAAATATTTACCTACAGCAATTGAAGCAGCTATTAATATTGTATCAAACAATAAATATTTATTATATAAATTAAGTGAAGATATTAAAATTGAATTTTATGAAAACAATGAAATTGATAACCAATAAATAAAAATACTTATTAATTTATACTAGTTTGATGATAAAGAAGAATAAATGGAAATAAAATAACATGAAAAAATCATAAAAAAACCTGTCCCCTTAATTGAATATTTCATTAATCTCTTATGGGATGATGAAGCAAAAAACAATTCATATTATTTAAAATTTTTAAGAAATGTTTGTAGTCATTAGGAATTTCCTATTTAAATTAATTAAGAAAATATCTACAAATTATATAAAAAGAATAATACAAAATAACCTAAATTAGGAGTTGAAACTAAAGCCGAAGAAAGTAAAAGTAATGATGGTACTGTTAGATTAACATCCAAAGCAGGATAATTAATCATACCTTAAGATTGTGATATAAGAGATATTAATAAAAGTTCAAGAGACAAATTTATGTATATAATTGAATAACTAACATTTTTTTCAGAAGTTACTTTAGGGAGAAATTATTCATGGAAAAATGAATTAGGTGCATAATTTGAAAAATCATTTTTATTTAGGAATATTTGGTTTAAACATCCTATAGATCCTAAATATATAGATTTATAGCCTGGATTTGCTAGATTAGCATTGAATTTATATATTGATTAAGAACCTTTAAGAATAAAGAAAGCACCAATTATGTGTTAATTATTTAGTGAGTGTGATAAACCTAGAGATTATATCCTTTTCAAGAGTTCAACTTAAGCAGGATAATCTAATGTTTAAGAATTGAATACATACAAAGATTTAGTGAATAATTTAATGAATTATGTAAATGAAAAGGGAGGAGAATTATATGAGATTATGTGTCCTCCAATTCATAATTAAGGTGGTGAGGAACGAGATTCTAAAAGAAATTAAAATTAAGTTGGTCCAGATATATTAAAAGATGAATTGATTTTAAATACAATGAGAATATTAGATAAAGTTATGAAATTGAATTTGATTTGGGTTTTAGATTATTCTTTAGGAGATTCATTACAACCAAATTTAAGACCATAAATTTTTATTTAATCAATGGTTAAATCTTGTTTAGATATATTTACTTATGAGAAGTATGAACTTAATTTGATTTAAGCTCATTGTTAAACAGAAAGACAAAGAGTTTAAAAAAAATTATAAGATAAATAAAGTTAACATAAACTTAGTGCACCAAATTTTATGAACCTTTTAAAAAAATAGAATAAAGAAGAAGATGACAATGAAGAATAGAGAGGAGAAAGTTAAATAACAAATGATCAAAATATATATTTAAATCCAGTTATGAAGGGATATTTAAAATTATAATCAGTAATATAAACTTAAAATTTTTTGGATCCAAAGTATATAGAAAATGAAATTTAATTAAAAATTAAAATATGTGATTTTCTAGAATATTTATTAGATCTAAGATAAGATTTCATGATGTAAAATTGTATTGTCTTTTTTAAAACATATATTTTATAAGGAGATCATATTGAAAATAATCCTATCGCTTATAGTTAATATTTGTAAAAAGAAAATAAGAAAAAATCAAAAAATCATAGAAAATAATATGAAGAATTAAGTTAAAGACAAAAAAATCTATTAATTATTTAAAGATTATTAAAAATTCATGCATTAGGATTATTACCTAATTTAGCATAAACAGGTATAAAAGAAATAGATGAACCATAAAAAGAAGAAATTAGTTTAACATCATTCACAAAAAACTTAATAAAAATTAATCATCAGGAAGAAAAGGCTAAAACTAGATTTTATAATTATATAAATAATCCTCAAATTCCAGAAATTTTAGATCTTGATTAATACTTAAGTTTGGCTTTAGAAGATAAAAACCCAAATGATTAGCCAGTAGCTAGTTTGTTACCAACATTTTTACATACATTTTATCATGTAAAAGATAAAGAACTAGAAAAGAGAGGTCTTTAATTGTTATTAAGATTATTTACTTAAAAAGAAGAATTCAAAAAAAATCTATAAAATATGTAAGTAATTTTTGATTCTGAAAAGACTATATTACATAAGTATATTACAATGAATTTAGAAAAGTTTTAAACATTAAATGAACGTCTTGATATATGGATATCCAGTTATATATTTGAGGATTAGATTACTAATGATTTTGAATAGGCATAAAAGTATTTAAAAAGTTTTTATCATGGATTGAAAAGTGATATCAAATTTGAAGATAATGAATTGATTTCGACATTAGATGTAATTGATTCTAAAAAATAATAACTTTATGCAAATTTAGGAGCACATATAGCAGTAATTAATTTACTTCCAAATGGTTTAAGATATATTCATGAATATATAATGGATGGAGAATTAGAAGAAGAAAAGAAAATTGTTATGATTGATTTTTTTAGATTAGCTTTTGATGTTCTCAAAAATTTTTGTTTTAATAATAATGAAAATTAAATTATACTCTTTGAGTATTTAAATTATTATCGTTATATGTAATATGATTTAGGCTAATTAGAATTAGTTTAAGCTATCTTTTAAAATAATAAAACATTATTAGTTCAAAAAGTAGATTAATAAATAATTGATATGATTTTATCATTAATTCTTAAAGAGGGTAGATAAAAGAGATTTTTAAAAGTGTTTGAATCATTAATGATTTATAATTCAAATTACATTTTTGATAATTAGATTTTAATATAAAATAGTCTATTACCAATAGAATTTGGAGAAAAAGACATGAAAATTTTATATTGTGATGGTTCAAGAAATACTGATTTGAAATTGTTTTTAGATGATCCAATATAAGAACCTGACTTAAAATTTGTTGATAAATTAAGAGAGATAGAATATAGAGATACATTCAGAGATGAACCATTCTATTATCATGCATAATTATTAGATATTCTCATTTAAACAACTTTAAATAATGTAGAAAAGAGAAAATTTAGTGCAGATACAAAGGAGGAAGATATTAAAAAGAATTTTAATATTAGTGTAAGTAAATTAAAGCGATTATTTACAGCAACATATCTACTTGAGATATTATGTTCTATTGATGCATTTGTGAAAATGCCAATTACAACAAAATCTCAAATTTAATATCTTGATAGTAATGATAAAATTAAAGGTGTTACTTTGATAAAATTATAAGTAATAGAATTTTTAAGATTGGTTCATATCTCATCTGAAAGAGGATAGATTTAACATTCTCAACTTTTTCATTGTAGATAATAAATAATTGATTTTATTACTTTTGAAATCAATCGACTTGATAAAATTACTGAATTAAATTTATTCACTTAAGATCTCAAAATTTATCACATTTATGGAATTTTCCCTTTTCTTTTGGCTTATTATGATAGATTTCTAAAGAATATTGAGAAATAGGATTTAAGAAAAGATTTATAAATAATTGAAAAATTCTTATAAGAATGGTTAAAGAAGGTTAAAAATCTTACATTTGAATAAAATATACTCTATCCAATTATTACAACTAATGAAGATGCTAAATTGTTAATAAGATGTTTATAAACATTTTGCAAGATTTTCTATGAAAAAACAGTAAATTAAAAAGAAGATCCTATATGGAATTAAGTGAAGATTAAATTAGATTCACTTTAAGAAGCTGATTAAGATTAAAGTAAAGATATTATATAAAATAATAATGTTAATACAAACAACTTAAACGAAATAGTTGGAGGATACCATTCAAGGAAGAGTAGTTTGATGTCAAAATAATTTAGTAATCCTGATGAGTAACTTATCCAAAATTCAAGTAAGAAATATTTACCTGAAAAAAAGAAAATAAGTGTATTTTCAGAGAAAGATGATGAATGTGATGAATTCTTAGAAGGTTATGATTCAATAAAATCAAAAAAAGTTGAAAATATATGGAAATTATTTTTAAAAGAATTATTAAATAAGGATCAATTTTTAAAGGAAGCTGAAAAAGAAAGAGAAACTATTGCCAATGCCATTTTAAATATATCTAGTTTATTAAAACCAGAATTTAGTAAGAATTTAACAAATAAACCTGATGTTAAAAGTATATCTAGGAAATTAATATCATATCTTTAATCAGCCTTTTCAGATCCTAATTGTAAGGGGTCTATCTAAACCTTATTACATATATTAAAAAAGATAATTGATACTGATTAAAACAGAAAAGTAGAAATGCAAAATCTATTTGATAAATTAGGAGCAACATAAATGGTTTTATTAGTCTTAAGTGAAAATAATTCAGATAAGAAATTAATGATGGTATTAATATTTATTATTAAAAATAGTCTTTTCTTTAATTTATTAATACTTTATTAGATGGAGGTAATGATCAAGTTTAAGGAACTATATACAGTTTTATGATGAGTTTTAGTTAATCTGAAAATATTTTCTAGAAAATCTATTTTATAATTAGAAAACAAATTGAAAATCTCGAAATTTTATCGAAATCAAAAGGTGAATCTGAAAATGAATCAGCTGGGTTGCTTTAAATAGATTATAATGAATTTTAAGAAGATTTAAGTTTAGTATTAGAAGTTCTAACATTTTTATAAAATGCTGTTGAAGGTCATTATCGAAAATTATAGAATTATTTTAGAGAATAAACAAATTCAAAAAATAACTATGATTTAACCAATGCTATAACTGATCTATTTAAAACATATTATTATGATGGTCGTATTTAAAAAAATTATGATAATATGTTAAAATGTTTAGATACTTTAAATGAATTAGTTTAAGGACCTTGTTAAGATAATTAAAAAGCAATTTCTGAATCTAAATTTTTAGATATAGCTGCTGATTTATTTTCTTAATAATATATTTTATCTCCACCAGAAGAAATTGAATAGATTGGAAAAAGAAAATCTCTTTTGGATTAACCATTATAAAGATGGTAAATATGTAGATTAATGAATAAAATCTTAAATTTAATTATGAGTTTATTAGAAGGAAGTGAAATAAACTAAAATAATCCTATTTTAAAAAGAATCATGAGAAATTTACCAATTAATTTATTAGAAAAACATTGTGTTAACGAATATAATAAATATGTTAAAATATATGGTGATAAATATGAAATAGAAGCTCTAGAACATCTTTCAATTGATCCATTTTAATTAAGAAAAATGAAAGAAAGTAAATATGATAGAATTAAAGATATATCTTAATAATTTCCTTACTTTGAAACTATTTTACAAAATGGATTTCTGTTATTCTTCTTAATGAGTTATTACATGGAATGTGATCCCTATATAGTAAGTCCAATAATCAAAATTACAAGAATGCATAAAAAAAAAATACTAAAAACATAAACTAGTAATGAAGTTTGGTAAATATTTAAGGATTCTTTTGTATATATGTTAATATAATTTACAATTGCTTTAATAAGGAATTTATTTGGGACTTTGAATTCTATGAAGAATTTAGCAACAGATTAGTTTAAAGTTAATTAAATATAACCAGATATGTCAGAAGAAGAAAAATAAAGAATCAAAGAAGAATAATATAGAAAAGATCTATAAATGGCTATCAATTTTTATTTAGAGAATAGTGCCCATATTGATGTTATGCATGATGATAATCTAGAAGTTGTATATTTCATTAAACTACCCTCAACAAATTATTTACCTAAAGAATAAAAGATCCTATTCCACGATTAAGTAGATAGAAGTACTACATAATCTAAAGTGTAAGGATTAATGAATATAGCTCCTACTTTGATTGAGGTTTGTAAACATGAAGAATATTTAAAGAGATTATTTGATAGATAAAAATATTTAGCTTTACTGACTGATTATGTTAAATTATGGAGAGAACTAGCCTTTTTTTTAACTTTATTTTTGAATCTATTTATACTCTTCAGTTTTGATGGAACAGTTGGTGATAGAGTTTAAGATTACATCTTTTTTAGTTAATACTAAGATTTTAATCCTGTTATTACTAAGACTATAATCTACATTATTGGTATTGTAATGACTGGTTTATCCTTATTTGTGGTCTCATTTTATTTATTAAAAAATGCTCCATTAATTTTAAAAAGAGCTTGGTTATAAAAAGGGTTATTTGATGATCAAGATCCAAATCCTCTATTTATTTTAATAGATATGTTTTACAAATTTATTCAAACTATTTTAAGTTTTTTATAAGAAGTAGAAGTAATGTATTATATTGCATATGGTTTATTTGCAATATTAGGAACTTTTTATCATCCTTTATTTTTCATATTTCATTTAACTGAAATTCTATTTAGATATCCAACACTTAAAAATATCATTTTATCAGTTTATCGTCCTAGAACTTAATTAATTTTAACATTTTTCTTACTATTTTTGTTAGTTTATGTATTTACTATATTTGCTTATTGGAGATTATCAAATGAGTTTGCAGGATATTGTGATACTCTATTATACTGTTTCATGATGAATATAGAATGGACATTTAGAGGTTCAATAGGAGATTATGTATAATAAGAACTAGGTGTAAATAATGTTGCAAGAGAATTAAGTGTTGGCAGATTCTTCTTTGATGAGGTTAGTAATATTATTTTGGGTGTTATAATGTTGAATATTGTTGCTGGTATTATTATTGATACATTCGGAAGTTTAAGAGAGGAGGAAGGGAATAAATTAAATGATATGGTTGATAATTGTTTTATATGTGGAAATCTAAAGTAATAATATTGTAATTATATTTTAGAGCTGATTTTGATAGATTATAATCAAAAAGCAATGGTGGTTTTAGAGAACATATAAAAATAAATCATTATATGTGGAATTATGTTTATTTCTTTGCTTATTTGAGATGGAAAGAGAAAACAGAATATTCTGGAATTGAAAGTTATGTTGATTAAAAATTGAAAGAGGAAGATCTATGTTGGGTTCCATTTAATTAAGCTAGAGAATTGATTGATTTAGATGGTATCAAAAATATTAGAGAGAAGGAATTAATATAAAAAATAGAAGAAAAAGTAATAATGATATTCATATATGTAGATTGTATTTGTATAAGAATAAATAATTGACATGGGAAAACTAATGAAAGTTGAATTAAAAAAAAATAATTGAACTTTATAATATTTGTATATTTTTTTAGACATGTCAATTTTATTTCAATTTATTTTTTTGTGATTAATTATCTTTCTTTTAACCACTTTATTTGATTGGTTCTGTTTCTACTTAATTTTGTTTAGTTTATTATTTTCTTTATTCAATTTGCTTTCTTGCTTTATCAGCATTTGGAAAGTTCTCTGGGTCTCTTATGATCATAATAACATAATAGGCTATAACAAATTATATAGACACAACAGCTGAGATACCAGCACTTACTTCTCCTAAGGATTCTCTTAATCCAAAAAACATTGAAAAAGGTATAATTAAGACTAGGATGAAAATAAAGCAAAATTGTTATGCCACTCTCTTATTATGAAGAGGAATGCCAAAACTATAAATAATCTTTATACATTAATTTACAAGTAATATGGAGGAGGCTCTTTGAAAACTTGATCATTTTTGTTATTCATTAAAAATTAATTAGTAATATTTAATCAAAGTGCTTATAGTTTAGGGAAAACCTTTCTTTTCATATATTGTAAACCATATTTAGAATTTGTAATCATATTTTTAAAGTTCTGTTTAAATTCTATAATTGAGGAATGAATCTTTAGTTCTTTTCTTAATATTCGTTCTCCCAGAGGTTTCATAAATCGAGTATTATTAACTGACTTTAATAGATCATTTCACAACTTACAGATTTTTATATCAATTCTGCCTCTGACATAATGCTCTTTATTGATAATCGACATTTAGCAATCGATGGTAGTTTGATATAACACTATCTTTCTGTTTAGGCAATTTCTTGATTAGATTATTACATTAATTTATATGAATTTTATCTTATTGATTTACTATTACTAAATTTAATTTATTTGGATAGTCAATCACTAATTTTTTATCATAATAGTGTGAATCTTATCAAAAATTCATATAAGTAAACAGTGAATATTAGTTATTATCAAAAACTCATAATTAAAATAAATTATTCTGAACTTAGTTATGTAACATAAGATCAGTGATAATTAATATTGATATCATTAATTAAGAGAACTTTTATCTTTTTGAATGGAAACATGATGACTCAAAAGCATGAAAACTCAATTAATAAGTCCATTAGAAAGAATATTGATTATTTATTAATTTATTATATGTCAAATCTAATTGCTTCTCCTTCAAAGAAGGCTTAATTTAAATTTAGCAAAGAGCGATTCCAATATAGAAGTCTCTATAAACAAGAGATGTAAATAGAGGAAGACTACGATCCAAATGCTAATTTAAAAGTAGCTCTAAGTAAAGAGGAATATTTCATTCAAAAAAGAGATGAAAATAGCTCAATTGATTTGCAATAACTACTATTAAGCAAAGTAAGTATACAAAATTAGATTAGGGGGTTGATTTTGATGATCCGACATAACATATAAGATAGCTTCCGTTACAAATACATGATGATGTTGGATTAGAGCAAGTGTTTGTGGATGACAGAATAGAGTTTGAGAATGTGTTATTTGATGAGTAACCTTATGAAATAACAGCTAAAATTGTTATTTGTAATGGAGATAGTGTTACAATTGAAAGGGGACAAGTGATTGGATACGATGAAGCAAAGAATAAGTTTAAATGTGTATTACCATCTTTGGGTAGAAGATTAATACCTAGAATCTATTTATGTTTTGATCATGAAAATCATTACAAATGGACAGATCGATTTGCTTATGCATGGTATTACAGGATTGTAGCTCATTCATTATTAAAAAAGAGTTCTTTCATTCAATGTATGCCAAGAGATCATCTACCAAATATGCCTAATGAATAAAAAAAGAAAATTGAAGATTTAATAAGAAAAAATAAAAAACTTGAATTTAGTGAAGTAAGTGCCTTGATGATGGATGCAGCTATTGATTATTAGTTATTAATGAATAGAATACTATTTGATTATCATCTAACAATTAATCCAACAGATCTTGTACCACATGGTTTAGTCTTACCTGAAATGCTACCCAAAAAAGAACCAAATTATTTTGGAATGTTAACATTAGAGGCCAAAAAAGGAGCTAAAGAAATTTATATGTGGACACCTCATGAAGTTTTTTTTAATGAACCCAAAAGTTTTACAGAGATATTCAAAGAATTCTTATTAAATAGTATTATGGCTAGTCCTGAATCTGTGAGATGCTTATAATTGATAACTGAAAAATGCAATCAATTATAAGAATTAGAATTTTTTTACATCTTTGGTTAAAGTTAATCTCCATTTAAATTAGATGAATTTAAATAAAATAATGATTCATAAATGGTTACAGCAATGAGTAAATTGAGGAAAGACTTTATGGAAGATGTTGAGAAAATTATCATTAAGTAATTTGGAGATAAGGAACTCTAAAATAAGGAGAAAGATAAAGAAAAAGAGAAGGAGAAGGAGAAAGAAAAGGAGAAAGAGAAAGAGAAAGAGAAAGAAAAAGAGAAGGATAAAGAGAAGGATAATAAAGAGAAGGAGGAGAAAGAAAAACCAAAAGATAAGGAAAAAGAAAAAGAAGTTGAGAAAGATAAATTTAAATACAACATAAACCAATATAAATGGTTCAATTTAAAAGAAACAGATAGAAACAATTATGATAAGGGAAGACTTAAAAAATTCTTTTCTTGTGTTAGATTGATGATATAAGATGCTATATTGAATTTATCCCAAAAATCATTTCATAATTATGATAAGTATATTAGAAGTTATATTCCTAATAATGTTATTATTAATGGGCCGGATGATGTAATTAACGAATTTGCAGATGGATTAGTTTTAAGTTCCAAAAATCCTGACAGTTTTTATGATCCGAGAGCTGTGAAACCTCTATTTACGATCGAATTACTTAAAGCAATAAATGAAGATAGTTTCTGTTATTCCACTATGATTCGTAATTATGCAACAACAATATTGATTATATTCAATAAGGCTTTAGAAGACTTAGCTAAGATACCTGATTTAGAACCTAAATTAATGAAGGAAATATTTAAAGGAACAAGATCAGAAATGTATTATAAGGTTCCTTAAAAATCTTAAATTACAAATGATCCATTCGGTAATTAAGATCCATATTTCTTTGATGAAAATATTTGGGTAAATAAATTATTTGATGAACTAAGTGAATATTTGGATAAATCATTTGTAGCATTAGATGAATATTTAAAATGTTTCTAAATATACAAAGAAATATTAATGATAAAACCAGAGGAATATATAAAGACAGTTGATAATGAAGAGAAACCAAAGGAAACAGAATTGATAAGAGATGAAGTATTTGAATTATAAAAAAAAGAAGAAAAATTGAAATTATAAATACCTGATTCTATTTAAGTAGGATGTTTCAAAGTGAATTGCAAAGAGATTAGTTAATTATTGACAGGAAAATATCAATAATTATACAAATTATTAATAGAAGTGATAGTTAAAAGAGCAAAATAATCAACATTGTCTTTGTATGATGAAGTTTAAAAAGTGAAATTGAGATTGAATGAACCTCCAGTTGATATTGAAAAATTAACAGATATCAAATAATATATGGTAAATCTGCCACTTGAATTGGAAAAGGTCAAGGAAGATATAGATAAATCATGTGAATTATATGATTTGTTGGAACCATTCAAAGTGAGATTTTAACCTGAAGACATTCAAAGAAGATGGTAAGTATATGGTGGACCAAAAGAAATATTGGAATTAGTAGAATTAAGATCGTAAGCATTAGAAAAAGAGAAGGGTATATTTTAAGATAAGATGAAATAAGAGTAAGATTTCTTTTTAGAATAAGTGAAATCATTATAAATAACAATCTCAACCTTTTATTCATATTAAAATATGGATGATCATGAGAGTGTAGCTTAAAGAGTTAGAGGAATAAATGAGTAGTTATAAAAGTTTTAAGAGAATGCAAGGTAATTCAATTCTAGAGAACTACTATTTGAAATGGAATAAACTGATTATAGTGTAATATAATAGATGGTTAAGGAGTTCAGACCATATTCAGATTTATGGTTGACTACTAATTAATGGTTTAAAAATATTGATCATTGGAAGAATGATGATTTTGAAAAGTTGGATGCAGATTATTGTGAAAAATTTATGGAAGAAGCTTACAAAACAACAGCATTAGTGAATAAGCATTTTAATGATAAGGATATTTAACCAGTATTGAAAATTGGTTAGAATATTCGTTCTTATTTGGAAGAGTTTAGACCAAAGGTTCCATTGATGGTTGCTTTAAGAAAGTAGGGTATGAAAGAAAGACATTGGGAATAAGTATCTTAAAAATTGGGATAAGAAGTTAAGCCTGCTCCTGGATTTACATTTACTAAGGCTATTGATATGGGATTGATGAAGATAGTTGAAGATTGTATGGAAATAGGAGAAAGAGCTTACAAGGAATATTAAATAGAAACAATGCTAAATTCTATGATGGCTTAATGGGAATAGATTAATTTTGATGTAGCAGGATATAAAAACATTTCTTTCATTATTCGAGGATTTGATGATATAGGAAATACTTTAGATGAGCATATCGTAAATACTTAAGCTATGCTCTTTTCACCTTTTAAAAAACCTTTTGAAGGACTTCTAAATGATTGGAATAGCACTTTGAAAAAGGTAAGTGATATTCTTGAAGTTTGGGCTAAAGTGTAAGTAAATTGGATGTATTTACAACCTATCTTTGATAGTTAAGATATTATAAAATAGTTACCATTAGAATCAAAGAGATTTAAGGCTGTTGATCAGAATTGGAAATTGATTATGATAAATTCGAAGAATACTTTGAATGTATTAAAAGTATGTTCAGCAGATGGATTATTAGAGAAATTGACAGAGGGTTATAATAGTTTGGAATAAATTCAAAAGGAATTAAATAATTATTTAGAGAGAAAAAGAGAAAGATTTGCTAGATTTTATTTCTTATCTAATGATGATTTATTGGAAATATTGTCATAGACTAAAGAACCAACTGCTGTACAACCACATTTAAGAAAAGTGTTTGAAAATGTTAATTAAATAGAATTTGATGGCACTAAGAAAATTCATGCAATGTTTTCAGCAGAAGGAGAAAAGATTAATTTTGTTAAAATCATTGATCCAAATCATAAGAATGTAGAAGATTGGATGAATGATGTTGAAGACTAAATGAAATAGAGTGTTAGGGCTGCTTTACTTAATTCTGTCCATTAATATTTAGAAACTCCAAGAATCAAATGGGTCACTATGCATCCAGGATAATGTGTTTTAAATGGATCATAAGTTCATTGGACAAAAGAAGTTGAAACTGCTATCAAAGGTTAAAAAGTTAAAGTATATTTGGAATAGTTACAAGGTTAATTAAATAACTTAGTTGATTTAGTAAGAACTAAATTAACAAAAATGTAAATGGTTACATTAAATGCCTTGATTGTTATTGATGTTCATGCTAAGGATGTTGTTGATTTATTGTAAAAAGAAAATGTTGAAGATGTTTCTGCATTTGAATGGATATCATAATTAAGATATTATTGGGAATAAGATAATTGTTATGTAAAATGTATTTAAACAAACTTTCCTTATGGTTATGAATATTTAGGAAATACTTTAAGATTGGTCATTACTCCATTAACTGATAAATGTTATATGACATTGATGGGAGCATTAAAATTAAATTTAGGTGGTGCACCAGCAGGACCTGCAGGTACTGGTAAAACTGAATCAACTAAGGATTTAGCTAAGGCTTTGGCTAAATAATGTGTTGTATTTAATTGTTCAGATTAAATGGATTATATTATGGTAGGTAAATTCTTTAAAGGGTTAGCAAGTGCAGGAGCATGGGCTTGCTTTGATGAATTTAATCGTATTAATATTGAAGTGTTATCAGTTATAGCATAATAATTATTAATTCTTTTTGGAAAGAAGGCTGAAGGTGCAGCTTCTGCAGATTTTGAAGGTAGTTCAATTCGTTTGGATCCAACCTTTTCTGTGTTTATTACTATGAATCCTGGTTATGCAGGTAGAACTGAATTACCAGATAATCTAAAAGCTCTTTTTAGACCAGTAGCTATGATGGTTCCTGATTATGCTTTAATTGGAGAAATTATGCTTTATTCTTTTGGATTTAAGAAAGGTAGAGAATTGGCTAAAAAGATGGTTTATACATTTAAATTGAGTTCAGAATAATTAAGTTCTTAAGATCATTATGATTATGGTATGAGAGCAGTAAGATCTGTTATTAATGCAGCAGGTCTATTGAAAGCAGCTGATCCAGATTAAGATGAAGATCGATTATTATTGAGAGCATTGATGGATGTGAATGTACCTAAATTCTTAAAGGATGATTTACCTCTATTTAGCAATATCATTAAGGATCTATTTCCAGGTATTGAAAAACCAGAGGTTGATATTGGAGAATTGTTAGTGTAAATTTAGGAAGCTTGCAAATCAATGAATTTATAATGCACTGAATCATTCTTGGTTAAGATTAATTAATTGTATGATACAATCCAAGTTAGACATGGATTAATGTTGGTAGGACCTACAGGTGGTGGTAAAACCAGTAATTATAATGTATTGGCTCGTTCCCTATCAGCTCTTTAAACTACTTTATATTATAAAGTACACACTCATATCTTAAATCCAAAGTCTATTACTATGGGACAATTATATGGTTAATTCAATGAATAAACTAGAGAATGGAATGATGGAATATTAGCTTATACAGTAAGAGAAGTTTGTAGAGATTAGACATCTGAAAGACATTGGATTATGTTTGACGGCCCTGTTGATGCTATTTGGATTGAATCAATGAATACAGTGTTGGATGACAATAAGAAATTATGTTTAAATTCTGGATAGATATTGACCTTGACTCCATATATGACTATGATGTTTGAAGTTGAAGATTTGGCTGTTGCTTCACCTGCAACAGTAAGTAGATGTGGTATGGTTTATATGGAGCCAGTGTCATTGGGTTTATAACCTCTTATTAAATCTTGGTTAAATACTTTACCTCCTCATTGTAGAGATAGACCTAAAATTGTAACACAATTAAGCATGTTATTCGAATAATATTTAGAGCCAACCTTAGAATTTATGAGAAGAAATTTAAAAGAAGTAGTTGGTACTTTTAATAATAATCTCACTTAATCATTATGTAGATTACTTAATTGTTATTTACATTAATATAAAGATACAGAAATAAAAAAAGTTCCTAAAGATGATATTGACAATCTCGAATAATAAATTGAACCAATATTTGCTTTTTGTTTGACATGGAGTTTGTGTTGTACTGTGGATTAAGAAGGAAGAGAAAAAATTAATACTTATATTAAGGAATAATTTAGTAAATCTAAAGCTAATTTTCCACATGAGGGATCTATTTTTGATTATCTCTTTAATGAACGTACCAAATAATGGTCACATTGGGATGATCAATTTAAATCTTATGAAGTTGATCCAAAATTATCATACTCTGAAATATTGATTCCTACTACTGATTCAACTAGAAATATGCATTTAATGAAAACACTCTTATCCAATATGTATCACTGTCTATTTCCAGGCCCTACAGGAACAGGTAAAACAGTAAATGCTATGAATTTATTAATCTAAAAGATGGGAGAAGATTATCAATATATGTCTTTATCATTTTCAGCATAGACAAGTGCCAATTAGACTTAGGATACAATTGATTCAAAATTAACAAAGAGAAGAAAAGGATATTATGGTCCTCCTCCTCCAAAAAAATGTATTATATTTGTTGATGATCTCAATATGCCTAAAAAAGAGGAATATGGAGCATAACCACCAATTGAATTATTGAGGTAATTTATGGATCATAAAGGTTGGTATAATAGAAAGGAATTATTCTTTATGAATTTGTAAGACATAATTTTATTGTCAGCTATGGGTCCTCCTGGAGGTGGAAGAAGTGCTATTACAAATAGATTGATGAGACATTATAACATAATTTCATATACAGAATTGGGTTAATAAACAATTAAATAAATATTTGGAACTCTTGTAAGTTCTTTTTTGAGAAGATTTAGTGAAGATATAAAAAATTAAATTGGTAATTTGGTAGACACAGTATTATAAGTTTATGAAAGAGTAAAAAGAGAACTCTTACCAACTCCTAAGAAGTCTCATTATACTTTTAACTTAAGAGATATAAATAAAGTATTTTAAGGAATTTGTTCAGCTTCTTAGAAATATTGTACAGATGCAAAATCTATTATATAATTATGGTTCCATGAGAACATGAGAGTTTTTCATGATAGATTGATTAATACAGAAGATAGAGAATATTTAATATCTATTTTGGAGGAATTATTTGCTCGTTTTGGTTAAGAGAAAGCAAATATTCTAAGTTTGGATCGTATTATATTTGCAGATTTCTAATAAGGTAGGGATGTAGAACCTAGACATTACTTTTTGGTTAATGATTTAAAGAAGTTATCAAATTAGATGTATGAATTCTAATAAGAGTACAATGCAGATCCTTCATTTGCTGGATTAGGTGGTAAGAAATCAATGAAGTTGGTGTTATTCTTAGATGCTTGTGAACATATATGTCGTATAAGCAGAGTACTAAGATAACCTTAAGGAAATGCACTATTATTGGGAGTTGGAGGTAGTGGTAGATAATCTTTAGCAAAGATGGCCACATTTATTTCATATTATAGATTGTTTTAGATTGAAGTGATTAAGACATATAATATGAGATCATGGAGAGAGGATGTAAAGAAAGTATTAATGATGGCAGGAGTAGAGAATAGAGGAGTATCATTTATTTTTGTGGATACTTAAATCATTAATGAATAGATGTTGGAGGATTTGAATTCAATATTGAATTCAGGTGATGTTACAAATCTCTATTAAGAAAAAGATATGGAAGAAATTATTACATCATGTAAAGGAGAATGTTTGAAGAGAAACTTATAACCAACACCTAATAATATATTTGCTTAATATTTAGCAAGAGTTAAGAATAACATTCATTTAATATTAGCAATGTCTCCATTAAGTGATAAATTCCAAACACGTTTACGTATGTTCCCTTCTCTTGTTAATTGTTGTACTATAGATTGGTTTACTGAATGGCCTGAAGAAGCTTTAGTGGGTGTAGGAAGAGGATAGTTAACTGAATATTCAACTGAGTTTGGTTTTAGTGATTAATTAGAAATGATTGTTGAGATGTGTAAGATTATGCATAAATCAGTGGAATAAGTTTCAATTTAATATTAATAGTAATTACGTCGTTATAATTATGTTACTCCAACAAGTTTCTTAGAATTAATCACTATGTTTAAGACAGTAAATAATGAAAAGAAAAATGAACTTAAATTTTAAATTAATCGTCTTAAAAGTGGTTTAGATAAACTTATTGCTGCAAATGAGGCAGTATCTGAAATGTAAATTTAACTTAAAGATATGTAACCTAAATTAGAGGAAGCAGCTATAGAAACTGAAAAAGTCATGGCAAGATTGGAAGTAGATAAAAAAGAAGCAGATGAGACTTAAAAGATTGTATCAGTTGAAGAAGCAGAGGCTCAAATAGAAACTAAAAAAGCTAATGAAATTAAGAGAGAAGCAGAAGAGTCAGTGGCTGAGGCTAATCGAATTTTGGAAACAACTTTGATTGAAGTATAAAAATTGAAAAAAGAACATTTAGTTGAAGTTAAATCATTACCAAATCCACCTAGAGCTGCTATTATTACTCTTGGAGGTTGTGTCATTTTATTATAGGATTTCATTAAAGAATAAGGTGGAGAAATATAAATGATGAAGGATGAAACAGGTATGAAGAAAATTGAAGATTATTTCACCACAGCCAAGAAGTATTTACTTAATGATACTAAAACACTCTTAGATTAATTATTAGATTATAAGAGAGATAATATTAATTAAGCTTACATTAGAAAATTAGAATAAAAAATTATTGGTGATCCTGATTTCAAATTAGAAAGAGCTAATACTTGCAGTTTAGCCATCAAATATATGTACAGTTGGTGTCAAGCCATGTATGATTACAATAAAATCTTCTTGAATACTCAACCATTAAGAGATAAATTAGCATAAGCTCAATAGATTGTAGATTAAAAGTAAGCTTTACTTAAAGTGAAAAAGGAATAATTAGATGCAGTAAATTCTAAAATCAAAAGATTACAAGAAGAATTTGATGAAAAAGTTAAACTCAAAGAAGATTTATCAAAAAAGATCTAAGAATGTGAAATTAAATTAGTTAGAGCTTAAAAATTAACAAGTGGATTATCTGATGAAAAAACTAGATGGACAGCTGATGTTGATAAATTACAATTATAGGAACCTCTAATACCAGGTAATTCTTTGTTGTCAGCTGCTATGCTTGCTTATGCAGGACCATTTGTCTCTAGTTATAGATAAGGATTGGAAAATAAGTGGAGAAAGAATCTAATTGAATTATAAATCAAACACACTGAAAATATATCAATGGTACAATTTTTGGGAGTGCCTGTTAAAATATAATCATGGAACATTGCAGGATTACCTAAGGATGATACATCTATAGAAAATGGTATCATTATTGATAAAAGCAGAAGATATCCTTTGATGATAGATCCTTAAAATTAGGCAAATAAGTTTATTAAAAATATGGGTAAGGAACATGCTGAAGGTATTGAAGTATTGAAGGTTAATGACCCAAATCTTATGAGAACTCTTGAATTGGCTGTATAATTCGGTAAATAGGTTCTAATTGAAAATGTAGGAAAGGATTTAGATCCTTCCTTTGATCCTATTCTTCTATAACAAATTGTTAAAAGTGGTTCATCTCTTACAATTACTTTGGGTGAAAAAACATTATCATTTAATGATAAATTTAAATTCTTTCTTACTACTACGATACCCAATCCTCATTATCCTCCTGAGACATTTGTTAAGGTAACAATTATTAATTTTGCTATCACTCCAAGTGGATTAGAAGATCAAATGTTAGCATTAATTGTAGCTCTTGAAAATCCTTAATTAGAAGCTAATAAAGTTTAAATAGTGAGAAAGAATGCTGAAGATAAGAAATAATTATTATTAATAGAAGATGACATTCTTAAATCTCTTTCTGAAGGTGCTAATGATATCAATGAAGTATTAATGGATGAGACACTTATTAATAAATTATAAAACAGTAAGAAATTCGCAGCAGAAATCAATTAAAGAGTGGCTGATTCAAAAATAACAGAAGAACAAATAGATTAAGCAAGAGAGGGTTATAGACCAGTTGCATTTAGAGCATCATAATTGTTCTTCTGTATTGTAGATTTATCAGGAATTGACCCAATGTATTAATACTCATTATAATGGTTTATGAATTTATTCTCTATGGGAGTTGAGAATGCTCCAGCAGCAAAAGAACATGAAGTAAGATTGACAAATCTAAATGACTATTTCACTTTCAGTTTATATGAAAATGTGTGTAGATCACTTTTTGAGAAACATAAATTACTTTTCTCTTTGATGTTAACTATAAAGATTCTTTAAGGGTACAAGTAATTAAATGAAGAGGAATGGAGATACTTATTAACAGGACCAATGGGTGATATCAAAATAAAACAGAATCCAACTAAATGGATAGCTGAAAACACATGGCCAGATATGTATAGATAAATTTATGGAATGTCATAATTATCAGCTTTTAAGGGATTTGAAGAATTTTGGATAACTAATGCTGAATTATTTAAGCCACATTATGATTCAACTGAACCCCAAGTAATGTAATTACCTGGAGAATGGAATTCTAAATTAGATGAATTCTAAAAATTAATCTTTATAAAATCTTTCCGTCCTGACAAAGTAATACCATGTGTATAGAATTTCATATCTCATAAAATTGGAAAACAATTCATTGTTCCACCTCTATTTGATTTAGCCAAATGTTATAAGGATTCAACAATGTAAACTCCTTTGATATTTGTATTATCTCCTGGTTCTGATCCTGTGGCTGACTTTTTAAAATTTGCAGAAGAGAAAGAAATGCTTAAAAGATATGAATAGATTTCATTGGGATAAGGTTAAGGTCCAAAAGCTGAAAAAATGATCAGAGCAGCTAGATAAAAAGGAGGATGGGTTCTTTTATAGAATTGTCATTTAGCAGCATCATGGATGAATGAATTGGAACGTATTTGTGAAGATATAGATGAGAGTGCAAGTAAAGATTATAGATTATGGTTAACCAGTATGCCAACTAATTCATTTCCAATATCTGTATTATAGAATGGTGTTAAGATGACATTAGAACCACCTTCAGGATTGAGAAGCAATTTGTTAAGATCTTATGCTCGTTTAGATGATAATGAATTATAAAGTGGATGTAAGAAACCAGAAATATTTAAGAAATTAATATTTGGATTCTGTTTCTTCCATGCTATTATACAAGATAGACGTAAATTTGGTCCAATTGGTTGGAATATTGCATATGAATTCACTAATGAAGATTTGAATGTATGCAAGAGATAATTGGTTATGTTATTAGATGAATATGAGGAAGTCCCTTATAAAGTCTTAAATTATTTGGGTAGTGAGATTAATTATGGAGGTAGAGTAACAGATGATAAAGATGTTAGATTAATCAAAACCATTTTAAGAACCTACATTAAAAAAGAAGCATTAATTGATAATTTCTCTTTTTCTAAAAGTGGTACTTACTATTCACCTCCTTCTGGATTGTAGGTTGATTACACGAATTACATTGGAAGTCTACCCTTAAATCCTGCTCCAGAAGTCTTTGGATTACATGAAAATGCAGATATTACTAATGCTCAAAATTAAACCATTATGCTTCTAGAAACTATTCTTTCTGTTCAACCCAGAACTAGTTCATCAGCTGGAAAAACTCGAGAAGAATAGATAGAGGATTTAGCTAATTTTGTATAAGGAAAAACCCCACCAGTTTTTGATTATGATGGAATTTTCATCAAATATCCAACTGATTATTAAGAAAGTATGAATACAGTGTTGGTTTAAGAAGTCTTGAGATATAATAGATTATTAGAAGTAATGATTGAATCATTGATTAATGTTAAAAAGGCATTGAAGGGATTGGTTGTGATGTCTGAAGATTTAGAGAAATTGTCTAATTCTTTATATGATAACTAAGTACCTAAAATGTGGGCAGAAAAGGGTTTCTTATCATTAAAACCATTGGCTTCATGGACTTAAGATTTAAATGATAGAGTAGCATTTCTATAGAAATGGGTAGATGGAGGAACTCCAGCAACATTTTGGTTTTCAGGATTCTTTTTCCCATAAGCATTTATTGCAGGTATCACTTAAAATTATGCTCGTAAACATGTAATTGCTGTTGATCTTGTATCATTTGAATATTAAGTCAGAGATGATTTAGAAATTTCTAAAATTTTAGATAAACCTAGTGATGGTTGTTATGTATATGGATGTTATTTAGAAGGATGTAAATGGGATTCATAAAAACATGTACTATCTGAATCCACTCCCAAAGAATTATTTAGTGATTTACCAGCTGTCTAGTTGATACCCAAAAACAATAGAGTAATTCCTAAAACTGGAATTTATAATTGTCCTTTGTAATATTATAATTTTTATAGTTTAGATACAAAGTAGTGTCAAGAGCAGGAACTCTCTCAACAACAGGACATTCTACAAACTTTGTAATGTGGTTAGAATTCGCATCAGATCAAGAAGAGGATATTTGGATAAAGGCAGGAGTGGCAGCCTTCCTTGCCCTCAGATATTGATATCTAAATATCAAAATATATCAAAATCATTTAAATAATTCCCTTATTTCACAACTCTTTTTGAATAGTTCTATCATGGGAATCAATAACATATTGGCATAAGTGGCTTCAATTTATTCATCTGGTCCACATATGAAACATTATCCCATATAACCCTTCTTGCATTAGCGACAATAGGAATGTGCACATGGAATAACAGTGACTGGTTCTTTAAGTTCTTAATGACACAATTTACAAATAATATAATTCTTCATGTCTAACTATCATTTAAATTATATTTAATTACACATATGCTATCTAATTACCTAAGAGCTTGTTATTACATTTTTATGGGCTTGGTTTCTAGGGTTCTTTTTTACTCTAATTAATCATTTAACTTTTTTAATTGCAACTGTAAATACACAATATGGTTATTTTGATCTTGTAATCTTAAATTTCAATTACTTTGAACCTCTAATCAAATGTTTTAGATTGCAAATGTAAACTACTATCTTAAGATCTCAAATGTCTATTATTTATTTTTAGATCATCTATTTAAATGGTCATTTAATTGATCTATATTTGTAAGGCCTTATTTGATTCTTACAATTTTTGAACCTACTCTTATAAGGATTCATTCAATTATTGCAATTCTTTATTAACTTCTTAAAGAGATTAATTGGCTATTCTCAACTCTTCTAAAACGAATTATCGATCAAAATTTGTAGGTGATTTGTTTTAATGTAAACTTTTACGAAAAGGTACTTGGGCTGTTTTACGACGAGGCATCATTGTGAATAATGGTTTTGGTTCTACTTAGAGTGGAGACTGAGGATATTATAATTTAGAAATGCCTTCATATCTAAGATAAGCCTTCATTATAATATATAAATTAAATGAATAGCATCGATAGTTATTAGAGTAAAGCTACAATTAATGCATAATCGATTATTTCTAAGATAGCCACTCGAAATGGACAAGCAGAGTAAGTTGATCAAATTAAATATTAGCAATACCTCCCTAATAGCAGCTTTGGATGAGGAAACTGTTTCAGCTGCTTGGAATGCATTTGGTATTTTCTAACACATTACTATAAAGGTCTTCATATTTCAAGACAATTGCGTATGGGTAGAGGAGTGGCAGTCAACAAGTTTGGAACATTTTCATTTAGTGCTCCAGATGTAATTTTGGATGGAGTAACAAATCCAGTAGATAGAGATAAGTAGCCTCGTTAACCAGTTTTCCTTGTTGCTAAAGTATTTCATCTTAAGTTACTCAAAGGAATTCGTTAATGGTTTTAATCTCAAAACTGCCATAGCAATTGGTCGATAATTAAGACCTTATAAAGTTCAAACATCTGGTAAAATTTAACATGCCATTGTTAATTGGGCTGAGATTGCACTTTATGCTTCATAGAATAAGGACTCTGCTAAGATGGCTGTAGAAAGAGTGTTAAAATCATTATCTGATATTGTACGCAATGTATTTAACAATCATTTAAAGATAGAGAGATATAGTAGAAGTTGAGATCCCATGTGTTGGTACATTCTTTGTCAAAGCACGTTGTGCAGCTGTTTAATTCCTTGAATCTTTGATGGATAGTTGCAAAGTAATTAGCATTTTTAATGAAAGGAAATAACCAAAAGACCTTTATCAGAAAGAAAATCTAAGGGAGACATGAGATTAACTCAATAATATTTGCAATAATTAAGTAAAAGTTCTCATCCTGAGGAAAATAATTTTGTGATTGATGACAATGCAAAAAATTATCTTACTAATTAATTAGGAATTGAATTACCAGAAACAAGACCTAAAACAGCTAAACATTCTTTATATTCATCCAAAAAAGGACCTTTAATGAGTAAAACTGTAAATATTATATATTATAATTATTTAATAGATTGAAGTTAGACCATCAACACAATAAAATTCTAGAATAGGATTCTCCAAATCTGTAAATGATAAAGTTTATGCACTTGAAAGATTGAAATATTATATTCGAGATCATGCTTTAAATATAGAAGATGTAAATTAAATTATATATTCTTAGTCTTTTTTAGATTTATGTTAATAAGCCTTTGGAAAGACTAGTGAAAGGAAAGTTCGTATGAATTTTGATGATTTTAAAAAAGCTGTCTAATAGATTTAATTGCCACTTAATGAAATTTAAATTATTACATTATTTTAAACACTTGATGTAAATAATGATGGATTTATTGATAAATTTGATTGGCTTAAAGCAGTTGTAGATAAAAGTAAATATTAATAATTATATAAATTGAATAGAATCTCATGTGAATTATATCAAAGATGTTGTCTATAAATTCTAAATTCACACTGATGATTTATTGCAAAGAATGAATTTAAATAGAGATCATCCTCCAGTTAACCTTTAATAATTGAAATAAGCTTTAATGCATTTAGATGAATCATTAAATTAGAATAAAGCATTGAAAGTAGCAAAAGAGATATTAGATGGAAAAGAAACCATTAGTATGAATGACATTTTAATCTTATTTAATACTGTTGAAGAAGAAGATAAAATATATGATCTTTCTTGGTTCAAAGATACTCTTCATAAAATGAGAGATCATCTAATTAATCCTCAAAAATTAAAAGTATTTAGACAATCATTCGAATATTTTGATGAACATTAAGAAGGTAATTTGGATACAGCTAATTTTAAAACTGTATTGATGGAAAGTTAATTAGGATTAAATGTTTAAGATATTAATAGATTAGTAAGATATCTTCCTAAGAATAGAGAATCTTTGATAAATTATTATGATTTTATTTAAATGATTATGGATGTTGATAAATAAATGGATTAAAAAGATACAGCAAAAGACCTTGTTGATTTTGCTTAAAAAATTAGTAAGTATTTGACTCAAAGAAAATTTACAGTCATACAATTTTTATAATAAGTAAAATCAGGATATGGATCTTGTAATATTGAATCTACTTCTTAATATCTTGAAAAAAATCTTTTTTAATAATTACCACATGATGAATGTTTAGAATATTGTAGAGAAATGGATGTTGATGGAAATGGAGTTGTAAGTGATGAAGATATGAATATTTTCATTAAACGATATTCATATTTTAATATAAGAAAAGATCAATCTCAAATAGAATAAATTGCTGAATAGATGAAAATTAAACCTTAATATAGTGATACTTTATCTGCTATTGAAAAAACTTTTGTTTAATCCAAATCTATTGATTTAATTACTATGGGTTAAAAAAAGATGTTTTAGTCTTTAGTTGATGGAATGAATTAAACAAAAAGTCTATTTCCTATAGAAGAATTGCCAGAATCTAAATTTGATCATATACTAAAAGATTTACGTATTAAATTAAATAGAAAGGGAATGTCTTATGAAGAACTATTTACCTTTTTAGATACTGATCATAATGGATTCTTATCAATAAGTGAATTTTATAATATTGATAAAATTATGACATTGAGTTAACCTGCTAAAGATGGATTTTTTGCATTTATGGATAAGTAGAGAATTGGTTTGATTGATCTAAATACTTTTGTAAAGTTTTTGAGCAAGTCTATAATTTAATAGATGCCATAATTATAAGAAGATGATTGGGATTGGGAATTAGAGATCTTATTTAAAATAAGAAATTGGTGTCAAAGAGAGAATATTACTATTGAAGATGCATTTAGAACATTTGATAAAGATTTTGATGGTTAAGTTAATAAAACTGATTTAAGAACATTTCTCAAAGATATATTGAAAATAGAAGAGAAAGAGATTACAGAAGCAAAAATTAATAGATTATTTAAATTGATGGATTAATATAAAAGAGGAAAAATAACTTTAATGGATTTTAGAAGATTTGTTGAAGAAGGATTTTTCTATGGTAAAAACAAATAAATATTTGGATAAAGTACAACTTTAGCTGTAAAATAATAATAAGAATCTAGATCTTCTTTTGATTGGAAAATGAATGCTAGATAATAGATAGGATTAATAATAAGTAGACATTATCCAAATGTTAAAGAATCTTTTGATATAGTTTCAGGATATCGTAAGAAATTAGTATTCTAAAAATTTAAGAAATGGATAGATGAAAAAAATGTTTTGGCAGGATTTGATTTAACAGAGAAATTAGTTTATGAGATATTTTCTGATCTTGATTCTCATAAAAAAGGATATTTAGTTGAATCAGATTGGTTGAATGCTTTTGCTCAATATAATTGGTAAGATTAGATGATTAAAGAAATCTAAGATGCCTTATCAACATATTTCTCTAGTATTTAAAATGCAATCCATTATTTCTAAATGGAACATAGTCATATAATTACTAAAGAAAGCTTTTATAAAGCTATTTAAGCATTATTTCCAAAAAGATTTGTTGAAGGAGATATAGAAATATTATGGAATAGAGTTTAAAAGAATGGATCATTAAGTAATCATGCATTTGCACTTATTTTTGGAAAAGGTGGTAAAATCTATGAACAAGCAGAAGGACAATCATAATAATTAGCTATTCGTCCAGCTACTTAAGGGTATTATTATATATATTTATAATATTAGTGGATTATCTGAATTACCTTTAGATGAAAGAAATTAAGTAAATATCAGTTTACTAGATAAAATCAGAAGATTTTTAAGAAATTCAAATAAAAATATTAATGAATTATTTAAATAATATGATATGGACAACACTGGATTTATTACTAATTTAGAATTCAGATAAGTAATTCGAAGTTTGAATATGGGATTAACCTTTTAAGATATTGATATTTTATCAGCTATGCTTGATACTGATAGAAATAGTATGGTGAATTGGAAGGAATTTTCTAAGAAATTAGATTTTAGATAAGCTGATAATAAAATACTTGAGAGAGCTGGTATTCATTTATAAAGAGTCAATGATCACATTTATCATTATTTATTATCTCCTAAAGATGCATTCAGATAAATAGATGCATAACACACAGGATTTTTGACCTTTGATAAATTTAAGGATATGATTGAAATGTTATATAGATTAGCAACAGAAGAAATTCCACCATTTGCTATAATAAAAGATCTATTTGAATTTATTGATAAAAGAAGGGATGGACATCTAGATTTAACTGAATGGATGGATGCATTTTCTAAATTCTCAAATCCTAATGAAAAGAAAAGGTTTTTAATTATTATATAATTTTAGACCCATGAGTGCTAATATAAGAATTAAGAAAACTTCTTAGAAATCATTAATGGCCTAGACTGATAAGAATTGGTTAACTAAATCAAATGCAAATTCTCATCAATAATTTGAAGGTTTAACTGATGATGGATTAATAAATGCTTAAAGTAAATTCAAAACATTTCTCAGAAAACCACCTGCTAAATAAAGTGCACTCTAATATGTTGGTAATTTTTATTATTTTTAATTTAGAAAATGGAATTTGGGAGAGTTCTAAAGAATTTGATAAAACTATAAATGCAATTGGTAAAAATAGAAAATACCTTTTGGAAATCTTTAAACATTTGACATAAAATGGATAAATACCATTAACAGAAGATGTATTTAAGTATTTTATATTTAAATAGCTTATTAAATAAGAGATGGATAGGATGTTGAGATCTTAAGGAATTGTTGTCAGAGATGAACAGTGGCCTTAACTTATTTCTTGGTCCAAGAAGAATGGACGCATTGATTATAAATTTTTACTTGAAGTTTACAAAGATCGTTTAAATGGTATGGATACCTAACCCAGAACGGGGGATGACGAGTGAATATTTATTAAATCAGCTAGCCATATTATAATATTAATTAAATAAAAATTTAAAAAAAAGCCTTTACCAGCTTTTTAAAAACAAAAGTCTTCCCCAGAATCAAAAAAGTAAATTAAAAACCTAAAGTTATCTAGTGAGCAGTAACAAAACCCGAGTTTTAAAACAGTCTTAGAAATACAACAGCTCTAAGTGTCTCTTTGTTCCAAAAAATAAGGAATGTCAATCATACTATATCACTCCCCCTTCGAAATATAAGGTATTTCAATTTTAAACATTATAGAATCCACTCACTAATATTGAGGAATTAAATATTGATTCTAACTGTTCGACTGATAGCAGTCAACGATTAGAAAATTTAAGTCCATTGTATTACTGTCCAAAAGGAAAAGAACCATGTGGTGAGTTGCAGGTAGTCCTAAATGGTGATCTGATTTAAGTGATTTCTTAGACTAAAAACAGAAAGAAATCACGAAAATTCAGTGACTAAGAGACCTATGCTATGAGCAATTTCATCGCAGGTCCTAAATGTTAGGAAATACCTTGCCCTTAGTTCCTTTGATGATATATATATTATCTATTATTTCAAAACACCCTAATAGCATTGTTTATAAAACATATGCATATTAGGTTGATTTTTATAATCCTAATTATTATCAAGATACTTTTTCTTTTAAAGCTTTTATTTTTTGGGATTAGTAAATTAAACACATTTTCGAATTCCAAATTCCTGTTTATCAAAGAACAAAACTTTGAAGTGTATCTTAAAAAATATTCCATTTTTATACTTTTAAATTGACATTTATACATAATTTTAGAAACTATTTAGATCATCATTACGATAATTTAAATTTAAAATAATCATTTGATTAATTCTAAATTTTATAGTGATATAAAATAATTATATATCAAATTTATTATATATTATATCTTAGTCATCTTCTGCCTTCTAATAATCTACCTAACTCATCTTTAAGAGAATTATTGTAAAGTCTAATTTTTTCTATTTCATTTTTATGGTTTTCAGCTTCCTATAAATTAGAACATTTAAATAGTTACTTTTTATAATTTCTCAGTTTCAACTTTTTTTGTATACTAAATTTTCTACTCCAAATCCTCAACTGCCTTCTATAACTCTTAACATTCTCTATCCATAAACATAATTTTATTTGATTTATCTGTCCTTTTTTATTCAGCATCTATCATTTTTCTCATACCATATGCAATTGAACTTTCATATAATGTTTTGTATGAATTCAATTAATTTCTGAATTCGTTTCGAACTCAAAAAGAATTAATGCTTAAATGAATACTTCACTAATAATAATCCTCTCTAACTACAATCGATAGTAATTTAACGAATCAATTCATCAAAGCATTATTCGTATAACTCTTCTCTTATTGGGCAAATTCCAGTTTCTCTGGCTCCTCTTGACAATAATCTTTTGTCTAATTCTTGTTATAATTAGACAACTTCAATTCTGGTTGCAGGAGTAGATAAAACAGTTTGTACCCATAATTGTCCATTTTTCAATCTGTATTCTTTAGGTGGTAGATTTTATTGTAAAATTTCTTATGTTATCATTTTCTCTTGCTGTCATAATTTTATTAAATTTGTACTCTTCCAGGACTATTGACTCTAACTTATTGTTTAGCTTAAGCATCCTTTTTTTCACCTATGTGTAATCCATAAATAAATACCAGTATTTTTACCAGCTACAGATACTAAAACAGGTGTTGAATATTTGACTAAACTATTTAATGATGGTACAAAGTCTTCCATTAAAATAATTAATGAATAATAAAGATTATTTGAAAAAATAACTGGAATACAAATCTAATCTTGTAGGATAAGGATTTCATACATAATTAGAGGACAATAGACATGCATGTGTGAACATATTTGGTGAAATATTAGAGGCTTCAAATTTTGATAATAGTTAACTTTTTCTATAATGGAAATTCAAAATCCCTCCTGGATGGGATTTAGATGATAATGAGTTATTAGAGTTAGATTAAAAAGAATACGAAGAAATATAATTAGAAGAATGGAATAGAATGTACTTATTCACTGCTAATATTTCAGATAGTCTATAACACAATAATCAAAAGTTAATACAATAAAAAATGATGATGGTACTATTACATCTAAAGCTCATTTTTGTTTTCCTTTTGACTTATAATTACAAGTAGATGAAAACGAATTAAATTTTGGTAAATTTCCATAACTTCTTGTGTAAGTGAGTTCAATGGATTCATGGGAAAGAAATTATATATAAGGTTATGGATTTATTGAAATCCCTCATACTCCAGGATTTCATGAACTTACATTAAAAACCTATAGACCTAATGATGATCTTTACACTAGAGTATATGAATTCTTCTTAGGAGGAGGCACAAAAGTCAAAGATTTAGATTCAATATCCAATTCTGTTTATTTTGATAAACAAAATCAACCAAAAGTTTTAAATAGATTTCCAATTGATACAGAAAGTTCAGGAGATATAAAAATAAGAGTTAATGTTTCTATATAAAGAGAGTATTAATTTTAATTATAAATGTAGATCCTATTAAACAATGAGTAGAAAGAAGGATTACCAATAAAAAAATTAAGAAATGAAAACCAAATATAGGGAAAGATTGGAATATCTATAATAATAATAGGAAATATAGACAGGATTACCCACAGCATTAATTAAAACTGATATGGGTTATGTGAATAGATTTCATACAACTAATTTACCATAATATTGAATTTATCATAATATTATATTCAATCCCTATCTAAATCATCATCAGCTGTGGGATCAAACTTTAATTAAATAATTTATATACAATTTTAGCATTTTCATTATTTACTACATGAGATATCAAACTCTATCCAGATTTCTTCTTTGCTTCATATGATGTTTAGAATTCAGGAAAATGATATAAAAGTATTTCTTCATAAAGAAGATCTATAAATTAAATATATAAATATACCTTTAATTTATTCTCTGGTCATTTCATACTTTTCAAATTCAAATTCTAATTGATTAACAAGCTAAGCACTTGGTTCATCAGCTTCAAAATGTAATTAAGCCAAATAAGGATGTTCTAAAGCTTATTGAACTGTTATTCTTTATCTATAATCAAATGTTAATAGTTTTCTTAATAAATCCAAAGCTTTTTAATATAGATTATAAATAATTACCATTTTTAGAGGCATTTTTAAATAATTATTCTAATGGTATTCCTTATTTTGGTCCAGTTTCTTTAATTACTTTCCTTAGATTGTTCTATACTTTTTCGTCTTAGAATGATTAAATGTATGCTTCATTTGGTGTTCCCAATAATTCAAATATTAACTTGACTTATCTTTTAGCTTAGTTAATTTTATAATGAAATTACTGGAATCTCCTCTTAAAAAAGGTTTCCTCAACAGCAATTCAGCCAAAATACATCCTACTGACCACATATCAACTGCAGGAGTATAATTTTTGAAACTCACTAACAATTCAGGTGCTCTATACCATCTTGTCTCTACATAATATGTCATAATATTGGCATTATTTGATGAGGAAGGATCTGCCATAGCTCTTCCTAATCCAAAATCACAAATCTTTAAATCACAATTTCTATTTAATAATAAATTTCTAGGTTTCTAATTTATTTAACAAATAGATACTAAATCTCTATGTAATATTCCTGCAGTATGTAAATATTTCAATCCCCTTAAAATTTAATAAAGAAATAATTAGATATGTTCATCTGTCAATACCTGATCACTCTTGATGACTTAAGCAAGATCTGTTTCTAATAATTCAGTGACCATATAAACATCTTCAAATTCTTCTCTTGATTTTGGAAGAAGTAAGGTTTTTAATTCCACAATCTATATTACTTTTATGATAATACATTCTCGTGTTTCATTAATCTAAGAATCTTTAATTCCCTAAGTGTTCTTTTAGCATACAATCTATGTTCAAATGCTCTTTCAATTTTCTTTATAGCAACTTATCTGTCTTTTTCAACCTTTGCATTTTTATCATCTACTTAAATAACACATCCATAAGCACCACTTCCGACTATAAAATATGAAATAATTATTACTAATTTCAACTGGTGAATAATTGTCTTCTAACATGAATGTATGTTCTTGAAGTTGGAATTTCTTAACTTTTTATGATTTATTCTAATATTTTGCATAGAGTTATATAATCTTTTATGGCAACTTGAACTCTTATTACATATATAAATATTATTATTATTTAATTAAATTTAATTTAATAGTAATTATCCCCTTTATCTAAGAATTGTAATTGAATTAAGCTAATTATAACATAAGATGAAGTACTATTAAAATAAATAGATAAATTAATATTATTTATGATATTAGTAGATTCTAATATTAAAGTTATATTATAGATAATATTATTTCTTTTTCAAAAATATATTGTATTATTATATAATAATTAATTCAATTTGAACAAAATAAAAATTTATCATATAGAAATTAATTATTGTTTATTCTAAAAATCTCCAAATATGAATGGAAAAATCATTAAATTGATTGATGTAATTTGATTTTAAGTTTACCAAGAAATTATAAAATTCAAAATAATATTAAAATATAATTATGATCCCTAATAGCATAAATAAGTTAAGTATTCTAAATCTTAATTGGAAATACATATTGATCATCATCACTTAAATTAGTTACTGTAACATGAATGAATGATTGATGATGTAAAGATGTTTAAAATACTGATTTGTAAAATTATTTTATATGTGCATATCTGTCAATAAAATTAATCTAATTACAATGAATTAATCAACTCACAAATAGCATTAATCTGATATGAATGATTAAGTTGATTAACATGGCTAAGGAATACATGGTTAAGGTTATTAATCTTAAGTAAATATTTTTAAGACTTAATTAGTAACAATAATAATCACATCCAGAAATGGAAAAACAATCACATGTATGCTATATAATGTATTAATAAAGCCTTCTCAACATTAACATCTGCACAATGATCAGTCTCATCATCAAAATTAGAATCATGGTCATATGGATGGAAATCATGAGAAACATCATGCAGGTAATGATCATCATGAGGATCATTACAATCCATTATAAATGCCTTGTGATTGGGAAATTGCAAGAAAACATGCATTATCTAGACGAACAGCATAAGAGAAAAAGAAGGACCCTTTGAAAACATTATAAAGTAGATTAGGTTTATGAATAATTTAGTTGAGACATGTCCTTGTTGTGGATTTGAAGTAGATAGAGAAGATATTGCTTATTGTTCAGATCCTATGGCTTTATCTTTCTTAGGATCAGGATTTACATTATTTTATAATTACTTGAGATATTGCATAATTATCCTTTTCATATAGCTTTTAGTAAAGTAACTGCATAATTTATACACTAATTATAATGGTTCGTATTGTAGTCACATAAAAAGAGAGAAGATGGAAGGACATATAATAGAAGAACCATATTGTCCTGACAGTATATTTTTAAGATTGTCTTTGGCAAATAAACTTGAGTAATTTAACATACCTAAAATAGTAATCGAGAAGCTCTTGAAATGATGCAAGTCTTAAACTTTATTAGTATTTTCATAATTATGTTTGTATTAATATATTTCAGAAAAAGTTAAAGATAAATTGATACAACAATAGATGAAGAACAATTGACTCCTGCAGATTATACTATATGTGTTAAGAATATTCCTACAGGATTAAGTGTAGATTATAAATATGAATTAAAGAATTTATTTGAAAATTATTCAGTATTGGATTCAACTAAATAAATAATAGTTAGAAAAGTAGTTTTAGTATATGATATAGAAGAAATAATAGAATTAGAAAGGAAATTAGATTAATTATTGCAATCAAAAAAGGATACTATAAAATAATGTAATTTTAATTTTCATCATGAAAATGTTAAAAAGATAGATGAAGAAATAGAACATTTGGAGCATTAAATCCATAAGATAGAAGAGGAATATGAAACTCATAATACAAACTTTTCAGGAATAGCCTTTATATCTTTTGATGATGAATCTATGAAATAATTAGTTTTATAAGATAATCCTCATACTTAATGGGAAAGAATGAGATCTCATGTAAATAGAGGTAGATTAAAGAGTCTTACAAATAATGATTTATAGTGGAATGGTTAAAAACTATTTTTAGAACAAGCACCTGAACCAAATGATGTAGATTGGGAATTTATTCATATAACTACTAGTGAAAAGATATTTAAAAGAGTGAGAGCTTGGGTATATTATATTTTATTTGAGAGTGCTGCTTTTTTTATTATTTATTTAATATCTCATAGATTAGCATTATTAGGTGATGAAGCTCATGAAGAAGAATTGAAAGGAAAATTAGATGAAGAAACTAAAAGAAAAATAAATATAATGTCATTTAGTATATCTATGACAATAGTATTATTTAATAAATTTGGAGTTGCTAAAATTGTTCATTATATTGTTGATGATGAAAAAATATCAAATAAAACAAAATTTTAAATATCTTTTGTTTATAAATATGCTTTAGCATTGTTTTTAAATGCAGCCATTATAAGTTTTTTGGTGGACATTGTTATATTAAAAAATGTTAAAGGAGCTGGTGGTTTCATCTAAAATGAAAGTTAAATCTTTGTGCTTAATGCAATTTTCCCTCCATTTATTTGGTGTGTAGATCCATGGAGTTTATGTAAGAACATTTGGAGAAAATACATCATGTCAAAAGGAGACAAAGCATTATTAACTTAATAAGAGGCTAATAAATTAATGGAAGAACCAGACTATCTCTCTGCAAAACGTTATTCAGATGTTATGAAAACTATGTGGTTTACATTTATGTATGGTACTGCAATACCATTAGGCACATTATTTAGTGCCTTTGGAATTCTAATATACTATTTTGTAGACTATTATAATATATTAAGAAGGAGAACTGTTAAGGAATCTATAAGTATACAGCTCTCAACAGGTACACATGATGATTGATTTTAGAAATGATCGAAATGTTAGAATATATTATTGCATGGTGTGCTTTTGGTGAAATGATAATGACTTATACTTTTTTTAAAGAGGTTAGCAAAATCGATATTCTACTTATTGTAATGGCAATATTATATTAATAATTACCTATGGAAGATATATCTGAATATCTCTTCCCTGTTGAAAATAATGAAGAAGTATAATTTTACTTATTTTAGATAAAACCTTATGCTGAAGGGAGTGCAAGCTTTGATACTGATTATGATAGAGAGAATCCTGTTACTAAACATAAGGCTTTATCAGAATGGAATAATAGATAATAAAGTGCTGAAAATCCAAATCCAAAGAACAAAAAGATTTTAGCTTAATAGGATGAATTTGGATATGCTGGAGATGGCCATTTCGGTCGTAGATGATTAATATTAGAAATATAAAAATATATTTTTAATTAATTAAACATTTTTAATATGAGTGAATTTAAACAAATGGAGATTGAAGTATTGTTTGAATATTTCATAGTCGTACATTTTAAATTTTAAAGCGAGACACACCGAAATAATAAAACAAAAACTGTTAAAGTTACATGAAGAAGAATCTGCAGATTAATTCTAACCATTTTATTAATCTTTCCTTAAAAACTGTAGAGACTATTTACATCAAAAATTAGTAATAATATTTATTAATCTATAGAAATTGACTTGTAAAAGAGTACTAGATGAAGATTTATTAGAACTTTTAAAAGTAAATATTTATTTGGCTGAATTATCTTATACAATATGCAAGGAAGTACCTGAACTTAAACCATATCCTCTTAGTACAATCTATAACTAATTTAAGCTTTTAGTGAAGATATTTATGAATGTTTGTCTCTATCAGAACTTTATGATTACTTTAATAATTTATATAGTTAGATATCCACAATATCAAAATTCTAAGATGAAAACAAATATGTTTTATTAAGAATTTGTAATTCAATGCTCAAAAGACTTTCAACAACACATGACACTTTTTTAAGAGGATAAGTTTAAATATTCTTGACTCAAATATTCTCAACAATTCATCCATCATTAAGAAAGAAACCAATAAATATAAGAGATAGAGGATTTGATGAAGAATCAGTCAAAGTAAATGCTTCATTGCCATATTCTTTTTATAAAAATTTTTGGACTTTACAAAAATACCTTAATAATTCTGAATTAATATTTAGAAATAAGGTAGAATTTGATGAGGTAGGTGAAGAAGCTGGATAAGTTATATAAGGAGTGTCTGAACCTTAAAGAACAAAAAATCTTTAGGCAGTTATTAAAGTTATAATGAGAGCTTTGTAATATTTTAAAGAGAATCCTTTAGAATCTTAAATAATAACAGTGAAAAGGTTTCCTAAATTTCTTACAAAATATTCTTTATTCAAAAATTAATTAAATGATCCTTATTTTAGAAAATTATTCTTAAATTAAGTTTTATTGTTTATTTTTGTAGCTGAACTTGAGAATCATGAAGTATTGAAATCCTGTTAATATTTTAGAAATAATTCATATAGAATTTGAAAATTGAAGTACAAAAATAATTAGATGAATTAGGAGATAAATTAGGAGAGAAAGTTTAACATTTAATTGACACAGAACGAACTTGGGTATTCTATTGTAATATCTCAGCGACTATGGGTGACAGAAAAACAATGTTTTGATGATGGATATGAAAAACTTAGTATTAAAGCATCCGAGAAAGCCAAAAAAAAAAGATTAGAAATACAAAAAAGAATCTATGATGACCTTAAATATAAATAGACAGATGCATTTTAATCAATTTTATAAGATTAAGGAAGACCATATAAAATAGAAACTAATCCTATTGAACCTGGATTAAATTATTATTTAAATGAAGTTTTTTATTAATTAGATCAGACTCGTAAAATTTAAGACAATGAAAGATGTAAGAATTTAAAAGATTATGCATGGAAATCAGTTAGAGTCATATCTAAATATTTATTAAAAGAATTAAAAATTACTAATTTAATAACATAAGATTTAAAGCCATTACCTAATTTAGAAGATATTGTAGAAAATTTGAAAAATGCTGGAAATGAAATGACAGCTGAAAGATTATAATAATCTAATAATAATAATAATAATAATAATAATTCTGTTACAATCAAACCTGTTCACATAAGTTAATAATTACCAAACTAGAAGTGAATTATAATTTTAAACATATATATATATATATATAAATTAATTTATTATTTTAATACTCAAATAAATGGAATAAGCTTTTAAAAAAGATTAATATTTTCCCGGAAATATTATTGATCTCACTGATTCTCAACAAGAACATGAAGAGGACTCAGAATACAACAAACCGCTTGATGGACTTACTGAAAGGAATTTAAGGAAACGTAAAAATTGTCCTTTAAATTTATCACTTAATCAATAATTACTTTAAGATCCTATTTATAAAAGCTGTATTTAAAATGAATTCCTCTTTATCAAACATCTTGAATCACTAGGATTCACTGACATTTATGATTATTTGAAATATTGCAATAAACATGGACTTCTCCTTGAAGATGAAGCATACAAAAGTATCTTAAATACAAATTGAATTATAGAAAATAATCTTAAGCCTCCGTATTAGAAATATAACATATATTAATCCAAAATAATTCATGAAAAAAATTTAGATTTTAGAAATTTATAACAAATTTTAAGTGGAATGAAATAATTTAAAAAGACAATGAAACTTGAATAAAAATATAAAAAGGATTTAAATATTGAATTTTATACAACTAATGATATAAAAAGTAATGTCGTAATACATTAAACTAAAGAACATCGATATATTGCACCAAATTTTATTAATAAAATGCTCTATGAAGTAGAACCATTAGATTAGGAAATAGATGAAACATTAATTCACTATTGCTGGAAATAGTATAGAAAGTTTTATAATAAATGTCTAGCTGAATATGATGCTATGTTAAATGAGAATGAATATGAAAGTGAATTTAGTGATACTCATTAAATTGATTATGATTAAATGTCACATGATTCTTTGGCTCCTTACTTTAAAGTACCTCCTTATAAAAGGAAACCTCAATATAGATCAATGAATTTGTCTTACTAAATATAAAATTTGAAAATTTTATAGTTGTCTGTTATTTGATTTAAATTTTAATCTAATAATCATACTTATTATTATTATTTATTTATAATAAATAATTTATTAAGAGAAACTATGCTCTTTCTATTTATTTGTATGTTTTATACTTAATTATTAGGATATCATGAAGCAATATCATTTCCAATTATTAATTTGACAAAAGTTTATGATTCAACCTAATAAAGTCTTCAATTATTTTGCAAATATTTGGAGTCTTATTTTGAAATCTTTGTATTTTATAAAAGGTGAATTTTCAATACTTTTATAAAGGTAGTAATTTATCATTTATATCATAGGATTTACAAATTTGCATTATTTTCAAACATTATTAAATTTTAATGATTTTCTCAATATGATTACCATATTGAATAAACATAAATTGAATCATCTTGTTACACATTCACATTCAATATATTAATTAAGACAATGAATGTGGAATTAAATGAAATGAAATAAATTTTCAATCATCAAAATATTTGATTTCTAATATATTCAGATTCCTGTCTCAAATAAATATTAAAAATATAAAATATGATTCTTTCAGATACGTTTAGTAGGATTAATATCAAATACTTATAAAATTAATAATGATGATTTGATATATATATATATATAATTAAATAAAATTTATACATTTATTTGTATTTCTGAAATTAGTTTGTTCTATAATTGATACAAATTATAATTATCAAATATTTAATAAAATGAATAAGGTTATCTACTTTTATTTAGAGTATTAATTAAAATTAAATAATTTACATTATTTATTAAATTATTTTGAAATTAAAAATATATTATTTTGAAATATATTTGCTTGCTCTCAATATATGATTTAACTTTTTAATAGAAAATGATAATTCAAATTAGAAACAAGGATATTCTTTAGTTTCTTCCAGTATTTTAGAATATTTTTGATTAAATAATAATGTTATATTGTAATTAATAATAATCTGAAAAATGAACACCATTTATTTTAATGTTTTAAATCCAATTTTTTAATCATTTTATAATATAGATATTTTATGGGATTATGCAATGGAAAGACTAAGTCTTCTAAAAAGAATAAATCATAAAGTTAAAGTGATGTATATAAACAACAACTATTCTAGAAAATTTAAAATACAGATCCTTAGCAATAAACAACTTCTGATTCTTAATTTCAAAGAAATAAGAGATATGGACATTTATTATAACCAAATAGTGCCCAACATAAATTGACTATGATTTTAGAAAGTTATTAAATGTAAAAAGAAAAACTTATATCATCTCCTATAAGCATTAGATCACATTAAACTTTATTAATAAGTAAAAGAAATGCTGAATTGAATAAATTATTGGATAATGATTTCATACCATAAGAAGAAATGAATTAAGCAGAAAAATGTTTTTATAAATATTTTGTTAATAAATTTACTGGAAGAATTTATTATACAAATAATTCAGACTAAGGTGAAGAAAACAATCACTACAGTAATATTAAATTAAATAGAGCTGCACTTGTAATTTTTGTTTTAAGCTTAGTGTCATCCACATATTATTGAGATTTTAGAAATAGAAAATGAAGAATCATAATAAAAGGATAAATTATTCTTTGAATATTGTTCTAAAGAAAGTTTATAAGAATTTATAGACAAAAATTAAGATTTGAATTTGGAATAAATTTAAATTATTGCTTCTTAAATTATTTCTGTTGTTGGTTATTTACATTCCTAAAAATTGTATCATAATAATTTAGATATGCAATCATTTCATTTTTTTGTAAATTCAAAATATCATTATCTGAAATTAACAAATATAAATGGAATATTTAAATAAAAGAAAAGTGAAAATATTAGTACAGCTTTTGATTTATAAGATAGAAATAAATCATCAGAATAAGATGTTTGGTAAGTAGGTTTGATAATTTATTCAATGATTGCAAAATTTAATGCTACTAAAATAAATAATTATACAGATTTAGACAATGAATAATGGTTGGAAACAATTAAATAAAATTTAAGACTTCCTTAAAATATAATGGGAATTAATTTAAGATCATTATTATTAGCAATGTTGTAATTGATACCTTAATAAAGAATTAAATTTAATTAAGTAAAAGAAAATAAATTAGTTTAATTGGGAAATTAAGAATTTCTTAAATTGCATAGAATAAAATTAATACCATAAAATTTGCATAAAAAAATTAATTATTTATAAAAATGCTTTACATTTTATCTAATATAATCTATGGCTCCACATTAATATTTAATAATGAAGAAACTTTATGATATTTTAGATAAAAATGAAGATAATAATTTAAATCTTATTACTCTATGCAAATTATTGTAAGATTTATTTTAAGATTAAAATGCATCATCTGATTATTAATAGATGATTGAATCTAATTAATAAATTACTTTTCAAGATTTTTTAGTGATGAATAGCAATTTAAACAAAGTTATTACTCTAGATAATCTTAGAAAGGGATTCCAAATATTATCAAATAAAAGTTAATATATAAGTAAAAAAAGTATAGTTAGACTTATGTAAACAGATTAGTAATCATTAAATAAGGAATTCGAAAAGCATTGTTTAAAATGGAGAGTATTTATGATATATAATATTATTAGTTTACTTATGATCATTTTATTAATTTTATGGAAAAAATTAAATGAAAACTATTGAAAATGAATATATAATACTTAATTGAATAACTTCCAATTTATTTACAAATATATATTAGTATAAATAAAATTAAATCATTCTGTGCTTTTTTCAGCCAGATTGGCAAAACTAGTTGTTAATCCAGTACTTAGAAAATATGGAGGTTCTTCACAATTTGTTGAGTTTAAAAATTCAAGAAATGTTTTTCTATTTTTCTCTGCTAAATTAGGTACTTTCATTTCATCTAATATATTATCCAATTCTAATTTAAAAATGTTAATCTAATGTAAATATTTGATTGAATTTACAGTTGTATAATCATTACTAAGAAAATTAATTTATTTTAAATTTGTTTAAGGATTTAAACTTATATGATTTATGATACATCTGATCAAACATTCTGCATTGTATTATTTTGGAATAGTAAAATTTAAAGCATTTTATTCAGTAAAAGTGATTTCAGACATAATATTTTGTTCAGCAATTTACAAACTAAACTTCAATTATATAGATACCATTTTTCATAAGTTGAATATACTTTTTATAAATCTTTAATTTCAGAATACATCGGTAATTTAGCATGAAGTAGAAAATGATTCTATCTTTCTGTTATTATAACATCACCTACATGCACTAGATATAAGAAAGAATATACTTGCTCTGATTTCATCCTTTTATTTCTTCTTAATATTCTGATCTCTAGATATTATTTTAAATAAAATACTGTTTAACGATTAAAGAATCTGCAGGTTCATATGAACAATTCACTATGATAAACAAAAGTAATACCTATATTTAATCCACTAACAAATATATCTCCCTACAATATTGAACATGTAGTTTAATTGAACTGCCTTGTTATTGTTATATTAGATTCTCTTTAAGTAATTGATGATTTTTATTTTTTGGTACAGGAACTTAAAGCATCTTAATAAATATAAAATAAAAGGTACCATTTCCCATTAAAAATATATTAATAATTATTATTACATATGCAATTTAATCATCATTTAGTACTTTATATTTAAAATAAAGAATGAACAATTTTGTTATATTTCTGAGCATCCTTTCCATATGTCTTTGTCTCCAAGTCTAAGTCTAAGTTGATGAAGCAGATTTAGTAGATAAGAATGAATTGAATAGATTGTTTAAGATAAATTACGATGGATAAGTGTAAGATTCTATATTAATATTTTAGGTATTCAGGTTATCTTAAAGCAAATAATGAAGGAACAGCTTAATTTCATTATATGTTTTATCCAGCTCCTGTGGATGCATTAAAGAAACCTGTAATTCTTTGGTTGAATGGTGGTCCAGGATGTTCTTCATTATAAGGTGCATTTAATGAGAATGGTCCATTTGTATTTAAAGCAGGTACTGCTGAATTTGAAATGAATTAGTATTCTTGGACAAATTTTGTAATAATTCATTATCTTATAATTAAGGCTAATATGCTCTATATTGAATCTCCAATTACAGTTGGATTTTCATATGGTCCTTAAGGTGAATAATCAGATGAATCTACAGCAAAATATAATATTAATGCATTGGTTGATTTTTTTAGTAGATTTACAGAATATAAAAAATTGCCATTTTTCATTTCAGGAGAAAGTTATGCTGGAATATATATTCCAACTTTAGCTAATGAAATCATTGATTACAATGTTGGAAAGCCAACTGATAGTCTTATTAATTTATAAGGATTGGCAATAGGTAATGGTTGTACAGATCCTACTGAATGCACTGAATAAGCTGATCCATTCTAAATTCATGTTTATAAATTTTATGGAAGACATAATTTTATAAGTGAGGAATTATATGAGAAAATATTGGCAGTGTAAAATGAATGTTATGGAGTTAAAGATGGAAAATGTAAAGAATTAGCTGACAAAGTTGAAGTTGAAGTTAGTGGAACAAAGGCAGCTCATATTAAATTCAATCCTTATAATATTTATGGTTATTGCTTCACTTACACTCCAGAAGGTAGTAAGATGAGTTAGAAATTTAGTGGTATGAGATCACTAAATGAGGAATCTGATATTCCTCCTTGTGCTGATGTTTAAGGATTATATCATTATTTAAAATCTGCTGAAATTAGAACTGTAATAATTAGATTATAATTTATAGCTTCTTAAAATTAGATAAGAATCTGCTGAATGGTCTATTTGTTCAAGAACTTTGGGTAATTATTAGGTAAATCCTAAGGGATCTTACTATTTATATTAAAAGATCCTAAAAAATTAAATAAGAATTTTGAAATTTAGTGGTGATGTTGATGCTGTTGTTCCATTAACAGGAACTATGTTTTGGATTGATAAATTGTAGAAAGAATTATGTATAATATTATTATAATTTGAAGATTTGACTACATTGAAACCTTGGAGACCTTGGTTTATTCATGCATAGAGAGAGGTTGATCCTGATTAAAATGCTGGTTATGTAATGGATTTGGATGGTCTCACATTATTGACAATAAGAAATGCAGGACATATGGTACCATTGGATAAAAGAGAGGAATCAGAAATATTTATGTAGAAATTTATAAAAGGTGAATTATTCCCTTGAGTATATAAAATTATTAAGTTTTTTAAAGAGTTTGTAATTCTATAATAATAATAATATTTAATAATAATTAATCAATAGTAATAAAATATAAATTATTGATAATTATTCATCAATTACAAACAATTAGCATCTTTATTTATTGGATTAATAAAAGAAAATAATTGTCAATGAATAAGTTTAAATATTTGAATTATAAGGTATTAATTCTTTTTTATTTGTTATTTATTCTGTTTATATACTATTATTTTTCTCATTTGATAATATGAGATCAAAATATATGATTATTTTTCATTTATTGAAGGAATGGTCCTATAAAATTTAGATACATTTTAAAATGTTTTTGTTTTATTTTTTTAGGTGATTAGTTTTTGATTCAATAATATGCTCTACTATATATCTTACTGTATTAAGAAGTTTTGCTATTTTATAGTGGATAGAATCTTTTATTCCAAATTCATTAATATTCAAATTGATGTAATGCTTAAGAAAGCACTTATTGTTTGATAAAAGCTATTTTATCTATATTAACCAAGATAGTATAGATATCGGGGAAGTAATATATTGGTTAATAGTTAAGTCTTTTTAAAAAATCAAGTATGTGATCCCAATGAATTTACAAACAATAATCGATTGGAAAGTAAATTAAGAAAATCAAAATTTGGAGGCATTTGCTATATGTTGGAAAGGAAAATGGAGATACTTTTATGCTGATTAGAATGTCTTATTAAGAGTAAAAGAACATATGGATAGAAAAGTAGTATATAAAAGTTTGGATCCTTTCTTTACAATTACGGAAAAAATAGAAGCTAACTAAAAAAGTTCTGTATATAAATATATTTATTAATAAGATTCTATTAGTCTAAAGAAATGAAAATGAATAAATTTTTGCTTGTAAAGAGATGAAAAAACTGAATCAATATTCCTAATTAGTATAATGTATTATTATTGTAGTTATTTCAAAATGAAGTTGAAGCATTGAAATAACTGTCCCATAAAAATTTAGTAAAGCTAATCGAAGTTTATGAAACTGATGATCAATATTAAATAGTGATGTAATATCTAAAAGGTGGCTCACTAAATTAATGTCTTAAATATTGTAAATTGAATAATCGTGAAGTAGATGTCATAATACAAGTATATTATTCATTTTTAATATCATTAGTAAATTATGGAAGGAATTAATTATATGCACAATAATGGATTTGTACATAGAGACATGAAACCAGATAATATAGTATTTAATGATTTGGGTTAATTTTCACAATTAAAAATAATTGATTTTGGAATTACCAAAAAGATTGAAGATTTAGAAAAAGATAAAGATATGAAATTTGGAACTCCTGGTTATATGGCACCAGAAATTTTTGATTATAAATAATAAATAACTGAGAAAGTAGATATCTTTGCTTGTGGAGCCATACTTTACTAAATGTAAATATCATTTATAAATTTTAGGTTAACTGGGCAAAAATTAATTGCAGGTAATAGTACAAAATAAATTATGGAAAATAACAAAAATTTCATTATGAATACATAAATACTTTCTAAAATAAAGCAATCTGATTATAAAATACTTGTCTAATATATGTTAGAAAAAGATCCATAAAAACGAATTAGTGCAAATCAAGTTATAAATTATTTAAATTTGATGAAAATTACTTCTAATTCTGGATCATAATCAATTTAAATGCTAACTCATCATGAACCTGTATAAAAATTACCTAATTTCAAAAAATTGATTGATAAATAATGATAATATATTATAATTATAATGTTAATTGAAACCTTAAAAAAATAATAGATTTATATTTTTATATATTAAAAATAATCATAATTATTAAAGATATTTAAAAAAAATAATATATGAAAATTATTGCTTCTAGATATATATATATATATATTAATTTAACATAATATTATGAATTAATATTAAATATTATTATATGATGATTATTGTACTAAAATAACATTTTCATGATCTATAGAGGTTAGGTCTTTTGGCTTTGAATACTGTTCTAAACTTTTTATGACTAGCTCTTGGAACTGTTTTGACAATTGGGAATTTGATTGAGTCACCCTAATACTAAATTTTATATATATACTCTGTATTAATTAGTCTTTCCTCTCTTGATATCAGCACTCTTTGTTAATACTGATGTTCTGAGAATATGAATTGTTTATGGTTAAGCTCTATGATTTCCAGCCATTTCTTGATCTAAAATATTCTTTAACTCATATTATTACATAATTAAGAGACTGCTCCATTTAAGGTTGTGTCTCTAAATTCTTTGTACATATTATGAATAGTTGTTCTTGATTAATATTTAAGAACAATTCCATATGTTTTAACATTTGTGTCTCTTCTTTCAAATAATTCTTATACTGCTAAGATCTATCCATGTGATGGTTTGAGTTTATTAAGTCTTCTTAAATTCCACCTAACCATTAACTCATGCTATACCAGAATCTGCTTTTAGCAGCGACTGTGTTTCTTGCAAAGATTCTCATACTAATCACTTTTGGATTTGGGTCTTCCTTTGATGGAAGTCTTCTTCCGGAAACCAAATATTATCTGATCTAAACCAATAGCACTTTTATCAATTACTTTCATTTAGAGTGAATTATCTTATGGGTCTTGTGCTGAGTTTTTAACCATTTTTTTTATATTTTAAAAAAAGATTTAATTTCTCACCCAATTTCATAAACAATAGAATACAAAACTTTTATTATACAATATATATATACTAAATATCCTATAAATTGATTAGTCTTATTACTCTAATACCATTAAAATATTTAATTTAATCATCTCATATTTTGAGTTTAATATTCATACAAAAAAATAAAATTCATTGGTTTAAATAAAAAAATTATAAATCTTCTATTATTTCTTTAATTTACATATAAAATGAGTATTTATTGAAACTCTTATTTAATATTTCATTTAATTCCCTATTCTTCTATCTTTTTTACAATTTAAACCTTAATTATTAAAGTATATAATTAAATATAGAAATATATAATTGTGATTAGTAAAAATGATTTAAAAATATTGATATAAATATTATTATTATTTTTATAGAATGGATAATTAATACTTAGAAGAAATTAATATAGAAGATATTCGCAAATAAATTAATGAATAGTCTTTTCTTGGAAAATTTATCATTTAGGATATTGATGATAAAACATAAATTATACCTTATGTTTGCATTGTTTACAATAATAAATATCCTGGATTCTATTTTGAATCAATATTCAATCATTTTATCAGATATTCAAATAAAGTTAAATCTTCATTATGGTTATCATATAATGATTAACCAATTTAATGGCATCTTCCTTTTTTTGTTCAAATAGATAAAATTAATGAAGAAGTAGAAATTATTGTTCATTTTAAAAAAAGACCATAAAATGTATTACCTATATCAGAGAACATTTAAATTGATATCAAGAATAGATATTTTTGGAATCTTAAATAGGCATGCATGATTAGGTATGGTCATAAATGGGAAAGATAAATCTTCTAAACTATCACAATAGAATAATAATATAAAATGTTCTAAAGTTATTCTGATCATAATTACAAACCTCAATTTTATGAATTCTTTGACAAAATTTGGGATTTAACTAATCTAAAAAAAGAATAATAAATAAGTATTCCAATAAGGATCTTTATAGATGGAAATATGATTTAAAGATCCCATGTCTTGAAAGATGTCAAAGAAACTATTTAAAATATTCTATTACCAATCTTTGAGGATGTATATTATCATATATTATTTAAGAGTTTGAATTATAATGAATTAAATATCAATGTATTAGGTTTAGTAGTAAATATAGATTTCCCTGTAAGATTATTGGTGTCAACTTTTGTTAATCCAGATGGATTTTGTTATATTATCATAAAATGATGTTTATATATATTAGTAATTTAAAATTGTTACATTTAAATATATATATTTTAACTTGAAGTTTATCTTATAAATATTAATTAAAACTAAACTTAAAATATTAAAACAATAATAGATATTCTAAATAAACAAGAATTAATTTAGATGTTAAATGATATTTTTATTAGATTAATGAAAATAATATTATAAATTTAGAGATAATCATTTATAGACTCAAAATAAGGATGAATAATTCAATTCTTTTTAAGCTAATGTCATTAAAAACTTAAGATTTGGATTATATTTTATTTCTTATACATTAGGAATGATTTTGTTTTATTTCAAAGGAGTTGTGGATCTCTATCTTATTTAATTATCATCTTTAATTTTTTTGGTGGAATATTTAGAATTAAAATGATCAGGAGTTAAGGATTTAGATTATTTAGAATAATAAGTTTCCTTTGATATTTATTTTTGATTGGTACTATTAATTATAATTGAATCTTTTTATTATTTGACTGTTTATTACTTTATAAAATAGTTATGATTTTTTAATTATTATTTTTAAACCTAATTATTTATTAGAACTGAATTCTTATTTAATTTTGGTGTAAATGGTGTTTTTTTTAATTCATCCATTAATAATTTTTATTCATTCATCTATTTATTTAGAATTGACTTTTAAAATCTTTCTAATACATCATTATCTCTATTTTATTTTTTGATAATCTTTGCAGATAATGGATTTAGATTAGGTTTAAATGTAACTCCTTCTAATTCCTTTTCTATTTTTTCTTATTATTAATTTTATATATTTTATGTTCTCTTTTCTTTCCAATAATCCATTTTTTATATAAAATTATCTACTGATTTTGATTCACTTTATTTTATTTTAATACTCATCATTTCTTCTAATATTTTTTATTTTTCATTTTCTTTAATTTTTTCTTATTTTTCAATTTGTCTGATTTTAGATCTTTCATATAATGATTAATATTCACCATTTTGAATTTTTTATTTTAGAATTGATTAACTCTTTTCATTTACTTTAATAGGTGAATATATTTAATCTTTTCTCTACTCAATAATTTTATTCTAAGTTCTATGAATGACTTTAAAATACTATTTACTGCTTATATTTATCATTCATTCTTTCAACAAAATGATTAATCTATTCAGATGTCATTTTAGTTTAAGATGTATAATTAGCTTATGATGTAACTATAATTGATGCATCTTCTTAATTATTAAGGATAGGTTTTTTAAACTTTTATTTTTCTATTTTTGGAGGTTCCTCCTTTAATAAAGCATTCAATCTCAAAAGTGCCTAATCAATTTATTGTTAACTTATATCATTCTAGAAAAATGAATTGTTATTATACATTATTTAACGATAAAATATTATATAGATTTATTCATTCTAAATACTACAAAATGTTTTTCCAAACCTCGGGTTTTAATCCAAAGAAACACTTAATCATTTTCAATACTTTATTTTCTGACTTTTTAAGTAGTAAGGATATATAAAATTAAGCAACTTATGCTGAAATTTCTTTAATATTTGTAAAATAAATTTTAATTTATTTTTAATCCTATTCCTTCTTATGAATTTTTAATTAAAAATTACTTTTTTCTTAGTTATTTTTATTAAATCTTGATTCTTTCATATTAATTTCTTATTGAGAGTACTCTAAACCATCAATAAAAATGTTATTATCATTTTTTAGATATACAATAATTTGATTTTAATTATAAATAATTGCTCCAGATGCAAGATTTTCTTTATTTTTCAAAATAGCATTTTATGATTATGTTTCAAATAGTAATTTATCAAGATTTTAATCAAACTCTATAATTGGTATTAAATTAAAATCAAAATTATTTTTCTATTATAATTGCTAAATAAATTTTAAAGAATAAATATCTTTATAATTATTTGAATAAGGAATAATTTTGGAAATATAATTTTTAATATTCTACTAAAAATTATTAAATTATTCTAATTAATTATTAATTTCTTCAAAGTCCTATTGTTCATAAATTTCAATTATGTTATTCTGTTATTAGTTAAAATCAGGTGACCTTTATTTAGTTTTAATAAGAGCATAAGTCTCTTCAATACTTAATTTAATTGTCTTAATTCTCCAAATTTAAAAATAACTTAATTTTTTAAATATAGATGATTTATTTTTATAATGATGAAAGTAATTAATTATGTAGGCATTTTTTTAATCCTTTTTAATTTCAAGAATAATCATTGATTTTTTTATTTATATATAATATACTCCAATTTGAAGTTCACTTATATCTTAATTTTCTTGTATTTATTGTACCTTAAATTATTTATCTTCCATAAGTTTTACTGCTTTTAAACCATCACCATAATTATTATAATTAAACTCTTGAGGGTATTAATTAGGCTATATTTCAGTATTTGATATAAAATCTTTATAGGAATTTTTAATTTAATCAGCTATTTTTTCAAATTCATTTTTTATTATTTATTAGGCAGTTTTTCTCATATAATCTTCAATATCTTAATATTCTTAAGCTGTTAAAACATCATCACTATAATAATATAAATTCTCTATCATTTAATAGTATTAAAAGTTATCTAATTAAAATTACATGTTATTTTGAGAATATTAATTATTTTAACACAAATTTTCAAAAAACTTTTGATTAATCTTCTAAATATAATCAACAATTAAGTCTTGAAATTCACTTAAAATGTCCTCTTATAATGATAGATAATATTAATGATTTGGAGTAGGTATTTTATTATAAATTATATAAGTGCAATAATCTTCATGAATCATATATTACATTTTAAAATTACTAAAATATATTTTAATCCATTCATTCTTAGCTGATTTCTTTTTTAGTTTATCATTATCATGAGGCAATAAGCAATATAATTTATTAAGAAAACCATAAATCTTTGAAAGGTATATCAATATTTATTCTTTATATTTACTCATTTCTTCTTTTACTTTTTAAATTTATTAAGATCTAAGTTATTAATATTAATAGTATAAACCAATAACAATAACAGAATCCTCATCTAATTCATTATTATTATCCATTCTAATTTTCAATATTTTTATTATTTATTTATTAATAATATAATTATTTTATATAAAGCTATACATACTATCATATTCTATTATAATATAAATAGAAAACAAGTTTTATGGATGTTGTTAATGAAAAATATAAATATATTTATGAATCTTAATTCATCAAAATATCTTTTTCATTTATCAACTTATTTAATAATTGACAAATTTCTATCATCAATTTCCATTTCGTTCAATTTTGCTTATTCTTATTATTATAAATCTCTTTAAAATGAAAAGGGTTCTTTCATTTCTTATTCTCTAACAGATTCATAAAAGAAAGCATGTCCTCCACAGATTGTTGGATCCAATCCTTCTAATTCAATATTATTATGGACTCTTAATAAATTTAATTTTTCTAAAATTAAACAAGCTACATAATGCCAAGCAGCAGACCTATAAATAATTATAAAACTAATTAATTACCATGCAATAAAGCATACACAACCTAATACTTAGACTCCCCATTAATATGCTCCTTATTCATAATATATTCCTCTTCTTCTATCAAACCATCCTGGACACATGGCTCCTGCTAAACCACATCCAGCATGAATAGGAATAGCATCTACAGGATCATCTATATGTAATTTATGTAATATTTTAGCCACCAATATATATATTATTCCTCCTATGATTCCAATTACAAATGCTGCCCATTATTCTATTTCATCATTAGATCTAAATATTTATAATTTATTATATTACCCTGTTACAGCTACAAGACCTGCCAAATTTCCATTACAAACCATCACTAAACTAAAACGATTATCAGTATTTCGATTAGTAAAATAATGATAAAAGAACACAAATAATCCACCACTTGCTCCACCAACCATAGTATTAACAATTGAATTTCCAACAGTGAATACTGAACCATCAGATAATGCCAAAGTAGAACCAGAATTAAAGCACATCCAAGCCATGTATAAAGTCAAACAAGCTAAACATATAAAAGTAGTATTTGCAGGTTTAAATTATTATTCATATTCAGGATTAAATCTATTAGTTCTAGGTCTAAGCATATAAGTAACAACAAGTGCTCCAATTCCAGCTGTTAAATGAATAGCACCACTTCCAGCAAAATCATGATAACCCATATCATATAACCATCCTCTAAATGCCCAATGAATACAAATAGGATAAATAAATCCAGAAAATAATGCACTCAGAGCAATATAGCCAGGTATTGACATTCTTTCAGCAGCTCCTCCTGATACAATACTATTAGCTGCAGCTGCTAATGCTGAATTAAATACAAAATCTGCATAAGATTCAGGATGATCTTTGAATCTGAATCCTGCAAATCCACTTATTCCATTAAATTATGTATCATTAGTCTTACCCATCATTAATCCATATCCAACCTAATATATAATATTTTCATACTATCCACATCATAATTATACTTATGGCAGTGTTAGCATAAACTTTTATTATGATGCTTTAAATGTTCCTATATCGTACACAACCTCCCTCTAGAAATGCAAATCCTAACTGCATTATTAAAACAATTGCCCTTAATTTAATTGTTTAATGTACCCAGTTAATGTTGTCCAAAAATGATCCAAATCATGTTCATAATGTTAGATCTCTTGTTTTATATCATAATGAGCCTGGTTGAATTAATCGTTCATCACAATTAATAATAATGCATTAAAGATTACAGAATATCATATATATTTATATATAATTAAAAAAATATATATATATAATAATTATTACATACAATTACTTCTATAAATGTTAATGATAACTATTTTCTGAAATTAATTTTAAATATAAACACTATATTTAAACTAAATTAATATTTATTCATATTAGAAATAATATAATCAATGATTATTATCTATATGAATACTCATTTTTATTTAGAAATAATTTTTTGTTCAAATTATTAGTCATTTTATTAAAAATACTATTATTTATTTTATATTAATTTGAAACATTATAAATATATAGAGTATGAGCACAGTAAAACAAACAAAATAAGTTTCGGATATTTTAAACAAAATACAAGACTTCTATAGAACTCAAAGTTTAAATAAGACAGCAACTAAGAAATTTAATATAAGCAGACAAACTATAAGCAATAAAAATTTATATCTATAATAATTCGAGAAGAAATTGGAAGAAGTTACTGCATTCAATCCTAGAAAATCTATGGTATTATCTAAGTTCAAAGAATATGAATAATCAAAATAAGAGTAAAATCATAATAAAGATATTGCAACGATCTTAAAAGAAAAATAAAAAATTCCAAAAACTAGAATTTGTCGTCAATATATTAAAACTAAATAATGTAGAATGGGAGCAAATTGTAAATATGCTCATTCCGTCAAAGAACTTGATGTAGAATATGCTCCAGTCGCTTGGACTATTTAATTTAATCCTGATCTTTAATTAAAAAGACCAAAAACAATGGGTGAATAAAGATCATACAGAGTATTATAACCTTTCTAGAAATCAATGTAATGATATATACGTTTAATTTTTTTAATGAAATATTCAAACTCTCATTATTTTGCATAACTGATCAATCAAAAATTATTATTGAAATAACTATTTTTGTAAAAATTATATTGAAATCTTTTATTATTTACAAAATTAACTTAAATTTGGATTATTTACTTATGTATATGTATTATAATTTATCAAATTCTTATTCCTTTAATAATGTTGTTAATTGTATTAATTATTATAATTTAAGAAATTAATGTTATAAACAACCTATAATTTTTATTTACATAGATTAAGTAAGATTATTTTATTTCAAGAATATTATTATTTTTTATTGTTGAATTTGAAACACAACTTAAATTAATAATTATTAATATATATTTAATATGCTCTAATTTATCTATATTAAATATTTTTTAAACAAAGCTACTCAAATACCATCAAATGTTAATGGAGCTGTTCTACCAATTTTCTTACCCCAATTTTGTCTATAAATTTTCATACCACATGCTTCACTCACTTCTTCAGCTGAAGTATTACTTAAAAAATTATAAGTTTAATATAATTTACTTAGTTACTGCTTACATAAATGCATAAAGTAAAGAATAAGGAACTTAATTTCTAGATCTAACTTTGAAACTACAATGATGAATTCCAGTCAACATTAACATTGATGCTATTTAAGGATTACCATATGCATTGAATCCTAATGGTCTTGGATTTATTTCTATTTCTGCATCATTGAATCTTCCTGTAAGTGGAATTGGACAAGTATGCCATAAATCTAGACTTATAGGTACTAGATTTCTTTTAGCATCTATTTTAGCTCTTATTAAGGCAGTTTAAAAATCTTTACCTTTTCCTTTTCTATATTTATTATTGAATATTATTATACCCATATCCTATAACACCATTTCCATTTCCAATAAATATTAATTGTCTAAATGAATTGATTCTTTATAAAGTAGTTACTTAAGTATTAGTGTCTCTATCAATAAGGACGGTAAAGAATTAATCACTAATTTTGAAACCTGTTCGATTAACTTTTTTAGGATATGAGAATTATCCTTTGTTTTCAATGAATTCATCAGTATCAGGATCAAAATCATCATTTAGATTGTCTTTATCTGTAATAATATGATCTTTTAATTATTTTTTTCTTTTGTCAAGAAATGCTTATAATTATCTAAATTCCTCTTCTCTAAGTTAATTAGTTTTATTCAAAGGAGATGCTGCATAATGAGTCAAATCTAAAATATTTTTATGTTTCTTTTTATATTCTGTTAAAAATTCATCAAAACCATCATCATATTTGGATGTTCTATGAATAGTATTATAGAGCTTATCTAATTTAAATAAATGAGATAGATACTCTCTTAAATTTAAGTAGTTAAGAAATCTTATAGATTATGAACATCTTCTACAGATTATTTTTATTTAATCCTTGAAGATAGTTTATTGATCTTGTTTGCAGCCAATTTATTTGAAATGGCATATGCCATCTTGATTGTGTTTAAATGCATCCTGACAATCATTGATATAAATTTTAATATAAATTTTAATATAAAATCTATATATTATTTATATAAACATTTTCCTTTCTGTTTACTAAATAAACTCATCTTGTTCATGTCAGATGTAAATAAAATAAGAACTTATAAATAAAGAACTTCTGTTCAATCAAAAAGTTAAAAGTTAAATTCAGAAAGGTTAAATAATATAAATAAATAATATTAGACGATCTCTTAATACAGATTTGAATAATTATCTTCCAAAATAACCTACATGGACATAAAAGTGTTTAAAAAATACTAAAAGAAGTTCATTCAATGATTCAATAGAATAAGACAAAAGAGGATCTATGAGTACTGTAGCTACATTAACAACAATGAGCACAGACTTTTAAGTATAAGATGATGATCCAATTGAAGAAATGACTTCTTCTAGTGATGAATCTTAAAGTAATATAAAATTCAAGACAGAAATGTGTAAAAATTGGAGTCTTCTTGGTAAATGCAATTATAGTAATAAATGTTAATTTGCACATGGTGAAAATGAGAAGATAAGTAGACAATCTAATATAAAATATAAGTCTAAATTATGTAGATCATTTCATTAAGAATATGTTATTTCTATTAATATAATTAGGTTTGTTTTTATGGAGCTAGATGTTAATTTATTCATGAAAGTAGAAGTGTAGAACAAATTAAGAAAGATTATAAATCTTAAACAGTTTTTTATTAACCAAGTTCGTATTAATTAAGATTGAAATCTCTATAATCAATTACAAGTGATTGGAAATAATAAATTCCATTTTAAGAATGCTTAAAATAATGGATGACAAAATTATTAATTTAAATCAATCTTTCTTCAAGTAGTGAATGAAGATAATTATAGATTTATGATTATTTATTTATTATTATTATAAATTAAATTAAATTGATTTTAAGATTAATATATAAACATATTATTCAAAAACAATCTATTAAAATCTTATATATTATTATAAAAAATTATTTTTGAAAAAGTATTTCATATTAAAGTACAAACTAATTTATTAAGATTATTAATAATTTATTCATTTACTTTCTAAAGTATCTATCTAAATTATATAATTAAACAAATTATAATACTAATTCTTACTTCAATAGATGAATAGATTTATTGTTTTTATAAATTTATACATATAATAATAAATCTGATAACTCTTATTTCATTAAATAAAATTAAAATCTATTAATCAGTTATAAATACTATCCTTTTATTTATATGATTAAATTTTCATCTGAAATTTTTATGAATTTATAAATAAGTTTTTATTAAATTGTATATATAAAATATTTAATGAAAATATTTTTAGACTGAATCTTTTTGTTCAAAAGATAAAATATATTTATATTATGAGAGTTTAAATAATAATGTAATAAATCTATTTATACATGATAAAACAATTATATTTAAAAAGGTAAAATGAGATCTTAAATATATATATATATTTTTATAAATCATACATTCGAATTAAATCATCCAATGGATTTGTTACTTAAGGTTTATAATTTTCTTAATTAAGTACTGCTTCTTAGCAACTAACAAAAATCTAGATCAGCTACCTACTCTAAAGGATGTCCTTCATCAGGAACTAACTTTAATATTTTAATAGATTACCTACATCAAAATCATCAACCTAATTAAGAGCTAATTTAGACTATCTTCTATTATTAGATAGTTATGATTAAATCTTTAGATCTAATTCACTTTAAGATCTTAATTCTATAATTGTTCTTAATGAAGGCAATTCTACCTTTTTCTTTTTAACAACATTTAATTATTTAATTTTACTCTTTATATTCACAAACCAATGATGTTTCATACTATCTGATATTGTAATTCTATGCTCTATTATTTAAGAAATAAATACTAGGATTAGTTTCTAATAATTTAGATAATAAATCTAATTCACTTAAACTAATATTTTTTTCTATTGATTTATCAAGTGGAGAGGTTGTATCATTAGGAATTAATGAAAATTTCTTTTATAATAATTTCTAAATTTTAGTAGTATCAATTTCATATTTATCAAAATGTTTTTCACTTGGTAATTATGATGGAAATGTCATAAAATAAAGTAATACACCTAGACTATATAAATCAGAAGTAATATTTGGTGGTACTCCATTATAAAATTCAGGTGCTATGAATCCTTCAATTTATCTATTTAATATCCAGTCTAATTTATCATTTATTCTATATTGCTATATTTATGTAATAATAATATTTAATACCTTAAAAGACAAATTAATCATAAAGATCTAAAGGAGTTAATTATTAGAGTTAATAATTATATTTAGAGGATTAAGATTTCCATGATAAAATTAATGTTTATCTAAAAATTTAAGTAATTGTAATATTTAATAAACAATCTAATTGAATAGAGATGGTAATTACTGAAGCTATTTGAACTTCGTGTAAGGGATTTGTTAATATTAAATTATAAAGTGACTCTCCTTTGAAATGTTCATATAGGATAAATAAATATGAGTCATCTTCATAAACTCTTCTTAATTATAATAAATTTTAATGCTTAATAGACCGCAGCATTTAAATTTCATTATGAACTACTTCTTCTATTTCAGGCCATTATTCAAAATCTTCCATTTTGTAAATTTGAACTGTGAATTAAGCATTATTCTATATTATTATTATTATTATTAATATTACAGATTTTTTATAGCATTAATATACTCCTGGTAACATTCTATCTGTTAATTTGTATTTTCCAAAAAAATCATTTAATTTACAATATTATTTCATTAATTTATACCAATTTCTATACTGAATAAATTATGAAAAGAATAAGTAAGTGTTACCTAAATTATTAGATATTATTAATCCATAAGTTTTTGCTTCTTTATATTAGATTAACTCTTTTTAAATACTGCAATTACTCAATATTAAATGAGTATGAATCTTATCATGTTAACATATAAGAATATTAGGATATATATGAAATAGTTTCTCAGAGAATTCTTATTTTTATTAATTGTAACTAAAAACATTTCCTGATTAAAGTTAAGGATAGAGTAAAATCTTTTTCATATATTCTTCTCCAATTTCTTTAAGATTTGATTTTTCCAAATCTTTTGGAGAAAATTTACCCACTAAATTTAATAACCAACCAACTGAATTCTATTATTAGTGATCAGAGGAATTCATTCAATTAATGTATTAATATAAATTTAAATTATTTATCATATATTTCACATACAAAATTAAATGAAGCAAGAAAAAACTAAAATTAAGTAAAAAGATTAAAGAGATGAAATATTACCTATAAATAAGATAATCTAAAAATGTGAATAGACATTAGGTAATTATTATACCTATTAAAAGAAATCACTTAGTTTGAACAACAAGAATTAAAAAAAATGTTTTCTATTGTTTCTGACAAAATGCATTAAGTTAATTCAAAAATTTAAACTTTTGATAGAGAAGAAAGACTCTTGAGAAGAGAAAATGATGAATGGGAATTCTATTTGAAAGAGAAAACAGCACTTATAAAATAGCTAACATTATTAATTGATTTAATTAGTGGCAAAGATCATTCATTTGAAATTGATATATCTACCAATCCTGTTTATAAAGAAATTCAAACTTTTTCTTTACATAAAAAATAATAAGGAGAAGATCTATTAAAAACTATATAGAATGATGAAACATCAATTATTAAGCTTTAAGCTTAATTATAAGAAATAGAAGAAGAAACAAAACTTTTAAGATAATCAGGAGCTTTTTGGAATTGTGTTCGTTGTAATATCACATTAAAAGAGGGCTTTAATGAAGAAGTATTTAAAAATTTTATATAAGACATGCATATTTCATCCCGGTAAACTCAAGTATTTTTCTTGCAGAACTTGTGGAGGTGATGAATACTTTACATGCTGTAATTAGTGTAGAGATTGCAATCCTGGTTGTAAAAAAGGCTTGCATAAACCTTGAAACATTATATATATCTTATTAAGATTTTTAATGCTTAATTTAATAATTAATTTAATTTTCATTTATCAAGATTCATTTTATGTCCTTTGATCATTTATTATAGATCATTTATAACTTTTAATTTCTTATCTTTTTATTACCGTTAACATTCTTCTTCATTTTTTACTTTTTCTAATTATTCTTTTTAACATTTTACTTTCTCTAATTCACTTGTAAATGTTTATTTCATAATATTTTCTTTCTAAATATTAGATTACAATTACTTCATGATATTAATTTAACAATTTTTTGTTTTCATATCTATTATTTAAATATTTATTTTTATAATTATCTTTAATCCTATCAATCTATTCTAATTCTTTAATTAATTATTAATTTTGTATTTTTAATTATCTATTATTTTCAGATAATTATGCATTTTCATTTTCTAATGTTTTAATCTAATTCTAAAATTCATTTATTTTTGTCAAATTTTATTCTAATTTTAATTATTATTTTTCAATTTATAATTTTTAATCATTTATTTAATTTTTATTCTCTTATTCCTTATTGGTCAATATTCTAAATTCATTTTCTAATTCATTTATTCTTTATTATGCTGAAAATAATTAGTTCTCTTAATTTTTATATTGTTATTCAGTTAATTAGAATTCTTTTGAACGATGATTTTCAGTTTCTTCAAATTGTTTTTATGCTCTTTGAAGTGTAAATTCATTTTCTTATTATAACTAAGAGAATTTTAATTTGATTTATTCATTCTATTGTCTTTCAAATTATAATTCTAATTCAATTTATTTCAGATTTCGTTTTAATTAATCATTTTCACCTTAAATATTTTATAACTATTCTTAAGTTTTTGCTAATAATTATCGTTCCATTTATAATTCCTTATTAATAACTAATATATATATATATTAATATACATGATTCAGAATTGTTTGGTTTATTAATTGTAATTATTGGTTCAAAATATGGTTATGATTACTATTATTATTGATTTTCAATTTTAGATTCTAAATCTAATATTTTTTTCTTTAAAATCAATTCTTTTGATCTTTATTCATTTATTTCTTTTTCTCTATTTTCTACTTTCAAATTTGCTATTCTTAAATCTTCTTCTTATCTAATTATTTTTTCACGAATTGAAAATGATTATTCTTATTCTGAAATCATTTGATATTTCATTTATGTTATTTATTATTCTAATTTTTAAATTTTAGTATTAGCATTCTATAAATGAGATTTTAATGAAGATAATTCATATTATTTTTATTCTACATTTCCATCAAATTCATTTTTTTTTTAATTTATTTATTATGATAATTCTCTATTAGATATCTATTCTTTATCTAATTGTAATTTCAATTTCATATTTTCTTCTTTTATTCTATCAGCTTAATCTCTAACTGATTCTAATTCTCTTTATAATCTTTAAGACATCTCTTATTCAGGAATTTCATACTATCTTTTTTAATATATTTCATTTTCAATCTATTGCATTTTTTGACTTATTATTTTATAATCTTCCTTTAACATTTCATTTTCAATTAAAATTTTATCATTTTCTTATTTTAATCTTTCATAATCATTTAATGGAACAGTATTCATTTCATGCTATTAATATGATTTTCCCAATTAATCTAATTTTGTACTATATTCTGATTACATAATTTTCATTTCTTTACATTGAGATTTTAATTCTTTTTTGACTTATTTATTTTCTAGTTATTTTTCTTAAATAATTTATTATAATTCGTTAATTTCTTCAGTTAAATGCAAATTTTATTCATAATATTCTGTGAGTAATTTTTTGACTTCTTTACTTCTATAATACAATATTCTATATTCTCTTAATAATTTTTCTTTAGTAACAGATTCTAATTTAGTTGTTAACATAAGATTCTCTTCTCTACTTAATTATCCTGCATCAAGTTCTTTTATTTTTTTTTCATTATCCATAAATACTTCATATTTAGATTATTGATTAATTGGATTCATTTTTAATTTCATAATTTCTTTTGTATCACTAGAATCTGTTAATGAACTTGATTCTTCACAAGGAGTTTCAACTCTACGATTTCTTTACTATTTTTTGGAAGATCCAATTGAACGAGAGGGACTTCTATTAATTTAATTTTATTACCTAGAACTTCTATCAATAGTATTCTTTGCAATTCTTGATTCTAAAATTCTAACATTAGGTCTTGAACTATCTCTTTATTATTACATTTCTTTTGAGAAACTTCCCAATTTATTATCATAAGTCTTCTTTTTAAATTTTGGAGTATTTTAAGTCTTTGATGACTTTTATTATTTTTTAACTTTCTTTGAAGATTTACTTCTGCTTTATTCAAGACTCTTTAATTATGTTCTTGATTGACTATGTGAACTCTACCCCTTTTTACTTTAACTTTTCTTTGACTTAGTTGATTTTCTACTTTTATTATCTGATACTGGTGTTTTTAGACGATCATCAGCAGTAAGAGTTCTAAGTTTCTTTTTCATTTTTGCTAATTTCTTTCCTATTTCAGTTAATTATGTAAGTGTCTAATTTTTACCAGTAAACTCATTTTGTTTAACTTCTTCAAATAAATTCTTTTATTCTCCCTCTCTATCCTTAATCCATCTTTTTGATATATTCAATGGTGGATTACTTACATTTTGTAAAAGACTATTAATTTATTATTAAAAACGATTCTCACTTTTTCTTTGATGTTTAGAGCTCTAACTAGTTCTTGTTTAAGACATTAATTTTAATTATATTGTTAAAATTTGAATTTTTTTTTCATATTACTAATAAAAATTAAACTTATTTTAAAGATGATTTAATTATTGTTTAACTTAATCATTTATAGAGTTATGACTATTTATATAAATTCACTATAGAGTGCAATGTTTTATCTATAAATTGAATAATTTTATTTAAATCATAAAATAAATGAAGAGATCTATATTTATTATGATTTTATTTAATCTTTGAATATTTAATTAAACTAAATTTGAATTAATTAACTGATAAATGAGTACGAAGAGAAAAGACATCATAAAACTTATGAAATCAATGAATATTGATCCATCTACATTTTCTGAAGAAGATATAAGACAATTTGAATAAGGCTAAGTGATGATGAGTGATAGTGAATCAGATAGCATGAGAGATTCAGTATCCATAGCTGATATTGAGAATTATTAATAGAGTAAACATAACAGAGGAGGAAACACTCATGATACAGTCAACATGAAAAATGTATTTTAATTAATTCCATTTTAGAATTATTCATCTGTTGTGGGAATGCAAGAAAAATAAATAGCATTTCTAAATGCTGAAATCAAACGTATTTAAGCAGCTAATGATGCTGATAGATAAAGAGTTTTTGCTAATCATCGAATAGAAACTGATCAACTTTTAAGTGAAATCAAATAATTAAAATCTAAGATGATATATCAAGAGTCTTAATTACCAGGAATAAGAGAGGCTTTGGCTTAAGTTAGAGATATGCTTGCTGGATTAGTTCCAGAAGCTGTTTATTTGAGATTGCGAGATATGAATGAAAAGGAAATGCCTATTTAAGATTGGGTATTGGTTTAAGTGTGGGAGATAGTATATCCATTTAAAAAGGAAGGAGAATTTTAGAAAAAAGAAATATTGGCTTTGAGAGAAGAATTACGATAGGTAACAGAAAAACATTAATTCTTATTAAATGATTTGGAACATGGATAAAAAATGATGGTAGATAGAGAAGAAGATATTAGAAGACATAAATTAAATTATGATAATGCAAGAAAGGCTTTGGAATTAGAATTAACAAAATCTTAAGAAGAATTAGCCCTTTTAAGAGAAAAAGGAGCAAGATTTGATGAATTGAGTAGGGATTATAAAAGATTAGAGTAAGAGAAATTTTTATTGGAAGAAAAGGCTGGCTTTTATCAAAATAATCAAGCTGGTGATAAGGCAGGAGATCAATACAAAGCTTAGGATGATTCAAAGAGAAAGGGAGATCTTTTATAATAAGATAAGGAATATTTAACTAAGGAGAATATATAGTTATTGGAGAAGGTTAAGAGATTAGAAGATAAATTAGATAGAACAGAGAAGGAATATTTGGAAGCTAAAAATTAAGCTTAAGAATATCTATTTTAATTACTCAATTCTAAAACTGATTAGACTTAGGCTTATGAAAAAAGAATATATTCTGAAATTGCTGATCTTAAGGAAAAACATCATCATGAATTAGAGATAGCCAAATAGAATTTAGTTGATATTTATGAGACTTAGATCAAATTCTTAAAAGATGCAAAGGAGGAAATTTAACTTAGAAAAGATAATCTAGAAGGTTAAGTAAAGGAAAAATCAACATTATATGATCATTTGTTAATTGATTATAGAAACTTATAAAGAAAATTAGATGGAGATTTATCTGAATAGAGAATTTAATTGAGATTGAAGATAGAAGAATTAGATAGAGTATAGAATATCTATGAAGATACTTTGGCTAATCTTAAAGCTACAAAACATGAGAATGAAATGTTAAGGGAAAAAATTAATGTTTTAAAGGCAGAATATTATAAATGTTAGGTAGAGGCTAAAGAATAAATGAGTAATATTAATGCTCAATTACAAGTTGCAAAAGAACAACTTACAAATTATGAAGGAATTGAAAAAGAAATTGATGATGCTATAATGAAATCAGCAGGTAATGAATATGATGCAATGAATCCATTATTGGGATTTATGGGTACTGTACCTACATCTTCAAAAAGAAGGATTCAATAGGCATTAAATCTTGCTTAGAGATTGTAAGCAAAATAAAGAGAATCAGAGGAATTGCAAAGACAATTAAGAGAGAAACAATCAGAAATTGAGAGATTATAGGAAGAGACTAAATTATAAAGAGATGTACTTGATAAAACACATTAACCGTAAATATTAATTATAAATATTTTAGTCATTCTTATTTGGTAGCTCATATAGAGGAAAAGGATAGAGAAATTTTAAAATATAAATCTCTTTTAAAAAAAATAGATTAAGATTATTAGATATTAAAAGCAGAAAATGATGATATAGCTAATGTAATAATTTTGTTATTAATTTAATAGAGATTCATGCGAGCTGAAGAAGATTTATAAAGATTGAGAATAAAAAGACAGAATCTATAAAACATTTAGAACATTTTAATTGGTATTGCAACTGGTAGTTAGAATGACATGAGATAAAATCTGAGAAGTGCTATAAATGAAATGTCTGAAGCATTAAATACAAAAACATATATAGATCCTCAGAGTGCAATATAAAAAAAAGGTATGAATTTAATATCTATTAAAAAAGGTGGTATTCAAAATAGTTAATAAAAAGAATAAGAAGGACCATCTTGGTATTCAAAACTAAAACAAAAATAGAATAAATGACATCAATATTTAATACTTTATAATTTAGAAGATAATATTTATTTTAATAATTAAATATTTTATAGTAAATTTTTGTAGTTATGTATGAGAGATAAAGATGATTGGTTATATCAATAATAATGAGTTAGAATTTATTTTCTAATATTAAATGTGTTTTTTTTTGAGGAGATTGTTCTAAGGGATTGAATACCTACTAGAATACAACACAATAAACTTTTAAATATTTGTTATGAAATTATAAAGATGATTATATTTAATTTATAAAAGATATATAATGAATTAAGAAGAAGGAGAAGTCAATGAAAATGAATAATATGAGAAAGTAGTGAAGTATATTGTAAAAAATACACCATTTGGATAAGCTAATTTAGTGATTAAGGATTTGTGTAAAATCATTGGGAATATTAATCCATAGAATCCAATTATGCTATAAGCATTGAGGGATCATAATGAAGAAAATTTAGCTTTATTTAAAGGCTAAAACTCTTAAGTAATTGTCTCTGATGACATCATAGATCATTACAAGCATTCTAAATTCTTAAGAAGAATTTTATGTTGATTAGAAAAATAATGAGACAATTTAAGTTGATCATGAAAAATTAGAAATTTTATCAAGATCTTAAGTTGAATTACCATCAGATCCATAACTAAATCAATTAAGAGATGCACTTGAATAGTAACTCAATCTTTATTTGAGTTAATAATTTAATGAGAACGTTTGTGGAGCTTATGGTATAATTAAAATACATGTAATTAGTTATGTATCAAGGTGATGCTTCAGATTTTACATTTTATTTAGGAATAACTTCAAAAACAATCAATTTACCTAACTTTTTGTATATTAATCTATTATATTATAGCTGTGGAAGTTGGATTTCAACCTGGGAATTCACTAAAACACAATTGAAAGGTGATTTGAAAGTGTAAGCACATTATTATGAAGATGGTAATGTTCAATTAAAAAATGTAAATACTTTTTCAGAAGGAATCAATGTAGATTTATAGGCTGCAAGTGAAAGTGCCAAATAGATTGTTCATACAATCTCTAAATTAGAGAATAAGCATTTAACAGGAATGAATAATTTATATAATTCTATGCCTGAAATTTTCTTTAAAGCTATGAGAAGACCTTTACCAATTACAGGAACAAAGATGAATTGGAATGAAAATGTTCATAAATTAGTAGCAAATTTGAAATAATGAAATTACAATAAATATTAATGAATAAATTTATGATTCCTTTTTAACAATATAAAATTTTTAGTTTAAAGATTTCAATTAAAAATTTTATATTTTTAATATCAATTTTAAAGAATATTAATAAAAATTAAGAAAGCTTTATAAGATAATTAAGATGGTTTGACTACTTATTTTAAAAACAAATTTGTTTATATCATTCTTGTTACATTTATTCATTACTAAACCCATTTTTTTAAAGCAAATTCAAAACTTCTTTTTCATTATAGGTTTTACTCTTAACTTCTTTTCCTTATTAACTGATAACAACAATCTCTATTTTGGAAGGCTAAGGAGATGATGTATCCATAGTTTTCACTAATGCTTTAATTGCTATATCTAATCCCTAATAAATTCTAAAATTATATATTACTTATTCTAATGTTAAATTTTCTTTATAATCTTATTTTAAATAGCTATTTGCAGCTAAATTATTTTTTCCAATTGCAGTAGCTTTCCAACCTGCATAATTACCTGATGGATCAGTACTAAATAATTAAAAACCATTTTTATTGTCATAACCTGCAAATAAGAAAGCTGTTCCAAAAGGTCTTTAACCACCTACTTAAGTTTTATTTTATTTATAATCGCATATATTTATTATCAATTATTCTAAACCAATATTATCTTAAAACTAATATCTAAAATTTGATTTATATTTTACCTATGATTAGCAGCAGCTTCTCTAGCATAATTAATTAAAATATTTGCATCAGCTGTATGACCTGATACTACTGAGAAGATATGTCTATCAATTGGATATATTTTCTCAGAATTTTTTGAATGTTCTAATAAATGTGATACTTCTTATTTTTCTGTAGCCAATATCATTCCCTCATTAGTTAATACTCCAAGTGCTGATCCTGTTTAATTAATTGCTTCAATTGCATATTCAACTTATTTTAATCTACCATCTGGAGTAAAAGTATTAGTCTTTTAATCGTATCTCCTAGACATTAAATTTAATTTAAAATAATATATACTGGTGTTCAAAATAAAATTAAGGTAATAATAATCATAAAATCATATGCTCCACAACATGTTATTACATTACAAGCATTTCATATAATCCCAATTCTTACATTATTTATCTTGTATTGTTAATAATGTTCAAAATTTAGTTTTCATGATTGGGCTACAAATATTGCAATCCATTGATTATTTTAATTAAAATGCTCTATAATTAATTAATAAAATAAATTACTCCTAAAGATAAAGATATTAATCCAGCTAAATGATCATAATCTGGATTATGTTATGTTATTGATTATCTTCCTTATTCTATTTTTCTTAATAATTGACTCATTTATTCAACAAACTTTAGATGTTGAACACTAACATTTTATTCAATAAAGTATTAAATTATTGAATATGCCTTTAATAATGATTTGTGAGAGTTTTTCTTTTCAATTTTACTTGTAACTCTATCGAATTTATTCAAAATAACACGATCTACATTTTATCTTAATGCTTAATATTTCAAATTAAATTTATCAAGCAAATAATTCAAACATCTTGCTGTCTTTATTTAAAGTTCTATTTAAAATTTTAATTTAATTTCTATTATCTTTGCAGTCAAAAATTTAACTAAAATTTTAATGATTTAATGCAACTATTAATTAATTATAATTATTTCATATACTTAAAATTCTAGATTTATCTAATTGTTTATTATCAATCTATTCAAACATTCAACTATTACACATCTATGTTTGTAATAAAATAGTTAAACTTAATCCTATTAACTATATAAATATTAGACTATGAATGGAACAATTTAAGCTACATCTTTATAGCTTTCTAAATCAGAAAGCACTTTATAATAAAATGAAGATTTACATTAAACAAATTCTTATGAGAAATTAAATTTTAGACTTATTACTTCTTTTTCAAATAATTCCTTAAAATTCTTTACTATTGTTTATTAATGAACTGTCAATATGCTTATTACATTATCCTTTATAATATTAAAAGACTTTTTGTTTTCCATATTTTAGAATGACTCTGTTTATATGATATCCTTGTATTACACTTAAATTAATTGAAGAGCAATTTACTTATAGATTGAGTCTCCTACGAATTGATCATCTAATAATCTTTCATAACATTAAATATGGAAAGAGAGGGAAATCCTAAAGGAATTTTAACTGTCCTCATCTAATGCGAAATTAGATCTCTTAAATCCAAGCTCTTATATAATGAGATTCTATACTTGATCATTGAGTACATATTCATCCATTCTTTTGGATAAATTAATACTATCCATATATTAAAATCCAAAGATTTCAGACTATAATGATATATATCAAAATACCTTCTGCATATTTTGATCCTTGATAGCCAATTCAATGTCTTAAGAATTAAGTTATTTTTTTCTGAAATGTCTTTGATATTTTATTGCTTCCTAATCATCATTATTAATATTCACTTGAATGATCTTCCTCACATTTTATTCAACCAATATGAATAAATGTAATTCGGCCCCTTATTCTATTGTTTTACCCTGAAGAAGTCCTTTTAATATGCTTTCATCTCGATATACAGACATTGAAGAAAACACAAATTTTGTCAATTTGATATTTACATTAAAAAAGATATTGAAATAACTTCTACAACCCCACCTGAAAAGATGAGTATAGATCATTTTTTCTCTCTTTTTGGAGTTAAATCTCTTCTTCCGAAGGGTGAAGCATCTCTTTTCATAGCGATCTCTGGAGTTCTACTTCTTTCTTATTAGGATTGACGAATTAAAATTTCCATTCCATCTAATATGATCTTGCGAGTTGTATTTGTCAATATTTACTTACCAAAGAATGCTTTAAATACTAAATGTTAATCATATGCTCAATATTCAATAGAAATTGATTGCTTTTCTCTAAGTTAATACTAAATGCACATATTGCAAGGTCGAGATTGTTATTACAACTTAAACAGATATGAAAAATGATTAATTTTACACTTAAGATATTTGAAAATAAGCAATGTTCACCTATTTTAAGAATAAAATAAATGTCTATAGGTATCAAGTCTGAAGATGTCTTTATCGATTCAATATATAACTTATTCATATATTATTATTTAAATATTTTATTGATGCTTAATACATTCTTCTCTTAATCTAATCAATAATTTATAGTAAAAGTTCATAGAGATTATTAATTGAGACATTTATAAGTAAATTATTGCACTATTTAATACAAAAATCAATCCTCTTTTTGCAGTAGACAATTCGGACATACATCGAAATCACAGATTTAACATCTATGTGCTTAATTTTAAATTGTTTCACTACAGTAATCACATACATGATGAGGCACAGTACTCAATTTCATTCTTTATAATAGTAATTAAGAGTTTACGGATGTCCTGCTCCACACATTATTCCAAATAGAGGTGGAGGCATGCATTGCAAACAGAATGCTTCTTAACATTATTAACACCAATAACGAGATCTGCAATTTTTAATCTTACATTCTGCACATGAATGACCACTACTTGATTTCCAGGTTAATTAATGTCCATTCTTATTGCAATAATAGGTCGGTGGTGGAAAGTATTCTGGATTAGTTTATTGTTGAGAATTCATAACTATTTAAATAAATGAATTCGAATGATTAAACATATTTATTTATTATTGTACTATTCATAATAATATCAATCCTTAGGCTTCTTCTTGATTCTTAATTAGTTTGAATGTCCACATTTTCTTTTTCTGCAATTATGAGCCTTTGGTGGTAATCTATTCATTTTTATATATAATTAAATACCTGGCATAGCAAACTCTGCATATTTTTTTTTCAACGTTGTATTTTTTGGCAATAGCAGCAATAGTTGGCTCCATACCACCTCCTCTGAGTCTCAATACTAAGTGGAGAGTTGATTCTTTTTAGATGTTATAATCTGAAAGAGTTCTTCCATCCTCCAATTGCTTTCCAGCAAAAATTAATCTTTATTAATCGGGAGGGATTCCTTCCTTATCCTAGATCTTTGCTTTAACAGCATCGATAGTATCAGAGGGCTCAACATCAAGTGTGATGGTCTTACCCGTGAGGGTCTTAACAAAAATTTACATATTATTTTAAATTTTTAAAAAATCTTTAATAAAATATTTATATTCTAACATTATATATAATTTTATGATGATTTCTAAAATACCTAATATATATATTTCAAATGAAGAACAAAATACCATTATAATTCTATCATAAATCAAATTTTCATTATTTTCTAATAATTATTCAAAAATTCATATTGATGATCAAATAGTTTTTCTTTATCCTCTTCTAACATTTTTAATGCTCCTTCCAAACTAAACCAAACACTTTGAATATTAAATCCATCATTTATTATATGAAATTCTTTCTATGTTTTATGGCATTTCAGTGGTAGACTTTTAGCAAAATCCTCCATGTTTCTTTGATTTTCTTCATAAAATTTTTTAGTACTATAATATTATTATTTAATATAAATACTCTTCTTTTATTTATTCTAATTAATCGTCAAATCCTAATTTAAGTACATCATCTGTGATTTCAATATTAATAGGATCAGTAAATACTAATCCCTTTTGAGATTCCAAAAGAAACTAAACTCCATATATAATTGAATAAAATGGATCAAATCTTCCATTGATAAAACAATTGTCTGTTATCAACTTTTTTAACTTTTCTTATATTATAATAAAAGTTTGATTATCAGGAAGTTTAAGTTCAACCTTTTTTTGAGTTCCTATTGTCTCTCCTGAAAGTTAACAATATACTTTTCCATCATAAATTAGGTTTACATTTTATCTATTAAGTTTTTCAACTAAATCTTTTATTTGATTTTAATCTGTTATTGTAGTTGGATTATTAATAAGATTAACTAAGGTATTCTAATAGTTTTCTCCCTGATTACTCATTTAATAGAAATTGATTAATAATTAATATTATATTTTTATTTCAATAATATATTGATTATTAAATTCCCTTTGTGACTTTATTCATCCAATTAAATTTTTTAAGCTCTTTGTTTTTGCCACTTCCATCTTCCTTTCCAGGCCAATAAGCTATTAAATTATATTAGGGAGGAATTTTAGCCTCAGACTTATTTCTAGTAACTGGTTTATTTGGATTACCCTTTACTAATAATTTATCATACCCAATATTTAATTTTGGCTGGTTCTATTTTCTTTTTATCATAAAGTAATTCTAAAGATCTACCAAATGTATTATAATCAACAGGAAATGGTTTATATTTAGTACAATCTGGTTTAGGATATTTTTTAATCATTTCTAACTTAAATTTATCAAAATCTTTATGTTTAGTAATCATAATCTTTGGATTTGTATTATTATGTTTTAATTTAGGTAAAATAGGCTATTATTATTATTAAATATATTTAGTACATGAGGATTATAACTACCTGGACCTGCAGGTAAAACAGCTCCTAAGTGTTAATAATCTTAAACAAAGTCTGGTTTTTCTCCATATTGAATTTTAGATTTGCCATTCCACTTTTTAGCTTGATTCTCAATTGATCTATTTTCATCATACTTTCCAGGACCAGGTTTTGGATAGTTTTGTTTACTGTTCTGAAGGAATATATCATCTATAAATGTATTTCTCTTAAGTAATTCACTTTTTGATCTAAAATAAATAGATTAATATGGATTTACCTTTTTCTTTCTTTATCTTTCTCATTTACCCACTTGTATTCAACATTATATTAAACAGGGACTTTACGATTTCTAAATGGTTTGGCTATGTCATCTAAGAAATGTCCTCTTTTTGTAATTGTAGGTGGTTTCTTTAATTTGCCTGCCAAGAACTCTCTTTCTTAGACTTACTTAAGAGGGTCACAATACTTCTTGGGGACTTCATATCCTTCAATACCCCAAGCGCCTGTTTCACCTCTTACTACACTATACATTTATTCAATAGTCATCACTAGATTAAATCATAAGTTACATGAGGGAGCTGATCGACTTGTATGCATTATATTATATTATAATTAATTAATATTTTAACGAATGTCCTAGCAATTTTAAGGGAGGTCCTCTCATGGATAATTGGAAAGGAAATTTGAACCAGCAGTAGAAAATCCAAAGCCAACTTAACAGCTTAGAAATATTCATGTTACAGGGGTAACTAGAGATGCTTCAAAAACTATTCATTATCCAAAATAACCTAAAGTAATTAACTTGAGTTTCATTTAGTAGATATAAATAATTAAGGTTCCTTAAAGATGTGGAAGTAACCAAACAGTGTGTTCTGTTTAGGGATTTAGTACATTAACATATGATGATATTAGACCAAAAGAAAAAGAGGATAGTGTAATTAATAAAATTATGAGACTATTTACTCGAGAAGTTGATCCTTGTAAATGCTTACCTTATTAAAATAATACTTGTATTAAAGCTAAAGAATGGTTAGGAAATTATGATGCTGATAAATTAAAAACTAAATACTCTAATTTATTAGAAAGTAAATGTGAACCAAAGATTATTAAATAAATAAATCTTGATGTTGAAAGAACTCATCCTCTTAAAAATTATCCTTAAAAATTATAAGATTTATAATAGGTTTTAATAGCATATTCTAAATACAATAAAATTGTTGGTTATATGTAAGGAATGAACTTTGTTGCTGCTGGTTTAATTTATCATTCTGATAATTATGTTGGTTTTGAATTACTTAGAAAACTCATTGATTTACTATAAATGAATGATCTTTATTCCCCTATGTAAGTTAATTTAATAGTAGGTCTCCTGGTTTATCGAAGCATATTTAGTTGATTGATTATCTTATCCTAACCAAAATGCCAGATTTATATTAACATTTTTGTATCAACGGTGTCAAAGTAGACATGTTTTGTGCCTCATGGTTATTTTCATTATTTGGAATGATGATTCCAATCCAGAAATAAGTGAAATTATACGATTGTATCTTCAAGTATGGTTGGACATATATTTATCAATTGATTATTGGATTTCTTCTTTATCATTAAGAAATTTTGATGAGTGAAGATATGACTGGAATTATTTGCATTTTAAGTCAATAAAATTATAGAATAGATGACAATGAATTCGAAGTAGATTGGGATGAATTATTGGATGCTTCTCTTAATGTCAAAATTAGCAAGACCTTTATATAAGAAATGCATATGAAATTTGATACTAAGATTTAGACATTTAAATTATGAGAAATCACTAGATTCTAAACTAATAAAATATTAAGTATATTTATTAAAATAATATACAAATTATATATGAACAGTATTTAAGTAACTGAATTCTCAAATCGTGTTTTTGATCGCTACGACAAAAATCATTCAGGATTTATTGAAAAAGATGAATTAAATACATTATTGAAAAATCTAGCTATGGAATTGAATTCCTAGGTTTGTATTGTAATATAGATTAGCAACCAACATAAAAGGAAATTGATTATATGTTATCTTATTTAGATACAAATAATGATAGTAAAGTAAGCAGAACAGAATTTTAGAGATTAGGAGAATTAATGGTTAAAGTTTTAGGAAACAAATGAATTTTATATAATATAAATGTCAAATTAAATTTATATAATAACTCTGTTAATTGTCCAGCAAATCAAGGTGTAAATTGGAAACAAGTTCAATAATATTTGTTTTTAATAAAATAATTGGGTTTGAATAATAAACAAATTTATTTAATTTTTATGTCTAGTCAAGAATAAGAAATAGACAAAGAATTAGATTAAGAATAAGAAAATGGATGCGATTAAGAAGATTAAGAGGAACAAGATAGAACCTTATCTGGAAAAAAGAAATAACCTAAAAAATATGAGTATTTAATAATAAAATATTATAGACGAATTACTGAAGGTCTTAGTAATAGGAAGCCAGGATAAAAATTTACACCAGAAGAGGATAGATTGATTTTAGAATTGGTTCAAAGTATTGGGCCAAAATTCTAAAAAATTCATAAACATTTCCCTGGCAAAACTTTGGCTATGGTTAAGAACCGATATTATAAATATTTAAGATATAGGTGGGAAGTACTTGATTAATAAAATAATATAACTGAATAAAATAAAGAAACTAACAAGCAAAACCACCATTCTAATGAATCTTATGAAATATTATGTGAAAAATAAAAAAAAATCAGTAGCTTATTGCATTAGGAGAGAAATGATCTTGTAAATTCAATAGCACAACGCGCTTCGACTCCTAATGCAAAGATATTTGTGGAATATTTAATAGATTAAATGTTATGATAGATAATTGTGTTGTTGTATAAAATATATTTAAAAAAATAGAAAATGAAAACTCAATATTTACTTAAATATTATTCAAATCTTTTTCTTACATGTTCATAAAATTAAGGCTATTCTTGAATGGCCTTTTCCCATTAAGTTCCTTTGATATTTTAAGCCAACTTACAAAATCTTTCATACATAAATTTCCCTATTTTTTTCATTAAAAAATTCATAACTGTTTAAGGAATAAATTTCATTTTAGGATCTAAATTAGCAACACTTTTCATAACAAATTCTCCTGCATTAATAAGTGTAACTTCAACAGCAAAAAAATTGATTTCTACTTAAACACAATTAACTTAAGTAGTATTAATTTAATGTTATGCTTAATATTCTTTATCATGATGAATTGTTTAACAACAAATTAAAAATGACTTTGATTTTTCTAATTAATCTACTCCATATCCTCTAATATAAGCTTCTCTATTAGATAGAACTGGAAGATCCATCATTATATAACAAATTTTATGACCTAAACCTGGTGTTTTAATCTAAAATTGAATAAGTTTTTTACTGATTTACTAATTTTACAAAATGGAACCCAATTATTAAAAAGTTCTGTTTGATATATTAAAGCACAAGCATTAATAATTGGTACTTTCATTACAGATTCAAATTTCAATGCAACATTTGATGAATTAGGTATAAACTTATAACTCATCTAAAAACTTAATTTAAATCTATAATTACTATTGAGTATTGCAATCATGAATCCAATCTTTATTATCTGATAATTATTATTTCAAAAATGTAGCTTCTTTATGAAAGGTTTGGATTTCATGAAATAAATCTTTGTTAATTGGAAAGTTGTCTTTATCTTAATTATGTCTTGTCATATAAAATTACATAATCTCATAAGCCTATTTATTTATTAGATATTTTACTTTATCCAAAAGCATTAAATTATGGCATTAGGAAATTTATAACATCAATTCAGATGAATTTGATGGTAAATCATGTTAAATTTGATCACTTTATTACATATTAATAAATTAATTATAAATGGAATAACCTGAAAAAATTCAAGAAGATCCTAAGATGCTTTTATTGACAATGGAATTAAATAGAATGGCATATGAAAGATAGATTATTAAATCTAAGGAAGAATTTTAAAAGAATAATAATTCTAATAAAGATAATCAATAAATTAAAGAATATGAGAAATAAATGAAATAACTTAAAGAAGCTCTAAATTAAAAAGATAAAAAATTAGAATAATTAGTTTAAGAACTCAATTAAGAAAAATAAAAAAACCAATAACTCTAAAAATAAATAGATAGTATTTAAAAATAAATTTAATAAACTAAAGAACCTAAAATTCATTCATAAGCAGACTAAAAATTTCTTCAATAATAATTATTATAGTAAAAATTACAATAATAGACTCAAAAAGCCTAACCTTAAATTTTGATGTAGACTGTTTAATAAAAAGGAAATCCAAACTCTAAATAAAATCTAAATTAGTAACAATAGTAATAGCCTCCAATAATTTAATAATAATATTCATAGTAATTATATCAACATCAATAATAAAAATCTTCATAATCTAAGCATACATCAAATCAATAAAAGTAAATGTATTAACCTTAACAATCATAATATCCTTAATAACCTATATAAATATAATATATGCAGACAAGAAAATGATTATGCAAATTTTAATATATAAATATTAAAATAAAATTTATTATTTCATTTAATGGAAACTCTTGATAATGAAAAATGGGTTGATCTTTAAGCTTAAATAGATCATCAAAATTAGATAATTAAAAGTAATCTTATAAACAAATATTAAAGCCTAATAGGAGGATATCAACTAATATAAATAAATCATATCAAGTTATAAGACATAAATTAGTCAAATTGAGAATAAAATGAATTCTTTTACTTAAGCAGAAGTTTTATTAAGAGATGCAAATCATAGAAATGATATCTTAATAGCAGAAATTGAAAGATTAAATGTTATCGTTTTTCAATAAGGAAATGAAGTGGAGGAATGGAAAAACAAAGCTTAACGATTAGATTTAGCCCTATAAGAATACAAATAATTCGAACTAGGCAATAGAGATATGGTTCTTAAAGCAACTAGATTGGCTGAAGAAGTAGAAAGATTGAAAGATTTATTAACAAAAAAATAACTAGACTACTAATAACTTCAAATTGAACTTAATTAAGCTCTATAAGATTTAGAAGATGAAAGAAATAAAGTTAAATTACTTGAAGATAGACTAACTGAATTGGAATCAGAAACTCCTACAGAAAAAGCTCTTAAGCAAATTCTAATTCAAAAAACAGAAATAATAAGATTATAATAAATGATACAAAGTTTGAATAATAAAATTTAATTCTTACAATAAGAAATAGATGAATTAAATACTAAATACAATAATTAATTAAGAGCTAATGATGATTTGAGAACATCAGCTGAAGCAAATGAGAAAAAAGCAAAGAAGGCTGAACTTGATCTTTAAAAAGCTTTAGAAGAAATAGAAAAATTGAAAAAACAATTATCTGATGCTAAAGTAGTAGTATAAACAGTACCATAAGGAATTGATTAATAAAAGGTTGATTAAATGTAAGATTTAATTTATAGTCTATAAAAATAATTAAGAGAAACAGAGGATAATTTATAAGATGCACTTAATAAACTTAGAGATGCTGAAAATAGAATTAAATAATTAGAAAGATAACTTAAAGATATGGAAATATAAAATTAAATGGCATAAGATAGATTAAAAGCTTAATAATTATTATAATAATAAATGAATAATAATAATGATAATAATAAATAATAAATTAATCCTACAGATATTATTGCTGATTATGAAAGATAAATTTAAGAATTATTAAGAGAATTAGAGAAACTCAGAAATGCTAAACCTTTTGATGACAGAATGTTAAAAAGACAAATCTAAGATTTATAATCATTAATAGTTCTTATGTGTGCTGAAATTGAAGCTTTAAGAGCTAAAATTAGATGAGTATAATATCAACAAAAATAATTATTAAGAAATTACTTATAATTTATGTTATTTATATATAATTAAATATGGTTTTATTAATCTAATATAAATTTAGATATACTTATTTCTAATTATATATAAATAATAAAAATTGTTGAAATTAATTTTATATTTTTAATAATATACATATAATTTATAATCCCTTAAATAAGTAATTAGTAATGATTTTTAGTTGATAATAATAAATAAATAAGAACATTATAGGATATTTTTTGAATTAAATTAAAAAGTATAAATATAGAACTAGCTTGAATATAATTAAAAAAAGATATGAATTAATTTGAACAATTCTACCTTAGATGTTTCGATCTTAAAAATGGAGAATATTCTTTAATATTTATACAAAGTAAGTTATTGATTATGAATATATTTTTATTTAATTTAAAATTGCACACATAATAATCTATTATTTTATTTTTTTTTATTCATGTAATAATAAACAAAAAATAAAATATAATTTTGTTTAGATCAATAAATATGATAAAATAACTTCCATATAGTTAAAGAGAAAGGATGAGTCTTATTGATTTGCTTTTTGATGAATGCTATCAAAAATAAAAGACTTTACCTTAAAACATCCCTTTAATCAGTACAAAACCAAGTGCTAAGAAATCAGCACCAATTATTAAATCTTTTGAGAGTAAGAATTTACCAAAGGAATAATTCATAAAATAGAAAGATAAACTATCGAATATTTACTCAATTAATGAATCAATAATCTCAAATCCTCAAAAAGAATAATGGGAATATTAATAAGTTTAGAATTCTCAATAAAAATTACTGGAATTGTTAAAACCTATAAAATTTAAGAAATAAAAGAAAAAAGACAATTTTAGATTGCATAATAGTGAAAGTTGCTTAAATAATTAATAGAAATTACCTAATTTGTCTTCAAGTATAAATTAAAATATGAAGAATTGTAATTCATATAGAATTTAAGTAAGATAATCAGTTTAAGATATAATTAAATGTAAAATATGTTTCACATATATCGAATTTGATAATTTTAAATTAAATTGTAAACATAGCTTTCATAAAGATTGTTTGAGAGATTAACTTTAATAATAAATAAATTAAGGATAATATCATTTAAATTGCATTAGTTGTAATGAAAGAATAAAAAGCAACTAATTGAGAAATGTATTAAATAAGAGTATTATTGAATTATACTACTTAAATTAAATTAAATTTATTGTTTCAAAATATCATAATATAGTACAATTTGAGAAATGTAAAAAATGTTTCTTTTTTTGGATTAAAATACCATTAACAAATAATAACGAATCCTATTGTTAGATTTGTGACTCAAATAAATGATTCAAATTATAAAAATACTATTTAGAATATGAAATAAGAATTCATAAAAAATTATATTCTGATAAATTAATCTTTATATTTCAGAAATTCTAATATTTTCTATATAGAACAATCAAATATTACATTACTTACTGGTAACCAATATACATTTATATTTTCCCCTAAACTTTATTTTATATTTACACTGTATTAATTATTGTGATTTTTTTATAAAGTTTATACATTACATTTCATATTTATAAATACAATATATTATAAATATTAACTAACTTATCATTTGACTTTGATTAAAAAATTAGAAGATGAACAAAGAAAAAACATGATATAAAATACCAAGTGTACTCTTAATCTGCTAAGAGTGATCTTCTGTTGATTCACTATAATAAAATTAAATCTAAAATACAAAATGAAATTTATGAATTAGTAATACCTAAAATCTACATATATTTTGATTAATATCTCTTTTTCTTACTTTGAGGTTCATTATAAGAAGTAATAGATATTTTTTATTTATAAATCCAAACCTAAATCTAATGGCATTTAGCACATCTACTTCATTTATTTAAATACAACATGAATTCAATACTTCACCTAAATTGCTACCATTATTTTGATATATTATGCAAAAAAGTGAACAACAGTGATTTAATTCTTATAAAGATTATAAAAAAATCAATTTAATGTAATGAAAGAGTATATGGATATAAGATAACTTTTAAAATAACCAAAAATAAATTTTTTTTTACTCCCATTGATTATTTTAATAAATTTATTGGTTAAAAGATATATATTTTCTCAATTTTTCTTAACTCCCTATTATTATTATTATTATTATTATTATTAAGGTTTTCTGTATGGTTTAAATTGTTTTGGCATTCTATGTGGCATTACTGTTTCCCAACCCTTATTTTAATTATACTATGATTACATCATCTTCCTCGTCCTTCTTTTTATAGTTCTTCTATCCATCACTTCTATTGAATTATTTTCCATCATGCTCTACAAATTTTTATATAATGTATACCTTTTCTGTTATATTGATCTTTATTCTTCTAAGGAGCATCTTAATATTTGTTGCCTGTTGCTGGTAATGGATTTTATTTATTCACATTATCTGGTAATTTCTATGAGGACTTCTAAAATCTAGGTGGGAATTTTATCCAAAAGCCTCTGTCTTTAATTTTCTGATGATAGAAGATGGGTTTATACAGTTTCCTTGGTTGTGAATAGGAATTCTTTGGCTTATTCCTTATTCTTGAAAAGCAAGCTAAAACTTCCAGGATTGTAATTTTCAACTTTAAGGAATTCAAAATTTGGAAAAGCTAATTTCACTTCTTCAATGGTAGCATCAAAATGGCATTTTACAATGTTGAGTAAAATTTCCTCATCAGGACATTCATCAATTAATCTTTCAATCTCTCCTCTCGATTGCATTTTGGGTTTAGGTTTGTTACTTGTGTAATGTCTTTACTCTGGCTATTGTGGCTAGGATTCTTCATCTTTAATTTGATCCCATTCTATGATAATGCACATGAATACAGAGAGCTTCTTTCTATGGTTAATCCATGATTTGAAATTAATTTAAATAAAATCTTAATACTTACGCAAAACAATTATTTCAATATAATAATTGAAATTCATTCATATCATTCTAATTCACTTAATATCCATTTATATAAAATGAATCTATGAATAAAATCCTTAAAATATATAAAACATATAATACTTTATAAATTTAAATGAATTGATCTTCTATAAAAACAGCTAATTTATTTATTTAATATTATGAAGAATCTTATGTTTTTGCAATTAAACATTATCATAAATATTTATTATTGTATCATATATAAATATTAATATCTATAAGAGTGTTAAAGAATATTAAAAATAAAAGTCAGATAATAATTATTAAAATCCTTGATCTATTTTATTTAATAAGACTTACACCTTTTCATTATGATATTCAATAAGGGTTTTTTAATTAATTTCTTTTTTTTAATAAATCTTACTTATTAGTGAAAATTCATGTTGAATTGAAATTAATAAATATTTCAATAAAATCAAAAAAATTATGAGATGATAATTATTCATTATTATATTTATTCTAATTATATTGATATATTATTATTATTTCTTAAAAAGACTAAATTCAATAAATACATATTAGATTAATCTATAGGAACTATATTTTTGTTTAAATACTATGATATTTTTAATAATTGAATAATTTCAATAAAGAGATTAATATAAAGTATGCTTGCTTTAAATATAAAAAAAATAAAAATTACAATTTAAACAACTACATTTTTATAAATTATTACTTATTACATAATTTAGAAGAGTAATAATATTATGATAATCTAATTTTAATTTTAAAAAGAGTGTTAATTAATGATTAATTTTAATTATTAATTAACTAAATGTTTAGTACAGAAGAATTCATTCGACAATATTAGAAACTAGCTAATCCAGACAAAACAATTAGTAATTAAGCTAATTAATACATTCTCAAATTATAATAAAGCAATGAAGCATTTACTATTGCAAAAGAATTATTAGACTAACCAAATATTTAATAAGAATATTAATTCATAGCATGTTAAATGATTTACAGAAGATTGAAAGAAGAATGCAATATTTCTATTCAACCATATCTTCTAGAATTATTGACAAGACATTTACCATCTGTTGCCATGAATTAGGTATGTTCTTCTTTAGCTGTGATAATAGTTGGAAATAGATAATTATGGGGAGGGTATTATTAATAATAATGATAGAATATTGTAAGAATTGATATAATTAATGAAAGCTAAAATGACAATAGGAATAGAAATTTTAACATAAATTGCAATTTAAGGTAAAGAATGGTATAAAAAAAGTGAATAATTAAGATTGCAATAAGAATTTATTTCTTAAGAAAATACTTTATCTGAAATATTTCTTAGTTTACTTATGGTTTAAGACTTGAGTATATTTAATTAAACAGTTTAATGTATTGAATGTTGGGTATAATTCTCATATAATATATTCAAAGATATAAAATTAACTCAATAAATATTAAGTTTAATACATTAAACAATATCAAGTAATGCTACTGAATATAGTGATAAATTATTTGCTTTATTAAATGAAGGTGTTATATTTTCATAATACAATAGATAATAAAATGTAAATTAGATTGATTCTACAGTATTATAAAATTTAAATTTGATACTTGAATTTATCATAAAAATATACAATCCACAATTATCAAAAGGATATGCTTCATTTGCAACTAAATTTTTATGTGATTTTTATGCAATTATTTTTAATTCAAAATATGAATAAGCAGTATTTAATTTGATGGGTAATATTGTAAGTAATCCATCAAGAAAGATAGCATTTTAAACATTTGAATTTTGGAGTTAGATGAGAGAATATAATAAATTATAAGGATTTGGTTTAAATATATTATAAACAATGATTGATAAATGTAGAATGAAAACAATTAAATTGACAAAAGAATTTTTATTAGGAGAACCTGAAGAAGAAGATACAGATTATAATATAAATTATTATGAAGGAGGTTAACATTTTATTTCAACATCTGATTTTAGAGAAAATTCAAAGGATATATTTTATAGTATTTATAAGAGTGCTGAAATGAATATGCAATCAGATTAATATTTTTAAATTGTTTTAAATAATTTGATTATCTCTAATCCAGATTCATAAATACAAATAATTCAAAGTGAATCTGCATTATTTTCATTATGTTCAATTATAGATGAAGCTGATATTTAAGGTAATAATCAATTAATTTTACAAATAATTCATTTTATTTTATCATTACCTGTTCATTAAAACTTTGATATTATTGTTAAAACATCTTTATAAATGTTTAGTGAATTTACAAATCAATTATAATTACATAATGAAGTATTGCTATAAATAACTTAATATTTTTTCAAATATATGCTTCATCCATTGTTAGGACCATTGGCAGGAGTGTATTAATATAAACAATAATTATTTTAGAGCATTTGAATAGATTTGTAATTTAAGTTGTTTGAATAATGTTGAATTGATATCTGAAAGTGTCAAATTCTTAGAATTGCATTTTAGTGAATTTATCAATTAATCTCAAGTAAGTAATTATATTGAGGGAATAATAAAATTATGTTATAGATTATTTGAATAAGGAAAAACTGAATGTTTAATATAAGTAAATATTTATTAAATATTAGTTATTTAATTTTGCAAATCATTAATTTTAATAAGTAAAGAATCCTTAAGTGACTGAAAAAGAATTTCATTACAATAATTCTTTAGTTGTCACAATACTTTAATGGATGAATTTGAATGCTAATTAAAATGATTAGATTAAGTAATTATTAGAATTATTGTGTTAATCTATATTTGAACCCTTGTTAATTGTTTTATAAGGTTAATATAGTTTTTCTTTATATGATGATATTTACAAATTAATTCGAATTATACTGAAAGTCTCAAACTATTAAAATTAATAATAAGTAATACATCTATTATAAATATCTTATTAAATATTTCATTCTGATCCAATTCAAAAGAATAATTGGTTATAATTAATAACTTAAGCAATTGGTAGATCTATTAATCATTAATTTATTGTTTAATGGGCAAATGCTAATGATTATTAAATACATTTATTTTGTATTGAATCATTCAATCGTTGGAAGGATCCAGATCTAATGAAAGTATATGTAGAATATGTAAAAGAATGCATAAGATGTTGTCAATAAATATTATTTGATTCACCTTATTTATAAAAGATTATTGATGTAATTTGTGATGCCTTTCTTAATTTAAGTTCATATGAAATGCAAAGGGAGATTTTTCATTTTTTTAAGTATAATATATTGTAAAAATAAATTAGATCTTTATTTTAGTCTTTGGATAATAGTAAAGAATATTTCAATCCTTTAGTAATAAAGATTGTTACTACTCTTTTTATGTCCATAAGTGATATCAATCCTGCTATAGTATTTTAAATAATTTAGATTTTACTATCAATATTGTAAAAATAAGTGAATCCAAATGATTTAGAAGAATTAATTTTTTAAACATTATAAAAAAGTTGGGGAAAAGATAAACAACCTTAAAAAGTTAAATTAGTCAGCTAAGCCATAATTTCATATTTATTAAAATCTAAATAAGGAGAAATAAATAGAAATCTGAAATTACTACTAGAGAATTTACGACCTATGAGTGAAGAAGAAATCAATTATATGCAATTGGAAATAGTAATAAAGCAAAAATGATTTATATTTTTAATTGAATCTACAAATTTCATTCATCTAATTAAGAATTTCAACTTTAGATCCATATCTTCAGTTTGTTTTATCCAATATTCTTTAAATAATACTCTAATTAAAGTTATTCAATATGATTAGTTAATATAATTAAAAATATCAAATATTAAGTAATTTATGTTCCCATTCATATACACTATAGATGGCAAATGCCCATTTTTTAAATGAAGATATGTTCTCTATTAGAAACCGTTACAGTTATACTAAATTAAATAAGTATTTTCAACTTAAATATACTGATTAATCCAGATTAAAAACCTTAAGAATAAAAAGTAATTCAAAAATGTTGAAATAAGCTTAATCTTTGGATTCTTGTCAAATTTAATAGTTCATTTTTTTGTTTATCTTCATTTTTTTTCTCAAATTTTATGGTTTTTCATTCTGTTGTATTTCCTTATTATTCTATCTCATATATAATAAAGTTTAGAAGATATATATATTAAATCTTAAATTTATTTTTATTTCAATTATAATTAAAAGACTTTGATTTAAGTAATGTTTTTTTCTCCATTTGTACAATTTGATCAATTTATGTTTTTTGTCTTTGAGTATCAGCCCTTATAAAGGCATCTACTTTATAAAATTACACCCAAGCTTTTCCTTGTTGCAATTCGTCAAGCTAAGAAGTTATAGATTGTTTTTCATATTTACTTCATCTGATATCTCTTATTCTGAATAACCCTACTATTTTACAATATCCCAGAAAGCCAACCATTCTTAAATCGTTATGTTCCCACTTTTATTATAATCAACTTATTAAAATAAAGCATCTGTATTAATTTTTGCAAAATTTGATTTCCAAAATTGTAATGTTCTTTCTTTATCAATAGAACCCTTATTATAAATGTCAATCTTTTGAAATATCATTATTGCTTTTAATCTTAAATTTTTTGAAATTTATTTATGCTCTGGTCTATTTGAACAAGTTCCCATTTTAATTTTATTAATTAATTTATAATGTTATCTCTCAAAGAACTCATACCTGCTCTTACTAAAGATTTCACATAAGGTATCACTCGAGTTGATAAGCATATCTACATTTAACCTAAGAAAGAACATAAATACACATTTATTTGGGTAAAATAATATATTAAATAAGATGCATGGATTGGAAGATGTTCCTGACAGTTTTTTAGCAGGATTCAATAATCAAGAATTAAACCCTTTTGATAATTAGACAACTAAGGTTATTTTACTATGTGCACCTGTGAGACCATTAACCAAAAATAAAGGAGAAATGATGACATCATGGTATGATATAATGATTCCAAACTGGAAATAATTTTGGGGAATTAAATCTGATAAAGAATTGTGGGGAGTTGATTAAGCTATAGAATCAAGAAATTTCATATGGAATTTGATAGATTAAGAACCTATTCCAAAGAAAAATATTTTTATTGGAGGTTTTTCTTAAGGATGTTGTATGTCATTATTGGCAGGATTAGGATATAAGTTATTTTAATTAGTTAATTATAATTAGGGAATCTTTAGGAGGAATACTTGGAAATTCTGGATATTTGTTCCCATTCACTGAAATAAATAATAAGACTCCTATTTAAATTTTACATGGTGAAGAGGATGAAGTTATTCCATATGAATTTGCTGAAAAATCTATTTAGCCTTTATTTAAATTATAAATTAAAATTGAATTAATTAAATTAAAAGGGATTGAACATGCAATGATGATGGATAATTTTCAATTAATGAAAAAGTTTATAACAAATTGTTTATCATGAAAATATAGATATTATTTTAAATTGTTATTTATCTAATCTACTAAATTTAGAATACTTAAAATATTATTTTAATGTGAAATTAAAATAAAACATTTAAATTAAATTAATGATATCGATTAATCAACAACATTCCCATTTTTATTATTAAATAGGATAGCTCACTTAAACAGAAGGTCTTTAACTTTTATGAACTACAAGTGAATTTCTTCTTTTTTCAAAATCTCCTATTTTTATTCCATAAATCTTTGATAGATATTAATTATACTTCATTTTATGGATCAATTTTACCACTTTAAATTTCTTAAAGTATCTATGAAGTAAGATTTTCAAATATCTGAACAACATTTAAACCATTTAAAGCAGAAGTTTCTATATAATTTGCATTAAATTATTTTGCAAGTTCTAATGCTTCTTTTTCTTAAACTTCTCTTCTATCTTTGAATATGGAAAAGTATACTTATTTTGTAAATCATGTTTATTTCCAACAATAATTATTTAAATATCATTTCCACTACATGCCAAAACTTCATTATGCCATCTAATTAAAGATTCAAATGATTTTCTATCTGTCAAATCAAATACCAATATACATCCAATAGCACTAAATTAACTTCAATTTACTTTCTATAATATGATCTAATCATCGATTAAAAAGATTCTTATCCAGCCTAATATTAGTGATTGTAATCTTACTGTATCCCATATATGTAATTTAATAATATGACTATTATATTTGATAATATTAGTTCCAAATTCTACTCCCATTGTGATTTAATGAGCATCTCTAAATTTTTGATCAACATATTGCAAGAGTAAACAACTTTTCCCTACACCTTCATCAATAATAAATTTACTAACTAGTGCTTCCTACAATAATATACTTAAAGAGATAATTATAATTTTTCATTATTAATATGATTTATTAATAATTGAATAATGGAAAATACAATACTTATTTATAAATGGATTAATGAATTTTAGACTTAATTATAAGTATTATTTGAAGAATTTTGATATTATATATCATTTATTCAAATTAAATGCCTCATCATATATATTGTTATAATAAAGAGATATTTTTTATTTTTAGTTTTATTTTATTTTATGTTTTTTTACTTCAATTTTAATATCCTTTTTATCAATCTTCATGAATCAATGAATCAGCAAATAATTTATATATATTAATAAGGTTGAAATTTGCAACCCTTAATATAATAATAATGTTTGTTTTTGATAAAATTATTCTTATTAATGGAATCTTTATTAATTGATATTATAGTTATTATCAAATTAATTGGAAAATACGTTGTCATACACTTAAGTGATATTTTTATCACTTTATTTTCAGTATATTGTCATTCTAAATTTTCAAAGTTTTATGATTTATTATTAATGTAATTTTTTTAGAAGTCTGAAGAAGAAATTAGAATAGAGTAAAAACTATAAAGAATAAATGCAGCTAAATAAGAGGAGAAGTATAGAAAACCAAATCCTTGTTAAGTTACATTTCCAGAAGAAAATTTTATAGAAATGAAAGTTCAATAAGAAGGAAAACTTATCAAATTAAATACTTATAGATTTTAAGCAAATGGTAAACCTAAAGCTGTTATTTTTATGTTTCATGGTTTATGTGCACATATTAATCATTGTGCTCATATTGCTTAGAAGATGGCATAAGATGGATTCTTAGTGGTTGGATTTGATAACAGAGGTTTTGGAAAATCTGAAGGAATAAGAGGTTATCTAGAGAGTCTTGAAATTCATTTATCAGATTGTCGTCTATTTATGTAGAAAGTATTGGAACTATAAGGAAATTCTAATATTCCTGTCTTTTTATCTGGTTTATCAATGGGAGGAATGACTTCTTTTAGATTGGCTATTTAAGGAAATATTCCAAATCTTAGAGGAATTATTTTATATGCTCCTGCAATTAAAACACTATTTAGCAATCTATAAATTAATACAATCAAATTTGTAGGATATATCATTCCAAAATATAAATTAATAAAACCAAAAAGAGGTTAAACTACTAAGAATCCTTAAGTGACTGAAGATTTAATGAAAGATCCTTATACATACTCGGATGAACTCCTTCCTAAGACTATTTCTACAATCACTGTAAGTATGAAAGAATGTGAATCCATGTATCGATAATTACAAACTCCTTGGATAGTTATACAAGGAGGTCTTGATAAATTAGTTGATCCAGATTTGGCATTTACATTAGAAAAAGAATCACCATCACAAGATAAAACTGTATTATATTATGAAAATTTATGGTAAAAGATTATTTAATTATAATTAGGCATGATGTATGGCATGAGGAAGAGATACATGATATTATTCCTAAAGTAATATAATGGTTAAATTAGAGAATATGAATTAAATATTATATAGTAATAAAAAATAATTTGTTATTAAATATTATACTTTCGATTTGATAATTGATAATTTATAAGCTATCTAATTAAAATTATAAAGAATATATTTTGGTTAGAAAATAATAGATTACTATGTTATGAATATGGAACTTAAGTTGTTCATGTTAGTTTAAAAAACATAGATAGTTTATAAAATAATAATATTAAAATTATTGGAATTATGGGTTCTTGTTAAGGAACAACATAAGATATCTAGCAAGATTTACGAATGAGAGAAATAATGTCACAGTTTTAGGTTCCAATGCCTTATACAGAGGAATATTAAATATTTTAAACCTTGAAATGGTTAGAAATGTAATCAAAGATTAAATCAATAGAATACAACATAATACTATACCAAATTTTGGATTAATTTATTCAAAAGCAGCAGATTCATAGAATAAATTGAGAGAATTTGTTAAAAAGTGGAGAACAAAGTATGAATAACATAACCATCCAAATTTGTTATCTATTCATAATATTTCCATAATAGAATCAATGAAAGTTTTTATTCCATATACTGAAATAATACTTCTTATGGATAAGCCATTGGAACCTTTATCTAGACATAGGAAAGTCATAATGAAATAGCAATTTAATTAAGATGAAATAACATTTCTTTTAGATTGTGTAGTTGCAGCATTTTCATTTTAACAAACAAATAAAATATATCCATCTGGTTTTGATATAGATGATATCATAATTGTTAAAACTCCTTTTAATATAGATGTTTATAAATTAGTGGATAGATATTAAAAACCAATTAGATAAAACTTATTTCAAGAATTCATATAACTTTATGATGATAAACAAAGTACTTAAATATCATTATGTATTTTAAGCTTTGAATGAAATGAAAAAGACAGCCTTTCTATCTCCAGCATAAATATAGGCTATTCCAAGAAAAGATAAAGTATATCATATATTAATTATTCAAAGTATCTTAAACATAATCGATATAAATCAGATGTATTTAATTTTGGATTGATGCTTATATATTTAATTTAAGCAAAGAAACCAGAAGTATATGATTGGAAGAGATGGACTATAGATGATTTTGCATTAAGAAAAGTTTAAGATGATTTGATAACTACTAATTTTAATGAATAAATATTACATTTGATTGAAATGATGTTAAAAGTAGATGAACATGAAAGACCTGATTTCATATAATTAGATGAAATGGTAAATAAATTGTTTCTAGATCTAAAAAAACATCGTTTATTAGAATAATATTAACCATAAGAATTTTTTATTGCTGGCTATAATAAACCTTCTTTATTTGATAATCTAATGAATTAAAATATCTTTTAATCTAAATATCCTTAATCACCAACTATGATAAAATCTAGTTAACATTTATCTAAAAACTAATAAATAGAATAATAAAAATATAAACAACAAGATACAAGTCAGGCTTCAATTAAAGATTAGAAATGGTAAGAAGGAAAAACTTAAGAGACAAAAACAGGTTTTGAAAATAGTGTGACTTAAGGAAAATTACATTATTCAAATGGATTTTATTATATCGGATAAATTTGTAATAGAAGAAGACATGGTTTAGGAACATATTATGATTCTGAAAATTAAAAGGTAACTGAAGGAATGTGGGTTTTTGATATTCCAGAAGGTGAAGTTACATTTTATAATAAACCAAAATAAGAATTAGAGAAATCACATAAGAATTTAGCAAGAAAAGATTGGATTTAGTATAAAGGATAAGTTAAACATGGATAAAAGCATGGCATTGGAGTTCTCTATTTTGCCGATGGATCAAAATTTATGGGAGTTTTTTCATGTGATTAAGCACATGGGAAGGGTCAATTTGAATATCAAAGTAAAGAATGCTAAATAGGTAATTGGTAGCATGATTTATATATTAGTTGATTTGTTTAATATTTATAATCAATTATATTATCATTTTTTAATTCAAATTTTATAGAAATATTATATAAATAATCTAACAATATGTGTGTTATATTATTTATTTTTAGTATATTGGAAATAATATAATAATTAATACTATTCCTTCATAAAAGCATGAAGTAATTACTTTTCTTAAAATAGAATTAAAAGGTCAAAAATAGTTATAAAATATATTGAAAATTTTAATCATTTGAATATATTAAAATAGTTTAAATTTCTATAAATATTTCTATAAACATCTATTAATCTGCAGAAACAATTTAATATTAAGAATATTTTAATCAAAGTTATTAGATTCATAATTATAACCAAATATATATTGCTTATGAATATATATTTCAATGAAATTTAATAATAATTACAATCATTAAAGTTAAGATTATTCTTTAATCTTAATAAAATGCTAAATAATGTAATCATTACTTAAATTTAATATTAATATGTATTTGAGTTTAAATTATGATTAGATTGACTATAAATAATATAATCATCAAACATTAAAACATTAATTAATAATCTTAAAATACTATTAATTTTGGATGAAAATGATGGATAATAAATAATCTGAAATTATGAACATGTTTTGCAGTTTAATTAAATCATATATCTAATTTTAAACTTTTAATGTTATTAAAAAATGATAGCATTAATATTCCAATAAAAACTGATATAAAACACTTGAAAAATAAAGAGTAAAAGAATTAACTATTTTGAACATCTTTTTGAAATGCAAAAAACATAGATAAATTAGAAAGGGAATCATTTACGTTTTTCATATAAATGATTATAATCAAATTATTATAAACCTTATATATTCTTAGTTCTTTATAAATATGGTGATTATGAATAATAATTTAAAATCTTACATAAATTTGGTTTAGTTTAAATCAAAAAACTTCTAGGTTGATTTTGAAATTAGGATCAATTTGTATTTTATTATTGTTTCTTGATTAAAAGCCAAAAACATTTATAAATAAAAAATTGGAATTTTAATACAGTTTTTGTTCATTAATGACTCATGGTATAATGATTACTAATTTAGTGCTTTATTTAGGAGTAGGAGATTTTGCTTTATAAATGTAAACAATAATGAATGAGAATTAGAAGTAATTAGTTTAATGGTTATTTAGATTATAAAGAATAGTGTTCCCATAAAATAAATATTCTAGAGATTCATCTAAAACATCAAAAAAAGGAGAACAAGAGTTATGTTTTATAAGTGTTATTTGTTGTGAATAAAACACTTTTTTAATAGATAGTACTGTTGTTTAATAAAGTAGCTTAATATGATCTTTGGGGATTTGGAAATTCTTAATTTGCATCATTAGGTTTATAATAGGCTTCTGTTAATATGCCTATAAACATTTCATAAATAACTTAAAATTCTTATAAATTAGTAAATGCTGGAACTGGTTTTGTAGTTACATACTCAACAAATAAAAAGATATATGTTTGGGGAAATTGGCACTAATTAAATTATGGTGAAGTTTTAAAGCTTTCAGAGAAATAAGGTTTCACAGAATAAATTGACACATTTTATTAGATAAGTAGTTTAGATATTACTTATAATTTTTCTATCAATAGATACAATGAATAAGAAAGAAGATCTAGTCATATGCCTGTTCATTAAGCTGAAGTTATAGCTTTAAAATGTGTAGGTACAAAAACTTATCTTTTAACTCCAAGTAAATTATTTTGTTTGGGATTACAATAACAATTTGTAGTTTAATTTATAGGTATAGCTTGTAGTTAAAAACATATATTGGCTTGGGATAATTAAGGTAAAGTATGGAGTTGGGGAGAATATGCAGATGGAAAGTTAGGTTATATGGATTTTATCTAAAAAGAACAATTAAGTCCAAAATTAATTGAAGATTTCTAAACAACAATAATGTCTTGTGTTTGTGGTTCTAATTATAGTATAGCACTTGATGTAAAAGGAGATATTTATGGATGGGGTAAAGGTCCATTTTAGATAGATTTATCATAAGCTGTTATACCATCAAAACTTTGTTAAAAATAAAAACCATTCATTAAAATTATGGCAGGTGATTCTCATTTTGGAGCATTGGATTTATCAGGATAATTATATGGATGGGGAATAAATATTAAAAATTGTTTAGGAGATTTAGGTGATAAAATAAGGTATCCTTAATTATTAGAATTAAAGAATATTAAAGTAATTGATGCTGCTATGGGTAGTACATATACTGTTCTTATTGTTCCATCTAATTCAAAATACAAATTACCAAGTTTAAATGTTGATTCTTATACTTCACATTAATAAAAAAGAGTTAGAGAGGAAGCTGCTTTTATTAAAGATTTTGCTGATAAAAAGAATAAAATTGATTAAATATAGATACAAAGTTAGAATTAATAATTTTATGATACTTTAGAATCACCATCTAATAATAATACTTAATATGAATAAACAGCTGGTTTATTAAGGAAGATGAAAAGCTAAGTTGATTCACTTAAAGGAGTTTCAAAGAATAAATGGAATACAAAATCATTAAGATTAGATACTGAAATAATTAATTATAATAATAATCATGTAAATTAAGATTATGATAATGTGTAATCCAAATTAAAATAATTAGAATATCAAAATTATCTTTATATTCCTGTGTGTAATACTTCTACTCCAAAATCATTATAAAATTGGGAATAGCGTTAAGATACAGATTAATTTTTAACTTATGAAAATGATGTATTAAAATATTAATATATTCTAATGGTTAAGTCTTAAGATGAATCTAAATTTATGAAAACATTATTAAATGATAATAATAAATAATCAATTGAAAATCAAAATAATATATTAATGAACTCTAAGATTTGCAAAAGAAAAAGTGATGATCTAAATGATAAAAAGAAATATCATGATAAATTTGATTAATTTGATCCATATTTTCTTCATAATGTTAAAAGAGATTTAAAATTATTATCATAAAAGAGGAAACAAATCTTTTTAAAAAAACAAAAATAAAGAGAAGAATTTAATAGGGAAGTAGCTGAGAAAATGTAATTAACAAAAGTTCACATATAAAATAAAGAAGATATTATTAAGGCTATTTAAACTTAAGCATATGAAAGAGATATGAAGTTAAGAATTGTTCAATAAAAAAAATAAGATAATTTTATAGAGAAGATTCATCATATTCAATAATAAATTCAAGAAAAATCTCCAGAATTTAGATATAAAAAAAGATTAGAAATTATAAGATAATAATAAAATATGTAATTTTTTAGAATGATATTAACTTATTTCAATATTGAAAATATTTAATAAATGATGTAAGATACATCTCAAAGAGGTTTGGAATTGAAAAGATTAATGTTTAAAGAGCACATGAAAGCTAGAGTAATACAAAATACTATTAGAAAAAGAAATATCATAAAGAAAATTAAACAGAAATTAGGTTTAAGATAAAAGAAGATTCTATTATCATTTATATTTAGATTCAAAATTCATTTTAGAATTAAATCTAAATATACATATATTAGAAAAATAAATTTATATCATCTAAAAACTTCTTTATTTAACAAATTTAGAATCAATTTAAAAACTATTATTACTAAAACTTAAACAATTTAAAGTTTTTGTAAATGGTATAATCATAACTTTTATGTTCAATTAAGTTATCTAAATTATAAATGGGATGAATATTTAAAATAAAGCTTTAAAGGTTAAATGACAGAAAAGGAAAAAGAAGAATTAAAATTATATGAATTACCTGATCTTATGGAAAAACAATAACATCTTTTGTAGAAATTAATTACTCCATAAAAATAGTTGAATTGGAATGATTTAAAATTTAAAATAAAACCAGTATGTAAATCCTCAGAATTAAGAACAAATTTATTAAAAAAAGTTAAAACAGTTGTATAAATAGATGAAGAAATTAAAGATATAGATCCTAAAATTCTTGGAAGAGTTTTACTTCCTTACACTAGATATAATGATAATATAACTCTTAGTGTAGCAGCTAAAATAAGATTTGACCATCAAATGATGATATAATTGTAGGTTCATGAAAAAGTATATATGGAAGAATTAATAGTCAAATATGAAATTCTTAAAGAACACCTTGAAAAAATCAGAAGAGAATTCACTAGATAAATGAGAGATGTAATCTATCTATTTATTAATTAAGTTTTATACAAAATTAAATGACTATAAAGAAACTCATAAGCAATAAATAAATACAGATAGAGGAAAATTAATGATTAGATTTAAAGCTGATGGTCCTGAAATTAAATAATTAAAGGCAAAAGATGATTAAGAACTTAAATAAATTTTACAAAAAAGAGAACTTTCAAGAAAAAGAAATGGATAAAATATTATAATTTTTAAAGAGATTATTTTTAATAAAATTCGTCAATTACCATAAGATTAATAACCATTTCCTAATTTAATACTTAAATTAACAGAGAATATGTGTTCTGATACAAAACCAAAATTTAAGTTAAGATTACATTAAAGTGAATGGTCAAGACTATTTAATTAATACTAATCTGAACTCAAACAAAGATATTTGGCAATTATGAATGAAGCAAGAAAAACTGTAACATTTAGAAAGAAAAATTAAAAATAAAATAAATTGATTAAAAATAAACGAACTTAAAAGGCAGAATAATGATTAAAAATATTATTTAATAAATTATTTATTTCAATTAAGTAATCTATTACATACTCTTATTGATCTTATTTTGAAAAAAATATATTATTCAAAATATACTTTTGATTTTAAGGTAGATATGTAGAAATTAAATAGGGTTTACATTTATAAATTTCATGATTTCTTGGTTTAGACTATTTTTTAGCCTAAAATTTCAGTTTGAAACTAAGATTTTCCATTTGAAATAATCAAAATAGAATTTTATTAGGATCAAAATAATTATATATATATTTGTGGATTCAAAATATAATATTAATAATAATATTATTTCAAGCCTCCTCCAAGGGTTGTTTTTGTTACTCTTAATCCTCATGATTTTCTATCTAGGATACTTATTATTCTACTTAAGTTTATTATTAAGCTTATTACTCTTCCTGTTTTGGTTATTCTTAAAGTGAATTCTATTGTTCTTAAATCTAATCTTGTTTTATTTCATTTGTTTATTCATTTTATTCTTCCTTTTGTTATAATATTTCTTCTTCTTTTTGTATCAATTATGGTTATTATTCTTAAGTTTCTTTAGTTTATTCAACGACTTCCTATTGTAATAATACATTCTAAAAATTTTAAACATAAACTGGTGAATCTACAATTTATTCTACATGCTTTTAAGGTTATTATTCTTCTTATTATTCTATGTTTTCTTCTTTAACTTGAACTGCTTCTACAGGTATTTCTTGTTCAATTTAAGCTTCTTCTGAATCGAATTACTCTGCTTGTTGAAGATTTTCTTGATTTTCATTATCGTTCGAATTATCTTCTTATTATTCTTATTGATTTTCAGTTGTTTCTGTTGTCGAATTATTAGTAGATGTATATTAGCCAGAGCCTAAAGGTTCAGGCCATAAAAGAGGAGGACTATATGAATCCACATTTACTTGTTCTCTAAATCTTGGATTTACACCTAATAACCATGTTTATTCAATTTCATTTACTACTTTTAATTCTTCAACATATTTTAACCATTCATTTTGAATATTGAATATTGCTGTTTATACTATTTAATATTATTGTAAAACATTAGGAGAATTAATATAATTTGTTATTTTTGTTAATATACCTTAATATCCATGTTTTTTTTTTCTTTCTTCTTAACCATTATTTTTAATGAGTATATTCAAAAAATTTGTATCCTCAAAAAGAAGTTAATGTAAATTAGTATTTTTTGAATCTAAAATAGCAACTATCATTTTTTCAAATAAAATATGTAATTAATTATTAGTAGAATAATCAAATACTAAATTAATTACTTATTAAAATATTTATCCATTTTTAATTATGATAGCTAATTCTTATTTCTAAATTAACTACACAATTAATTATATTAAAGACAATTTTGAATCACCTAATGGTTTAACTGTGACTCCATAAGTTGTTTAAAAAGATGCTCTAAATAGATCTTTTTAAATTAAAGCCTTAGATGATTCATCTAATATGGGCTTATAAAGAGTAGAGAATTAAATATCATAATGGGTATCTTCAATCTAAGACATTTTAAGATAAAACTCATATTGAATATTAAGTAAATTATACACTGAACTATTTTATGTATGTATTGCTAAATTCATAAAGAATTCTGGTTTTTCAATAGTTAATAAGATTTCTCTCAAAACTATCATTACATCAAGTGACATTAATGCTCTTTTATAAACTTCAATTAATGATTCACACAAATTTGTAGTTATTGTATTTTCATGTGATTATCCTTTAAGGTATTTGAGCAATCTAGTTATTAAAAGTGTTCTCTCTTATATAAATAATCTCTCATCATGCTCTTCTTAACATGTATCTAAAATGATCAATTTTTCAAATATTTCAGTAATATGTCTTATGTTTGCATGCTTAAATAAATTCGATATTATTTCTGGATTATTTTTTAAATATTCCCAAAACTTAATTTATTAATAACAATACATCATATCCTCTTTTATGAATAATTGCTGAAATAATTTTCGTAAAATACCCTGCTTATGTGATCAACAGACTATCATTTTATAATAAAGAAAGGAGATCTGGTAAAAGATTTGATCTTAATTTTTCATTGTCTTATTGAAATTCTTAATGTTAACTCTCTGTTGGTTGATCTTCAAGTGGATTTTAAATTTCTTCTTAGGATATGTCTCCTTATTTTTCAAATAAGAAATTAATCAATTTCTCATTTTCAGAACCTAGTATTTCACTTATCAAAAATGGATATCTAGAAATATATACATATAGATTACTTTATGCTTGTATTTTTATCTTATTCTTTATCAGTAACATCATTAGTAATGTAATTAATCATTTTATTGTATTCATTAGGATGTTATACTATGCTATAGAATATTTTAAATGTTTTTTTTACAAATCAGCAAATTTACCTGAACTCTAATTTTTTAATTCAGATAAAATGTCTTCCTCATTCAAAATCGTTTCTAAGGTTAAATTGTCTTATTTTAACAATGTATCCATTTTAGATTAAAATCCAAATCCGAAAAATCGACCAAAACTACAATAAAGTCATAATCATACTTTAAAAACATGAAATGATTTTATTAATTTTATTTAATAATTAATAATGCATAAAATTAAATAGACTAAATAGTGTGCTTAATGTGAGGCAATGGATCCTTCATATTTATTAGGATGTTCATATTTCATATATTGATAGAATGTTAACATTATCTATGTTAAAATTGTTTCAAATAGATATTAACCAATACTATTTAATCTAAGAAATCCAAATTTTAAATTAAATGTCCAATTGATTCATGCAAATAGCAAATAGATTTAAAAGAGTTATTAAAATATTTAACATTGCCAAATAAATGTAAACTTTGTAATTTAGAATAATCATATACATGTGGATAATGTGTAATAAAAGAAATAGAAGAAATTGCAAAAATTAATTATTATTCAAAATTGCTAAAATTTGAAACTCTTATAAATTTGGAAACATAAAAGGAATTAAATGAAGAAATCTCAAAACTAGAATTAATATGTCCAATTTGCAGAGAGTTTAATTAAATTCCAATTATTGTTTGTATTTAAGGTCATGAAATTTGCAAAGATTGTTATTATAATATTAGAAATATAGAAGATGTTAAAAAGGCATGTCCTATTTGTAAATAAGAATTATTATCAGCACCTCCAAATAGTTTGAGAGCATAAGTTTTAATAAAAAATTTAAGTATAAAATGTCCAAATAATAATTGCAAATAAATAGTCAAATATCCAGATTTTGTTTAAAATCATTATAGAAATTGTATTAGATTTATTTTTATTATTACATTAGGTTGTGAATAAAAAATAGAATGTTTGGATTGCCATGAAAAAGTTGAACAATTATTTCAAGATATTCATTAATCAAATTATTGCATTGGAAGTATATGTCCATTTAATTGCACACGAAAATTAGGAGTACTAAATTGCATTAAGACAAGGATCATTAAAATAATTTTATTATGGAACATATAATGTCAACTATGAGATAAAGTGATGTTGCACATTCATTTTAAGTTAGAATGCAAATTTTTGAGAAATACTTATTTAGAGGTTCATTTGGCAATTGTTCTTAGTGTGAATTTTAGTATGCTTGGTAAGTAGATGTTAGAGGTAATTAATCGACATTTTGTTTTTATTGTTTTCGATTTACAGGATGATTATATATTATATAAATATTTTAATGAAAATTAACTCTGAATTAATATAGGGATCACATCACTTTATTAATCCATTAAATGAAAGACAGCTTGATCTACGAGGTATTGAAATATTAATATAAATGTTTTAGCAAAGAAAATTACAGCCATAGAAAATTTAGGAGCTACATTGGTATCAAGATTCTTTTATGTAGGATTTTTTTGATCACATTGATTTAGGTGATAATGATATCAAAAAGCTTGGAAATCTCACATTATTAAAGAGGTATTATTATTTTATTATATTAATTTTAGACTTAAGACTCTGAATTTATCTAATAATAGAATAATTAAATTGACAGATGTATCTGATTCATTACCTAATATTGAAAATTTAATCTTAATGAATAATAGATTAACTGATATTAATGAATTATATCAATTAAAACATTGTAAAAAGCTTAAACGATTAATTTTACATGGAAATCTAATAACTTAATAACCTGATTATAGATATAAAGTTATTGCAATTTTACCTAATTTAAAAATTCTTGATTTCAATAAAGTTACACATTAAGTAATAAAATTATTAAATTCAATTTAGGAACGTCAAAAAGCTGAAGAATCTTTCAAACCTGATGAATTGACAGATTATATGAATTTGATTAATTTGAAAGATGCTACTTTAGACAAAGAACACATAAAAAAATTATTAGAGAATGCTAAAACATTTGATTAAATAAACTAATTAGAAATGTTGCTTAAATAATAATAGGTTAAAAATTTATCTATTCTTAATGAGTAATGATGAGTTAAATTATATATATATATATATTATAATATTAATATTTAATTTATAATGAATTCAGAAGGATTTGTTAGCCTTATGCTTGAAAAAGATGATTCTTATTAATTTTAACCTACTGAAAATAAATTTAAAATAAATAATGATGATGATTTTTATAGATAATTAAGTTAAGAGTTTTATGGTCAATAAAATTTATACTATTTTAAAAACAACAAAAAACAAATAAAAACAATTGATAAACTCAAATTTAAATCAAAACCTACTTTCTAAACAACTGAATCTTAAAAATCATAATACTCATTTACAAACTAATAATAATCACAATAAATAATACAATAAGTAAAATAAATATTTATTATTATTATTTTAGAAGATCTATAAATTATTTACTAAATAAACACCATTTCAATAAACTCTGCATAAATAACTTAACAGATCCACTTAAAAAATTAGAAATCTATATGAAATCACTCCTTAATTCACTTTTAAACTAAATATTTCAAACTCTTAAAAAAACTTATTAAAACAATCTCCCTAAAATAGCTATAGATTTAAATTTAATGATGATGATTATTAAGGAATTTAATAATAAAATTCACATAGAAATACTATAAATACTTATGATAAAAAAAGTATAAAAAAAGAAGAATAAATATCTGATATCTATTATCCTTTAAAATTAAATCCATATAAAGGTAAGGAAGTTGGAAATTTGTTTCAGTTATCATTTAGAAGTAAATAATGAATATAAACTTAATTTAATTTTTATATTTTGTACTTAATTAATTAATGTATTTATTATTATAATACTAATTATGAAACTTTAAAATCAAATATCCAAACCTACTTCTTAAATATTATATCTTATATAATCTTTTAATTATTTGATTCTTTGAATAATTCTTAAAGGAATCATTAATATCATTGTTCTTGCATCAAGCATATTTTTAGTAAGTGTTAAATTCAAAGGTAGCCAAAATAAAAAATAAATTACAAATAAGAATACTAAAAATACTATAAATATAGCCATTCTTTGCAATTTTAAATTATTTAAATCATTCTTAAATCCTATAATAAATTGATTTGTTAAATATCTAAATGCACCTAAATAATTATATTAAATTACTTTTAAAATATAAATGTTAGACTTCTCTATTCTCTTTAGCATGTACAAAATTGTTTAAATTTAAAATAAAGTTCGTACTATTATCACTTGTTTTTGTAATATTTCTGAAACTTGAAAATCCACGAGCTAAAAGAGTAAAATTTGCTTAAGGATTATCATAAAATTAATTATAGATAGTCATTAAATATCTTTGATTTTCTATAAATCTTGGTATACCTACATTAAGACCTTATGAAAATGCTTTGTCCATAAATTAATTACAAATTTCAACATCAATTTATTAATCTTATTCATTTAGTATATCACAAGGATTATATACAAATAAAGAATTATATGCATCAATATAAGTTGAATCAAGTAAATCAATATTTAAAGAATGATATTCTTAAAAATTGGAATCATGATTGAATAATTCATCAATGTTTTGCATTACATAATTATAAGGATCAGAATTCAAAATAGTCATATTTCTTGAATAAAATAATGATTTTTAGCTTATTTCTGAAAAACGAAAGTAGGATTCACTTCTAGTTGTCAAATTAAATTCAGAACAAACACTTTCAATTTAATTGACTTATGTTTTACTAAAAATAAAGGCTAAAATAAAATAAAATTAAATTATGATCATTGTAATAATGATTGCATAAATATGATAATTATCTTCACCACTATTATTTTTAAATTTCTTTTTTGATTTTCTAGTTTTTAATGTATTTTATAATTATATTTTATCATCTTTATCTTCTTAATCTAAATTACTATCATTTTCAGATGTAAGATCACCATCTTCTCCTATTTATATATTAGATAAAAAATTCTCACTTTATCTATATAAAAATCTAATTGTCTTATCTGGCAAATTCAAAAATAATAATAAAATTTCAGTTTAAGATTTTGAAACAGATAACATTGCAATAACTATAAGTAAAATACCAATAAAAATAGTAGAGATTGATATAATTAAAAGTAATAGAACTGCTGTGTATTTTTTAGAAGCATTTTTAATGAGATTATCAATAAATTAATTAGAAGATTATTTTAAAGATATTTATATTTCATTTAGTAAATTATAATTTAAAAAAGAAATATCTAAATCTTAATAATTAAATTATGTTATATTCTTATCTCTTATTATTAATGATTTACTAATAATTTATTGGATAGCTTAATTTAGATTATATAATTGAACAGTTTCTTAGTTCATTTTTATTTTGATCTCATTTAAATTATATTCAAATGTAAATAATGAATTTGTCATACTATCAACTAATAGAAGAATTTACTAATTTATATCATTTATTATAGATATTGAATCATTAATAAATTATTTCTATTCTTATTCATACTAAGTAGCTTATATTTTTGTGAAATTGAAAACATTTCTATTTAAGAGTTACAAATTTAAGACAGAACTTAATATTATTCCTAATTCACTATTTCTAATATTTCCATAATTTACTAAAAGTATTGTATCATATATTTGATCAGATTATGAATTTGATATATAATAATCAATAATTGATAATGATAATATAATAATAGCAATAATATTTGCAATCCATGTTACTCTAATTATTGCTTTTGGTGTATTTGAAGCATTAATAATTTTCTATAATTTCTTTCTAGAATGAAATATGTTATTATCAAATTCATATAATTATGATTAATTTGATTTAATTTCAATCTAATTTTAAAAAACACTTTCTCTATCATCATCCTCAGAAATTTAACTTTCTTCATCTTCTACTTCTAAAAGTTTATTATCAAATAATCTTAAAGTTCTAATATTTTCTGCATAATCTATTATTACTTAAAATCTATCTCCAAATCTTGTTGATCTACGTCTACTAGATTCTATATGTGTATGTTCATTATTAATATTATTATTTTAAGATTCAGCAAAGGAATGATCAACTGAATTTGATTATATACTATTTGATAATTTTGAATTATCTTCTTAAATAAAATCTCCTAAATATATTTATTCATTAATCAAATATTTAAATTATAAATTACTTTATACTTTTCTTTAAATAGATTATAATTATTATTAATTTTCATTAATTAATTCTAATTTTATATAATATCCTGTTATTTCATTTATTGAATTATTAATAATTTCTCTTAATATGCAATTAAATTCAAGCTCTCTTTCTAAAGCATTTATACTTGAAAGAGAGTAATGAACAGTTCTTTTTAGATTATCAGGATAATATTTAAGACGACCTCCAAATTTACTTTTAAAAGTCTCCAATTCATCAAGAAAATCTGGAAATAATTATTAAAAATATGCCTTTTTTTATGTTAAATGTCTATTTTCAATTCCAAAAAATGAAAAAACAGATGCAGACATAGAATCAATAACATATTCATTATCTAAAATAAAATAACAATTTGGTTTAAATGATTTAATAGCCATAAATTAAGCTGCAAGATTTACATTTTCTTCTAATGTATGTAAAATTCTTAATACAATAAAACATGGTACTAAATAATTTTATTTATCTTTTAAAAAGATAAATCTTTCTTTATTAATATTCTTTATATCACTTGTTATTAAAAATCTTTACATATATTGATCATGAAATTTTGTATATAAGTTTGGCATAAATAGATTAATTTTTCTATTTATTATTTCTTATCTTGTATATCCAATCAATCTACAACATGATTAATTCAAATTTAATACTTAAGCAAACTTTTCTACTGAAGTTGATACAATAACAGTTGCTTATTGTTCAAATCCTATATCTTCTCCACATATAAAAGTAACTAATTATTTTTTATTTTATTAATATTATTATTAATTAATGATAGATTTTTTTAAGATCTCATCACCATATTCTTCATCTTATATTACTTCTTTTATAAAAGTTCCATAAAGTCTTAAAGCTTTTGATAGATTTTATGAAGCTTTTTCTAATTTAAACCACAATTATTCAATTTAAATAATAAGTTAACTTATTTTCTGACCATTTTTATAAAGCTTCGAAAAATCTGGGAAATCTTCTTATAATTAAGACCAAAAATCCATTTAGATCAATGTTGTTTCTTCAATATATTATTGTAGTTATCGATAATCATACTGAAATGTAATCTCAGTTTCAGTGTCAACCTTACCAAAATTATCATTTTGAAAAGTATCTAATTATTCTTGAATTTAAGACCTTTTTCTCATTATTATAAATTCTTCATCAAATTATTAATTCATCTATTCAATTTATTTTAATTCATTATAAGCCTATTATAATTATCTCATATAATCTGACAAATGATATGCATATTGTATTCTCAACTATATTGATTCTGGAAATCTTTTGATTTAACTATTATAAATCTATCCTAATACACATATTAAATCTATCTCTCTTTCTGTTAAAGATTAATCTCTTAATAATGTATTACTTAATTTAATATTTGCTTAATTCTTGATTTTTAAATAACAATCATTTTATACACATGTTCCTTTATGAATTTCTAAAAAGGCATCAATGATTATTTAAGTATTATCATCAGATTTAAGTAAATTTAATAGTTTTACTAAATAATTAGTTTAAATGATAATCTCTTCCACCTATTTTACTTTAGTATGGTTAATTAAAAGAAGATCAAAATTCTATTTTTCTATTCTTAAAATTGATACTGCAAGTATTGGTAATCCAACTAAAAAAGTATATATAATTCCATTAAAATACTGTTGCTCTAAAAATTTTGCACAACTTAGCAACAAGATTCCCCAAAAATTCAATGCGACTGAAATTGACCAACACTTTTATATAATTTTTGAATTAAAGGGTTATTCAATATGAAATTTTTTAAATAATATTAAACTTCCTATCAATATTATAATTATTTCCAAATACTAATATTTTTAATCTTTTATAAGTCTTATAAGAATTATTATAATTAATTGATAGGTAAATAAAAATCCTGAAATTCTTCCGTTTTATTATGAATTGGCTTATTCAGAGATAAATTTTGATTCATAATAAATTACCCCAAAAATTATACAAAATCCATAAAAGAATACAATCATAATAATTGCGATAATTCCATGAATTATATGTGCACTTTTCCAACATTATTAATTTGGAAAATAATAATGTACATAATTTCCATTACTATCATTCTGACAATCTATAATTGATATGAATATATCAATAAATGGAAGAAATAAAATTGAAAGGAACAAATTTATTATAATCTTCAATATCATTAGTATCCAACTGTTTTCTTCTTTCCTTTTCTTTACATTAAAACCTATGTAACAAGCTAACATTATCATTATTACAAAAGTCCCTACACAGACATATTGCATAATCGTAAGAGATGAATAATCTAATGTTTATGTATAAGGAGAAAAAAGAAAACACCTAATATTTGTCAAATATTTTATACTATAGAAAATTGTGAATTTCTTGTGAAACATGATAATTTTTCCAAATTCTTATAAAATTGTCTCCAAATAATAGAGATGTAAGCTAGAAATATTAAATAAAGATGGCAAAACAATTTAGTATTTTTGGTTATTGCTCTCCACTAAGTAATTAAAGTGTAATTGTAAAGATTAATTATTTGGCTCTACTTATAAACAATGATAAATAGCCGCTTTTCTTATTGCTCAAACTAAATGTTTAATTCATGTTCATTTTCAAGAAAATATAAAATTGTCAACTATTAAAATTAAACACTTTTTTTATGTTAATTTTAGAATTATTTTCAAAGATAGATTGTAAACTATCATAATGTTATCCAAAAATTTCCCTTAATTTACAATTTTTATTTAGACTCACATCTTTATACTCTTTAAAAAATAGAAAACTACAAACATTTTTAATAACTTATTATCATAATTGTATTATATTAGAAGATATTTAATTATAATGATAAACATTAGGATGATGATGGACAGAAATGATTTATTAACTCGCCAATTCAAACTTTATATTTATAAATAAATTAATAATAAAAATAAATAATCAAGAGAGAATGATCAAAATAAATATTATAAAACAATCGAAATGATTAATATTTGAGTTTATTTTAACCCTTTCCAAGTTAATATTAATTTTTTAATTTTGAATCTAAAATTAATGAATTATGTTATCTAACCAAAAATTTTAAATTGCATCTCTTAATGTTAAATAGATCGAATTGAATTGAGATATTTAGTTCTAAAATGTACAATTTTTATTTTATTTTATTATCTTTGTATTCTTAAGTGTTAAACTGGGAAATCATTTATTGGCTGTTTTCTCTTATCCAAATTCTTAGAATACACAAATTATTATTATTAATAATGAATTAGAGTAATAAAAGTCTCAATAGTACGATGACTCGTATTAAGCAATTGTCAACAGGTCCTCCAATCGAAGTAGTGCCTAGCGAGATCATATTTAAAGATATATAGATAAATTAGACTTATGAGATTACTGTCTTTGTTAGAAACTTAACATAGACTGCTCGAAGAATTCGCGTTTTTCAACCTCATTCTAACTTCAGATGTGATTATGAAATGCAGGGGTATTTTTTTATTATAATGACTTATAGAGCTATAGCAGCAGGTCTATCAATGAAACTGATAGTAACATTTGAAACAGCCAGTTTAGAGTAGTATTAGGACTCATTGAAAATTGTGTCAGATGGTAACTATACAATTGATGTACCACTTTTTGCCTTTCCTCCTTAAGCTGCGTATTCTTTTATATTAAATTCAATTTAGCATAGTATTTGAGCCATTTATTAATTTGGGGTTTGTACGAGTAGGTAAAGAAAAAGTAGATAATATATACTTTAAGAATGAAGGTAGATCAACTGGCAAGGTAGAACTAAAAATTGATCGTTTGCCAGACTTCAAAATAGAACCAACTACTTTTAGTTTGGGAGCTGGACAAGAATTTGCAGTAAAGGTATTTTATAAACCTAAAGATGCTGGTATCTTTCGTGGTTTAGTGGAAGTAATAGCAGATGGTTAAAGTCTACAGAAAACAATAGATATAAATGCTACATCTATAGAATTTACTCGTTTTTTGATTGATGATACTGGAGTTTAGAACAATTTTTTTGATTTTGGTTAGATTTATTATGGATAATTCAAGTAAATTGAAACATATTTGGTAAATAATACTCCAAAGTAATAAAAATTTAAAGTGAAATTGAAGAAAGGATTGCATTAATAAGAAGATGCACTTAAATTGTAAACTCCAGCTGAATTTGGTCTTGAATAAACAGAAAGAATCATGGAATGTTATCCAGAGGAAGGGGTTTTGGAAAGTTATTCATAAATTGGAATAGTTTTTAAATGTAAACCAAAAGTATCAGAAGAACAATAAGTATGGACTAGATCATTTGCATTGTCACCTGAATAATTGAAACCAGATTATGATGAATTTCATTATTCAGCAATTTTTGATTTTTAAGATAATGAACCTTTAATGAATCATTTATAGGTGAGATGCATTTGTCCAACAATAAAATTCCCACCAACTGCAATTCTATAATTTGGAGTATGTCCTGCCAACTAAAGCAAAGAAATAGTTTTTGAAGTTACTAACAAATAGACAGAATTACCAATACAAATTCATTGGCCTGTAGTACCTTATTTTTCAGTGAATCCATCATTGTCAATTTTATAACCTGAAGAAAAGTAAAATTTTTGGGTAAGTTTCAAGCCTAAATAAACTGGAAATTTCACAACTGTTATTAGTGCTGAATTACTTGGAGGAATCTTCAAAATACCTGTAAGATTAGCTGGAGTGAGTTAATAATTTACAAATAAATAATAAGTTAAAAGAGGACCTGAATCTCTACCAGAAGATTTTGAAATGAAACACACCATTACTAAAGAATAAAGTATTAGTAATATTAAATCAATTGAAAAGGTTTAAACTTTGGATATATCCTAATCTGTTTAATCTTTAGTTTAATAAGGAATTTCTTTAGATAAAATAGAAGAGTTAAAGTAAAAATCATTAAATAAAGAAATCTATAATGAATATTTAAAAATGCATAGGGAATAAAGGTTAAAATAGATGAAAGATAAAAAAATTAAATAGAAATTTACTTAAATGAATGAACGTTTGAAGGAAATCAAATAAGAACCAGTTAAACCTTCTGGAGCTGCTAAGAAATAAGAATAAGAGGAAGAACCCAAGCCTGAACCACCAATTGATTATGAATTTGCAGTTGGAATGTAAGATGATGGATATGAACAGGAATTGGCGTTACCTGAAGCAAATGAGACTCTTTTTGTGACTAAACCAATCTTTCATTATGAACCACTTATTTAAAATTAATTAAAGGAGGGAAAATAACTTAAACCATTTGAACCTGACCTTAAAAATATTTAAAAAAAGAAATTCCCTTTTGAACCTAAAACACATAGTGAAATTAGAGATACAAGTGCTGAATTAAATGCTGATTAATTACAAAAAATATAAGCAGGACCTGTTAAAATAGAATTTGGAAATGTTTTTATAAAAAGTACAGTAATCAAATACTTTTATGTAAGAAATGATCTTAGAAATTCTATTAGTGTTGGATTACATACTGACAAAGAAGATTTTAATTAATCATATATAAAACCATAAATCATTCCTAGTGGATAGACTGCTTAATTTGATGTTGTTCTATGTTCAAAATAATTAGGATAAATTAAAACACATCTTAAATATGTAATAAATGAGAATCATATATTTGAATTTCTAGTTTAAGCAAATATTGAGAGAGTCTTCTTAGAAATGAATAGAACTTAAATTAAGTTTGCATTTAATGAAGATAATAATGAAATGGAAACTGCAGAAATTGTACGATTAACAAATAATGGAAATGCAGAAGCCAAATATAGATGGATAACTACTGAAAAAAAGATTTTTTATGTCTAACCTGAATCAGGTGTTGTACCAAGTGGTAAATATTTGGAATGTTAAGTGATTTACAAACCAAGTTAATTTTAACCTTTGCCTGAAGTGAAATAACCAATAGGTACTTAACAAGATAAAAATACATAAGGTTAATAACCATAGTAATAATAATAATAATAATAATAATAATAATAATAATAACCATAATAATAATAATAATAATAATAATAATAATCTATTATACCTTCATAGTAGGCAACAGTTGCCACTATCAGAAATGAAGAAGAAAAATTAACTTTAAAAACAGAAGATGGATTAGATTAGAACATAAAATGTATGGGAGTTGTTTCTGAACCTAAATGCACTATAAAATAAGCTGTCATAGATTTTAAAGAAATAGTTATATGTAAATAAGAAACTAAGGTTTTAACCCTTAAAAATCTATCTAAAAGTTCTGCTGTATTTTAAGTTTAAACATCAAAGCTTCCAGAAGGAATTGAAGTATATCCTATCAAAGGAAAAATAAGTTCAGAAGATTCAAGAGATTTATAAGTTAAATTCCTTTCTAAAGATGAAAGAATAGTTAAAGGAGAAATAATCATTTTAATTAGAGGAGGCAAATAATTACAAGTACCTGTTATAGGGTCAGCTATAATACCTAAAATTGAAATTTTGGAAGAAGAATTTGATTTCGGAAATATTACAACTTTAGGAACAAGTAATTAGTTAACAATGACTTTGGTTAATAATTCAACAATACCTGTTGATTTGGTTTTGGATTTGAGACATTAAAATGAGAATCCTAGAGCACCTGATGGAATTGATTGTTTAGAGGTTAAACCATAAGATGAAGATGATACGATATTACATTCTATTCACCCTGACAATGAAGATGAACCTGCTCCAAAATTAGATGAATCATTGGATAATCAATCTGATAAATCTGAATAAATTGATTTGGAAACTAAGGAGTATAGATCTTATAATTTGAACATTTTACCTGGTAAGACATAAGTTTTTTTAATGAAATTCTCCCCTAAAGATGTAAAGCATTATCAATTTGATATGCCTATTACATTAGCAAGATTTAATTAGAATTTACCTTCATTAACTAGAAGAGTATCTTGTAAAGGGCTTAAACCTAAATTTTTAGTTGAACCTCAATCCATAGAATTTAAAAAAAAAATAATCACATCTCCTGATAAATGTTATCCAACAGTTGAAGAGATTAAATTATCAAATCCAGATAGAAAAGATGTGAAATGGCGTATTGATACTTCCCCATTAAAAATTGAAAAGATATTTACAATAGAACCTAGTGAAGGAATAGTTGGTTCTGGATAATAAGTAAGAATTAGAGTAAAATTCAATCCTTATGGACCAGGAGTATTTTAATCAACTGTTTCACTTTATATTGAATCAGATCCAGATATTCCTAAAACATTGCCATATGTTGATTTATTAATTTAAGGATCAGGAGCATATCCCAGATTATTATTTGATAAAAAAGAGGTTATTTTGCCAGTAGTACCTCTGAATGTAGTTTCAAAATGCTCATTCAAAATAATAAATGATGGTTATGAGAATTTAAATTTAAAACATAATTGGTCAAGTGAGACAAGTAATTTTAATTTAGAATTAAAATTTCCAGAAGGTTAAACATTAGGAGTTGCTAAAAGTAAATTAAGAGTTGATGTTTATTTTTCTCATAAAAAACCAATATCATTTACAACTAGAGCAGAATTTTAAGATGAAGGCAGAGTGTATTCTATATATGTATCTGGGACAACAGATAATTGTTTATTAACGAATTAGATTTATTTGTAAAGAATACAAAAGTATTAAATGATAGCAGAAGAAAAGAAACCTGTAATGTTTTAAGAAGATGATGGAGCTGATAGTGATAATGAAAAAATGAAACGAAATCATACTATGTCTGTAAAAAGTACAACAAGTTCAAAAGGAACTTCTCATTTAGGTTATAGACCTTTAGATGCAGAAACTTAAAATGAAGCTTGTGATTATATAATGAGATGGATGAATTATCATGTTCTTACTTAACCTATTAATAAATTCCCTGAAGATATAGTAATTAGTTTTGGATAACAAATATTTGAATTATTAACTTTTTTAACAGGCAAAGCAAATTTTCAATATAAAGCTTAAATTGATTAAAATTGGAAACGTTAACAAAAAGCAGAAGCTTAATTTAAGTAATATGATGAATTAGTAAGACAACTAAAAATAGAAGGAGCACTTCTTAATCACATAAGATCAGAATATTTATTAGGACATAATGATTATAATGCATGGTTAAAGACTGTGCCTAAAGAGAAATATGAATTTGTACCAGATAATAGATTATAATTAAGTTAAGCCAAATATAATTATTTACATTATGATGCTTGGATTTCAACATTCTATTAAATAATAAAAATATATTATTTAAATAGAATAACTGCAAAATCATTTAAATAATTGCCAGGAATCCCAGCTGAAAGATTAAATATTCCAGATTATTATTTAGATGGATCTAATGTAATATCTCATGCTGAAGGTGTTATTCTTTGGTTCTATGAAGTTTGTTATGAACAACAACATACAGGTTAGATTAGAAGGATAAGTAATTTTGCATCTGAATTCAGGGATAGTTTACTTATATCAGATGCAGTTACTTAATTCATTGGTCCTAGTATGTAGAAATTCTTTAGCAATTTAAGAACTAATATGTAAAGTGAGGATGATTATAGACATAATGCAGATAAATTAATGCCAGCATTAAGTGATTATGGTTTACAATCACATGTTTAAGCTAGAGATATCTATCATAAACCATATCCAAGAGAAATGTTAATGATGTTAGTACAATTGTTTTTTTCTCTTCCTCATTATGTACCTTAGAAGGAACCAATTGTTTTCTAATGTATTTTGGGAGAAGAAGTAATAAAATCAATTGAATTAAGAAATCCTACTTAAAAACCAATAAGTTATTTTGTTAAATATGAGGGTCACCCTGATTTTTAATTGGAAGGTGATGAAAGTATAAAAATTGAACCAGACATACCTTATAATTACAAAGTGAAATTCACTTCTCGTATTTCTCTGCCTGTTACAGGTAGAGTGATTTTCACAAATAAAAAAGAAACAAATGTTTAGGCAGCAGCATTAGTATTTGATTTAAAAAGTAATATTACAGGAAGGAAGTCTGAAAAGTAATGGAATGTCAGTTCAATCTTATATGAGATATTTGATTTTTAGATTTAAATTACTAATAAATTTCCATAAGATGGTGAATTCTAAATATAGGTAATACATGAGAAAAAGTAAATAGAATAAAGAGGGAAAAAGAAGAAAGCTCCTCCAGCAAAAGATTCTCCACCTGAGGAAGAATTCCCTTCATTCTTCTGCACAATTGATAGACAAAGAATTAGAAAGAATTAGACTATTAATTTATCATTGACATATATTCCATTAACAATAGACACACATAAATGTTCTCTCATATTTACAGATCCAAATGTAGGTGAATTTCAACATGATTTATAAGGAACAGTTGAATTACCTAATATTATAGGTGAATTCAAACCAGACAAATAATTATATGTTGATAGTATTTAAACAATTTCTTATATGATTCCATTTAGAAATGAATAATTAGCTCGTGCTCGTAGTTAGATTTAATAATTGGTTTAGATGAAATAGAAAGATAGATATTTAAAAGGTGATAAATAGGCCTCAACTTTAACAGCATCTAAACTTAATTTTCCTGGTTCTAATTTAGATATTATTACATTTGAAATAGAAATTTATCCATAAACACAATACCTTAATCTTCCTCCTACACTGTAAATAACTGATTTAAATAAATAAACAAAGAAACCAGGTACTGAAAATATTGATTGTAAATTACCAATTATCTATGCTTTCAAAAATGCAACAAAAGACTTTAGTGTCATTTTAACATTAAAAAATAAATTTGATATTAGAAGATATAAATTATCAGCAATAGTGTTACCAAAGGTTGTTAAAGCTATGTTAGAATTTAGAGTTCCTGCAAGATAATCTATAACATAAGATATTCCTATAGTAAATCAAACTGATAGAGATTGGCAAATAAAAGTACAACTTTCAGAATCAAAAGGGTTATTCTCATGTCCTTAAAGAGACTTTTTTGTCAAAAGAAAATCCTCTAATAATTTTCCAATTACTTTTAGTCCATCTTGGTTAAAAGAGTGTGATGCTAAATTAGTATTAACAAATCCAACAACTAATGATGTTTTTGAATATGATCTAAAAGGTTATGGTGAAGAACCAGTAGCAGAAGAACATATAATTCTAAATTGTTAAGCTAGAAAATTAACTAAGAAAGAAATTGAATTGAAAAATCCAACAGATAAAATTATTACTTATACTGTAGAAACAGATTTGATATATGCATCTGGACCATCATAAATAGTTGTTTAACCATAAAAGAAAGCTACTTATGTTTTATAAGTATAACCAGTCTTAAGTGGTTAATATACTGGATCAATAACATTCACAGATGAATAAGGACATTATTTATGGTACACTGTATTTATGAATACAGAATCTCCTAAATCAGTTCAAACACTTGAAGTGTCTTGTTTAATTAGATAGGCTACAGTCATTTAATTAACACTTGCTAATCCTCTTACAGAAACTGCAATTTATGAAGTTATGATAAATGGAGATGGTTTAATAGGTGAAGAACAATTCGCTATTGGAGCTAGAAAAGAAGCTGGATATGAATTAACTTTTGCTCCATTAAAAATTGGTAGATGGAGAGGTAGTGTTGCATTTGTAAATAGATTATTGGGTGAAGTCTGGTATGAATTCATACTTACATGTGAAGATCAACCAATTGTTAGATTAAATGTATTAAAAGCTTCATTAGGTAAAGTTGAATAATAGGTTGTCATACTTGAAAATCCATCTGATTAAAAGATCTAAGTCTAATGTAGAATTACTAACCCTACTAATTTTGATATATATCCAGATGATCTCAAAATATAACCTTATGATTCTTTAAAGGTTGCCTTGAGATATACTCCATCTTCATTAGATATCATAGAATAATCAGATATTATATTTACTTCACCTATTGGAAAATGGCATTATTTAGTCTTTGGAAGTGGATTACCTCCTACTAAATTCCCAGCAACTACTGTTAGTATTGGATTAAATAAAGACTATAGTTCAGTCATTCATTTTAAAAATCCATTTAAAGAACCTATTTAAGTTACTATTTCATTAGATGCTGAAGGTCATAATTAAGAAGTTTTTAAGCTATTGCTTGTTAGAAATCAAAAAACTGATAAAACTCTTGTTCCAGGAATGAATGTCCTTCAAGTTCCATTCTCATTTGTACCCAGAGAAATTACAAGTTATTATTGTGAAGTTGTTATCTCAATGAATGAGAAGATTTAATGGCATTTCCCTGTTAAAGGAGTCACTGAATCTGTCTCTACATAGACTCTATTCCATTTCAAAGCAAAATGCAGAGAAAAATGGGAAGATGAAATTAAAGTAGGTTTGTAAGGAATTGCATAAAGTTTATAAGCAGATGATAAATTTGATTATGAATTGGGTGGAATGCCATTAGATTTATAGACTATGATTTAAAAATGTTTTACTATTAAATGCCTAAAAAATCATCTTGATAGTCCTCATGATAATTTACTCTATTTTGTAAGGTTTTAACCAATGAAACCCTTTAAGACTTCTATGGAGTTTATTGTACTCAGATAGTCTGGAGGAAGATGGAAATATAAAATACAACTAGAGGCCACTGAACCTGAAGAAGATGATACTATTTTAATTAGTTCTCCTCTAAATAAAACAACAAGTGTCTCATTTAAATTAACAAATAAAACAAAAAACTATAGTAAATTTACTGCAGCCTTTTCTCCTGAATCAGATGCTGAATTTTCTGTTATTCCTAAAATTGGAGATCTAGAACCTTATGGTAGGGAAGGAACTACATTTATTATTAGTTTTACACCAGTTGAATATGGCAAAATTAGAAAGGGTAAATTGGTAATTTAGACTGAAGATATGTATTGGTAATTAATTTAAATAAAATTTAGGTCATATTCTATAAGAGGAGTTTTACCAAGATATATACCTCCATAGATAAAATAATCATTAGTTGATAATAAATAACAATAATCTTAAGTTCAAATGTCAATGACTTTGAGTAGAAACTTTGTTGTAGATAATATAAAGAAAGCAAGATAATTATCACCAAAAAGTGCTCGTAATTAATTGAGTTTACCTTTAATTGAAAAAAAATGATAAATCATGTAATTTATTATAATTTTTAATTATTTGTATAATATTAAACTAATTTTTGGAAAGATAAAAAATCATATTTTTAATGATTCAAAATATCAATTTGATTTATGTAAAAATAAATTTAAGATGATTCAGTTATATATAAAATAGATAAATTCATTTAAGATTTATTTATTTAGGGAGAAAATGTCTAAATTAATAAAAAATATATTTACACAAAAATTCCCAGTTTAATTTTATTATATTTGTTATACAAACAAGAGTCTGCCTTATAATTTTCACATATTTCTACACTATTGAAATCATAATAATAATCCTCTTCTTAAAGAGGTTCTTCACATATTGATTTTTAGTAATTTGGATTGAGAGATTAACAATAATTTATACTACTTTATTGTGTAACACTAGAACTCTTTCTAATATCATCTCGTTGGAAAGTTCCTCGAGTAGAACTTAAAGGAGGAGGTGCCAATAAATTATTTGTACTTATATTAATTTAATTATTATACCTAGGTTAAATAAGACCTGAAAGTTAATTTTCAATAGACTTTTTCATTTCATTAGAATTAGTAGGTATGTTATTTCGACTCTAATTTTGATTAGAATCTGTCTAATAATGTGTAGATTATTTAATCTCTGTCCAATCAAAATTACCATCAATTGTAATATTTGAAGATCCAGCTGCTCTTTTAAATTCTTATACTATCATTTTGTAATTTGGTTCTTATTTAAATTATAGTTTTCTTATGTAACTAAAATGTGAAATTTAATGAATACTCAAAAATACGTTAAATTTCATTAGATTAATCTTTAAAAACTTCACGTTCCATAGATAATTTCATTTCTCCAACTTTCTTTGTTCTTTCATCATCTGTTACATTAACCATATTTTACCAAGGTAACTGACTTATTTAATATATGATTAATTACCCACGTAAAAAATATAACAGAATATACATCAAAGATTCTAAATCATCTTTACGTCCTAATTCATGTCCCAAATGTGCTGCTATAGAAGCATATCGAGTTGTACCTAAGAATGATTTTTAATCTTTAAATGAACTAAAATTAGAAAATAAATTAATTATTTTTACATATGCTTTCCATTTGAATCTCTATATATTTTGCTTATTCCAAAATCAATTAAATATAGCTTTAAAATATCTTTACCTATTCCTAATATGATATTTTCAGGTTTCAGATCTCTATGAATCACACCTTTTTAATGAGATCTCTCTAAAATTTATACTGCTTGAATTCCTAGAGTAAGAACAGTTTTCAAAGAGAATTTTTTTAATTACTTAAAATGATAGGACAAATCCTTTCCCAATAATTAAATAACTAAAACATTGTAGCTTTGATCTTCACCTGACCAAAAATATTTTGGAAACCCTTCTGCTCCATCTAATTTCTTAAGAATCAAAACTTCTCTATCTAATGATCGTACTTCTTCATTTTCTTCTTTTTCAACCTTAATTGCTACCTCTTATCTAGTTAAAAGGTCAAATCCTAAAAAAACTACTCCAAATGAACCTGAAGACAGCTTTTTTACTATTTAGTATTAATTGTTAAAGATCTTTTAGCTAGATGATGCTCTTTATTACATTTATCTGATTTTCTTTATAATTATTAATATTTTATTAATTTTTCAACTTTCAATATTTTCAGACACTTTGATAACAATACCCTTGTAATATTTAAAAAATACTAAATTTACTAAATTATTCTATAATTTTGATCAAATTTAACTGAAGTTATTAAGTAAACTTTTAATTTCAAGAAAACCTCATTATAAACAAAATATGTATAAAAATAAAATTTTGTAATAATTATTTTATAGAAAATTAAAACTTAATATAAAGCACAATCACAACTAATTATAACTTATTACATAATAAATAGTGTTAATCTTAAAATTCAAATTGTCTGATTAAATATATCTTTTAAATTTTTATTTAGGTTAGATTTATATTATATATTTTTGCCCCTTCTTCTTATTTTAGTATTATAGTGTAACGTATTATAATAGCTATTAATTATTTTATTAATATTTTGGAATAAATAGATTAATTTGAATAATATAAATAGTTGGAGTATGAATTAAATAATATCAAATAGAATGTTTGACAATTATATTTTATTAAAAAATATTAAGAAATTAATTATCTAATATTAATAAAAATAAAATATTTTAATTATAAATTTATGAATACAAAATGTCCAATTAAATAGATGTTTTCATATTTCAATGTGAAATTTTGAAATACTAAAAGAAAAAGATACTATCTTTCTACACTTAATAGCAGTATAAAAAATTTATATTGTTAATAAAATTTAAAGTAATTGGCATTAATAAAAGTTTAGGTTAATTATTCTACTCAATATTTATATGATTCTAATTTCAATTTTTTTAATTTTTATTATTTTTTCTTGCTTAAATAATTTAACAGAAAAATAATACTATAAAATGCTAAATCTTAATTATATAATGGGAAATTTATTCAAAAAGAGTAAAAAGATTTTTTATTATGGATTATATAAATTGTTTAAATCTTTAATTGAGTATGGTTCAATTATGTGATCATTTTTAGAAGAATTATAATTGCTTAATCATATGAAATATTTAACAATTTGAATATTAATATTAAAAAAAGAATCCATAAAATTTTAAAGATAAAAAAAAATATATTAGATTTTGAAACAATAAGCTTATCTAAAAGAAAAAACAAAAAAAATAGAATGATTAAAACATAAATGAAGTGAATTAATACAATTGTAGATGATCAATTATTTTTTGAAGAATAAATTAATTATATAAAACTATTTAATTCACAAATATCATTTCAAAACTATTATAATGAATGATATTTTTTCTCTTCATAGATGTTATTTTTTGATTAAATAATAGTAGCAATAGATTAATTAAATTGTCGATTTTTTGCTTTAATGTAAATTCTTTCTTAAGCATCAATGATATCATTAACTATACATAAGTATTTGCTTTCAATTTCATTTTTCCTTTACTGCTATTAATATTATTTTGTTACTTTTTATAAATTTGATTCACTTGAAATGAAACCTCTAATTCTTGAAAGCAATTCAAATTAAGGTGAATGTGGAATTCGATTATTAGATAACAAAATAAAATAAAATTCTATCCTTATATCATATATATTACTTGTTTAACTATCATATTCTATGAAATATTAAGCAAATTATGTAGACATTGATATAGTTATATCCAATTTCTTTTGTCTACTCAAAATAAATTTTTCAATTTTGCTTCTTTCTTCAATCCAAACTTTATCACTATTAAATCCTTTTCTTATTAACATTAGAAAGTATTATTTTTTGAAATCATACATTACAAATCCTTTAAAAACTTTTTAATCATCATCCTATGTATATAATTTCTATTAAGTTTGTTTTTCAATGTTTTCTTCAGTTAAACATGTAATCTATTTTAAGTTTAAATTTTTTTCTTGATTATTATCCAATTAATTTATGTATGACAAACTGGAAGGAACATATTTTGGTATCATTAATTTTTCTTCATATTGTTTAATGATTTTTTCAATTTCATACTTTTATTATAGTTCAAGTTCAGTGATATTGATCTATGATATAAATATGACTAATACATTCTAATAATGAATAATTTCAAAAAGATGAGAGTAAATTTAGAGTAATAGTTCATTTTAATTTATTTCTTGTACCTGTTAGTTGGAAATTAAAATTAATACTCGATCTATATATGAAAAGTACTTGTATTACTTTTGAATATATCAAATTTACCTCTAACTGTCCCAAATTTTGTTATCATTTAGAGTAATTTGTCCTCAAGAACATTCTATATTTGCATTTATAGTTTTATTTCTTTAAGTAGAGCCTACCATTCATTATCAAATTCAATATCTCTACTCATTTATAAGTAAAATGAAGAAATCTCAAAATCATAGATCAAAAAAGCACGAAACCATTTCATAGTTTACAAATATTTTAATTGTTAAAAAAAGGAGTTTATTTACCCAAAAAATTAGATTTGGATATGTAATAATGATAATTATTATGATTTTAAATTAATTAATATATATATACGATAATAAATGATTAAATTATTCTTAAGAATCAAAATTTATTCTTATCAAATAAAATCTCTTAGACATCTCAGTAAATATTAATAAAAGTAATAAAAATGATTCATATATAAAATTATCAAATTTTTATTAAAATAAACTCAATTTATATAATGAATAAAAATAATGGTCATTCATATTATAAATTAATGATTATGCTTTTAATTATTAATTATATGATATATTTTTGTATAATCTAAATAAAAATGAATTTTAAGAAGATTAATTAAATAAGAACAAATATAAACAGAAACATTCATCAAGATTATGTTAATAATTGATTATTTAGTTAATAATAAATGTATTATTGATTAAATAATCATAATGGTAGGAGATACTTAAAAGAAGTTAATTATATTTTGAAATATGAATAAATTTATATATAAATATATACATGTAATAACTGAATGGCAACGATGAAACATCTTCAATAGATGAAAACATCTCAAAATATTATCAAATAATAGAGTTCAAAGGCAAAGGAGCCTATGGGATAATTTGGAAGGCTATAGATAAATAAACTAAGAAAATTGTTGCTTTGAAAAAGGTTTTTGTGAATAAATATCATAAAGGTTTTTGATGCATTTTCAAATGATACAGATGCACAGAGAACATATAGGGAAGTGATGTATCTATAACAATTGACATAACATGAAAATATTGTGAAATTACTGCGTGTACATAGAGCTTTGAATATGAAAGATCTTTATATGACATTTGAATACATAGAATCAGATCTTCATAAAGTATAATATCTTTTAAATAAGGTTATCCGAGCAAATCTCCTATAAATATAACACATTATTTATATACTCTACTAATTACTTAAATGCTTAAAATATATTCATTCAGGAGGATTAATTCATAGAGATTTAAAGCCTTCAAATATATTGATAGATTAAGATTGCAGAATAAAGTTAGCTGATTTTGGATTAGCAAGATTGGCAAATGAAATAGATGCAACTACTGTAATGACTGAATATGTAGCAACAAGATGGTACAGAGCCCCTGAAATTTTGTTGGGATCTTCACTTTATTCATAGGCTGTAGATATGTGGAGTGTAGGATGTATTTTAGCAGAAATGATAGTGTGTAAATCAATTTTTGCAGGATAATCAACTTTAAATTAATTGGAAAAAATTATAGAAGTAATAGGTAGACCTTCATAAGATGATTTAAATTAAATAAATGCTCCTTTGGCTGATAAAATATTTAGAGAAATTTAAAATTCAAGAAAAAGACCTTTATCATCATTTATAAAAACATAAGATGATATCATAGATTTTATATAAAAATGTCTTACTTGGAATCCATCAAAAAGAATGACAATTGATGAAGCCTTTTCTCACACATTATTAAATGAATTTAGAGGATCTGAATCTGAAATAACATATTAAGGTTAAATAAAAATTGATTTGCCAGAGAATATAAAATTTGATAGAAAAAAATATAGAGAAATCTTATATAAATTAGATATCAATTATTAAAAATAGCAATATATAAGATAATTAATTTAGGAAGATCATATTCCATCGACTCTAAAAAGTAATACAAGATTTCCTCATCAATATCAAACATAATTTAAACCTGTAAATAATGGTATTGAAATGAAATAAGTAAGGAAATCTAGATCTTCTATAAAATAACATACTCAACCATAATAGTATCATTCATAAGTAGATATCTAAAATTAAATACTCATAAGTTAATCATTATAATAATAGAATTAATATCTTAATAAAAATAAATAATGGCAAAATCGTGTTAAAACTTTACCTGAAAATCATGTTGAGAAAATAGTTCCAAATGAACCTAAAAGTCCTATCAGAGGTAGATATTTTTCATAAAATAAAATACCTTAATAACCTTAAATTATTACATAAACTACTCCTACAAGAAGTAAATCAATGAAAAATAGAAAGTATAATGATTCAATAGATTTCAATTCTAATCTTAATAATAGTTCCACAATGTAAAAATTATTGACTACATATTTGAATCCAAAAAGACCTACAAATTATAATTTCAAAAAAATAGCTATTAGAAACAAAACTAATATGGATAAGACTTTCATAAAAAAGCATATTGCATCAATACACAATATAGATGCTGCTAGTGTGATCTCCCTCTTAAAATGAATTAATCATATTTTTAATTATTTAAATTAACTTTCTCTTATTTAGTGCCATTTGATAATTAAACTATTTAAAATAATTACTTTTCATGAATGAAGTAAGAAATAATAACAACACAAAAGCATAGTAGCCATTTTTACATACTAAAAACTCTAGCAAATAATATTCTATCAAATCAGAAAACAGAATTAAAACATCTCATACCGATCTTCCTAAATCAATTGACACATAAAAAATAATGAATGATTTTTATGATTAATGTAAAAAAAGATAAAGTAAATTACTATCTCTTAAAAAGGAACTTAAAATTTCATTCATTAAAGAAATAAGTCTTAATAGATGTAATGTGATTCTTTAATGCAGTCCATTGATAGTTTTCCTTCTTTCAGAAATTAAATAAAAACAACTCATAATTCTCCACCTAATAAATACCTCCTTTTTAATACTTGTGAGAAGATCTTACATCAAAAAAGCAATGGATCTAAACGCATCTAAACTAAATAAGCAGAAAAACTGTTTATGCAATAAATAAATTAAAATAATAGAGCAGAATTATTATTGAAAATAGAGTAATATATAAGAGATTTTTTTACTGAAGAATGTAGAGAAATGGCTAATTTATTTGACACTTTTATGAGAGAACTAAATTATTAAATATCAGATTAAAAATATTAATTAACCTTACAAGAAAAATAATTAGAAATATAGAAAATAGATGAAATCATTAGAATGAATAATAATCATGTTTGGGCACATGAAGATATGGAAAAATAATTAGTCTCATTAAAATCTTAAAATATGAATCAATCAAATCTTATTTAAAAAAATGATAATGATATTAAAGATTTACAAACTAAAATAAATTAATAAAAACATTAACTTGAATAAAAGTAAAATGAAATCCTTATAAAAAACAGAAAAATTAAAGAATTAGGATATGAAGTACTATAATTATAAAGAAAACTTGATTACTTAGAAAATAAAGCACTCAAAGATCATAGATAATCTACCTAATAAATGAGATATTCAATATTTTAAAGTTAATAAATTGGATCTAATTCTAATTTAAGTCAATAAGGTAATACAACTTCAAATAAGGAAAATAAGTTCACTCCTTTAATAGAAGAATAACAAGAAGACTCTTCCCTTTCAATTACAGAATAAGAAGATGAAGAAGAAAAAGAATTAAATTAAATTGAATTTAATACAGAAAGAATTGTTGAAACAAGAGAAAAAGAATCATAAGTAGGATAAGATCTTATTATTAATTACACAACAATCAAAGAAGTTTAAACACAATTAAATTTGACAGATAAAAAATTTGATGATTTAACCTAAGATATTTGTGAATAAGCTATTAATTTTATTGAATTTTTAAATATTCCAAAAGATAAAATAGAATCTGATTTAACTTAAGCAAATATTTAATTTCTGAATATCAATACTATTGATAAATTAAGTGAAGAAGAGATTATAAAATTTGTAGATTAATAAATATCTTAATCTGGAATTCAATAAAATACACCCTCTCTTGTGAGGTAACCTTCCATGAGAACAAATATGAAACGTGCTTCTATCATTTTTGACAAATAACCTATTTAAAATTAATAGACATCCATCAATAATTCTAAAGTCAAATCTATGCTCACATTTATCAAATTTTAAGGAATTAAATTATTATAATTAGAAAATAATGTTAAAGAAAGTAATTCTACAATTGAGGATTTAAAAATGATTAATAATAATTTGCTATTATAAAATAAAGAGCTTAAAGATTAGAATTCTAAATTAATTGATTAAATTACTAATCTCCATATTAAAGTATCTGATTTAGAAAATTAAATTATGTCTGATGCTATGGATCTCAATTAAGTACTTTCATAATAAGATAAGAAACCATTAAATTAAAAAGTTAATACATTAGCTCAAAGGAAAAATAAAAAGACAGCTCCTTAATTGGGATAAAAGGTAAATTAATATAATTATATATATATAGGTGACAATTAGCTATGATTTTTAAAAAAATTAATCAAAATAACTTATTGAAAAGATCAAATCTAAAACAATGGGAAAATTTAGTAATTTCTTACCACTTAAACTTGTTTTAAAAATGATAAGTACATTCTATTTAGAAAAAATAACAAATTAAAAAGAAAATAAATTACTTAGAGATTAAGATATGTCAGCTTATATTTATAATTATTATTTATAGTAATTTGGATATACAAAAGTTACTGAATAGAGATTCATGATTCTTGTATTATCAATTAAGAAATATATACAAATTGTAAGAGTTAATATGTTTGCTAAATTTATGAATTTATTGGAAGAGAAATCAAATTATAGAGTTGAAGAATTATAAAGATATTTAGAGGCTTTAGAATATGTTTAGAATATTTAAAATCTTGGTATTGCTATTAAAGACAATGAATAGGAATAAAAACATTATATTCCATATGTTAGAGCTTTAGCATATTTGGGATAATTATAAAATTTCAATTTTACTTAAGAGGAGTTAAATTATTTAAAATAAGATTTAGAAAATTAAAAAGAAAATGATCCAAAGAATATAAATAAAGCAGGAATAGTTGATTTTGATTTACTTATGATAAGAGTATTAACCATATTTAGAAATAATGTTGAAAAAACTAAATTATATGTAATTAATGCATTTGCAGCATGTGATCTTGATGGAAATGGAATGTGTAATTTAGATGAATGGCTTCTTTTAATTAGACATATTGAACCAGATAAATTTGATGAAGATAAATTTGAAGAGATTTTTGAAGAATATGCTGATTTATTAGAAGATGATGAAAAAAATCTTTCTTTTGATAGATTTTCTATATTATGTATGGAACATGAATTATTCAGTGATGCATAATAAAATAAGTTTTTAAAAGTGAAAAGTATTTATAATTACTAAAATTATAAGGTAATGCAGATGCTGAATAAAAATTTGAATAATTAAAGGAAAATTGGATATAAATATATACTGAATAGTTAAAGAGATTAAATGAGATCAAAATGGAAGAAATTGATAAATAGAAATGGTAAAAAATCCTAGCTGTTTTGGACAGAAAAATAGCTTAAGAACATAATAGTAAAAAGCCTCTTCTTATAGCCTTTAAAATCTTTCTAGAAGAGTCTAAATGAAAATTATCCTGTAAATTAATAGAAATTATTTGATATAAATTTATAAGCATTTAAATGAAGTATTTTTCAATATATTAATAAATTATTTATTAAATGATAAAAGTCACAAAATCAAATTTTTAGACCAAATACTAGAAATTACTTTGTTTCCTGATTTAAAAGTACCAGGTCCATTAATCATATTCTCTTTAAATTGTCCTTCAAATCTACAATAAATTATATATATATACCTATCTCCATTTGTAAAAATTAATACACCTTTACCTTATTTCTAATCACAAATAAAGTCTCCTGAATAACTAATCCAACAATTACCAATAGTTGTTAAATCTTCATAATTGATATCTTGACAATCTTTAGGATTTTCATTGAATAACATTCCCTTTCCTTAAAACTTCCCATTAACCCAACATCCTTAATATGCTAATTTACCTGAAGGATAATATAATGAACCATATCCATTCATAACATCATTTTACCATTATCCAATATAGAAACCTCCATCACTATAATAAATACTTCCTTATCCATTTTTTTTTTAATTCCTTTTAAATCCTTCATAAATAGAGCCATCTAGATAGGTTTCACAAATATATTCTTCATTTTAGAAGTTAAATTATTTAGATAATGTATTGATATCTGATTCTCTTTCTCTACAAAATGGATCAGATTATAAATCTATTTACAAACCATTAGAAAAGGATTTCAAATCTTCTGATCCAGTTGATGATGTTTCTGATTATTTTTCAGGACTTTTACGATACAAATATAATTATGATGGTTACTATTAATTTTTGTGATTAAAATAAGTGGCTCTGATTTATTCTATTTTTTCTTGTAAAACACTTTAATTATTAGATCTATTAGTAGATATTGGTATTATATTCTCCTTTTTTTAAGATACAGTGTTTAAATTGATAACTAAATTAGATTAAGCTAATGGAATAAGAGGAATTGGTTAGTTAGATTATGTTTTGATTATTAATTATTATTGAGAAATAGCTTCATAATATTTTGATTATTCTTAAATAGAGAAATTAGTTGGATGTTATATATTTTCTGGTTGTAATTAGAAAGTTGGCATTAATCTTATAATTTATCCATTTAAATCATCTCTTAATTGAATATAATTAGGTCTTTATATTCCACCAAAGATGTATAATATGCATTACTTTAAAAATGGTTCATTGATTTATTCTAATAAATTACTTAAAAGAGGAGTATTTAAAGTTCCATCTATATTAACTAAGTTGGTCATTAGATTAAGTGTAATCATTTCTAATAATATAATTCCTATTGGCCATGATGAATATACAGAGCCTAATTGATCTTTATAGTGAGGTAATTGAGGTGATTTAACATCAAATATATATGGATCCATAATTTTTATCATTTTATCAAAAAGCAATGTGTTAGAGGATAAATTATATTGAATGTTGTATGTTTAATAAATTGCCATGGCTTCAATTAATTGTTTTAAGTTGTATACAAGTTCTTGATTAGTAAAATTTTAAGAGGCAATGCGTCTTCTTCTTATTTCATTTGATAAATCTATCTCACTAAATTCTGTATAGATTTTAATTGTGTTATTGGAATTGCAAAAGATACTAGAGTCATCTTTCTGTATAGCATGAATTTTAAGAAAAATTGGTTATCTCATATTCTTTTCTTTGAGTCTAATAAAATTAGTAAGTGTGTTGACTTGTTCATCTGTTAACTATATTTTTCTCTCTAAAATACTACCAGGGTAATGAGTTCCCACTTTAGTTTATTTAAGAGGTTAACCCAACATCAATGATGATTGTGAGGTTCCCATAATTAATATGTTTCTGTTAAATTTAATAAATGAACAAAGCTTATTGATACAGTTTCAATGATAGAAATGATTTATTAAAAACTAATGAAACTATATCCAAATACTCTTGATAAATAATATCATTTATAGATGATTAGTAGAGTATGGAATAGGAGGAAGATTTGTTCTTATTGATTTAGAATTTATTTTTGAAATCTTTGAAATAGAATCAAAATATTATTAATTTGCTATTTATAAATAATAAGAATCCAATATTATGCCTTGATACAGAAAATAGAAACTTCACAATCATGAAATCAAAATTTAATTAGTTTTCATTAAAATATATTTTTTATCAAAATGGATTATGAAGATTTAAGAGAATGTTTATTTAAAAATCCTAATCCAAAGTTAAGATAATTTATGTTAATGTATGTTATTCCATTTTGTTTTTTTATTTTAATGTAAAATTACACATTTTCACATATTTCTATTAGAATTTTTTATATTAAAAAAAATCCCTATAATTAGTTAAATAATTTTAACAAACACAATATATATTAAAATAATTTTAGTAGAATATTGAAAAATAACACTCTATACTTTATAATGTTAAAATTAATTGATATTATATTTTAATAGAAAATTATATCAATTAATCTCGAAAATTGGAAAAATCTAATTTTAAATCATTATAATGGGAAATTAGTATTGATATAAAATATTTAAAATAATGTTTCCACTTTTATTTTTTATTTACAATATTTTATAATTTTATAATTATTAATAACCAATATAGAAATGAATTTTATTGATGAAGAAGACTATGATTAACCCTTAGATTGTGAAGACATTTTATTTAATACAAATATATTTGATAACCTTCCTACTCCAGAACATAGCAAATCTACAGAAGATTTGGAATAAAAATTTAAGGATGAAAGAAAGCAAAGGATTCTAAAAAAGAGAATTGAAAAAAAATAAAAAGTTAAAACAGAAGTTGTTTAAACTATGTCCAAAGATGAATTAAGGAAATAAAGAAATAGAAATTCTGCTCAATTATCAAGAGATAAGAAAAAAATCATATATGATAATCTAGTACAAGATAATAAGGATTATTATAATGTTTTAAAAAAGAAAGATGAGTAAATTTAATTATTAAATGAAGAAAATAATCATTTAAGATTAAGAGTTCAATATTTAGAGGAAATCAAGTAAATTATTAAATATAATATTAGTTAATAATATAAATGTATACATTGTGTATAAGATGATGAAATTTAAATATCTAGAATAAATGTAATAACAAAATCTAAAATGATGAATTATGGATTACTTTCTCTTTTAACTATAACATGCATTTTGTCAATTATCAATAATAATTAAGAATACAATCCAAAACCAATTGCTTTATCATAATTATCAAATTAGAGATATGATTTTTTGAGTCCAAAATTATCTTAGAGGAATCAAACCTCTTTATTTAGTTAAGAATCTAATTTTGCTATTCCTGCTCATACATTTTAAAATTAAACTTTATTTTATAATTGTACAGGAAAAGATAAGGAATGTCAAAACTTTTTAAATATAGTCAAGGCAGAAAATGCTGATAATATTTATTTTGTTAATGATGATACCGATCATACACCAGCTAATCGTGTACATAATTTTGAAATGGGAGAAGATGTTTATCTAATGAAAATAAAATAGGATGATGAAGATAACTTTGTAATTTTTAGAGCAAGATGCCAAATAATAGAGAATAACTCACTTGCTCTTGAGAGGAATACTTATGAAGAATATAATAATAGTTAACAGTATTGAATTTACTTTATAATTTTTAATTATAAATACTTTTAAACTGTAATTCTATTAAAATAATTAAATTAAAAAAAATAATTGTATGGAAGCATCTGAACCCTAAATGAATTATGAACCAAAAGAAAGAATATAATTTAATATTGAATGTGAAGACTTTAATCATAAAGGTGAATTAGTTTAATTTATACTTTTGAAACAAAAAACTGATCTTAGATCAAGACTTCTTTGTAGAAAGTGTATTGAGGGTAAGTTTAATTAATAAACCAATGAAATTTGTCTAATATCTGATGTAAAATTATATTATATTTTAGGTTATGGATGACCCTTTGAATGCTTTAAAGTTTACAAATTATTAAGATAATGTTAATTAAACTTTTAGTGATTTCTTACATTCTTATGATTTTTCATTTGATAAAGATGCAATCCAATTTGTAATATATTTATTAATTTGGATAGAAAATAAATGAAATCAAACAAAATTTTCTCTATTTTCTTGATAAATTAGAAAAAAAGTTAATAGAAAAATGTGAAACATTTTAAGAAACTAAGAGCAATTTTGATAGTCTTGGAGAAAAATTTGCATAGGTAAGAATTAAAAAAATAAGTTATAGTGCTTCGACACTGAGAATCTTAAAAATAGTTTAAATGAGGCACAAGAAAAATTCGGTAAAATTACTACAAAAGATAAGTAGAAATTAAGAATGGATGTTAATACCTATGTGAAAAATTTGCACTCTTTGAATAAAGAAACTAATTCAGAATAATATTAAAAATTATTTGATTAAATAAATGAAAATAAAAAGAATCTAGCTAGTAGAGAAAAATAATTAAGGTATGGTTTTTTATAAATGTATTAGACTCTTTAAGTTTAAATTAGATTAAGGACTAGATAAAATATTATAGGAACTTAAGAATATGGAAGAAACCTTTTGTACACTTAATTTGAGATAATCTGAATTAAGTACTTCTTACATGGATGAGTTGATAACGAAAATAAATCCTATATTTAAAGAACGAAACAATTTTTAGGATAAAATCAAAAAGATTTACTCATCAAAAGATGACGGATTGAATTCATTGTAGGTAACCTAGAAAATCAATAATTTGGGTTAATTAAATTTATAGACATTGCTCTTTATATTTTAGACTTCCTCTTAATAAACGTTTGGAGTATATTTTTCTTAAAATTCATCATAAATATTTCATTAAAATAAAAGATAGGAATTCCCAATAAAATCAAACATTACTCCTTTAATAATAAATTACAACCAAAATTAATCTGATATATTAATGACTTTTGGACAAAAGGATATACTAATAAAGTCTTCATTTATTGGATGCTCATCAAATTTGGGAGAAGGGTTTATAGTAAATCCTAAATATTAAATTGGACATCCTAAGAGTCACTTAGCCAATTAAGAAGAGTTTGATATTGTTTAGATGGAAATCTTTTAAATATTAAAGTGATAAAACATTCATTTTTAAAAACATATATAATATATATAATTTTCTTATCATTCTTCAGCAACAACTGAATATACTGATGGTGCTCTAGAATGAATATTTGGTTCATTCTTTCTGAAATAGATGATGAATCCAATAAATGCTAAACAAAAGATGAGTCCAAATGTTAATGTTACATAGAAAATTGTATCCTTATGTTTTTAAAGATCTTTCACATCTTAGAAGTGTTCATTCATCTAATCTTCTGTAAAATCATAAGTAATAGATCTTTGGAGTATGGGAACAATTATTTCATCATTGAAAGGTTCTTATTGTAATGGACTTTTATTATCTATTTTTAACCAATAGATAAATGTTTTAGTAAATGAAACAACTTTACCAGTAATAGCTTCAATAATATAAGATGATTCAGGAACATGAGCCATATATTAATTACAAGAAGACCCATTAATTTAAACACAACCATCAATTGATTAGTAACCAATTGTCAAAAATATAGGTAGATCTGTATATGGTTCTAATGAAATCATTTGACTTTCTACTTTATATTTGATTACATCATAGCCCTTATAAGTATTAGTTTCATGATAATTTAATTTAAGGTTCTTATGAATATCAAAATCAAATAAGTCTAATTACTTTTAGAAATTAGCTATTAAATCAGGTTGGAATGCATAACCATAACCACCAGTAACATTAATATCTTTTCCATAAGGATAATTGTAATATTGAGTAGAATATTCAGTTTATGGATTATAATAGATGACTCTTTTTCTTTTGATTTTTGATTCATCCAAAGTTCTTACTACTTAACCAACATTGTCTATATCTTTGATACCAGTATCCATTTGATAAAAATCATACATGGTAGCAAATTTTAAGAACTCTTAATTATTTGGTTCAAGAAGATGAGCACCATTATCTCTAAAATTGCTACCTTCATATATAGGTTCAAATGAAGATATTTTATCAGTGTAAGTATTATCATAATCAAATAAATATTTAGATTATTAGGTTGTAATCATATGACCTCCATACCAATAATTTGTTAAACAATGTTTAAGATATTTAATAAGTAATTTTAATTGTTCACCTTTTAATGGAAACTTTGGACTTAATACTTTTGTGCTATTGAAATGATGTTCATATAAATTTCTTAAAGAATAATATCCAAATATTCCACCCATATCAAAATTAAATAATTGTTATTATATTTTTTCAGTTATTTTTTCACCACAAAATGAATAAAATTCATAATGAACAAATGGTTTATCTGCATAAATATCCCATTTTGATATTGTAATTGTTTTATCAGTATCCCAAAAGGCTAATTCTTTAGGATAATTTTAAGTGACTGAACTATTTCCCCATTATTTATACCATAATTCTTCTGCTTAACATATTTAATAAGTGCATTTATAATATTTTGATATTGCCAAATGAAATTCATTCATAGCTTTTGAAAAATCTGACATTCCATCAGTTAAGTAATCCCATAAAACTTATTCATTTGCTTTTAAATCTTTCATTAATGTTTTAAATGAATCTGATTACTTTTTTTCAAATGCAGCATTAACCCAAATTAATGCATTCTTTGGATTTATAGTAAAATCATATTTACTATCACATGCATCTTAAAATGGAATAAAATAATCATCTGCACATTTGATATTTTCAAATCTATAATATAAAGCTTTTGCATATAATCCATCTCTCAACATAATACCAGCTTCATAAATCATTTTACTCATAAATCTCCAAGTTTAAAATGCATAAGTATCTTCAATATTATTAATATAATCAAATTAAGTATTTAAATATTTAATTAAATTTGTAGATTTTGTGTAATTCGTAGCATTGTCATTTTACCAATTTAATTTATTAGACACTCTTTCAAGATGATCTTTATTCTCCCAAATATATTACATAGTATTGAATCCTAAAAGATTTGGCATCTATTCAAAATTTTGACCAATATTATTTTTCACATCATCATATTAATATTCAGATCCATCTATATAAAATTCATAACTCTTAGGTATTGAATCATTAAATTTAGAATAACTACCACCTGAAAATGTAACTGGTGGAACAAAATCTTTTGCTGTTAAACCACCAAATGCCCATTAAATAACACCTAATTCCCATAATGTACATTCATTTTTTTTTAAACAACTTCCTTTTTATTGTCCTTAAACACCTGTAGAAACTGAATTTATGATTAGTTTTCTAAGTTTGTTGATTGTTGATCCTTATCCAATAAGTTAATTCATCTATTCATCAGATAAGGAAAAATAAAGTTATAATTTACTATCTCCCCCATTGAAATATGCTCTTATCCATTTAGAGAAACTGGTTTCAGAATTCCATCCATATTATTCATCATTCCACATTTTATCTTGTGTCTCCTTACTATATATATTAAGATTGATTGATACCTAATTTTGGCTGGTGTGAATATAGTATCATAAACTAATTTTTAATCAGATGTATAGAAATCATATATGGTATGAGTAAAATAGTAATTCATAAAATCCTAAGATAATCCTTGAAATATCATATTTAAATATCTAGGCAACTTAGCAAAAGCAGGTTAATTAAGACTTTTGTAAAAGTATTAAATTGCTGCAATATTTAGATTTGTAATATCACTAGTCTAATCTGATATTTTCTCAAACTTAAATTTGGGGAAGAATTTTATGAATCCAAGTGACTATGATTATAAGAAAATATATTACTGAAGGAACATAAGTTCTATTAGACAATTCTGATACATAGGAATATTTTGAGGATTCTTTAGCAACATCAAAAATTATTCCTGAACGATGAGTAAAAAATTAAAAGGTATTTATTTCTTTTACATCCTTATACCCTGGAGTAGCTCCCCAAGACAAAGCATTAGCACTAACTATCAATTAAATACTTACTCTGTCAAAACAGCCTTTTTATATATAAGAGCTTCCTTGTCTTGGTCATATTTAGTTAAGAATATTCCCATTGAAGAGAATGATAATATAATTCCCATTGACAGAAATCCTAAAATAGCCCAAAAGGTTGGCTTTTCCATATTTAAAATAATATTATTAAATTATGGATACGAAGTCATTAACTCATAAATACTACTTTTTATATAATATTCTTAAATTATTATTATCATATTCCATATCATAAGAAGTTATTTAATATCAATAATAGATCACAACTAATCTTATTCTTCTTTTTGTGCATATTTCACAAAATCAATATTAAATATAATTTATCTGTTAATAAAATGAAATTACGATCAATAAGCACTATCGATCATCCAAAAGAATTCTTGTTTCCCATTGAACCAGATCTTTCAGCCTCTATGACTGTACAAAATTCAAAAATTTATCAAATGTATTAAAAAAACAAGTAGGCAACTCCAAATAAACATCCATTACAAGCTTAATTTAATTTTACTAATACTTCTAGATTAGAAAATAATAATTCAATATCACCATTAAGATTATATCCAGAAAAAACAGAACTTATTAATTTATCTTCTAAAAGATCTTTAACTCCTACTTCTTAACCATAACAAATAAAAGTTAAAGGACTCACTGAAAAATTTAATGAAACTCAATTAAAAAGGACTTTAAGACATCAAGGAGTAGGAATTGTTTATTGTAGACAAAATTACAATAAGATTAATAATAAAGGAGATGGAACTGGAGAAATCATGCTTGAAGGTATTCAAAATCTCCATGATGTTAAAAAGCGACTCAAAACCTTTGGATTAGAATTAGAAAATGAAGGAATTCAACATGGAGTTAAACATATGATCTCTGAAAAATTTGCAAAAATCTTATAAACTGAAAGAAATAAAACCTCTAGAAATCAACACAATTACTTTAGAGCATGATTATATTATATAAATATATTCTAAATTCATCCTCTTCTACTAATTGTTCCATATTATGATTTTCCTCCAATTTAAGATTTAGCTCCAATTTGTGATTATCCTCCATCTATTGCAGATCTATTTAAAATTTCATCCTATTGTTATTAGACTTAAGGTTTAGTAACATCTTATTATATTGGTAATTATGTTTTTAAGGGTTTCATTCTAGCTTGAATTAGAAGTTATCTTATTTCATCATGATCCTAAATTGGCATTGAAAACAATAAGCTTAAAGCACTTAAAATAGTTATAGGAATAATATATAAATAAGACCTAAACAAAAGATGAGTTGGACTACATTCTGATCTTAAATCTACGTCAGCCTAATAAATGAGAGCTAATTATCATAAATTTTTCAAAACCTATTAAACCACTCTAACCTATTATTGTCAACATTAATAAAAATCGAAACAAATTTGGAATGGTAACCTTTTTTGTTAAAAATAATCCTATATTTAAAGGCAATCCTATTAAACAAGATATTAAAGCTATAAATAATAATCCAAATTCAATGTTAGGTATGTCTCTTGAACATAATTATTATGGTGAATTTGCTGTCAATATTAAATAAATTGCAAAAAATGAATTTGGTAAGTTTGTTATTCTGAAAGCAAACAATATTGGAGAAAATAGAGTTAATAGAACCTATTTATCATATATTAAATCTTACTTCTAGATGAGTTTTCAAATGAAAAAAGAGTATCAATTTTTATGATAAGATAACACCTTCACATTCATTTGGTTGTGTTGTAACATCTAAATATGTTTAACCTATCATAATTCCACTCCAACAAATATTGATTGCATACATTACAAAAAATTCAAGTCTGATTCAATAACAATATATTGTACCTTGCGAATGGTTCTTTGAGCCAGATAAATAGAAGTGAGATTAAATTTAGAATTAATAGTACTATATCGCCTTTGTAGCTTAAAGAGATTAATTTAATTCCCTCATCTTATGAATGATATATTTGACTTACTTGAACAAACTTAATTTGTATAACTTATTATAATAGGTAATAGATTAGAAAAGACAGTTAAGTAGAATTGCATTCTTGCAAATTAAAAGAAAACATTAACAGCTTTTGTTTTAGGAATGTTTATGTCAGTTTCCATTATTAATATTCAAAAAAACTTTATATAATTTAATTATTTAATTAATAACTACTATAAATTTATTATTATTATCAGAGCATTGACAATTAAATAATTTTTTCAAGTAATTCTTAATTTACTTGTATTTGAGATCCCACAATTGCAAAGTTGTATAAGATTGATTATCTATATTTGGTCACAAGTTATTAATTATAATTATAGGGTAGTCTTTGATAAGTATATAGTAATGATATCAATGTAAAGATTCCACAATCGAAACTATTAATAGTCATAATAAAGTATACCCATTATCTTACTTATTATAATGAGTTGAAATAGTATATTCAGAAGGCATAGTAACACCAATAAATTTAAGTATCTCCATGGCTGCTTTAATAATATCTTAATTTGTATGAGAGTTATAGGAATCAAAGTATCTAATCTTCTTTTCTTTTAGACAGATAATTAAACTAATCCAATGATTATTTTGTTAATTAATTGGAAAGAATAGATACTCTTATTAATTTAAAGATTGAATATCTTTTAAATCATTTTAAGAAGCCATTTATGTTAGTAAAGTTTCTAATTTACTAACATTGTATTTCTCTTTATTTTAAAGGGGATTATTTTTAACAACAGTTATATTTGTAACTTGAAATGTCCATTATTTATTATTGCTAGTTATATTATTAACACCTTAATTCTAAGTTATAGTAATTTAATTCTATAATTCAGAACTAGATTTTTAATTCAATTAATCTGTCTTATGATCAATATCATAATTCTTAGCAAATAATTAAGTATCTAACATTGAGTTATCAATTTGTTTAGTAGATGCTTCCATGTATTCTGCAAAAAAATAACATTGAGCTATTGCAATCTATAATCAAATGTTTATTACTTTTATATTTTAATAAGCATGTCTAAATAAGTTACAATAGAACAATAAGTGCGAACTTGCTAAATACTAATTTGTTAATATTTCTTCTAAAAATCTAAAATCTATTGTAACTCCATATAAACTATTTCTCTCATTAATCATACTATATTTTCTATAATTGATAGGATGAACATAAACTATTTTATGAGTTTCCTATAAATCTTCTATTTTTTTTAAAGTCATCATTTAATAAATATAATTATATGAGTAAAGCATTACAATACAATACCATATCAAAAGGTGATTATCTTACTTAAAAGAGTATACCTAATTCAGCTCCAATGTTAAGACCATAATCTGAAATGGTTAAATAATCTTAAGTATCACCTCCTGTTTAAGCTCCAACAGATGTTATAGCAAGTTAACCAATTTATAAAGAAAAATAAGAAAAACCATAAAAGGATACTCCATTTGAAAGAAGTATTTTTCCACAAAGTGAAATTCCTTAATAAAATATACCTATCAAAAGTACTATGATGAATAATCAATAATAAATTTCAAGTTAAACTAATCTACCTCAATAATAATCTAATGTATCAAATTAAAATTAGATTCAAATTTTACAATAATTGAAAGGTTTACAATTAGAGAATTAAGAATTAAGAGCATAATTGATAAATTAAACAAGAGAAATAATGAATGCTGGAGCTTTAAAGAGTGAAAATGGAGCTCTTAGAGAGAGAGCTGATGAATTAAAAATTATTGCAGATCATGTTAAAGAAGCTGATGCATAAAATTAGGCTATGAAGAAATAAGTGACTGAATTATAAACTTAATTAAGTTAAGTTAAGGCATAAAATGGAGAATTATAAAAAGTAGCTGATGAAGTAGAATAAGTTAGAAAAGAGATAGCAACTTATAAAGCTTTTGAGATGCAATATAAAGAATTATTAAGATAGACTTTATAATTAAAATCAGATCATGATGCATTAAATAAATAATTTAATAAATTATTGAGTGTTTAAGATGAAAATAAAAGAGTAAGTTAATAATATGATTAATAAGTAACAGAAAATGAGTAAATTAAGAAATAATTAGTATAATAAGAAAAAGACAATTAATTATTGCTTAATGATAATATTAGTATGAAATAATTATTAGATTAATTAAACTTTGATCATAGAAGTCTAAGATCTTAATTTGCTAAATTGTAATAATAATAATAATAATAATATGAAGAAAACTAAAAATTGAAAGATAAGATATCTTAATTGGAATTAGAAATAGTATAATTAAGATCTAGAAATGATGGATTATAAAAATTTGTTACTGCAGTTGATACAAGAGAATAAGAAATTGGAACACTCAAATATCATTTAGGAATGTGTGAAAATAATATGAAAATTATTTAATAAAATTATGATGCTTCACTTAAAAAACTTGAAATCTAAAGAAAAGATATAGAATAATTAACAACTGATAACAATTTATTGAAAGGATAATTAGAGCATTTAACTTTATAGAATAGATAATTAAATGAATGTAATCTTATATTTCCATAATAATAGTATAATGGAAAAATAAAGAACAAGATCATCAAACTAAATAAATGTCTGAAGAGATTAAAAGATTAAACAGTCTTATCTTAGTTAAAAATAATGAATGTAATTAATATAAAAATGATGCTTCCAGATTTCATTCTTAACTTATGAATTTACAAAATACTGAAAATTTAAATAAAAGAATGAATGATTAAATTTAACAAATGGATCAAGATATATAATTTTTAAGAAAAATGAATTAAGATTAATAAATGCAAATTAAACAATTAGAAGAATTCAGATACAATACTATATATAATATAAAATAACAAGATTTTAGCAGTAAATAAAATCCTTATTGAATAATATAATCTATTTAATAATCATATTTTAATGAATATTAATATTTTAGAATAATTAGTCTTTAATATAATATTAGTGTTAAGAGTAATAGATGATCAACTTAATATGATTAAATAATTATTATTTATATAAATATTCTTTTTTCTTTGTTAATATTTAGTTATTATTCAAAATAAAATAAACCTCCTCTTTTTCAATTAATTTGAACATTCTTATAAATAAATAATTGAAAGCCATTTTTGTTATGTGATTTTAATATTAATTTTTTTGAATTTCAAATGTCAGGTATCACTATATATCTATAATAGAGGAATCATAATATTCTGAGCATCCAGGTGGGTGGATTGAATGGTTTTGTCAATTACCATAAAATTAATATCTGACTGAAGTGGATTCCGAATTCATTCAAGATCCAAATAATTATGGCCACCTCATTAAATAATTCAATCTCTTTTAATAAGCTTTATAAATGATATTATCATCAGAATAACCAGATACTTTAGATCTAGAAAATGAGAAGTATTTTATTTTATCATACCTAGATTCCTTGAATTATATACAGAAGCCAGTGATATATACGGATTACTTCATTAAGCATTTATCTAAACCCCTAAAGGCTTAGCAATAATGAGAGAAAGATTTTTGAATGCCAGATTTGGTCATTGTCCAAGAGTCCTTTGTGAAAAATAAAATACCATTCCTATTGGTTTAAGTGAGAGCCTCAAAACTAGTAGAATTAAAGTATATTGCCCAAGATGTAAAGAAGCATATGCTCCACGTAAAAGTTAAGCTGACTTTGATGGAGCATATTTTGGTCGCAGTTTCCCTATGTTGCTTTTATTGGTATAGCTTAATAGTTTATCATAAGACTTACCCTGATATACATCCAAAATTTACAATTTAATTAGGGACTGAATTATTTACTCCTTTCTAACCAACTCTTTATGGATTTAAAGTCAGAGATGAAATATAAATCTAATAATCTTCTCCATAGTTACAATCATAATAATCATAATAGTAATAGTAATAAATTATTACTGAACATACAAATGGAATTATTGAAAAAGAAAATCACCATTAATAAGAAAAATAAAATGCTGAACAAGAATCAAAATAATCAAAAAAGAAAAAGAAAAATAAAAATAAATGAATATATGAATTTATTTCATTATCGATCTAAAATTATAAATATTTTATATTTTCTAAACACCTTTTTATGTAATATTTTGTTATTATCTTATTATCATAATATAGGATCAATTAGTAACAGATCTTTTATTAATTTTTTGATATTTGATTAGTTCAAAATTATTATTAAATTGTGAACATTTATTTTTTAAATTAAATAATCCTTTAATTTTATATATATATATTTATTCTATAAATAATGATAGATTATTTTTTATTAATCTAACATTTCTCTATTTAAATAGATAAAGAATTTTAAATTATTCTAAATAATCGATGATATATATTTAATTATCAAGGTTTATCTCCTAATTTGTTATGAGCCAATTTATCCCAACACTTAAATTGATATTGATAAATATTTTACATGGTAATAGTCATGGTCCAAATTTACTTAGTCATCCATGACAAACGAACAAGTTTTAAACATGTATGTACTTTCAAACATAAATGCTAAATTTTCATATGGATATTTAATAGGCTTAAAAAATAAAGTAGAAAATTTACTTCCAAATCAATATTAGACCATTTGGTAAATGATTCATGATCAGGACCATGTCCTTACAAAATACTATGTAATGAACCATATCCAGGTTAGAAGCCATCTTCCTTTGCATCATATTATCCAGAAATATTTCCCATATATTCACTCATAACATTTCTATGATAATAGGGTGGTCTGAAAGTATGTTCTGCAACCATCCATCTTGGTGGGAATATAGCAAAATCACATACTGCAACTCTTTGAATTATAAATATATATGTACCCTGGTTCATCAGTTTAACATGTAATAACTGTAAATATAGATGGGTCAGGATGATCGAATGTAACAGTTCCCATAGCATTAAAAAGATCCAAATTATATTTATAAGGATAATAGTTTCCATGCCATCCAACAACATCATAAGGTGATCCTTTCTTTGTACATTTATAGAATTTTCCTAAATATTTATTAATAATTTAGAATTCTTCTTCGGTATTTTCATAATAAGCAGTTGGAACTAAGAAATCTCTAGGATTGGCTAATCCATTTGCTCCAATAGGTCCCAAATCTGGAATTCTGAAGTGACCTTTAAAGACTTCACATATGTATCCTCTTATTGGTTTAGTCATTTCAACACTAAACTTGATTCCACGAGGAATAACACAAATTTCTCTTGGTTTGACTGTCATTTTACCCATTTCTGTAGTAATTAACATTTCTCCTTCCCAAGGCACTAAATTTAATAAGTATATATACCTATTAAGAAGTCTCCATCACTATTAAACAAACTAGAGTTAGTCATACTCTTATTTGCAGCATATAAATATATTGCAATTCCTTATTTGATGGATGGATCACCTGCTCCACAAACAGTGACCAAACCTTCAGCAAATGTTGTAGGTTTTTATGGTAAGGGTAAACGTTTCCATCTGATAAATATAGTTTTGTAATTTACCTTAATTGATTAGGAGTGATTGTCAATCCATGATCATTCAAAAAATCGTTTTTAACATATTTTCCAAATTCTGGAGCATCTACAAATGGTGTATGAGCAGCACTTGGTCTAATTTTATAGAGCCATGTCTTTTGATTACTAGCTCTAGGTAAAGTGAAGGCTGTTCCTGAAAATTATTCAGCTATCAAATTATAAGCACATTTTTGTGGACTATTCTATCCTTTTGGTACTGCTCCTTTTAATGCTTCTGTTTCTACATGATTTCCAAATCCTATAGCATAATCAAGGTTTTCATAATTGCGATGTGTATCCATTATAAGATATTTAATTAAATTTATCAATTAATTACGTATTATTAATTTGCTTATATTTCACATGACATACTATTTTTAGTTTTTTAATTTAATTATAACATTGATTTTCAAAATCAATTAAACAATATCAATATCTCTATAAAATAACAAAATTATGTTTATTTATTTTATATTCTCAATTCATTATATAATTATTTTTATATGATTTATAAAATATATAAAATAATATAAATATAAATTAATTTTACTTCATTTTATTTAAATGCTTGATAATTGAATTTGAGATTTAATTAAAAATGATCTGTAAGTATACTTAATATTATTACTTGATAGATTTACAAATTTTTCTTATATCTTATCCTTAAAGTAATTTGAATGTTTCTTATCTTTTAGAGAGAGTCAAAATGAAATGTTTATCATCTTTAACTTAAAGATCGGTAATCTCATTTGCCTTATAAATGAATCTTTTTGCTGGTGTTTCTAACTCTAAAATATAGTCATTGTAAATATTTTATCGAAGAATAAAAGCACAATTAATCTCAAGTAATTAATTCTTTAAAATCAATCTATGTTATAGAAATTTCCCTCTAATTTCTTCTAATTCTAATATATTTAACTTTTATTATTCAATGATATTTTCTAAATTCTACTTTTCAGTTTCATTTTCTAATAAATTTTATTCAAAATTCTAGATTTTTATTTTCAATTCTGTATTGATTTATGATTATTCAATTATTTTATTATATAAATCTTATTCAATATCATGAATATTTTTTTTTAATTACCTATTTAATATATTTGCTTCTTCTAACTCTTTACTAAGTTTACCCAATATTGTTTCTTTATTACTCAATTCTTTTTATAAATTTTTTTATTCATGTTATAAAATACTTGATTATGCTTAGAAATTATTTTACATAATTTTTATTTCTCTATTATATGCTACAACAAATACTATTATAATTGCTTATTCAATTTTATCATTGTTTATAATTGTTAATCTATTGTTCCTTCTGCTTTTACAATTTGAGCAGAAAAATTGCTCTAAGATTATATTCTAACAGGAGTTGTTTCTATATTTCCTTCCAAAATAGAAATTCTTTGCTTTAATTCTTCAACTAGCTCAATGTAAGATTGTTCCTTATCTATTTCAAATGATTCTTACATTTTAATCTTTTTCCTTAAGTACTTTATCTAATTCAATCGATAAAGATTGATTAGAAATTTCTAATTATTCTTTTTGTTCTCTTAATTCTAACACTGCCTTCTTTAACACTTGAATTTTTGCTTTATCACTGGCATTATTACACGAATCAGAAGCACCTTCAGATTTTTGAGACTTAAGCATGTATTGATATTTTATATTTATAATAATTAAACAATAACATCCAAATATATAAATGTCTAAAAATATTATTATTTTACTATCACATTCATCATCCGCACATTCCTCTCTCTCAATTTAAATTAAGTACTCAAATATGCATTCTTAAGCAGCATAATTTTTTAATTTAATACATTTCCTATTTCCAAACTTTGTTGATTCCATACATGTATTAGGAAATGTGAAATCATAATGTTACAATACAGTGATATATTATTAAATGAACTAAGTACTAATTTTTAAACAGTTAATGAATTTGAACTAAAAATATCAACTTCATAATAATTATCTTTTTTAGATTATCATTCTAAAACTATTAGTAAACTAATTTTAAACTAAAATTAACTTCATTAATTAAAAATAAGTTTTTAAAGTTTAATTTTAATAGCATATTTTATTTATGGATTCTATAATAAGTATTTTAATTATCTCCCTAATATTTCATTCAACTTATTATTAGAAATGAAGAATAAATTATAGAATGCCATTTCAAATAATTAAGATTTAAAAGTAATTTTTTTCTATATTTTTAGATGATGTATTAAAATCAATAATTATAAATGAAACAAAATATATAAAATAGATAAACCTTATTTTCTCTAAAATATTTTATTTGAGCATCTTATCAACTAAAATTATATTTAAAAAAACAATTAATACTTTCTTCACAGATTTTAAATGTTTGTCAATAAGAGTGATAATTTTAATAAGTTTCATATAGACATCGCAAACAGATTTTTACAATGCATTATAATTGTTAATATTATTTATAATAATTTATGTTGTCATCAATGACAACATAACAATTTGTATCATTAAAAATTCTGAAGTAATTCTTTTTAATAATATGCATTATTAAGATAAATGTAGATGATATTTAATAAAAAAATTAGGATTATTCTAAATTTTATTGAATTGTTAAAAAAAGTTCTTAGATTTTATAAAAATTTTGAAGTAGTTTTAATCAACTTTACAATCCTATCTTATAATTAAATAATTTAAGTGGAATTAATGAACTAAAATTGAAATCTGTTAATATAGTTTATATGTAAGAGAAAGCAGTCTTAGGAAATAGTTGATAATTATTAAGGCTAAAAAAAATAAGTAATTAGAACTAAATAAAGTTTATTTTTATATCTAATATAAATTTATCAAATAAAAATGGACCCTAAATCGACAGCATTCCATCTTTATAAATAGACTCTAATTAGAAAAAACACTAAACCTATTGGACAAATCTATAGTTATGAATAAAAGGATGTAATTATTTAGTTTTTATTTGTGTAGAAAATTGGTCAAGGAGCTTACGGTAGTGTGTACAAAGCTATACATAAAGTTAGTAAACAAGTTAGAGCAGTAAAAGTAATAAACAAACTTAATATAAAATACAAAGAAAGACTATTAAGCGAGATAACAATTATGGAGTTATTGGTAAAATAATATATATTAACATTTAGGATCATCCTAGTATTTTGAGATTGTATGAAACATTTGAGGATGCAGAGTACTTATACATGGTTTTGGAGTATATATATATTTCTTATATATAGAATATGCCAGGGAGGTGATGTGTTTGACAAGGTTCTAGAAAAGGGATGTCTACCAGTAGAAGATGCTTTTAAAATATATATTTAATATATGAGAGCTGTTAACTATTATTAAGGGTTTAAAATCGTGCATAGGTAATATAAACCATAATTAAATAGAGATTTAAAACCAGAAAATTTTTTATTTTAGAAAAAAAATGATTTATCATCTTTAACATTGATCGATTTTGGTATTGCTAAAAGATGTGTAGACAAATTAAAAACAAAAAGTGGCACAGTAAATTTTATTTAGAAGTTAGGCATATTATGTTGCCCCTGAAGTTTTAGATGGGTTATATGATCATAAATGTGATGTATGGTCAGCTGGAGTTGTACTTTATGTTATTTTATGTGGTTATCCTCCATTTTATGGTGAAAATGAAAAAGAAATACTTACAGAAATTAAAACTGGTTCATTATAATTTGATGGTATTAATTAATTAATTAATTAAATAGGTGATGAATGGTAAGGAATATCATAAGAAATTAAAGATTTTATTCGATCTCAAGTCTGTCCTGCTGAAAAAAGATTATTACCAAAAGATTTATTAAGTCATAAGGTTATTACTCAATACAATTAAAAATTTGTATAAGATAATAAATTATTATCTATGATTACACTCAATTAATGGGTTAAATATCATCCTATTAGAAGATTAGCTCTCTTTTATTTAGCATCATAACTTGATTCAAGTGAGTTAGTAAATTAGAAAAATTGTTTTTTCTTTATAAATACTTCTCAAACTGGATTAATTACTTAATAAGAGTTATCAACTTATTTAAAAGTAAATAAATAAGATGTTTAAAAATTATGGCCTTATATTGATTGTAATAGCAATGGATACTTAGATTATTTTGAATTTGTTGCTATAACACTAACATAATAAGAATTTATAAAATAATTACAATTTATGTTCGACTTTTTGAGTTAGCAAGATAAATTCATTTCATAAAAGAGTATCAAATATATTTTCGATTAAAATGCTAACTTTAATAGTAAATGGGACAGCATCTCAGATACAAAAAATCATTTGGCTATAGTGAACTAACATGAATAATAAATAAATGTTAAAAATATAATAGAAAAAGACATGGATTTCAATGCCTTTAAAGCCATAATGTAGTGAAATATCCATTCATATATTAATATAAATATATATATATATAATAATTAATGAAGATATTCATAAAATCTTTTTTATTTTTCTATTAAATAACTAATTTTATATTATTGTAAATTCATTAAAGTATTTAATATAAGAATAATCTATTCTATATTTTATATATTGTCAAAATACTTTAAACTAATTATATTGAATAATAATATTTTCTATAATTATTTTCATATTCTCTATTAATATATAAATATATTTATAAATGAAATCAAATAAATGTTAGCGTTTGAATAATAAACCAAAATACTAATTATATATAATATTTTCCTAATTAATTTCTTAAACAGTCTTAAAATAGTTTTCTTAACATTATCAATTATTTAAAATCTAGAGCAATCATTTATTTGTTATTTTGTAAGAAATACATAATATAGTTACCTATAACTAATATTCATAAGATCAACAATAACATATCATATAAAATATAATTATCTTATATATTACTAATAATGAAATCTTCAAAAGCTGACTTACTAGAATCAGAAGATATATAAAACTATGGATCAGAGTCATCTGAATATTAAGTTGAATTGATTAAATAGAGAGGTAGTTAAATAGCCTGTGCTGATGCAAAACGTTACTATAAAATCCCTTTAAAAACGTAAATTTTGTTATTTTAGATGGTCTTTTTAAATGGAAAGAGAATAAAACAAGTACATGCATATAAACAATATTTAGGTTGCCAAGTCTTTGAGTATAAATTACTCAAGTGCAAAATCATTGATTCATTATTATAAAAATAATAAAAGACCAATCCCATCAGCAATTTCAAGTATTTTGAATTAATCCAAACCTTGTGGGATCAAATAGACAAAAAATGGTAATAAGAATATGTTTGTTGTTGTTCAGATTCAAAAGGAAACAATTAAAAAATACAATTTTTATTAATTACTATAATAACAACATGAATTTGGCAATATTTGAAGAATATAAACATGATTCTTATATTTTAGTTAATGAATCTCTTATAAACTTAAAAATATTTAAGAAATATATTATAAGTATTTATAAACTAAGTTTGTATGCAATCCTTCCAATTAGAATATTTTATGTGTTTTTATAAATTTATAAGGTTTATTCCTTAATTTTCAATTATTAATAATAACGTTTTTCTTTAAGAGATAAACAATTATATTTTATGAATATAAAAATTAAATCCTAAATTTAATTTCAATCAAAAATATGTTATAAAATGGAAAAATAATTCAACATTTCATTAGTATATCTCCTTAAAATTTTATATTAACTAAATATCTAAAACATGTACATTTAGTTAATTATTGTAACAAATATAAATATAATTGCTACAAATAATAACTTAATTTGATAATAATTATTTTTAGTTATTTTTAAATTTCCTTTCTTAAGACTTTCTTATCCATGTAAAACACTGATTAGGAATCTTCTGTTAATAATTCAATTCCAAAAGATTCAGAATAACAAAATTTTGTTAACAAAAAAAAGAATGCAAAAAAGTCATCTAGACGAATCCACAAAATACCAATACGAACCTAATAATTATTATTCGTATAAGTTTTTTAAGAAGGAAAATCAATCAAATAAGTAAAAGTAGCAAAATATCACATTAGGTTGCTGATGATTTAAAATTAAACTATTCTAGTGCTAAATCCTTAATACATTATTATAAAAACAATAAAAGGCCTGCTCCTAATTAAGTAGTTGATGTATTAAATGGAAAAAAGCCATGCCTTTACAAAAAAATGCAAAATAACTAGAATGCTTATAATAATCTAAAAATAGAAGTTAGGCTAAAGCATTCATTTATTAAAGCCTATAACTTCTTTGAGAGATTAAGAAAGCAAGAGCAACGTTTTGCAAGTCAATGTCTTTCATGATATTCATTAATTTAGAAATTATTGTTTGGAAATCGATGATTCTTGTTTTTTAATTATTTCCATCTTTACTTTGTAAATTGTTCTTTAACATTAAACCTAAAACTTTCCATTATTTATCAAATTAATTCTATTATTTTGCTAAAAAAGCTTGAGAAAATATATATAATATGTATGAATATCAAGAGGAATTAAGTGTATCTAATTTCTACTATTTTTAGTATCAATATTAGAATATGATTAAATTCGTTTAGATTTTGTGATTTATTTATTTATATAATTCTAAAGTAGGTATATTATAGCTGAGATTAGTTTGTGTATTAGTTAATAGTTAGTTACATCTGATAATAAATAGAGTTAACAATATAAAAATGAGTTTATAAATAACTCTTTCTCTAATTTGAATATATAATCTACTAATTCATAAATAGGTTTAATCCTTTATTTAAAATGTTAACATTATAATGTATGATGAACATTAAAAATGTTTACATTCCTATAATATAGTTAGTTCATATTAAATAAAATTATTAAGTAAAATTCTTTTTTCATCTGAAAAGCAATAAGTTTGATTAAAAAACAACAGATTAGAATCATTCTATTTTATTTCAAATATGAAATTATAAATGAAATCGATAGATTATATTTCCTTTATCATTTTACTCCAAAAAAGTTAACAAAATATCAAATAAAATAATAAATATTATTTATATATAGCATTTATGATTTTATCAAATCCATTAAATTTCTATTTTAAATATGTTCTAACAACAAATAAATTCAAGAGTATATTATTTTATTTTATTCTTTTAGTAAACTCATAATTATTATATAGTTTGAATTAGTAATTTATAAGAATATATATAATTTCTATATATATCTATTTTAGAATAAGAATATAAAATTTTAATGATTAAGCTTCATTTTGAAATGATATCAAAAATATCTTTAATACATTAATTGAAATAAAAAAAATATGAAATATTTATTATTTATATCAACTTTAATAGTATTAGGATAGTCATTATCAACGTAGCTTTCATAAAAGCCAACTTGCTTTTTAGTAAATTCACCTGAAGAAAATTCAAATTTGACTGTTAATTATATTGTTTCTGGTTTAGATGAAATTTAGACAGATGTATTTATTAGAAAAAAAGATGGAGAAATTTTAACAAAAGTACAAAATACAAAAGATGGAAAAATCAGAGAAATTTTAAAAGATAAAGACAATTATTATGTTTGCTTCCAAAGTAGAGATAAAAGCTATAAAATGGTGAGTTTTGACTTTGATATTGAAGGGGTTGATAAAGAATATGCATAAACTGAGTAATTCGAATATATGTCTAAAGAATTATAAAAAACATAAAAGAATTTCTAAAATATTTACAGAAATTAACATTGGATGTCAGACAGAGAGAATGCACATGCTATAATATTAGATTAAACAGAAAAATCAGTTTAATGGTGTGCTGTTATTAAAGTTGGAGTACTTATTGTAATAAGTATATCATAAATCTATATTGTTTATAATTATTTCAAAGATAAGGATCTAAATGGATAAGTTTGAGTAATTATTTATTATAAAATTTATAAATATAATTTTAGTTTTATAAGATGATCATAAAAAGGAGTCTATAAAACACTCATAATCCAATGGATTAAGTGCTGTACTATTATAATCTACATATGGATTTGGTGATCCAATTTTGGATTCTTAAAATTGATCATCTTTAATTGATTTGTATTCTCCTAAAAATTTGTTGGTTTGTGTTTCACTTTTATCTAAAGATATTTTAAATAATAATACTTTCTTATCTTAATTCTTCATTTATTGCATGAAGCATTTAACCAACTTATTTAAATTTGACTTCAATGTCTACACTTTAATTGTAAACAAACTGATTATATTCATAATTTCTTACATGATTTAAATTCTGCATTTAATCAATTAGATATGAAGATGTTTCTTATAATAGTTTCATATCTTCTTTTAACTTATTATTTGTCTCTTTTATATCAATAGCACATTCTTTAAATAAGTTCTGTTCTTCCTTAACTTAAATTGCTATCAAAATAACGAATAATTAGATACTTGGTTCTTCTTAAATAGCAGGAGCAATAAGATCTTCTTAATTTCTCCTTTTTATAAATTATAACATTGATCTTTTAAAGTTAAAAATATAGAAATACTTCATTCCTTTTCTAAAACATTTATGCTTAAAGATTTATCCTTCATTTGATCGAACTTTCTTGAAATTATATAAATTTAGCTATCTAAAATCAATTAATACAATTCAATACCTGACAAAACTTGAATAATTACTATGCTTAAAGAAATTTTATAAAACTTATTTCTCCATTTACTATTGATTATAAACTATAAATGCAGTGCCTTATGCTGTCCAACTTACTATATTAGAATGGTTTTGTTCCTTTAAAGATATTCAATAGATTATACTTCTAGCATTTAATAAGTTTTCAATATGAATGTTGGAATAGGAGTTCTAGTGTTCATAAATTGTTAAAATATAATATATTTTTTAGTAAAAATCAATTAATCGATATTTAAATCCTATCAATTTGATAAAATCTATGTATTTCACCAGAAATAAATCTCTCTTCAAGAATCGGATATTTGCTTATATTTATATATATTTTATAAATTAATGAAGCATTTACTCCTATTTATTCTAATCCTCTACATTTTATTTATTGTAGCTCTTGAATGTATTAATAACCAAATTAATTTTATTTTAAAGCTAAGGATAAAGGTAAACCAAAGAAATCAAAAAAGAATAAAAGTATAAGTGAAATGAAATCACCAATAACCGTAAGTGGAAGAGCTTGGGCTAGAAAGAATTGTATGTTTGGTGAAATTTTGAGTAAAGGAGGAATAGAAGTATTTAATAATAAAAGAAAAATAGGCTAAAAATTTAAAAACGAAAAAATTAGAAGCATAGATTTTGAAAACTAAATTGCTTAAAGTAGGAACACTAAAATCAAAAAAAGAAGGTAGACCATTAGTTATTAATGGTTCGATATCTGTGTATAAAATGAAAACATAAGAGAAAAAACAGAAAGTTTTATTATAAGAAAGTATATAAATTAAGTATTCTAGTTTAGTGGGAATTATTGCATCATTTAGATTTTAATGATTAATCTAATAGTAAATGTGAAAATTTGAGAGATGGTCATTTTTTTGGTGGTTATTGTGAAAATACAAATTAAACTTTAAGCAAAAAATTCAATACTTTACCTTAACATACTCAAATAAAAGTTGAATTAGCATTACACGTATTTGATTAATGGGAATCAGAATAAATTATTATGAGAGCAGATGAATAAATTAGTATAATAAATATATTATTATTAGTTTGGAAGAATAAATTTGAAAATACTGTTCATCATAATAATTTCTGTGGAAGTTCTAGATTTGGAGATTAAATTAATATGTATTATTAATTTAATATAAAGATTAGTCCTATTATGAAAATATTTGATCATACTCATAATGAATTAAATTTATAAGTTTAAGGTTTAACATCAAAAAGTACTTGTGAAGCTAGTTTTGGAATTGATAATCTAGTTATTTATTATAGATGAATGTTTATTTATTATTAATTTTAAATTCAAAATGTCTTAAAGCAGTAAATGTTTCATTTTCATAAATATTAGATATTTCCGTAAATGAGAATGGATGGATTAAATGGTATTGCAATTTAGAAGACCATCACTTTTTTTGTGAGATAGATGAATTTTTTATAGCAGACTAATTTAATCTTTATGGATTGAAATAGTTATTTGATCATTTTGAGTAACATCAATATAAAGTAATATATTAGAGAAGCATTATAAATGATTTTATCTCCAAATACACCAACAGATGAAGATTTAGAGGATGATTAGTATTAAATGAAAAATTATAATTAAGATTTTTAGAACTCTATAATGAAGCATCAGAATTATATGGTTTATTACATGCTAGATTTATTATTACTCCCTAGGGTTTAACATTAATGAAATCAAAATATTTATAAGGAAGATTTGGAGTATGTCCTAGAGTTTTATGTGAGAGATAAAATGTATTACCAATAGGTTTAAGTCATGATTTAAGAACTTCTCGAGTTAAAGTAAAATATTATTAAATAAAATCTAGATATTTTGTCCAAGATGTTAGGATGTTTATTCTCCTAAAAAGTAAATGAGTGATGTTGATGGTTCATTTTTTGGTTCTGTATTTCCTCATATATTTTTATCTGTATTTTCAGAATTAAATCCTACTTAACCAGCAAATGAATATGTATCCAAAATATTTGGATTTAAAGTACATAAAAAGAAAGGTTCAAAATTTTAAATTCAATAAAATTAAACTGAAATGTATTATTATGCTGAGGATCATATAAAAAGACTTTCATAAATATAAAGTTCATAATAATAATAATCTTAATAATAATAATAATAATAATAATAATCTCAAAAAAATGATGAGGAAGCAGAAAAAAAATAAAAAGAAGCATTAAATGCCATATAAAAGTTATAGAAATAAAAGTAAAAAAAATGATTTTGGTATAATTAATTATTTTCATTGTCCTCTCATAATTATTCTAAAGCTACTTATTCTATTTCTACATATTGGACATTTAGAACTTCTTTCTTTTAATCCTTAACAACAAGTTTAACATAAACTCATATGTTTGCATGGTAAAATTAATGTATTTACTTTATTACTTAAACATATAACACAATCTTTATCTTAATCTTTTTATCCTCCATAAACATCTCTTACACTAAATGCTTTTCCATTCTTTTACATTTTAATCTCAAATGTTTATAATTATATTTCATTTTAATTCAACTTGAAAAAACAGTATTAAAATAATGATTTTTCTTATGTTTCCTATAATTATTATTGGATTATTACCATCTCAATTATTAATGGATATTATCGTTTTTCTTAATTTGTATATTCTAAATCTTCTAGTTTTATTTATCGTATATCAAATTAAAACTAATCAAATTTATATCCTGAAACTGGTTCAAAATGGTATGTCTTTTATTAAAAGGCATTAATTTTTTATGTTATAAATTCACTATTAATTGTTTCAACAGCTAATAAATGAATTTTAAGTGTCACAGGCTCTAAACATTCAAAAACAAATTCTATTTAATAAGTGCTAGCATCAATTTGTGTCTGATATTATATATATTCTATATATACCAATTTAAATGAATCCTTTTTAATATAAGTATTATTTTATTTTGGAACAACTTTCTTGACTTCTACATTATGTTTAAATCTTGCTGGATGTTAATCTTAATTTTATAGATATTATGGAAAATCCTATATTATTTATTATGGATTATTTTAATATAAATCTCTAAGCACTTATTAATAATTAGGATCATTAGTTAAATGTTGCACACTTTAATGATTAGCTGTATTATTATTATTATTTTGATTATTTCCCATTTTAATTATAATATTTAATACATATTTATTATATCAATCAATAAATCTTTAGCATTCTGTCATTCTTTCTAATTAATCTTTTATATTGTAGAAACCTATCAAATTACCTAAAAATTAATCATCTATTTTCTCTCCTTATCTCAAAAAATATAAATTTCTAAATATATTTTCACTTATAGAATAATGCCAATTACAATTTATTTTAGAATTACCATTTTAATCAAAATTCTAATAATGATACTCAATTTTAATATTATCTTGAGAATCTAATTTTTAATTTAAGTAAGGTTAAAATCTTTAAATTAATTAATCCTCATTTCTTTTCTATTCCATTTTATTTCTTTTTTTTATTTTTTTATCATTACTTTCCATCTTGATATAATCATAAATAGGAAAATTTTTCTTTAATTTCTCTAAGAATTAATATAATTTTCTATTTGCCTAACTAATGAATTCTTCTACTTTTGTTTCATCAACTGACCAAGTTGATTCATCATTTCTTTTAAAAACAACAGCAGACAAACAACCTTTCACAGTTCTAGTTGCCAATCCTGTAAAATTCTTTCCATTCTACTTTCTCAAAAATGGAAGATAAGGTTCTGTTATATTTATTAGATTATTTAAAGTTGCATTCCCCTCTTATAATTGAATCACTTTGATCAAATGTCCTGTCAATGACATTTAATATAATTCTTCTTTATCGACCATCTCTTACCATTTTTTTATGTTGAATGATTTAGCTTACTAAATAACTTTTCATTAAATATAGTACTTGTATAAGTGTTTCTGAATGATATCTACGTTCGTCTTATCGAGGTTAGTTTAATCGAATGTTTATAATTTAACTCAATTATAAAGGCTTACTCAGTTGAAAATATTTATAGTATTGATCACATTGATCAGCCTACTTAATAATTTTAATAAAATACTTCGACTTTAGTTTTTTAATCCATTTAGTCTATTTATATATAATATTACCCCCTTTTATAAATTAAAATAAAGGGGGATCAAATGTTTCATTTAAATAGTGATCCCAACCTATTTTTTATATTAACTTATTTATAAATCATAAAATAAAATCTATAATATTAACAATCTTATATAATCAATCAAAGTGCTTTTAGGAAGTAAGTTTCTTTTATTTTATCAATAAATCCAAAGATTTAATCAAATTTAGATTTCATTTTATAATTAATATATCTATGTTATTCAACATTCTAATTATACTACTGTTATCCTTTTTTTTTTTTAAACTATCATATTATAGCTATCTCACAAAAAATCTAACAATTAACTCTTTTTTTATAAAATTGGCTAAAAAATGATTTAAATCCAAAAATTCTGTTTTAAATTCATGGGTAGTATTGAAAATATTATTTATAATTAACCTTTCAAATAGAGATATAACTTTTTCGTAACCCAAATATTTTACTTAATTTTAAGCTTTTTAATTAACAATTGATAAATCATTCATAAATTTATTTGTTGAAATTATAACTAGTTTATTGATTATTAATACATTTAAACATTGTTATAAAATTAATAACAGTGATTGTGATTCTAATCCTAAACTCATAATTTTATAGAAAATAAGAATATTAGAACTAGGATTCCAATAAATCATTTAATATAATTACATTAGCTTGTTGTTAAATATACTCCTACTATATTGGATCTTTTTATGATTTCATACGTAGTATTAAAGGAAACTAGATAGATATTGTTATAAGTAATGATTTTCATAATTATATATATTTTTAGGATAAAGTTTTTCCTGTAATTATTATCTAACTAAAGAATAAGAGTTCAATTTAACAAAAAATATTTCTATACTATCAGTTCTAAAGGATTGTTTTATATTTAATATGTAATTTTAATACTATTATTTATAAAATTTATTATTATTTCATTATCTCATAATTCTCAATGACTATCATGATGTATATTAACAATGTAAAATGCTGTTTCAATGCTTGATACCAGAAATGCTCTATCTTTAATTTCGATTCCAAATTCTTTTTCTAATGCATCATGAATATGAATGCATGTTGCAACATCAACATAACCAGCAGCATCATTCCAATTAGTATTAAATGTGATTGGAGTTGATTCCCACTAATTTTATTATATTTTTATACTCTTTCTGGATCAATCTTTCTCAATCGTTCTCCAACCACTTTTATGATTCTTTTTGCTGTAACAGCTGGCTTTGATATTAATTTATTATTACATTGTTATAAACTGAACCATTAGGAAAATGATATGAATAAATAGGGACTTGAGTGGATAAACTTTTAGCAAAATTAGATATTAATTTATACATTATTTTATATTATTTAATTTTTGAGTGAAGAATTTTAATAATTTTTTGTATAAAAATATATATATATATATAATTATTGTTGCTGATACCTAATAATTATATTTATTAATTAAATATACAAGCATTCGAATTTAATATTAATTATATTTCTATTATTTAATTGTTCTTTTGCACAATTTATTCTACATTATTATATTTATATAATAATAAGAAGTCAATGTAAATTTATAATTATTTCTAGAAAATAAACAATTCAAAGTTGACTAAAGGATTTTAACTTTATCATATTTAAGTATAAATTAAATTAATAAAATACTACTTTCCTTGTATAATTCCATTTATTAGAACCATATATAATTATTATTTTAATATAGTTTTTATTTCATTATTAATAATCAATTAGGTTTATATCTTTAAGATTGATTTTGTTATTATGATGAATAAGTGTGATTTAGTGTTATAATAAGTAGTATGATTGAAGTTTTAGATGATGATTGTTAGAATATTTTAGATTAATATATGTTGTATGTTGTATACTTATTATATTTTATGTAATTAATATACGTGATCATTATTTCTTTGCTTATGGTTTCTTGGTTTAGGGTTTCTTAGTTTCTTTTGGCTATTCTTTAGGTTTTTCTTCTTTAGGTTATTATTTCTTTTCTTTCTTTTCTTCTTTAACTTCCACTTCAGCATCGTCTTTCAATTTTTTGATTCTCAACATACCTTATTTTGCAGACAATCCAGCAGGAGTGCTAAATTAATAGCATATATTTAGTACTTGACTTCCCAAGCTCCACCAGCAATTTATAAGCCTGTTTAAGTGCATCTCCATATACCAATAGCTTATCTTTTTAATGAATGCTAAAATATAGATAATTTCATTTAATACAGCTCCTGTAAAAGTATTGAAATATCTTTGATGTTGGGAAATTTCGAATTTCTTGATAATCTTTCTTAATGAAGCACCATATCTGGTTCCATATTTTCCTGTGATTCCAACCTTCTTTGTCTTCTTTGTCATTTCAAATAATATTTAAAATCTTTAATTTATTTACTTTTTAAATTTATTGTGAATATACAAACATATATAAAATAAGTGTGGTTTGATTGAGTGTTATTTATATGTATTTAGATTATATAAACAGAAATACATCAATTAATCATTTATTTTTAAATTATATAGTTAAATTTTAATAAATCATGGCTTCATTTAAAAAATAATAATAAAAGACATAAGTAACATAAAAAAAGAAAGTCAAAAGTGAATTGACTGATGATTAGAAATAAGAAATTAAAGAGGCTTTTGATTTATTTGATACTGATCGTTCTGGAGCAATAGATTGTCATGAAATTAAAGTTATTCTTAGAGCATTAGGATTTGAAGTTAAAAAATAAGAAGTTTAAGCATTGATGAAAGAATATGATCGTGATGAAACTGGTCGTATTGAATATAGTGATTATATAGAATTAAGTAAAATGAATAATTCAAATTTTAGTGACTAGAAAATATTGTGAAAGAGATCCTTAAGATGAAATATTTAGAGCATTTAAATTATTTGATGATGATAATTCAGGTAAGATAACTTTGAGAAAATTAAAGAAAGTATCAAAAGAATTAGGAGAAAGTTTGAGTGATTAAGAATTACAAGCAATGATAGATGAATTTGATAAAGATGGTGATGGATAAATAAATATAGATGAATTCCTTAGCATCATGAAATAAACAACAATTTATTGAACCAATTAATGAATATTATAATCTAAACTTAATTATATAATTAAGTATTTAATAATTTAATATAAATAATTATAAATTATAAACTTAAACAAATTTCATTATTCAATATCTATTTATGATTTTTATCTTTCTACTATATGACACCCTGTATCTACTAGAAAACTATAATATTTAGTATTTGGATCATGTCCTTAGGATATTATAGGAATGTTAATAATCTCTTCCAATCTTGTTGATCGAATTAATAGAATATTATAAAGTTTTGGATATTTTGTTAAACATTGTAATACTTGATCAACACAATCTAATTATTATATAATTTATTACCCTTTTCTTCAATTTAATCTAAAATTTAATACAATCTTTTTTTTTAATCCTTTTAATTTGATCTATTTAAATCATGTTAATCTTGATATATATTTTGATTTTCATGCTCTAAACATAAATTAATAAAATTTTGACATAATTCTTCATTTAAAGAAATTAAATCAAATACTCTGTCTAATTTTAAATTAGTTTATAAATAGCATTAAAATAAAATATCATATAATTAATTTTCTATTAAAATATCTTAAAATTCTTATTCTGAAATTAAATTTGAGAAAACTTAAATGACTTAAAATTATAAATTAGATATTTTTCTTTCAAATTAAAACACAGTAGAAATGTCTGTTATTATAAACTTAAATAATGAAAAAAATTCTATTTATGGCAATTATTTCAATTTAGGTAATGATCTAATGATTAATCTTAACCATTCTGGTTCATTAGTCCAAAACTTAGGAAATTATATGTTATTAACTTCTTTTGCTTCATTAATACTAGTGTATATAATAATTAAAATGTTAAACAAATGATTTTCCTTACCCTCTAATTTCAAAAGTTATTCTAGTATTGTTGTAAGATCATCTAATTTTGAATAAAATTATTATTCATATTAAGAGAATAATAGCCATTAATTTAAACATTCTTATATTAATTATTATAAACTATTTTAATTTTTACTAATATATTCACCAACACTTAAACATATTTTAGACCTAATTAAGTTTAATATAATTTATTAATTTTTAACTACTGTTTTAGTATATTATTTCCATTGTTCTAATTTTTTTTAATTTTCTTTCAATTAAATTTAAACATCTGAGTATTTTGATATGGGAGTTTCCATAAAATCCCATACTATTTAATTAATCACTTAACATATAAGTTATTCTTAAAATGCTTAAAATTCTAATTTTAAGAATGCTGAATTTGTATTTGAGTGAGTACAGAAATCTTTAAAGCCTTCTTTTAATAAATTAAAAATAATATCATTCATACATCTTCCTTAAAAATGAGTAATTCTATAAAAAATGATAATTCTAATAATTTTACAATTGTTTAGGGCTTTATCGATAATTCTCTTCAAGTATATATATTTTCCCATTAGAACAAACCTTCAATTAAGATAATCCATTATTTACTGAAATTCCAACACTTTAGAGATTTCCATTGAAAAGTTTATGTTCTTTAAGAAAATTATTTAAATTGTTATGATAATAATTTGTATCTAATACTGAATATATGAGAACAAGATCTTTATCATTTTAAAAGAAAAATGAATTAAGTTTATTTCCTTATAATTATAATTCGTTCAAATCAGCATATATTAGTTTATCTAGATTAGTAAAATCAGTTTTTGGATCTGTTATTTCCATCTCTTTAGTAATTAACTTAAGTTAACTAAGTCTATCAATTTAATCTTTATTTTCAATGATAGCTAGAAATATTAAATTAATTCCTTTAGAAGTTTTAAATAAATGAAAATTATTGATAGTAACTTAACAATTCAAATTAGTTACATCACAAACAAAATTTCTTTGTGATTAGGACTAGAAGATTTTATAGAAATATATACAATTAAATTGTAAGGGTTTAAACTGCATTAATATGATTTTATTTAATTTCCTGATGTTTTCTAAACTATAAGAAGAGTATCTTCAAAGACTGAAAACTTAAAAGTAGCTCCTGGGATATAAAAATCTAAATTATTTTAAAATAGTAAATTAGTGATAAAATTTCCTTTCTTTAATAGAGGTTGGTAATTGAATCTATTTTCTTTATTAGATAGATTTAATGTAACTAGATCGAAATGATCTGTAAGAATGTATAAATTTGAGTCTTATTCAAGTATTTGGACTTCTGAAAATTATAATTTCCTTTTGACTTTGTAATCATCATTCATATATATTTTACAGGTTTTTGATTATTCTAATACGTCATAGCCAATAATAATATCTTTTAATTAGAGAGGATAAATTACTATTTCCAATTAAGATCATTTGTTTTTAATCAAATTATTCATTGGCAAATTAAAAAAAGTAAATTTATACTTTGCCACATTGTGTTTTACCAAACAATTAAGTAAGATCAATTTCATTAGCCTAATATAATGAATTGAGAGATACATTTTATAATCCATCTTTATAAAGTGTTAAATCAGAGTCTTTTTGTATAGCAATCCAATCAAAATTACAAAATTAAACAAAGCTATCCTGTTTAATTTATAATGTTTCTATTGATCTCTTAAATGGTATATCATCATTCTAAATTATGAAAAATATGTACTTCTTCAAATTATTTGGTTATATTGAATTTCATATATTAATTTTATAACAAAATTTTTACTTCATTAATAAATGTTATTATCTAAATAAAATTATGATGATTTTTAATAATACAACATTCACAAAACAATCAAATAAGAACAATTCTAAATAAAATAAATGAAATAGGAAGTAATGAAGATATCACTTGAAGAACAAAGATAAATATAAGAGGAATTGAAAAGAAGAAATTAAGAATTAAGATAAAAAGAAGATAATGATGAAATTTAGAAAATTTAAACATTAAATAAAGAATTAGCAGATCAATAAAAATAAAAGAAGCTTTAAACAAAAGAGTCTTTATCTAAAAAATATTCAGAAATTATTGATTAAAGAAACTTAATTGTAAATTAAAAAGTAAAACAATATAATTATTTTTATTAGAGAAATGAAGATTTAAACATTGAAAATCAAATTATAGATAGTGCTTAAAAAGCTCTTTAAGAGGAAAGATAGAATTAACTCTAAAAAAAATTAATGCAAAAGTAAATTTATGATGAATAAATGAAACTTATAGAAGAAAAAAAGTAGAAAGAGAGATTAAATAGAGATTAAGAGAGAATATTATTTTAAGAATATGCAATCAAAGATTAACAAAGAATTATTTAATAAGAAGAAGATTATAAAAAAGTATTCATCTACATTATCATTAGTATTATTAAAGATTAGCTGAAAGAAATGAACATTTATAGGATATTTATAGAAAAAATGTAGATGATCCTAAATCTTCTTTAGATTTCATTATAAATAGACAAGTTAAAGAAAAGATAGAAAGAGAATAAGAGGAAATAATTACTAAAAGATAGAATGATAAAAATCTTAAAGATTAATATTTAAATACATTATCTTAATAAGTAAAAGAGAAAGAATAGAGAAGAAAAGATCAAGATGTTTTAATAACTTAAAATAAATAAGAAATAAGAAAAGCAGCTGAAATATATAATGATGAACAATAATAGGAAAAGAGAAAAAAAAGAGATTATCAATCTCAATATTATGATTAATTAACTAATCTGGTAAAGTTACATAATATTTATAGGGAAATGGATAAAATCAATAAGATAAAATGGTTGACAATTTAAATTTCTAATAGTCTTAGGTTTATAATCCATTAACTAATCCAAATCCAAATTAAATTTAGAATCCTTACATATTAAGATAACTTGGAATCAATAAATAAAATAATATTTAATCACCTCAGTAAAGTTAATCTAAACTGGCTTAATTAGGATAAAGCAGCCTCTTCAAATGAGATATATGTTTAGGCGTTATTTTAAAGTTCATTTATTAATAATATTAAAATTCATGCTTTGCTCTTATAAATATTGTGGTTTATCCAATAAAGCCTAATCCGATGGTGTTATTTAATGTCCTTTATGTTATTAAATTAGATATTGTTCATAAAGATGTAAGGATCTTGATTGGTATTAAAATGTTGTTAATTTTAGGACTATATCACATAAATTAAATTGTAAAGGAAAATAAGTGAAATAAACAGATATAAATGATACTTAATCTACACTTAAATCTATTGGCAAAAATATTGATGATTTCGAAATTATAGTTAAAGATGGGAAATCTGAATTAGGAAGAGGTAGTTATGGTTAAGTCAAATTAGTAAAAGATAGATAAAATGGATAATTATATGCTATGAAAATTGTAATTAGATGTAATATAAAAATAGTTAAATAAAAAAAGAATATTTGAGTATTGGTCAATAGAAAATCTAAAGAGAGAAATTAAAATTTAAAGAAGATTAGTTCATCCTCACATTGTTAGATTATATCATTATTTTGAAGATAAAGAGAATGTCTATTTGATTTTAGAATTAGCAGAAAATGGGAGTTTATTTTTATATATAAGAAAAAGAAAAAGATTACCAGAAAAAGAAGCATTTGTCTATTTTTTTTAAACTTGTTTAGGAATTGAATATTTACATAAGAAGAATATATTGCATAGAGATTTAAAACCAGAAAATTTATTATTGGATAAATAAGGAAATATAAAAGTATGTGATTTTGGTTGGTCAGCTGAAACCAATTAATAGTCAAAAAGAACAACTTTTTGTGGTACTGTAGATTATATGGCTCCAGAAATGTTACTTAATAAACCTTATGATTTTAAATTAGATATTTGGTGTTTAGGAATATTATTATATGAATTAATTCATGGATATGCACCTTTTAAAGGAAAAACTAATCAAGAAATATGTCAAAATATTATAAATTTATAAACAATAGAATATAATCAAAATTGTTCTTTTGAACTTAAAGATCTTATTTGCAATATTCTTAAATTTAATCCAGAAGACAGACTTTCTTTATTTCAAATATTTGAACATCCATTTATGAAGAAAAACTATGAAATTTATGGAATTGATTTAAATTAATATTTAAATAAAGAAGAAAAAATTGACAATAGATCTTTATCTCCAGTTTAGGAATAATTAAAAACAAAGTAACATTTAAATATTTATTTTAAAAAATAGAAATTTTACATTGCCTTAACACAAATCATCTCATGAATTAAACCATCCTCGAATATAGCAAAAACTTTCGATTACATAAAATAATTCTGTAGTTTAAAATTATAAAGTTTTAAATTAACCAACTACTGGAACATCTACATCTATTTCAACTGTATTAAAATCATTTAATTTTAGTATTCTCAAGAGGATGAAATAAAGTCAAGAGTTAGTAGGGTTTCTTAAAGACAATAATTAGCATTATAATAAAGAGAAATTGGTTCAATAAGACAAAATAATAGTGATCTTGGATTTATGGATAGAGTATTTTAAGCTTTAGGATGTTTAAATAGAGATAAGTAGTAATAAAATTAATAATTTTGAATTATAAATATTACTTTAGGTTTTAATTCTAATTTATTATATGTTTAATTCAATTAATGGGAATAAATATTTATAGTATTTATTTTTAATATAATAATGGATTTTCACCAATTAATAAATGGATCATCAGTTGGTTTTACTGGTTTAGGTAATTCTGTACTATCAGGATATGTGGAATAGTTTGAAGTATCACCCTTATTTCTTAAAAGTATATATAATATATATACTTTACAACAGGCTTATATTTTGGCTGTAATTTTTTTAAAATTAAAAATTCCCAATCTAAACTTTAAAACCATCTGTGAGTTTTTATGTCATTTGCTCCTCCTTTTAAATTTCCATATCTTTTAGTCAAATCTGCTACTAATAAATGTTTGACTAGACTTTTTGCTTCCCTATTTGTATATATAAAAATGTACTTGTCGAAATTTCTTGGAAACTTCACTTTACCTTTTAATATTTTCTAATATATTGCCATAGGATCTTCATCATTAAATGGATCTATTCCAGCTAACATTTCATATATTAATATTCCCAAACACCACCAATCAACTGGTTTTCCATGTCCTTATAATATTGAATTTTATATTTACCTTTATTGAGTAGAATTTCTGGTGCTAAATATTCTGGTGTTCCACAAAGAGTGTATGTTCTAGAATCAATAAATTTAGCAAATCCAAAATCAGTTAATTTGAGATAACCATCTGATCCAATGAGAAGATTTTCAGGTTTAAGATCTCTATAAACAATATTTTTTGTATGGAGATATTCAAACATCAAAACAACTTGAGATGCATAAAATCTAATTTATTTATATAATTACTGAGCTTCTTCATTTTCCAATTTACCCTTATTTCTGAGATATGTAAATAATTCTCCTCCTTAAACATATTCTAAAAGAAAATAGAGATATCTTTCATCTTAAGTAAATCCAAGCATTTTTATCTAATTTATAATGAAATCATACTAAAAATGGATGGCTAATATTAGAAAGAATAGTATTCTCTGATATGATGTGATCTACTTACTTAAGTCTTAATATTTCTGCTTTTTTTAGCATTTTTAGAGCTACATATTCACCATTTTATTTATGTTTTGCTAATCTCACTCTTCCAAAAGAGCCTGTTCCCAAAGTTTAAAGGATTTCATAATCAGTTAATTTAACTTTTGGTGCTTTAAAGGTACCTTAATCCATTATATAAATTAACTATAATTTATATTAATATATATCTAAATAATGGAAAAATAATTTAGGATCTGAATTTAAAATATATATAACAATTAAAAATAATAAGTATATATAGAAGTTTCTATTCATAAATTTAGGTTATAATAATCTTCAGAAATTAAATTTGTTTTATATTGTAGCATTTGATATCTAAGATACATTATTTTGATTTTATTAATATGTAACACTTTAATTTCTAAAGCTTCTCTAAAATTATTAATATAAATTAATACATCTTCTTATAATGGTATAGGAGATGTATATTTTGTAAAAGTTTGACTTTTTAATGTTGAAAAACCTGGCATTTAAGCAGGTGCTTAAACTTTAGTTTCATTCAAACATTTATTTAAATACTATATCATTTGATTATTGGATTCAAGTAATTTCTAACTTTCTGCCAATTTATTTTTCAAATCTAAATTAGTATTTTCTTAATCTTTATATTTCAATTCTAAACTATCTTTCTCTCTTCTCACTATAATTAATATCTATATATATTAATACATTCATTAATTTATTTGTTGCTTTAATCATTTGCATCTTATAATTATTATACAGTTTATTCTTATTAAAGAACAACAGTATTCTTTAATTTATTCTTTTCTTTTTATTTACTTAATTCATTTTCTAATTTTTCAATGATTTAATTTCCTTTATTGACTTCATCACTCATAACAGCTATTCTTTATTCTAATTTTTCAATTTATTTCTTTTAATTATTTACTTATTCCTCTAAAATAACCTAATTAATTAATATATATATATATTACATTTTATTTTTTTTCATTGTCTACTAATTATTATTTATTGTTTAAGAAATCTTCCTTATCATGTAATTATTTTTCTAATCCTTCCTTTTATATTCTTAACTCTATTATTTATCTTTCTTAAGTAAATTTAAGCGTATCCAATTCTTTATTTAATATTCTAAACTCTTAATTTTCCTTCTATAATTATTAAGATTCTTATAAAATTATTTAAAATCTATTTTTTAACTCTTTTTCTGATTAAGTAAGTTAAATTTTTTATTCTGATAATTCTTAATTTATTTATTGCAATTAAGTGTATTTATTTTATAATTCTTAAACAATTATTTCATATTTTTCAATTATAAATTGTTTTTCATTTTCACTTTCTCTTTTAAAATTAGTTTCCTTAGTTAAAGCTTATTCTCTAAAATCATTTAATTTCTTTTATTCATCTAATTACATTTATTGTAAAACAGCATTATTTTCCTCTGTAAATTTTCTAACTTCAGATTTCAAATTCTCTAATTCCCATTATTTCTCTTCTAATTATTCTGTCAATTTCTTAGTTTTCTTTTAAAATTCTTCATTCTCTTATTTTTCTATTGCCAATTTATTTGCTAAAAAGTATTTAAGTATATCATCTGTTGCACTTCTTAATCTTAATGATAAATGAGTTAATTTCTTAAATTCATTATTTTCAATTACTGCTAATGTTGATTCACCATTCTTGGTTTCCAAACAAACATAGAAACTACAATATTCTCTTTAATATATACTTCACTTTTTCATCTCTTTAACTATTTATGCATAATTATAATAAGTCTGCTAATTTCATTGGAAATGTAGCAAAATCTACATGTAAACTTTATTCATTTTTTAATGCCAAAAATTCACTTTCATTTAAATCCAATATTTATAGAAATGAAAAGTTAGTATCATCTGTTAATTCAATTCTTAATGTTTATCCATGTGCTTATTAACTTGATTGCATAATCATTTTCAAAGTTAATTATGTATTCCAATCATCAGTCAATTATTTAACTTTAACTGGTATTTATAATGTGAATAACTCTTTTGATACCATTGTAACAGGAGCATTAACAAAGCTAACATTCACTGATTAAGGTTTATTGCTCACTTGTTCATATTTTAATTTTTATGAAGACTAAAAATCATTCATATTGTTTGTAGATTTAACTGGAGTCTATTAAATTCCAAATTCAATTCTTTTGAAATTGCCTCTATAGTCTTACATGTTATTTTTTATTTTAAATTTTAACTGTAAATTAATAGGAAAATTTTCATATAAATTCAATAGCCGAATGCATTAATAGTTGATTTAGGAAAGTAGTGAGATCTACTTTTGTGTTCAGTTTTTATTAATTTTGAGAGTAATTCATTCTACTTTTAATAAGGTCTGGAATAAGTAGTAGTTCTATAACTTGATGTTGGACTTCTTTATGTACTGAGTAATTCTGTCATGCAAGTTTTTAATTTCATTGTATCTCCTCTAGGTTTGATTGAATTTCTAAAGGGCAATGAATTTAATTATATTTTTCTAGACTAAGAATCATTCATGAAATGAAACAATTTTAATTTTTATTCTTGTATATATTTCTCCTTAATTAAAGTTGTCGAATTCTTCTTTTTAAATGAAATAATCTTTGTTTCCCTGGGAGTTTTACATGATGGAGGTCTTTCCATATTATCATATTCTTAATATATCATTTATAAACTTTACCAATTAAGCTCATCTATTTCGAGAGTTTACGAGCAAGACTTGGACGCTTTGTGCTTTTCCTTTGATTTTTTTTTAATATTTCAGCAAAGCTTGAGAGAGCGAATTCTTTTCCATTAATTTTCTTATGCATTTCAATAGAAGTAGGAAAATTTATCATCTATTTTTATTAATTTACTCCAAATAAAGATCCATAACAAGATTTCCTTCTAGTAATGATTTCTCTATTGTTAGATCTAATCTTTTCTACAGCATTTTTAAATGGAAGTAAAATCGAAATTTTTTTTGATGGTAATGTCCTTTCTGTGAGATTAATAGTAAATGTATCAGTTAATAACTCTCTCAAAGAAGGAGGAGTAGATTTTGATCTTTTTAACCTACATTAATTTGAGAAGATCAAAAAATTATAATTTGGTTTTGTCTCTTTTTTTAAAGAAGGTTCATTACAGATTAGAGCTGTGATTGGTATTCTTTTCCCAGTAAATTCAAAAGGAGGATAATCAACTGAATTCTTAATATGAATATTAATTACCTATTGAACTTATTTTTTTCATTAACTTATAATTTTATATATTTTACAAATCTAACTTAAGAATTAATTATTATCTATTTAACCTTAATAAATTAGAGAATATAAAAAATAATTGGATTTGTTAGGATTCTCTTTTTAATAAATTTATATATCACATATAATATTCGAAACTATCTATTTATATATTAAAATTATAAAATCCATCTTTCAACATTATCATTTATAAATTATTGAATTCTGAAAATCATGAATTTTATTTTAAATATTCATAAACCTTATTATATTTATTTAAATTTTTTATTGAATAGATGCATTAAAATCATTTAATAAAGATAATAAATTATATTCTTTTTTAATATAAATTTTAGAATATACATTACTAAATTAGAGAAAATTAATCATTAAGTCAGAATCAATTAAATTATGAATTTAAACAAAATAATATCATCTTATTATATATATCAGACTGAAATCTCAAATAAAAAATGTATATAATAGAAAATAAATTATATCTTTTTGTGAACTTTATAATGTCATTTTAAGTGTAATAAAAATTTAATATTTCAACAAACACAATATTATTGATTATTTAAAACTTCAATGAGAAAAGAATTAGAAATTATACTGGTTGATAAGTTATATTATTTAAATGACATTTATAATCATTAAGGTTTCCAGTCAACACACTTTTTAGTAAAATCAATCATCATATTCAAAACTGTTTTTTCTATAGTAATTTGTTTGATTTTCTTATAAAAAGAATTCATTTGTATCAATTAAATGAGTTATTTTTTATGATTACTTTTTGCTCTCTTTAACAATTCTTCGAATCACTCCTATTTTGCAATTCTTAAAATTCTAAAGATCAACTAAAAAATATTATAAGGTCATACCCAAAGTCTCTGCTCTCTTCAATTAATAATAATAATCTTCTAAAGTTTTTCTAGGTACTCCAACAATCTCAGCTGCTTTATCTAAAGTAAGTTTTAATTATCTCCCATTTTCAATATAAGTTTATTAGTATAAGCTCCTACTATATATATATATATCATACCTCCATTATTCAACTAAAAGTATAGCTTCATAAACATATCTTTCTTTAATTCGTTTTACTTTATTTTCGATTTGGATTTCATTATCCATTAAATATTGAAATATATCGATTACAAAGATGATTAAATAAAATGAATTTAACTTATAAATTCTGTTCAAAAATAAAGTTATCTATTTACAAATGATGAAAAATTAAATTAATTATAAAATAATATTGGAGGCAGATAATTTAATCAGAAAAAATTAAATAAATTACTTAAATAAGATATTATCATTTTTTGTGAACACTTAATTTTCTATTAGAATTTTCATTTTCAACAGGTTTAGGTTGAAGCATTGTCAATAGTAATTTTGTATGTTGCTCAATGTTAGGATCTTCTAATTTAGCAAATTTCTTAAGCAATCTATAAATTAGATAAGATGATTACTTAACACTTTTAAATTTTGCTTAGTCTTATTTTTATCTTGATTCATGTTATGAAACACTCTAAATATGAATAGAATATTTACTTTATAGTTCAATAAATTATCACTCAATTCTTGAAGTTATGAATAAATTCTTTATCGTTCTTATATTTCCTATTTATTTATTTCCATAGATGTTTTTTAAATAACTTCCTGTATTTAATTTAAATCAATACATTTTGATATTATTTAAGTTAATTTTTTTCTTCAATAAATTTAGATTTCATATATAAAGTCATCATTTTATAATCATTTTATCTTTTTTATCTCTCATAATTATCTAATTTATCTTATTCTTTTAATCTTCTTAATTCTTATTTTAATAATATTTTATGTTCTAATTCTTATCTTCTAAGTTTATTTTATTCTTCTATTTTAATAAATTTATCATTTAATTATTTTAATTTTTTGCTATTATAATAATAATATTTAATTACTCATGATCTTTAAATAGATCATTTTGATTTTATTTAATTTTCTTTTATTTTTCTTTTTAAGATTATTTTTTTTCTAAATCTTACATTAATTAAGATTAAAGTTATCCTCTAAATTCTTATTCTTTATTAATCATTTTACTAATCATAGCACTTAAATGTTCTTGAGATTAAATAACATTAATTTCTTTTTATTATTAAATTAATTATTATTCTCGATAATATTATTCTTTGATTCTTTCAACTTTAATTTATGCTTATTATTTAGATAATTTTTCGCTTTGATTCAATTTCATTTATAATTTTTCAAGATCCTTTTATAATTCAATATCTTCTAATTTATTGAGTTCCTCCTTTCTTTAAATGACCATCTCTCTTCTTTATTTTACTTTAGAATCATCAATTCTAGTTCTATACATTGTTTTTTACAATGATGTATCTCCTCTTAATTTAATTATGATATTTTACTTATCTATTTTAGTTTCACTATCTCTTTTAAATGATTTAGGATCTGTAATTTATGGAATCTTTTGTAAAGGAGTTTTTCTTCCACTACTTGATGCTTTCATCTTTTATTTAAATGCATATTATCTTTTCAATATCTAATCTAAAATTTATGAATCCTTTTATTTCCATTTCTCTATCAATTATAATCTTTTTGCATCTTCTTTCAATTTTAATTGTGCTTCTCTCTATATATAAATATTAATATTTTTAATTACAATCTTTTATTTTTTATGTTTATTATATCTATCAATCTCTTTTTCTATTCCACCTTCTAATTAATTGAGATCATAAACATCTCCTACAAATTGATCTTTAGTTGGAGATTCACTCTTTTAATGTAAAAAGGATACAGTTCTATTATAGATTGAATCTATTTATCGTCTAACCCTAATTTTTATATTAATTAAATATTATTACTCCCATTAATCTAATGATTATTATAACTTAATTGTTTTTGATCTATCTAATGATTCTATTGAGGCATTATTATTTAATTATTTTTGTCTTTATCTTTATATTATTTCTTTTCTTCTTTAAGTTATTTCAGTGAACAGTTCTATAATAAATATTATTCATCTTATATACAATGAGCTCTGTTTAAATAATGTTAATATCTGAGTTGAATTATTTCCTCATCTAAATCATTTTATTTGAAATCAGATTCTTCTCTTGTATACATCAACTAACTTACTTTAATTCTAAAACTATTGGATCAATTCCCAATTCTTAACAAGCTTACAATGTTCTTGGAGAATTAGACTTTATGTTGAATTTTTAGAACCCTTATATATTCAAATGTCTGGGAAGATAACTGGTATTACTAATTGTATTCTCTCGACTTAGTTTTGGAATCATTAAATAAGAAATAATAAAAAATTAAAATTATTAATAATAATCCCTAAATTAATAAAAATATCTTTTATTGCAATCAATATTAGTTATTGTTATATTATGTGATAAATCAAAAAAGAAATTCATTCTTTTTAAAATACAAGATAAATATATATAAATCAAATATAAAAAATATAGAATTATATATATTTATCTTAATAATGTCTTAATATTTACTAGATATCAAGTTTATATTATTGTATTAGAATTTATAATTATTATAGTTGTATGTTTAAAGTGTTTAAATGAATTTTTTGTTTTATTTAATATAATTTAATTAAATGTCACTAAGTTAACTGTCAGGAAAGCAGGGTATAAATTATGCAAGTAAGATGTTTTGTTAATAAGTTCAAGAGAACTCAGACATAAGAAGTCTCCAAATGATTAATAGTCATTTGGTTTATTTGAAGACATGAACAGAAACAATTTATAATACATTGAATCATTAATTCAGAAACGCAAACCCAGTGTAGATATAAAACATTAAAGAGCTAAATCAACACTTGATAACAAATAACATTCATATAGGCATGGTACACCGATAAATGATATAGAGGAATTCGAAGGTGAAAAATTGTTTGATTAGTTTTTTAAATTAAATAACTCTAAAAGTGATAGTGATTTTATGAAAGAATCTATATAAAGAGATAGTGTAAATAAAAATAATGAGAGTGATTTTCTTAAATTTGTTGAAAATGCTATTGAATATCATAAACATTCAGATGTTAGATTTTTTAGACATTCAGTTAATAAATAATCTCATTTGGAATAAAAATTAAAAGAAATTACATTATCTAACAGACTCTTGGCTAGTTAACTTAATCAATATAAATAGAAAGAGATTGATCTTAAAAGTAAGATTAAAATGATGCAAAAGGAATTTACTATTTAATATTAAAAACTTGTCTAATAAAATTCATGGTTAGAAGAATTATTAGCCAAATAGAAAATTGATAATCAAAATTCATTATTGGCTGTTAAGAAAACAGTTGAAATGTTATAAATAAAATGTAAATGTTAAAAAGGAAATTAATTATGTGATAAAATATTAAGAGATGTTAAGAATTAAGAAAGAGTTAGATAATAATATGATTGGGAAGATGAATCTAAACCAACCAATTCATCTTCTGAATTAAGTAATAATACTTAAGAAGAAGAAGAAGATTCAACTGATTTTAATTATTAACTTAAAAATAGAAGAAAGTCAATTTCAAAAGTATGTCATAATTCAATCTAATCATCAGAAGAATAATAAGAATAATTAGTTTAAAGTTTTCTAAATGGAAAAAGTAAAAACCTTAGAGAATTTCCAAAGGATATGTTTCTTAGAAAAAAATAAACACCAGATCCATATTATATTGAAGAAGAGAATACTATCAATAGTAACTGAAATATAAATATATAACATGATATTAATATTATATTTTCCATAATTATGTAAGTTGGAATAAGAAAATTCTATTAAAATATTTCAATTAACAAGTATAAGCTTGTAATAATTAATTTGACATAGTAATTAATATTTTAATCTTTATTTGATAATTTTGATCAGTTAAGTCTATTATTTATAAGATATAATTTATAGTTAACAGTTTATAGAAACAAAATAAGTGATTTACTTTAGTTTTCAATAAAATTTTGTTAAATTTATATAATTAAAGACAATGAACAAAAATAATATTTACTTATTTCTAATTTAAGAAATCTTGCATAAATTTACAAATATGTAAATATTCCATTAAAATCTTTATTTATAATAATTAAAAATTGTATGATGATAGATTGAAAATTCAATAATTATTAACATATCTGTAAGAATTGGAAATACAAATTATCTTTCAATAAAATTTCTATAATAATCTTTAAACACATCTTCTGGTAATGCTATAACAAGAATTCTATTTTAGAGTTAAGTTAAATTTATCTTATATAAAAAGAAATGAATTTCTTTCTGTTTTCCTTAAAAAAATAATATTAATATATTTAAAATATTTTATATTATATTCTATAATATTGAATTTTACTCTCATAATAATAACAAAATTAAAATAATTTAAGCAAAAGATTACTAAAATTACAAATATAAAACAAATAATTATATGTATTTCTTTTTATACTTTGTATTATCAAGAATCACTTGAATCTTATACAGAGTCAGATGATTAATCATCATCAGAAGATTCATCTTTTTTAACCTTTTTTTTAGGATTTTCGCCATCAGATTAGTAGTCAAGTTTATGTGAAACTTTTTCCTTTTTATTTTTTTTTGTTTGTTTCTTTTTACTAGAGTATGGATCCTCTATATCTGAACCAGATAGAACATCATCATATCCCGCAATCTATTTTTTCACTCTAATGTCCACTTTATCTCTATTTTCTTAATTTTTTCTTGCATCTAACCCTTTATCAATATCCTTAAATATTTTGTTTTAAAACTCTTCAGACATCTTTAATTATATAGTTATATACATGTTTATAAACTTCTGATTTTTAAGAAACAAAGCTTAATGAATATTTATCTCTATTTTTAAACAATATCAAACTTTAAGCTTAAGGTAAATCATCCAAAAACTTTTAACTTTAATAAGGTTATTTTTCTCTATCATCTCGAATTATAAGACTAGTATTAATTATTTTTTATACATATTTTTCTTTCTTTATTAATAATAATCTTTAGGAATATTTTAATCAGCATCTCTAAAATTGCTAAATATTCATACTTTTTTTTTGGTGGTTGCACTTCTTCTTTTTCAATTTTTATCTCATTCTTTCTAATCATAAAATGCCCTTTTCTATAATCCTTAGGCATTTCCAGAATAGCTTAATTGTTTCTTTAATATAATATGTCAACCTTACTAATTTTAGTTTAATTCATATAATAAATAAAATAATCATTAAAAATCTTAACTTTTCTTTTTTTACGCTGTATTTTCAATTTCTATTTCTAGATTTTTAAAGTATTTGAATACTATTCATTGACCTCATTTTATAAGAAGGTTATTCCTAAGCAATTTTAATAAGTGCAATTATCTAAATGAGATGAAAAATAAATTATTTTACATTAGAATAATATAATATTTAATACAAAATAAATATTAGATTTTATTTATAATAATGTAATACCATTATCTTTTTAGTAAACATGTGATTATAAATTTTACAAATTGTTTTTTATGTATTATTAATTATTTTATTTATATTCTATTATTTATTCTGTTTATATTTTCTTAATTCTAAGACTATAATAATCTTTATCCCCATAATTTTACTATCTTAAATTTCTATTAACAGCTTTCCCCTCTATTTTAATTTGTATTTTTTAATAAAAAAGCAAAATATTTCATTTCTTTATGTTAAATTCATTGAAAAAGCTAAAATTTTAAATTAAGTTTAAAGCTTCTAATAATCAAGTTATCTCTCAATTATTTCATTTAAATTCAATTAAAATAAGCTAACTCATTAAAGAAGATTCTAAAAAATAATTATTATATATATTCATTGTATCATGTCTTAGGTTCTGAAGTATTTGTAAGAATCTATTGATCTTGTAATTGAAATTAGATTTTTTTTTTTTGTATATTTGTAACTCTGAGAAGTGGAAATAAATTAAATTTAGTCAGATAAATGATAAAATTACCAAAAAAATTATATATTTTTAATAGGATAGATTAAGTTAAATAAAATAAGATTATAGAAAATAAGATATGAAAAATGGCCATAATGTTGTAATCATATTTTTATTATTTAATTATTTAAAAAATGAATAATGGAATAGAATAATTAAATTATTTCATGTTCCTGCTGCAAAAACACCTATTAATATAAATATAAAAAGCCCTCCTAAAATTAATAAGACATTTTAAGGATTTTCTGAAGGATATTCCTATTATTCTCCTTATAATCCTTAATTATTGATATTAAGATCTTTTGAATAACAGTAATTCCATTATGTCAATTTATTTCTAATATCTTAGAGATGTTGATATTAAATTTTCTTAAATTCTTATTAGAGTTACATAGAGTTTACACCTAATCTTTTTATCATTTCATAAAGATACTAATTTATATATATATAATAAAATTTACAGGTTTAGGTTTATCAAAATTTAGTCTGCTTATTTTTTCTAATTATTTTTTTGCTTCTTGAATTTGATTCAATTCTTATAGAAATTCATTTGCTTCTTTAATTTTTCCTTATTTTTATAAATCTTTTAGCATTTCAATTCCTTTTTTCTCTGTAAATTATTTAACTTCATTAATTTCTTATGGTATTTCTTTAGAATAATCAATTTCATAAGTCAAATTAGCATTTTCAATTAAATTTATCTGATTTAATTGCCTGTTATTCAATATTTCTATTGCTTATTAATATGTGCTAAGAATTAAATCATCTGTTTAAATTTATTAAGCTTTTTTAAGATCTTCAATTGAGGCAATAAGATTTTCATTAGTAAGAGGAGAGAGTGATAATAGAGCCTAAAGAAATAAAAGTATTATTTACTTTCCCTCTTCTAAATAAGGCTTTAGGAGAATTTGAATCATAATTTAATACATAGGTTGTGATTTCTACAGTTTACTAATACAATTAAAGTTTGAGATAAGTGGCTGATATATTATTCAAAATGGCTATTTTGAGTTCTATTATGATAAAATATTCTCTTACAATTTAGTTAAATCGATTCTTCTGGAGATTTCCCGTTATATTGTACAAAATATTAAGTATTATTTTTGAATTCCTTGAACTCCAAAAATTAATAAAGTTCCTCATAGATTTAACAAGCAGTCTAAATATCATCTTTTTATTTATATATATGAATTTACTCATTAAATAAAATTTATTTCCCCTTTCCTTTATTAAAGTGCAGACCGTCATCTGTATTTGAAAGGATTATTTTCTAAGATTTTAGAAAGTCGTTGACAATTTTATAAATTAAGGTGTTTATTAATCTACAAGGCTCTTTTTATAAGCCTTTTATAACATTTATTAATAAATACATAAATAATCAAATTTTATTCTTTAACACTTGCGAAGTTTCAATTATGAAAATAAAATTAATTTGCAATATTCTCTGTAGAATAGAGATATTCCAAATGAAGTTTCAAATATGATGATAATTTTTAATTAGAGCTAATTAGATATTAAAGTATATTTTCAAGATTTCATTATCGATTAATTCGTCTAATTAATCCAATATTGAAAAATAGCTAAATAAGTCTTTATTCTTTCTTACAGATTTCAATCTCTTAGAAAAACTTAACTACAAGTTCACTTCAAATATACTTATTAACATTTTCTACATCTTTTAATTTCATTATTGTATTTTTAGAAAGTTTAAGCATAGCTATTAACAATTTTGTCATATATTTTTATCCCATTAGTTAATAAATGTTTAATATAAGCATTTAATATTAGAAAGATGTGTTTTAAAGCATCATTGTTAAATAATAAGAACTAAAGCAAATACCAAAATCATTAAGTCCAATTTCTTACAGATACTTAAATAATTTTGGAATTTTCGCTTTCAATTTGAATTTAAGTAGTGCTAAATTTTCAAATAAACCAGGAGTTCCTGCAATATAAATATTTCTATGTTTGTATATTAATTCATTGAAGATTTTTTAATTTTAAGGAACTTAAAAATAAACTAAGGTTCCAGCAATGAAGTTCATCCCTTAGACATAACCAACATCTAGATCATGATATGTATAATTGAGTAGGAGATTTCTTATTTAATCTTAATTTTATTTATCTTTAAAATATGGAATCTATTAATAAGTTCTGCCAACATATCTATTAATCAATACTGCATAATATGCACTAGGCTCTTAAGGGTTAAGCATTTTAAAGTCTTTGAATTTAGAAAATATGTGGATTAAATTGATTTGACTTAATATAAATAATTGTAGTACTTTTATGATATAAGAGAAGTCGAATAAAACAAGGCTAAAGTTAAGTCTCTAGATCTGAAATCATTTATAGATTATTCTTCCATAATTTAAGCCCAATCTTCTTTTTATATAGCATTAAAAGATAGGTTGTGTCTTGGGATTTGTGTTATTTTCATTTTTCAGAGTCTGAATATATCGAAACAAGCATTACAGAAAAATTTTAACTAAATTAATGAAACAGTTAAAATTAATCAATTTAGTTTATATTTCAGATTAATTATATTAATGCAAATATATAAATACTTATCATTAAGAATTTGAGGAAGACAAAAAACAATTTTATAAATAAATATTTATAATATAATGAATAAATCTATTCTCTTGGCTTTGTTACAAATATAAATCTTGCATTAATGATCAAAATTCAATCCAGAATAATCTAATTAGATTTTTATTCATAGAGCAGAAGTTTTATTTTATGATCTTACTAAATACAATTATATTTATCTTAAATTATGTCAGAAATTTAAAGTAAAAATACCAAACTTAGTATTTTTCTCTTAATTTTATATTATAAATTGCTTTCCATCATTTTAGAACATTATCAATACCCATAAAACTCATTTGAGTTTATTTATATTATTTCATGTAGTAAAATACAAAAATTAATTTCAAATCTAGTATATATCAGTAATAGAAATCTCATTTTATAAGAATTATATATACAAAAATATGAGAAATTACAAATTATTAAATTATTGTTAAAGTATGTTACTTTATGAATGTCTCTAAATGGTTTAGTAATTGATTTTATTTTTATATATTATACCTGTGTAAAACATTTAGTTTTTGGTAGATTTCTAATTAACTAAGATTCTTATTACTAATGCTATTTATTATAAGTAGGAAATACAAAATTTTATGGATGGTACAGAATTAGAACTATAATTTCAGCTCAATTAGCATTTTAGAGAAATATATTTGGATATCCATTAAAGAGATTGTTAAATGTCCTTATATTCAATTTTAATCAATATTATAATTTTCAATTGAAAATGAATGACTATTTCATTTCCAATTAATTTATTTAAGAAATTAAGTTGAAAAAAGGTTAATAATTTTAGTATAAAGTATGAACAAATTCTAATAATTATATAATAAATTGAATATATAGTATTTTATTTGATTGTGTTATTTAGTCTCTAATAAATAAAATATATAATTTGAATTAAATTATTATTCTCAACTTTAATGAAGAAAATAAGTTCATAGATTCAATCGTTAATGAATAGAAATAGTTTTTAAGAACCATCATTAAGCAGTGATATTAAATCTTCAAGAAGCAATCCAAAAACTGCAAAGACAGAACGACCTTAATCTAAAACTAGAAAAAATGACTTATTAGATTATTTGAAAAATGAAAGAAATTCAACTAATTAGATGTTTAGCTCAGTAAAGAATACATTACAAGGAAGCAAAAGCATTGATATCTTATAAACGTAAAGTTAGAAAAGTGAGCGTTTTAAAAATGGTTAGCTAAATGTAATTGTTATTATAATGAAATTCTAGCATGTGGATTTGAATATATAAACTGATGAAGGAAATAATACAAAAAGGTAAATACTAAAATCAAAAAACTTATCTCTTGCTATAATTTCATTAGAAGTATTCTTAATGAATTTATTCTTTATAGAATCAGCTTTTTAAATAGTCTAAAACTACTAAATAATCTTACAATTAATCACCTTAAAATTAAATAAATTCACCGATAATTAAATAAAAAGAATAATATTTATTTGATATGCAAATAGTATTATTATTGAAATAATATAATGTAGTTAAAAAATACAAAAACTAGTTCCTAAGATGATTAGCAATCTTATATAAAATAAAATAAATAGTCAATTATATCAGATGATTAATCATATCATAAGTAAACGCTTGAAGATTTACTATAAAATAAAAAGTAACTTAAATAAGCAGAAACATAAAAACAATTTTATTAAAAATAATGTGAAAATGAAAAAAAAGTAATAAATTAAATGCATTGTAAAACAGAAGTATCTCCATCTAAAATTTAATAAAAATATTAAAATGCTGAAGAAACATTAAATTATGATTAGGATCAGTAATTAAAGATTATTCTATATTATAAATAATAGAAGTAAAATATCTAAATAATTTAGATATCATTATTTGTATAAATATTAAAATAAAACAACAGATGATCTGTTTAATTATTTAATACAATAAATAGCAATTATTGAGAAATAATTTATAAAATAAGGAGCAGGAACAGGTTCTACAGATGGAGAATCTATTTAATAAGGTATTTGTGATTTTATTTTTAGAATTAAATAAAATATGTTAATTCTAAACACTATCAAAAAATGTACCATATGATTATTATTTAACATTAAATGCATAGACATTGGATGTCTTTAAAGGAATAACCCTTCAGATTTAGCCTTACTATTTATAATCTATTTTAACAAAAAGAGTAGGATTAAAAGATTTTACATTAGTTAAATGTATTGGTGTAGGAGGATTTTCTAGGGTTTATATGGTAAGAAAGAAAGATAATGGGAAATTTTATGCTTTAAAACTTATTGATAAGAAATTTATATTTGAAAATTCAAAAGAAATCATAGTATAGAATGAAAGAGATATCATGACTAAAATGAATAATCAATTTGTAACACCATTACATTATTCATTCGAAACAAAATATTATATTGCATTTGTATTAGAATATTGTGCTGGAGGTGAATTATTTTATCATTTACGAAAACTTAAGAGATTAAGTGAGTAAGATGCAAAAATCTATTTTGCAGAAATTTGTTTAGGAATGGCTTATCTACATTCTTAGAGTATAGTTTATAGAGATATTAAACCTGAGAATATTCTCTTAGATTTATAAGGACATTTATTATTAAGTGATTTTGGATTATCAAAGCCAGAAATGACACCAGATGATTTTGCTTATTCATTTTGTGGATCTCCAGAATATATGGCTCCAGAGATGCTAATGAAAACAGGTCATAATTATTTAGTTGATTGTTATTGTTTAGGAGCATTACTATATGAATTAGTTACTGGATTGCCACCATTCTATTCACATAATACTTAAGATATTTATAATTCAATTTTGACTGAATAAATACAATTTCCAAATTATATTCATATCTCTAATCTTTTAAAAGATTTAATACAATTATTATTGTAAAAAAATCCAGAAGAAAGACTTGGACATTAAAATGGAATAATTGAAATCTTACATCACAAATGGTTTTAAGATATTGACTTTAAAGCTATTTTTTAAAAATAAGTGAAACCTCCTTGTAAACCATATCCTTTAAAATATAATTTTGATGAAGAAGAATTCAATAAAGGAGATGCTGAATTTAGAAAACAATTTTAAATAAATTTATAAACAGAATATTAAGTATTATTTTTAATAATTAATTTAAGAATGTTGATAATGCAAATTATTTATTGGATAATTTCTATTATGCAAGAGATAGTGTTTATGGATAAGAAAAATCAAAAAGAACTAATATAGTCAATTTAAATTAGCTATAAAATTTAGCAATTATTGCTGAACCATTTTCTATAATTTAATCAATAAAAATTCAATCACCATAATAAGATTAGAATGAATATTAATTGTAATAGTCTCCATAAGTGTCAAAACGAATAAATGGCACTAAAGGAAAAAGTGAGGTTTATGATAACTCAATAAAATCAGATTCTATGACTTAATCATCTTAATTTTAGAATTAAACTATAAAGTTAGGACATAATTATTCAAAAACAACTATGTAATAAACATAATATTCACTTTAAGAACTTAAAGTAATTATTTTTTATATTTTTAATTAGTAAATCAAATTTTTAATTGAATAATCAAAAGCTTTATAGAGTTCAGATAGGATAACTACTATGCCTGATTAAAATAAAAAAAATATAATAGATAGAGTAAAAACTGAGTAATTTGGAAATCTAGCTTCTCCAAAAACAACAACTAGTAGCATTTTATAAAAAATGAATAATTTTAAAGCGTTATTAGGATCTGATAAAAAAAAGAAAAAATTATTTTGATTAATAAAAAAGAGTAAATAGTAATTTTTGTAAACATAGAATTAAAAATTATGCAATTCTCTTATTTTTATCAAAATTGTATTATTAATTTTTAAATTTATAAATATCAATACAGACTATAAATATTATATCTTATCAATTTGAATTAAGTAGTGAAATTATGTATAAACCTTGTAAAATTATGATACAACATATTATTAATTTGATCAATTTATCATTCTTAAATTCCTTTTTATTCACTGTTACTATTTAATCTTTAATAAGTTAATTGTTATTTTTATTTCTAATATTTAATTCATTTAATATTTCCTAATCCTCTTAAATAATATTAGGTCTTTTGATAATATTTGAACTTGGTTCTTAAATTTCAGGGGATTTATACTTTTTAATTACTTTTTCTATTTCATGATTAGGTATATAGGGTTATAATGTTGGAGTAACTTAGCATAATTTTGGCTTAAGAGTATTTGTTTCATTTTCAGGTTAGAGTGATTATTATTTCAAATTAGATTATTTATATAGGATTGGGGGTTTTGGATAATATTATTCTTATATGTTGACTTTTTTGTTTGCCTAATATTATATCTATGGAAATTGTTTGTTATACATTGAAATAGTGATAAATTAATATAAATAAATTATTCTGTGCAACATTAATGTACTTATTATATCATTTCTTCTTTTATTCAATCTTTTTAATGTAGAATTCTAGTTCTTTTCCTTCTAGAATATAACCATCAGCTCTTCCTGATTATCCAGGTCTTGATGTTATTCTAACCAACAATCTTTGATTAGAGAATTACTCTTGAACCAATTAATCAATCACATTATCTTTTGCTCTTTATGCAAACTTTTTTTAAAGAGAATTTGATTTCTATGTTTATTCAGCTGGTGCATCCTAAATATTTCAATTCAATTTTTACTTTCTTATCCTTCTTTTTTGGTCCTAATTCAACATTGTATTTTTTAGCATACCATAATTTGAATGGAGTAGCATCAACTTAAACAATAACTCCTCTTGTCAATGTCTTTGTTCTAACCAATTCATTATTGGAAGGATGATAAACAACCTCAACAATTTTTGCTTTTTTTGCTACACCTTGGCTACCCCAAGAGAAATTTCCTTCAGACAATCTAAGAGCTCTAAATTTAAAATTTCCTCCTCTAACTCTAATTCTTCTAACTCTCTTTTCTCCAGAAATCAATTTTGTCATTGCTGCTTGTCTGCCCTTTTCAAATGCTCTCTTCTTTTTGTGAATAGGCATACGACCTCCTGTAAGTCTTCTTTTATGTCTACTATCTCTTGAAATTCCCATAAATTATTAATATATTTAATATAAAAAGATTTTATTTAATTTAAAAATCAAATGGAAAACATTCAATAGCTTCTAGATCCCTTTTATAAAAGATAGAAATACAATCTCTACTTAAAATTATAAGTTCTTTAAAAACTCATATTTTTAAATACTATATGTGTAAAAATTCAATTAAAATCTTTGTTGAAAAACATTAATTTTTCTAGAAAAAAAAGACAATATTAATTTATTTTAATATAAATATGTCTAGTTTATATAATCTCTTTACATTTTAATAATTAAAAAGATTATTGATCATGTGATGTTGTACTTCTATTTATTAAAATCAAGAATTAAAATGATTTAAGATATTATTAAAAAATAAAAACTAAATTATTATTATTATTCTTCTTGTTTCTACTCGTAAACTTCTTTTGAAGTATTGATTTGATTTTTTTCTTTAAAATATATAGACTGACTTCAGTGAAAGTGTGATTAAGATCTTTTTTAGATTATTCTAATTATATTATAATGAATTGGTTTTAGTTTAATATAAAATTATTGTTTAAATTTAGTTATTGTTAGATTTTTAATGATAATATAAAATTTAGAAAAAGTATACTCTCTAAAAAATGAAAACTTTAAAATTTCAATAAAAGAGATATATCGTTATTTTATATTATTTATCTTTTCTCTATTTAAATTATGTTTAATTAATATTATTGTATTTTTATTAAAAACTAAAAATTATAAAATAGTGTAAATCTTTATTGTTTAAAATTAATAACTTATTTATCATTATAGAAATTTCAACTCTAATTTTTATTATTTTTTTGATTATGCAATTTATGCAATTAAAGATATGGATTATAAATTTATAAATGATTTTAAAGAAAAATAAAAGAGATTATCAATAAATTCTAAATTTTTAATTTGTTCTTCCAGAAATTTTGTATTATTTTATAATAGCCATATTGCTTATAATATATGAATTAGCTTTTTAATATTTTTCATGAGATTCAAGAATATTTATTTATTATCTTCATACATACCTAATAGTTATATAGGAAAACTTTAAAAATAGAATTATGTTGATATTACCCAATATTGTGAAAGTATATTTAAATAGGTATGATAAAAAACACATGATTGAATTTATAGATATAGAGGGGATACAAATTCTAAGAATTTTAGTGAATAAAAATAGATTGAAATTAATTGTAAATTTTCAATATTATTATAAACCATCAATGATCCATTAATTTCTATCTTCTTGAAATGGATGAGTTCTTATTGGGAAGCTTTAATTATTTTGTGGTTCATCCTAAACTGCGAATAAGAATTGATTAGGATTAGTTAATGATCTTATTGTCCAATGATTAGATTCTGTTTATTCAATCAACCATATATTTCTGAGTTCTTTAATTGGGTGAAATCTGACATCGTAATCATGAAATTTATTAAGTTCTTTTTTATTATCAACATATAAATAAAAGGAGGGGAATAAGAAAGATCTTATTGCAAAAGCATCTCCATTCACTCTATCAAGTATAAATTTTGAATGTTAATTATTATTTTATTTAACATTAACACTAAAATCATCTGTAAATGATTGATGAGAATCACCAATTGTTAAAGTATGTTATGGTAAATGAGCAGGATTGAATGTTACAATAATTAGATCATATTTTAAAGGATATGGAGTTGTAAAATTTGGATTAGAGACAATATACCAATGATTATTTTAATTTTCTTTATTTTAAGTGCGTACATCTAAATCCTTACCATGGTTATTAGATTTATCACTTGCAACAAATAAAAAATGATTTGGATTTGTCTCTGATCTAATAGTGAATAAACTCCATCCATGACTTTCAATAATCCAATTATTTCTTGCTTCTTAAAATTAATGAGTTCTAACATCAAAATCATCTTCATGTTTTCTAGTATTATCATTGGAGCAAAATAAGTAATGATTTGGTTTAGCTGCAGATTTGATTAGATAAACATTTTCTTTGACTTATTGAATTATAAAATATGTATCATTTGATTTTTCTTAGACACATCTAACATCAAAATCATCCTATAAAGCCCTAGACTTATTTGTACAGGCTGCAAGATATCTAGTTGGAGCAGCAACAGGTCTAAAAGAAATAAGTAAAGGAGAAGATCCAAGTTCCATAGATAATTTTTATTTATTTTTGATAAATACAATTATTGGAAGATATGATTACCATTATAAAATATATGGAATGAATAGATTTGATGAATGAATAATTTAAAATTATCATAATAATACAATAAATCTAAATGAATACATTTTATCATACATAAAATACTTTTTTTTATACTTAATCAAAATTCTTAAAAAATACCTTTAAATTTATTTGTATTTCATAAATTGTAAATAGAATAGAGAGATAATTATATTATATTATTGATTAAATATGATTGATTTTAATATTTAATATAAAATACCCATCACATAAATCCATCTATGGCCCATTTATTTCTTTCTTCAATACATGGATGTGTTCTAACATTGAATTCTTGTCCATTTCCTTCATCTTAAACTCCAAATAAGAAATAATTTGGATTAGTAGCTGATTTAATTGTGAAATATCCTGGTGCAGCTGGTTCAATGATCCAATTATTTCTAGCTTCTTTGTTAATGTGGAATCTGGCATCATAATCATTCCATTAATTTAATGATTTACCATCAGCACAGAATAAATAATAAAGTGGACTTGAACATGGTCTAATAGTGAATATATTTCCTTAGACTCTATCCAAAAAGAATTAACACTTATCTGTTCTTGTTCCTCTAACTTTAACTGCAAAATCAGAATTAAATTATTAATGTGGATCTGAAAATGTTAAGAAGTGTTGTGGTAATAGAATTGGTCTTAATGTAACAACAGGTGGTTAATATAAGAGTGGATATGGATGAACAATATTTGGTACTGTAACAATGAACCAAAGATTTCTTTCTTCTTAATTAGTATGAGCTCTGACATCCTATTCACCATGAGCATGTTTTTCTTCATCAGCGGCAAAAAGATAAAATAATGGATTAGTTTCAGATCTAATTGTGAATGTACTCCATCCTACATTTTCAATGATCCAATGATTTCTTTGTTCAACATGATGGTGAGTTCTGACATCTAAATCTTTTCCGTATTTTTTATCACTTTCACCTGCACAGAAAACATAATGATCTGGATGTGCAGCAGGTTTAATTCTATAGATAGCTCCATTAACATGTTCTAATAAGAAAAATGTATTTTCAGATTCTTATTGAACAACTTTGATATCAAGATCATCTCCATGATGTTTTGCTTTGTTTATTGATGATGATAAGAATTTTTTAGAATCTGGGAATGGTCTAATTGAGACTACAGCAGGGATTTAAGGTTATTACATTTTATTTAATAAATTTATTTAAATAAAAATCCTTAAATAATGTCAACTTATATATGGAATAAATAATTATTCTATAAATTTCTATTCTTTTTTTGAAATCATAAAATTACAACTATTTATTTGATTTTCGATTCAAAATTTTAGATTTTTTTATTTATAAAATCCAAGGAGTCCTTTTGAATCCATAAATTTCTTCTACTTAAACTATTATCATATGTTCATCTAAGGTCAAGACTATACACAATTTAAGAGCAAACAAATATTTTAAAAGATTATTACAAACAGCAATTATGGTCGTATCTACAAATAAGATTGTAATGTTTTCTCATATCATGAAGATCAATATACACACCAATCTGTCATCAGAATATCTAGTCCAAGTTCATCTATAAGCTGATTATGCAATATAATAAATGTACATTTTTTCGCAAGGTAGAAAATTTTTAGAAAAAATGTACAAAACACAGATTAATTGGATCATAATGATCAATAACTAATGTATATGAACTATTGATCATTTTAGGACCTCAATTTTTGACAGAAAAATAAATCATGAAATTCATAACAAATTATCTTACAATTTCACAATCACAATTAAATGAAACTAAAATCTTAGATTATTTACTTCTGTCAGTAATATTAACAAATAAGTAGATCCTAACAATGTAGGTCCACTTTATATCTATTTAAGGATATATATGAATTAAATTTAATAAATATTGGATAAAATTAAAAAAAGAAGAGAAAGTCTCTCTAAATGTTTTGTCATATATAGTAGTACCATTTAAATTGAATCATATTTATGATATCAATATATTACCATATATGAGACAATAATTTGCGAATTATATTTTCTTTTAAAAAAATTCTTGATTATATAATTTTATAATTTTATCGTTGAAAAAAAAAATCATTATTTTTTGGATATATATGATGTAGAGAATAGTAAAATTGAAAAATCTAGACTTTTAATTAATAATGAGTTTAATCCTTATTAAATGAGAAGAGATCTTTTTTAGTTAATAATAGTAAGAAACATAAGGTAATTCTTGATGTATAACTTTTGTTTCTTTTAATTTTTAAGAATTCTGTAGATGTAAAATAAAATACAATTTGATAGTCTGTTTAATGTATACCTAATTGAAAAGCAATATTATATAATATATACTAAATCCTCATTCTGCTTAGACATCTATAGCATATAAACCAGGATGAATATTTTTAGAATTTCCTAATTTTTTAATTACCCAACTTTTTGAGGGTTTCATAACACAAATGATTCTAATTTATATAAATAATTAATATACCCAGAAAATATTTTAGTTTAATCAGCACTACATCCATTAAGACATTGAGTAATTTTATTCCATTATTCCAAGGTTAATAATAATCCACAATATTAACATGCTCTCAAATCCTTGATTTATTTAGGTATTGCAAATGGCTTTTCTTCTTATGAGTCTTGTCCTGAATCTGAGTTATTCATGTATAAAATACTTTAAATTAAATTAATTATAAAATTCCCACAATATTTATATTTTTTAATTATTTAATTTAAATGATCAAATTTCTCTTAATTTATTAATATATATATTATTATCTTATTTATTATTTAAGATTTAAACTAAAAAATGAGTAAAATATATGTAATGATGATTTTAAATTAAATGATCATTGTTGGAGTAAGCTTGATAATATTAAATATATAAATAATCAATAATCATCATGAACAATTATTCTTGATAAGAGTGATTTTGTTGAGTATACTTAACCACCCAAAACTCCAATTAATAATGTACCATTATTAGTTAAAAGAAATGTAAGAGTACTATCTTTATCTAACATAGATATAGAATCTACAAATTCATCACTATTATATGTAAATTTTTCTTTTTCTGTAATATTTTTATCTAAAATTTTGAAGTTGTTAAAATGATATTTCATTATCATATTATAATCAGTTTCAAAATATGTTTATAATCTCAATTAAGTTTATTCTGGAATAATTTCAAATTAGATTCTATGTAATTTCAATGCTTTATATTACTAAGAAATCAGTCTAAATGAATCACAATCTTAAAATTCCAAATGTACTAAAGTATTTTGAATTTATAGATTTAATAACATTTTGACTTATTCCTTATCACAATTAACTAAAATAGGAATTTTACAATTTGATTTGCAAGAATAAGTATTCATTTATGTATTTTCTTCAATTTAAGTTTTGAAATTGAGTTGATAATTGAGAAATTAGATTTGATATTGCATATCCATTCTAAGTAGCTTAAAACTATAATATATATGATATTACTGATAAGGCTTATTTAAAGGCTTCAAGATCAATTCTTTCAATGATCATTGGTTAATTAGTTTTTATTTTATCTACTTATAAAGTGAAATGATGAGAATTAGTCCTGCCAATTGAAAGGAAATCTACTTTATTAGTTACACATATATAAAAAGGCTATAAAATTAAAAGAAATTCAAAACATCATTGCGTTTTATTTTCATAAGACCATCATAAATTTTTTTACTTTCTTTATTAATTACTCCTGAAAATGTGAATTCTGGATCAACTTCTTACTACATTTTAAAAATTAAAAATATATTATTAATAAAAACAAAATCAGCGGGAATTTATTATATTCTACTGTTTTATTATTATACATTTAATTTAATTGTTAATACATGAACAAAGAAAATGAGGTGTTTAATTTATAAGAAATATATTGTAAAACACATTAAAATAAAAAGGTAAATTCATTATTCAATTTAAAGGCAAAATACAAAATTGTTAGTGTTCCATTCAATAAATCAAAATTCAATTTGATGGATTTGGTGTGTTCAAAATGCGCCATTACACTTATTAGTTAAGGTTATAAGGTATTTTTATTCATTTATGTAGGTTGAGAATATAGAATCAGATGAAACTCTAATGAGATAAGAGTAAATATAATAGTTCCTTGAAACTATTTCATAAACATACATCATTATAAATTAAAATCAATAAAATTTGCTATAAAAAAAAGAAGATCTAACAAAATTTTGTGAAATGTAAAAGGATAAGGTTAAAGAACATTATAATTCAATGAAAACTGCTTTAGACAATAAATTAAAAGAGTAAATTGATTATTTAAATGAACTTCAATATAAAGCAATTACCTTATTTGATTAAAAGTATTAAGAAATTAAAGAGACTCATAATGAATTAATTTAAATGCATAATGATATTGAGATCAATCTTGAAAACATAATTATTAAAATGGAATTATTACCATATAAGCAAATTATGGGATAATACAATAAAAGAGTTTCTGATATATAATAGTGTTTAAATAAGATGGGAACATGTAAAGTAGTTTTAGGAAGAGTATATAAAAGAATGACTGAAAATAAAATATTAGGAGGTTTATTTGAAGATTGTGAATTAGAAATTAAAATAGCATAGACATCACTTATGAAAACAGAATAAACATTAAATTCAAGATTATTATCACCTTAATCAATGTCTTAAACAAATATTTTAAATCAAACTCCAGAAAAACAATAAAGATCAAATAGTTAATCAACCAAATTTTTAGAGATTTTAAACAAAGTAAATGAAAATTAATTAAAGACTAATAATTTTTATACTTAATTATTGAAAGGAGAGACTTCTTTGGATTTAAGTGAGAGGTATTGTTCTCCTTCTTTCAAAAAGTGAATTAATTTTATTAAATATTATATAAACTATAAAATTTAATGAATATTCTTATATTCTATTATGAATAACTAGTATGTTTATTTTATTATATGAATTTGATTAATAATACATATAAAAATATATTGGATTTATATTTCTTAAGATTATCATTTTCTCTACTGAACTGATATTAGTTTTTTAAATATATATGAATATTCAAAATAAATATATATGTATGTATATCATAAATATGATAAATCAAATAATCATTTGAATAATGTTTCATTTTTTGAAAGATGATTTCATTTAATAGAAACATTAATTATTTATACAAGAATTGGTCATTTTATTAACTAATTTCTTGATTTTATCCCTCTAAGTAAGTGAGGACTTGGATTAATTTTCAATAAAAGAATCACTTTATTAAATGATTTTAACTTGTTTAATTGAATTAGTAAATGTAAGATTTTATGTTTCTAATCGAGGTGAGATTTGAATATAGTAATCATTCTTTAAATTCTGTGTTTTAATGATTTTAGAGGAATCCTATTTATAGATAGATAAATTATTAAAAGATCTAGTCATTTTATTGGTTGATTTAAGATTAGTGGATTTTTTGAGAGTTGAGGACATTCTTGTATTATTTAAATATAGATTGATCAATAAATTTAATAATATTTTAATTTGATAACAAATTTGTTAATGATTAAAACCAGAACAAAACCTGTTTGTAAAACACACTTTAATTTATCATCTAAACAAATAAGCAAATATAGAAAATATATATTGAATTTAGTTAATAGAAAATGGTTAAAATAAACAGATAATGTTTCAACGGATAAATGTAAAATCAAATTCATTGAAAATAAAATACATCATTTTGTTCCAACAGATACAATAATATAGAAAGTAATTAAATTTGATTGTTATCCAAAGAAAGGAATACTAAAATCTACATGACTTTTTGAAATTATATTTATTGTTTTTAAAACAAAAATTTATGAATTAAATGATAACATAAATATCAATCATAACTTCTACGTTAACCTTAATTCTTCCAACGAGGTGGTGTAGGTGGTCTCTTTTTTAATGCTTCCTCATCTTCAATCCAATTATGAGCATTAAGATTTTGAGGATATATTAATTTAGGTACTATCTCTAAATTTCTTTTTAGAATAAGAACTGCACCTGCATTCTTGTGTCTACCACAATAATCAGTTGCACTAAATACTGTAAGTAATTGACCTCCTATTTAATTATTATAAATTTAATATTACCAGCAAATCTCTCAAAACCATCCATAACACACTCATGAGCACGAATAATAAGAGAAAGATTATTTTTTATTAAGAAATTTATAACTCTATCTGGTCCAAACTTTACTATATTTCCAGTACCTGCAGGATCTCTAATAATATTTGGTTATATTCCAAAATCTTAATCTGTATCAGTTGGATCTGACCATAATATATCAACTACTAATTATTATTCTGGAGTTGTAACTTCATGAATTACTTCTAAAGGTCTTTATAAATTTTCTATTTCGGCTACATAATTTAATTAACTGCCTATCCCTCCATGTAGACAAATTATCTTATCTTCAACTATTGCAGCCAATGGTAACCATTCAAATAATCTATTTACTCTTGCAAATACTGAATCATCATCATTAGGATCTTCACCTAATCTCTAAGCACATTCTTCTGAAAATCCAAATCCATTATTTATCCATTTATCTTCATGATTTCCTCTAATCAAATGAATTGATTCTGGAAATCTTACTTTTAGAGCCAATAATAAACAAATTGTCTCTAAAGAATGATTACCTCTATCAACAAAATCTCCAAGAAATAGATAATCAAATGCTTCAATATCACTATCCTTACCATCTACAAATGGAGATCCCCATAAATCAAAGAATCTCATAAGATCTGAATATTATCCATGAATATCTCCAAATATCTTTATTGGAGCTTTACATCTTAAAACCATTGGTTATTCTTTTAAAATTGCTTCTGCTTAATCACATAACATTAATATATGTTGAGCCTAAAATAAAAATTTTGCATTTTCAGAAATATTAATAAAAGTCTTTGGTTACAATAATGTACTTATAAATAAATGAGCAATATTATTTTCTTAAGCTGTTTAAGGTACTCTTGCTTTTCTATTAGGAGCTTTAGAATCCCTAGTTTCTTCAGCAACTACAGCTTAATTAATAAATTTAAATTAAGATTTATCTGCTTAATTTTAAGCAAATGGTTTCTATTATTTTTAAGTATTCTAATTTGTTTGTCCTGCTTTCTTTTAAATCAATGAATTATTCAAAGGAGAAGCTTAAGTATCTGGTGATATTGGAGTCATTTATGGTGATAATGATTAAGGTGAAACACTAAATAAATATTATATAATACTTTCTTTAAGCATGTTGATATTAAGCTAATTTATTAGTTAATGTTTCACTTGGCATAAGTAATCTATTTAAATTAATCTTAGAAATAATATCAGTAGGAATATTAGGTGAATCTAATTCAAAACCTCCATAAACAAAGATACTAGTATCTACTAACCATGAAGAATGTCTAAATCTCTAAATACTATTGAATTTAGACCACTCTGATGTTTCAGTATCATAAACATCAATTGTCAATGTCTCACCAACATTTCCAGTTCTACCACCAATAACAACTAGCATGCTGTAAACAAACATTGTAGTATGTTAATATCTACCAACTGGTTATTCTTTATCAATTTTATAAGGAGCCTTGACCCAATCCCATCTACCATCTCTATGTCTTCTTAATCCCCAAGCATCATTCAATGCTAATTAATCATTTGAACGTCCACCAAATGCCACAACCATTCCATTAGCACTTCCATTAGTACAAATACTAGCAGAATGATATACTCGTGCTAATGGCTATTCTGATTTGCATTCTAATCTAGCCCAAGTAATTGGACTCTTCTCTACATTAACACACCCTTGAATTTAAATTTGTAATTCATACAGCAATCATTAACTGGTTCCTATCCAGTATTGCCTCCAAATACTATTAGAAATGGTTTAGTAAAGGTTAAAGTATGTCCATACCTTCTACCTGGTGTAGTTCCTACAACTGGTACAACAGTCCATTAACCTAAATCATCATTTGATCTTAGATCTAATAAATAAAGGTCATCTGATGCCAAACTACCACCTAAAGTAATTAATCCATATATATTACCTCCTGTGGCTCCTCCATAAATAACAATTTAATTAATATCAACACACACTGCAGAATGTGCTGCTCTAGGAGATGGTGCTGTACCCTAAACTATTCTTTTCTTTATTATTTATACCTTCTACTCTCTTCCATTATTTACTTTACATATCGAATGAAAATGTATCTCCTGTAATACTATATTTCCCTGTGTCACCAGTCGCCCCTGTCATTTAATTATTCTCATTTACCCCCAAATAATATTGCTTTTCCTTTAGCAATATATGTTATTGTATGTCCAAATCTAGCTTAAGGCAATTATCCAAAAGCGTCAACCTTTTCAAAATTATTCATTTATATATTATTATTTCAAATTTAAAAAATATAATACCTTAAAATATCAATTATTTTAAATATCATAAAACATCTTTATAATGGAACAAAACAATCCTCTCTCACTTGATATTCTCCTCTTAATTATTTTTGATTATTTCATATCTCATGATATTTAAAAATTTTTATTTTATTTATGAACTCTTGAGATGTCAAACCATTTATTTAATAATTTTACTACTTTTGTTAATTTCATTTAAATAAAGGCTTTGTAAAATAATTCATTATGTTATTTTATGATAATATATATATCAATCTAATAAGTATTACTCCTTAAATAATTTAAAAAATTAGAAAAATAGCAATAGCATATACAATTACTCAGAAATTGATATGATATTTAGATATTTAATCTATTATTAATTAAAACAATTTAAAATAAAAAATACACTAAGATTAATTAAAATTATTAGTAGATACGATATAATAGAGAGATCCAAATTCTATAGAATATTTATCTGATAGATAATTTAAACTATATAGATTATTATTGAAAAAATGGTTCTTTCTAAAGATATATATGATAAACTATTTTATTATATTTATTAATGAAACTAATCAGAAGTTTAGTTTAATATGCTTCTATAATAAGAGTATGTCCTCTTTAAGTAAATGGCGCAAGCAAAACCTGAAATATTCTTGGTCATTTTTTTATAAATTTATGAAAAACTCTGTAAGAGTATTCTAAAATATTTGGATTAGTAAATTACCACGAGATTTATATTTAAACATGGATCTTTTAAATAAGTTAAATCTTCTTCAGTTGTTTCATCACATTCTTCTCCAACTTCTTGATTAAAATCTAAGAATTCACTCATATATAAAGTTGATCCTGTCTCTAAATCGGCTAATCCTTTATCTTTCTTTTCTTTAGGATCCAATAACTAAAATTATAAATTTTATAAATTATACAGCAAATCTATCTGCAATATCTTAATCTTCATCATCTTTAATTTTTTCTAAATCTACATCTACTTAATCTTGATATTTTTTATCATTAAAATCATCTTCATCATTGTCTACTTCCAAACGATCATCTTCTTATTATTAATTAACATTATCCTATTTAGAAGGTACAATTTCATTATCAAGACATCGTATAAGTAAAGATAAGATTTTGAATGGTGCATATACATCTTATATTTTATTATATTTTATTACCACTATTTATATTTTGATGACTAGGATTATATCCAATAACTAATAAGTTTTCTAAAGTTTTATCTTTAACTAAAAATAATTTCATTAGAGCTGAAAAGGTAGCATTTTTAGTTCCCTTTCCTCTAAACAATGGTTATTATAATAACCATTTATCAATCAATACTTTTAGAGCCATTCTATTATCAATACTCCAAGAGGTTAAAAATGCTATTGATTCTTTTGGTTTTTCAATTATCATTCTAGCATATACTAAAACTAAAGATTAAACAGTAGATGGCATTCTAGATCTGTATATTTTAAACACAACTGCTTTTAATAAATTCAGATCAGGATTTCCATCTAAGAGATTATTTATTGTTATCATAACTAAATTGCCTGCAAATAATGAAGCTGATTCATTAGCTGAGTTTTAAGGTACTTCTAATAATTTTAAATTGACCTTCATAACATCTTAAACTAAATTCCTAAAATTAATATATGATTATATAATACATCTTCAAAATTTATCCTGTTTCTATGATAATGAAATTCTTGAGACATTAACTAGTATGAACTTATAATTATGGATCTTCATTTATTAAGATTAAATTAACCATAGAAGGTAATAAATTAATGAAAGCCTCTTATGCTTTACTATCTGAACAGAATTTGATAAATGTTGATGTAATGCTCATTATTGCACTCATTAATGATATATCACTTTGTTTAATCTTACTTTTATCTTATATTTTATGAACATCTTCATAGAATACTTAGAAACAATCTAAAATGAATGGACAAAACACCTTAAATAAATAATTATGATTACTTCAAATATATAAGGATATGCTTCTTTACATTAACATATTTTCATTATTAATTCATTTAATGGTTTTATAAAACATTATTCTGAATGAAAAACACTGAAAAATTATAATAATACTTTAGATCCATTTTTAGCTAATGTTGTAGCTAAAGTAGATGAAAATTTAACTAAATGGATTGTAGATTCTAAAATAGAAATCATTTAGTCTTAATTTGCCTCTTAAAGTACATTAAGTACAGATTCCATAAATTCTTGTTAAAATTCAAAAGGAATATTATATTTATGAATTTTAGAAGCATAACTAATATAAATATTATATATTACTTTCCTAATGCTTTGACTGATATGATTCTAAGAGTAATTGGATATTTTGAATCCAAATAATGTATAACAGATTCAAATAGAGGAACAATTAATTCTTTAAATTAATGACTAATTAAATCTGAATATCTAGTTGTACTCCATATTGCTCTAGATTATAAACTATGTGAATCTATTTATAAATATATATAAATTAATACTCTATTTTTCTAATTCATATAGTATATTCTATATACACTTTTTGATATCAAATGTACTTTAATGTTTCTATTAAAAAACAATAATGTCTTCTGAAAAACTACCCAATAATAAATAACCAATTTCTTTCCTTTTTTAAATAAATGATTTTAGATAATGATTATTATTGATGGTTATGATTGATCCTTTCATAAATAACATAACACTATCTTAATCAAAATCTTTAGTTTATTGTCCTTTTAATTCTTGGAAATTCAATTTAGAAATTATAGATTAAGCTAAATCAATGAATTCTTTCTCATCTCTATTTAATATTAACTTTTCTCCAACTATTAGTATTTGTTAAATAAATTAATCACCATATTTTTCAATCATATCATTTATTAATCTCAAAGCTAAAGTTCTAACACTTTTTTATAGTAATTCCTCTTCATCATTCAATATAAAATAACTAGGATCTTTAATCCATTATTTTTCTTATTCTTTAGTAGCAGTTAAAAATGTTGAAAGAGTATTCAATAATGGAAATGTTCCAAATTTTATTAAATTATAAAGAGCTGGTTTTGTAACTAAAATTGTAATCAACTCTATAGAATATGCACATAATCCTTCAATATGATTTTCATAATCATCATCTTCATTTAAATATTTATATTCAATATCTAATAAAATAATATATTTATAAATGTATACCATTTCTTAAATTTATTATTCTTTAATTACTAAATGGTAATTCTTTTGTTTCTTCATTAAATAATGAATCTATATGATCCACATCTATTTGATATACTATATGTCCAATATATAATTGTGTAATAGAATTGAAGAATTTCCAAATTGGAATTAAAGATATAGCTAACGACTTTCTACTATAGAATCCAAAATCTCTAAAAATAATTATCAAAATCTTTAAGACTAATTTCTTTATAAAAATATGTGATCTTGGTGATGTTTGTAAAGCTGATAAAAATAAGGACTATTTATATATATATATATATGTTACCATCCATATTTAGAATGTATTATCCAAACATTTATTTACTAAAGAATTGTCTGTTCCATCAGCAAAAGAAATTGATCTCAATATTAAATATACCATCAATAATATTTTCTCTCTTAACATTTCATTTAATTCTGGCTATGCAAATATTCCAAATCCTTTTTCAAGAACTGAAGGTACAATCTCTTTCAATAAATTTTAATGCTCTCCATTTGATTCACTCAATTTACCAAATAATTATAAAAATAGTTCTAAACTAGATTCAACTGCATTTATATCATCCATCCAATTTAAAAGTTCCATCAATGGACTTGGCCAAATGTGACTTGGATCTAATACTATTATCGATACTATTATTGATGACTTATAAGTATTAATTATTCATTACAATCAATTCTATGATAGGCATATTTGAGACATTCATAACTAACCCATTTAATAGAAGTTCACGTATTATTTTACGAGAAGGTTATATTTACTCCCATTATTCGATCAAAATATTCTTAAGCAATATTCCAATATTGATTCTTATTTCAACTGGATAATCAGGAGATACTAAGATTTTTGTGCTCTCAACCATAAAATTGGAATAAGTAGTGTGCAAGATGTCATATGCTTTCTCCAAATTTTCAAGAGCTTAGGCATAAATCTATAATGTGATTTCAGGCGTAGCTTCTCCCATTTTAAATTTTTTTTGTATTTTTTATTTTATATAATATTTATTCAAATTCTATCCTCTAACTGTTTATTTCTCCATTTTATCTATTCTCGGATTAATTGAATACAAAATAAATGTTCTAAATTCAAATTTCTACAATACTTAAAATTTTGTTGGATAATCAACAATTCCCATTTTTTGAATACTTTAATATTCTTTATTATTTAACTATGTAACATATTTAAATTATTGAATGATTGAACATTTAAATACCTTCTAAGTCTACGCATTCCTTTATATTAAAATAATTTGCTATTAATCTTATCTAACACATTACCTAAATCTACTTACCTATTAGATATAATTGGATCAATATTCAACCATTAACAACATTATTTAACATTTATTTCATCATTAAATTATATTTGTTATTTATTAGCTATGAGATTCTTGTTGCTTATAAATTTAAATTTAAATTAACCCCGTTGTAAATTTTATAAAATATCCTCAATCTCATTAGATTTATATTTATAAAGTAACAATCCATTTTAATATGTTTATAATTGAGAATGAATTTTAAATAATTCAATTGCTTTAATATCTCCTTATATAGCATATTGATTAAATGCATCTTCTAGATTTAAAATCTATAGAGTATATAGATAATCTTTATCAAAGTAAAGTAATTTATTTTTTGCAAAATATATCTATTAAGATATCAATTCAATATTTGTAAGAATAGACATATCATCTATGAAAATGATAGTGCATATATTTTGATTAATATTGTAGATATAATTATTTACTATATTAATCTAATTAAATTTAAGACCTGCAAATTTATATGATGATTACACTTCTCCTGTCATTTTAGCCTTCCATAATATACCATTTGGACGACCACAAAATAAAAAAGATTAATAAAAAGCACATCCAAATTTTTTATTTTTTTCTGTGTTTCCAACTTTAATCAAACTTCTAGTCTTATCATCAAAAATGTAATAATATTAAGATTCAATAGCAATTTTAGGATAACTGATAGCAAAGCTTTCAATTTTCATATTATTCAAAATAGTATATTATTCTTGAGTATTAGTATTGTGCAATAAAAATTAATCAGTCAACTAAATGAAGATTAAGTTATTTATAACATATGCATCCAAAATATTAGGACTTAAATAAACTATATTTCCATCTCTTTCCAAAATACCATCTGATGTTAATATATATTAGATTGATAACACTTTTAAATAAGGGACTTCAATTGGTAATATATTATCATTATGATGGATGGAAGAGTATGTTACAAGAGTTTATTCGTTAAGGATTTGTGTAAGGTGGATATTTAATTTATTCTTCAAAATACACACTTCTTAAGTCTTCATTAATTAATTAATCAAAATTATTGGAGTGCATTTTGATGATCAATGGAGTCTTACTCTATATAAGAAACACAATAATTAATATTTTAATAAATGAATTTATTTGTACTTTTTGTAATCTACGTCATATTCAATATTGTCACAATATAAATATCTAAGTCAAAACTAATAATCAAAGTAGATTATGTTGTCAAAATTTTGAATAAATATTCACTTAAATATTAAAAAAATGAAGATCAATATATAGATTTCATATTAGAATTACTTCAATATTTTAATAATTTGATGATTCAATAAAAACTAATTCAATTTTAAATAATAATTTGAGTATACTAATGGCTTGAATGTGATCTATAACTTCATATAAATTAATTCTTTTGAATAATTGTATGGAGTTGATATTACTAAATAAGAATCATATAGGTTACAATTGACACATTAATTATGAATTATATGAAAAGTTATGAATTCTATGAATATAATTTATTGTCATTTTACAAATAATGGGAATTATCCATTAATTTTAACAGAACACACAAAAATTACAGATTCAACTAAATATTCCGAGAATTAATTTTATATAATAAATGTAAATGATATTATTATATTCATTTCAAAATTGTTAAAACTAAATAATAATATTAAATTTTAAATTTATATATTTAAGAGTCTAAGCTTAGTAATTTATAGATATAATTTATATATATATTTTAATCTTATTTTAACTTATTGAAAAAATAGTAAAATATTCTTTAATTATTAATAAATTTACTTATAAAATATTTATGATTAGATGAAACAATATAATAATGGAATATGGTTAACAAGAAGAGGAGATTAAATAATTCCTAATTTTCATAGTAGGTAAAATTAATGGAAAAAAGAAGTCATAAAAGTAAAGTAAGGTATTATCTATTTATACAGAAAAGAAGATAATTAACCACTTGATAAAAAGGAAATTATTCATCAATGGGAGATATACTAATCAATTGCTGATTTTTTTGATAAAACTAAAAGAATGATATTAATGAATTACTTTCCATTATTTATTAATAGTATATGAACTCTATCTATTCCCTTTGGATCAATAAATATTATAATAGGTGAAGAAATCTGTTATTACAGTAATTTATTATAGGTTTATGGAATCCAAAACTAAAAGAGACTGAATCATTTACTTCTTTGTTAAACTTCCTATTCAAAATGGAAGATAGAATGACTGAATAATGGTTTGCGATAACTCCTGTTTTAAGTAGAAATAATAAAGAACTTAATTTCAAAGTTTTAAATGAATAAGCATCGGTATTGGTATAAAAAATAAAGATATTAAATTTAAACTGAATAAATGAATTTATAAATATAATTAATATATTAAATTTCTAATTTTATTATTGCATTCTTTATTCATGCATATTCACTTCTATGAAATGTCAAAATAATTTGAATTTAAATTTTTAAATATTTTTAATTTATAAAAATATTTAAAAATTTATAATGATGCTTATAATCTATTTGGGGTTTGCCTAGAGCATAATATAAAATTGTTTTTATTATTTGAAAAAGTCCACATTGAATTATTATTTTCATTCGCTCATTATATAGAACTTCCACTTTTATATAGAATAATCAAGCATATATTTATAGAGAAATAATAGTGAAAACATGCTAGAAGTCTTTAACTTTAAAAACTCTAGAAAGAAAAATAGATGCTAACAATAGATTTGATGCATTGTCAAAAATTGTCAATGAAAGGTCTCCTTACTTTTAATTTANTTTAAAAGTTAAAATATTAAAGCTCCATTATTTGTTGCTAAAAGAACTAAATATTATACAAAAAATACTATTAAAATTGGAATTTATTAAGAAAAAATGATTATAAGTGAATATTTCATTTTTAGATTATTGATATCTAATTTAATTGAATCTTCAAATAATATGATTTATTAAAATATAAATCATAAAATGTAATGTAAATTTATTATTCTTGCTATTATGGGAATATTATAAATTTTATATTAAGATTACTTTTCAGAATTAAAATAATTAGATTAATCTTCGACTGAACTTTTTTAAAGAAGAATTAAAATTAGTAAATAATAAGATATATCCATTATAATTGATGATAATATTGATTAAGAAGAATCACTCATATTTGGACTTCATTCTAAAAAACATTTTGAAAATTTAATGGAAAAAAATTAAGAATGGCTTTAAGAAATTTGTTTAAAATTTGCAAGGATTTTAAATAATCTACATTCAATTTTATGATTATATTATATTTGTAAATATTTATTTATTTATTAACTTCATTATTATTAATAATATATTTTAAATAATGAGAAAATAAATATTAAATTTTGTATTTAGTAAAGGATTTGTAAGAAGAAGAAATTTATGGTATGTTGCATTTATCACTCCATTTATTTTATTTTTAACTGAAATTGAATCATAAAAAGTAGAATTAATAGCTTAATTGGCTTGGAGAAAAAGATTTGCTTATTCTTAATTTAATTCAACATAATTAAATTGTTCTAAAGAAGAATTTTCAATTATTGACCATAAAATTAAAATGAATAATCCAAAATGAATATTATTTATATTAATTATTATATATCAAATACAGATACATTTTCTGTGGACAATGGTTGAACCACTTTCATCATATTCAGATCTTGTAATACATTTATCTAAGAATGTTGATAATGATGATAAAATTGATCCACCAATCCAGACTGACAATTTCCTTTCAGGTGTTGCAACAACTTTGACTTTCATTTATTTTGGTGCAAGTGATGTTAATTCTTTACTCAATCTTTCTGCGATTCCTGGGAACATTGTTGTACCCCCAGACATGACAATATTTTGAAAACTAATATATAAATTTAAAATGATTACAGATCCTTTCTGACGTAATAATCACATTTCATAATTGATTTGAATGTTAACTCATGAATACCTGAAATTTCCAGACCAAAAAAGGATGGTTTGAACAGTAATTCAGGGCATCTGAATCTTTAGTTTTAGATAACGATAACATTTCCATCTGGTAATTCATAAGGTCTGTTATTAGAAGCACTTTCTTTATATTTCTTCATTTCCTCTTCATAATCAAGAGCAACATAACACAATTTCTCTTTGATGTCTTTGACTGTTTCCATTTCATATTTTGTGAATTAAACACCCAATTCCTCAAAGATTTTAACCAAATATTGTGTACAGTCTCTTCCTGAAAAATTAATTCTAAGAAAAGAATCTTGAAGTGCATAACCTTCATAAATTGGAACTATTTGTGAAACACCATCTCCAGAATGAACAGCAATACCAGTTATTCTTCCTGAAGCATAAATTGAGAGCACTGCTTGAATAGCAACATAAAATGATGGCACATTGAATTTTTCGAAAAATATTTATGTCATCTTTTCACTATTTTCTTTTGGATTCAATGGAGCTTCAGTCAAAAGTGTTGGGTGATCTTTTGGTGAAACTCTCAATTCATTAAATAATGCATGATGCCAAACTTTTTCCATATCTATATTATTTATATACACATTGTATACCATCCCAATTATTGACACTACCTATATAATTTGGGTAATTTAATTCTAAAATACCTCTCTTTGCCAAAGCCTCATCTCCAACATATTTTTAGCTGTTCATAACAGCCATAAATTAATGTTTAGGTCTTCCAACAACTGCAGGGAAACAGCCTTTTGGAGCATCATCTCCTGCAATACCTACTTTGCAATATGTTTAACCATTATCAATAACAACTGCTGGGTTTTCTTAATACATATGTTTTCAAATAAATAAAAGTTATCATTTGATTAAGATGAAAAATATTTAAATTAAATCAACCTTATCAAATATATAGAATATATTTATTAATTATAATATATTCTGTATAATACAAAACCTACTTAATATCAACTTTGATATAAATTTAATATTTAACTAAATCATACATACTATTTAAACTCAGTATATAAAATATTATTTACTATTATTCCTTTAATTATCTTATTTTTAATAAATAATCATGATCAATTAATAAAAAAAGATTAAATGATGTTGCCACAAACTAATGCTTGGTTATTGTGATAATGAGAATAGTTTGTGAAATTGATATTTTAATATTGAAAAATATGATTATTAATTAAGAGAATAGGTAAATTTCTTAATTTTTTTTTGATTTCTAACAAAAACAATTAACTCACATCAAAAAGGTATAAATAGACTTAATTTAAAAGAAATTATATTTATATACATAGAATTAATAAAGTAAAGATCTTTTTAATAATAAAAAATCTAATTAAATAAATTGGATTATAGAAAGATATTAATATCAATTTAAAGAATAAATCAGTAAAATAATGTAAAAATTAGTTGATAAAGGTTTAATCACTTTTAAAAAATATAAAATTGAAGTTATGATTAATAAAATAATATTGAGAGATTAAGATTCTAATCAGGTGAATTAATATAATTAGATAAAGAATTAAGGGAAAAGAAAGATGATTGAAAAGAATATTTAAATCCTTAAATAATTTGTATTAGAATTGCTAAACTATATTTTATGAAATTTAATTAATGATTTGTCTGTTTTTCCACAATTTTATATTGAATTATTAATTTATTATTTTATTTGGAGATATAATGGAACAACTGCTAGAACGATATGATGAATTAAAGAAACTTAATATTGTGGAATTAGAACATGATAAATCAATAACTCATTTGCTGTACATTGATGGATTCAAGTGGGATGATTTAGATAAAATTAAATAAATTAATAAAATATCACAATCTAAAATAGAAAAGAGAATTTCTCTTGTTTAAGATGTAATAATTACAATTATATAGTTTGGGTTATTAAGGAAAGATGTAGAACCATATGAAAATAGCAATATGAATTGTTAGAATTTAATCAAAGATATTGATATGCATATAAATTCCATTATGTTTGAAATAGATAAATTAGAATAATTAAAATAGAAATCATAAAGATTCTTACGAATTCAAAGTTAACCAAACATAAAACCAAATACTGCACCAATTGATAATATGGCTTAAACAGGTGGATTATTATCAAGTACAAGTGATGGTTAAACAAAAATGTATCAAAGTAGTTTTTAGTTTTACCGAGCATAAAGAGATTAATAAATTTAATCACATAATTAAAAATGGATAGAAAAATAATATAATATATAGAAAAAGTTAATTGAAGATGAAAAAGAATTTTAAAAATTCAGATATGATATAGATGTTAAATAAAAGAAGGCTGAAATGAATCTTGAAGAATTTTAATAATGGTAATCTAGAATATTGAAAGAATAAGAGGAAGATAATTCAAAACGACTTTAATTACATAAAATAAGAGTATCATAGGATTAAATGAAAAGATAAGTTACTTTAGAAACAAAGATGTCAAGAAAAGAATTATTATTATAAAAATAGATGTCATTATTAAAAGATTTCCAATAATAATAAAAATAATAGAAGGAAGAACATTTTTAAAAGATTTTACATAAGTCTATGGGAGCCTTAAATGACAAAGACAAATTTAATACAATATAAAAAGAATAATCAGAAAAGAAAGAATTATAAAATTTGCATAAGTTAAAATACATAGAAGAATCAAAAGAATGGACTAAATAATAGTTGTAAAGATAGAGTTAACTAAAATAAATAAAGATTGAAAGAGCAAATGTAAAATTCCTTATTATTTTAAGTAAATTCTAGTAAGTTAGGATATATAAAGAAGAGATAAATTCGAAAATAAAGAAAAGAAAAAGTTTGCTTATATTGAGAAATATAATAAAGTTTTTGAGGAATATTAAAATAAAATCAATAAAGAGAAAGAGGATAAAATTCATTAATTTTAAATTGTATTAATTAATTTTATAGAATTTAGAATAAAGCAATAGTAGATGCTAGTAAAGAATAATTAATTAAATATTAATTTGAAAGAAAATCTCAGAGTTAAGTTGAAGCATAAAGATTGAGGGAGAGAAGAATAAGAATATTTTAAGAAGAGAAGGCTGGAGAACATTTAATGAAATAATTAGAGATTAATTAAAGATTAAATGAAATCTAATAAGATTTAGAGATGAAGAGAAGAATGTAAGAATTAATAGAAGAAGAATAAAAGTAAAGAAAGTTAATGATTGAGTAATTAATTTAAATTTATTATAGAAATGATGAAAGATAGAATTTAATAGAAAGAGAAAAAAATATCAGAAAATTAGAAATTGAAAAAGAGCTAAAAGATAAAGAAATGAATTAGATAAAGTATTCTAAATTTTGATTAAATATATTGTTAAGAAAAATTAATATAATTTGAATATTTATTTTTGAATTTAATGAATAACCAACTACACAATCTTAATTGTAAATTTTGTAAGATTAATCAGAACAAATTTATCTAGAAATAAATACATGAGAAGTATTTTGATAGATATGAAATTATAGATATTTTGAGTAGTTCAATTTTTATTTTGCCAAACCTATTACAGAAATTTTAGCTAATGTTCCTGTAGATCATGTCATTCTATTTAAAGACTAATTATATTTACATGATGAAAATGAATATATGAAGCGATTTTATAAAAGAGAGGAACAAGACCCAAGAATTAAATTACTTAGCGATTTTTACTATGAGTAAAATAAAGTAATTGATTTATTTTGATTAAATCTTTTTTTAAGATGCCATAGCCCAATTTATGTAAAGTAAATGCTCATAAATTTATGGAGAAGAGAATAAATAAATTGTTAAAATTACAATAAAAAGCATAAAATAATTAGAATCAACAACCAATTACTAAAAAAATGATTCCAGATCATATTTTTAGTGAAAACTATGTTGAATCTGTATCTGAGTAGTATGACATACTTATTTAGTTCCTATCCCAAGGAACAAATATCATGGGACAGCAAATCGCATAACATCTATGACATTTCATAAACTGCATTATAGTAATCATAATCAAAAAATAAAACTAATGTTTAATTACCTATTCTTAATATATCTAATGATCAAAATAAATTATATAATTGTGAAAATGATTAGGATATAGATAATATCATTTGTGAAATTAATACATAAACATCTCGTTAATTATCATCAATTACAAAAATACCTTTTAAAAAGAAACCTTCATCAAGTACAAATAAAAAGAAAAATTAATCAATTTAATAGCCTTAGTAACCTAAAATTCCTATTCCACCTTTGAAACTTTAAGAAAGTGCTAAATCTTCAGCTACTACAGTTCCAAATAATAAGTCAACAAGCATTTAATCTTTAATGAAAAAATATGATTAAATTTTGTAAAAACGTTTTTAAGTGAAGGAAATATTAACAGAACGTAATGAAATCCGTAATGCTGCTGCTTTTGGTTCTAGTTGTGGTATTGCTACAAATAGAGGAGATGTAGGTTCATCAAAAAAATAAATTACTGATGAAATGCTACTTAAATTAATCTCAAATATGAAGAAATCAAAAAATAAATCTGACAATTATTAATTTCATGCATCTTACAAAAGTGTAGTATCTCATCCTTAAACTGGTCCAGCTTAATCATGTACATTTGAAAAAGAAAATGAAAAAAAGAAAAAATATCAAGTCTATCTAGTAATTTATTAAATTTAATAGGAAGCCAAAATAAATCAAAAAAAATCCATCTTAAATGTCATCGCCAACAACAGTTTAAAAGTATTATAATTTAAATTTATAAAAGCACTTGTTCTCCATCAATGCTTCTTAGATCCCTTTCAAATCCCTCAATGGCTCCTTCTCCTATTAGGAGATTAGAAATTAAAGTTAACTTAAATAAACTTATATAATAATAAGAACAATAAATAGGATATTGGACATAAAGATCCAAAGTTCGTTGAAACTCACTCTATCAATTAATTTTAAGAATAATTATTTTTTATCAATTAAACTTCTATACTTCATACTACTTAATTAATATAGTATATAGTTATATTTAAATCAATTCAAATTTGATCTCAATATTGATATCATTTTATAATTATTTATTAAAAATAAAATAATTAAAGGAATAATAGTAAATAATATTTTATATAAATATTAGTATAGATTAATTATATAATTTAATAAATAATTTATCTTGTATTATCTAGCTAATGGCAATTAATTAACTTGTTTTAATATGATTAATTGAACTCTTATATTTTCATATATACATAATTTAAGTAATGATAGATAAATAAAAATAATTAAAATAAAAATTATAAATTAAATAATAGACTTTTTTATAAATTTATCATTATTGAAATATATTATAATAACAAATCTATTATTATTCAAAATATAAATTGTATAAATTTATAAATGATCTTTATTAAAGGGAAATTAATAATTATATTTTTCTATTAATTAAATATTGATTTATAGTTTACACTCTTAAAACACTACTAAATAAAAAATATAAAATTCTTAAATTAATCACATATTAATTTTATTTCCTTCTTGTTATATATTTTTTTAACAAATTAATAAATATTCTATCCTAATAATCCTAAAACCATAATTAATGAATATAATCATTTTCACTTTTAATTTTATCATTTTAATTCCATTTTTGTAGATCTAAAAATTAAATTAAAAAAAAGATTTAGATAAAGATGAATATATTCTATTAATTTCTATTCTTTTGTTTATTGAATATAATATACACTGAGTTTTAAATAAGTGTGTATGATTTAGTTAAATAATGAATATATATCAAAGTTGATATGAAGGAGGTTGTGTATTATACATAATATTTTATAATTAATAAATATTTTTTGGTTTATGTGATAAAATTTAATAGATTTAATTTATCTAGAAAAGGTAAATATTTATCATCTTAATCAATAATATCTTTTATTTATTAGCAAAAAAATGGATTATAAAAAGCCAGCAGTTGTTATTGATAATGGATAAGCATATTGCAAAGCAGGTATTGCAGGAGATGATACTCCAAAATGCTGCTTCCCTGCAATTGTTGGAAGATCTAAAGATTAAGGAAATTTAAAAGGAATGGATAAAGAGATAGCTTATGTTGGAGATGAGGCTTGGGCTAAACAAGATGTTTTAGAATTAAATTACCCAATTGATAAAGGTATTGTCAATAATTAGGATGGTATACAATGTGTATATAAATTATATAGATATGGAAAAAGTTTGGCATCATGCATTCTTCAATGAATTGAGAGTTATACCAGAAGATCACCCAGTTCTTTTAACTGAAGCTCCAATGAATCCAAAAGAAAATAGAGAAAAGTTGATATAAATCTTATTCGAAAAATTTAATGTGCCATCATCTTACATTGCTATTCAAGCAGTGCTCTCACTTTATGCTTCAGGAAGATTAACTGGTATTGTTTTAGATTCTGGGGAGGGTGTTACGCATACAGTCCCAATTGCTGAAGGTTATTTCCTTTAAGATTCAGTTCTTAGGATTGATTGTTCAGGAAGAGATTGTACAAAATATTTGATTAAAATCTTGGAGGAATAGGGTGTTTAATTCAAATCACCATTTGAAATGGAAACTGTCAAAGACATCAAAGAGAAATTTTGTTATGTTGCTCTTGATTATGAAGAAGAAATGAAGAAATATAAAGAAAGCACTGCAAACAACAGACCTTGTAAATTACCAGATGGAAACGTTATAGTTATCTAAAACTAAAGATTCAGATGCCCTGAATTACTGTTCAAACCATCCTTTATTGGTCTTGAAATTTCAGGTATCCATGAATTAACTTTCTAATCTATTATGAAATGTGATTATTATGTAAGAGAGGATCTGTAACGATTTTTAATTTATATATTAGTTTTCGAAATATTATCATGTCAGGAGGTACAACAATGCTCACAGGAATACCAGAAAGATTGAATAAAGAATTAACATTACTTGCACCAAAATAAATGAAAGTCAAAGTTGTTGCCCCATATGAAAGGAAATTGTCAGTCTGGATTGGTGGATCAATTTTATCTTCATTATCGGGTTTCTAAGATAAATGGATTAAAAAATCTGAATATGATGAAAGTGGTTCAACCATTGTCCACAGAAAATGTATCTGTATTTGATATATAATAATTAATATAAATAATATTCATTTTGGATTATTCATTTTAATTTTATGGTCGATAATTGAAAATTCTTCCTTAGAACAATTTAATTATGTTGAATTAAATTAAGAATAAGCAAATCTTTTTCTCCAAGCCAATTAAGCTATTAATTCTACTTTTTATGATTCAATTTCAGTTAAAAATAAAATAAATGGAGTAATAAATGCAACATACCATAAATTTCTTCTTCTTACAAATCCTTTACTAAATACAAAATTTAATATTTATTTTCTCATTTTTTAAAATATATTATTAATAATAATGAAGTTAATAAATAAATAAATATTTACAAATATAATATAATCATAAAATTGAATGTAGATTATTTAAAATCTTTGCAAATTTTAAACAAATTTCTTAAAGCCATTCTTAATTTTTTTCCATTAAATTTTCAAAATGTTTTTTAGAATGAAGTCCAAATATGAGTGATTCTTCTTAATCAATATTATCATCAATTATAATGGATATATCTTATTATTTACTAATTTTAATTCTTCGCTAAAAAAGTTCAGTCGAAGGTTAATCTAATTATTTTAATTCTGAAAAGTAATCTTAATATAAAATTTATAATATTCCCATAATAGCAAGAATAATAAATTTACATTACATTTTATGATTTATATTTTAATAAATCATATTATTTGAAGATTCAATTAAATTAGATATCAATAATCTAAAAATGAAATATTCACTTATAATCATTTTTTCTTAATAAATTCCAATTTTAATAGTATTTTTTGTATAATATTTAGTTCTTTTAGCAACAAATAATGGAGCTTTAATATTTTAACTTTTAAATAATGATAAAAATAATGAAGTTTAAAATAATTCTGGAATTTTATCTTTTTCTGTAAATTTTTCCATATTATTCAGTATTTAATTTGTTAATAACATCAATTAATTTTGTCTACATTAAATAGAATTTTCACTATTTGGATTTTTTGAATTTTCATTTGATTGTAATATAAATTATTTTGTAGAACATGATTTAATTAATGGATCTATAATATTACAAATCCATTATTTAATAATACCTTTACATAATAGTACATCTTAATTAGAAATTGTTTCAAGACATTTTGTATATTTCTATCTAATTTATTTCAATTATTATAATTTTAGAACTCTTTTTTACCTTATCATAAGATATATAATAATACCTATAGTTTCTACTCCATCTTATGTATGCTAAAATATATAAAAAAAGGACTTTTATGCGTGAAACATTCAGATGATATCTTTTTGTTCTATATGGAATTTAATATTCTCTTGGTGTTGATTTTATACGAAAATTAGGCAATTATAACTAAGAAGAATCCTCTTGATATTTTTAAAATTCTCTTGAATTTCTTGATTAAATTCTACTTGGTCTGTAACTTCTATTTGTATGATTATAAGAATAGGAATCTGAATAATTTTCATTTCTAGATTAAGACTAATAGTCATATGAT